TATGTGTATTAAGTCAATCTCCTACAGGTTCAAGAGAAGAAGAAACGGTAATTGCTTATGGTTCCAAGACGTTACAGGGATCCGAAAAGAATTATTCTATTAATCATTTAGAAGCTATGGCTATAGTATGGGCAGTGAATCGTTATAGACACTATTTATCAAGCAGACAAGAATTTGTAATAAGAACGGATCATGCAGCATTAGTATATATATTTTCTAACGAAAAGCCTTCTCCAAAATTACAAAGATGGAAAGCTTGTCTTATGGGCTACAATTACCGAGTAGAATATAGACCGGGAAAAGAGAATCCAGCGGATTCGTTAAGTAGATTAATATAATAATAAAAAAAAAAGAAAATAAAAAAAAAAAGAAAATAAAAAAAAAAAAAGAAAATAAAAAAAAAAAGAAAATAAAAAAAAAAAAGAAAATAGTAAAAAAAAAAAAAAAAAAAAAAAAAAAATATGATGAAAATAATAAAAAAAAAAAAAAATGAAAAAAAAAAGAAGAAAAGAAAAGAAACATAAAATAATACAGACATCAAGAAATCAAGAAACCTAAAATAACAAGAAATCAAGCCACCTACAATAACAAGAAAACAAGAAACCCAAAATAACAAGAATTACAAGAAACATAAAATAATAATAGACATCAAGAATTACAAGTAACTAAGAAACAAAAAAAAAAAGAGAAATCAAGAATTACAAGAAACATAGGCAATAACAGAAAGCAACAATGAATTACGGAACTTATGTAGGAATAACAAATTTATTGGAAAAAAGAACTTATCTGTTAGATGCAAACAATAAATTTAAAAGAAAAATGGATGCAATGGCAAAATCATATCAAGTTATAAACGGAAGATTATACAGAAAACCTACTGGTGAATATGGTGAACCTTTAGAGGTGTTGCATGAAGGGAATATAGAAGAAATTATCACTCAATTACATAAAGAAGGACATTTTGGAATAAATAATACCTGGTACAAAGCGAAAATACAATACTATGCCCCGGGTTTATTTAATAGAGTTCAAGACGTGGTAAAGAGATGTGAAAGCTGTCAATTTAGAAAGAAGAAACCAGCTACAAGAACTGTATTAGCCAAACCCATAACAACACCATCAAGACCATTTTTTATGATAGGATGTGATGCAATAGGGCCAGTAATAGGATCCAAGAGAAAGAACAGGTATATATTGGTGGCAATTGATTATCTGACAAGGTGGCCAGTAGCAAGAGCGGTCCAAAATATTAATGAAGAAACTACGGCAACATTTTTATTAGAAGAGATTATTCAAAATTATGGTGTACCGCAATTTATTCTGACTGACAGAGGGTCTAATTTTACTTCAAAGTATGTGAATTCGTTTCTAAGGCAAATAAATTGTCGACATTTAACTACCTCAGCCTTCAGACCTCAGACGAATGGATTATGTGAACGGATGAATGGGACATTAGTACAGGCATTGGCAAAGATAGTTAGAGATGAATGCGAAACTGTTCAAGATTGGGATACAAAAATACCTGCTGTCCTGATGGCGCTACGTACAATGAGGAGTGAAGGAACTAAATATACTCCAGGAAGATTATTATTTGGTTATGATATACGAACACCAGGAAATTGGTCTGCACCTAGAGAAGATTACGTAGAAGGAGAACATGAAGTTGAAGTAAATAGACGAATAGAGGAAATAGATAATGCAGTTAAGGAATATAGGAAGAACGCAAGAGATTATTCTAATCAAGAAAAGAAAAAAATGAAAGAAAATTATGATAGAACAATTACTAAGAAGAAACAATATAGAATAGGTGAACAAGTACTTATGAAAGATCACTATCCTCCAAATAAATTTGCTGATAAGTGGATTGGCCCGATGACTATTGTACGTGTTAATGACTCTGGTACTTATCATTTAACTGGACCAAATGCTAAACGACTGGATGGTGCAGTAAATGGAGATCAACTAATACCATACCAATGTAAAAATGTGATGATACCTGATGTGCAAGTTAGAAGAAAGGAAGGTTTATTTTCTGCTTGGTTAGAACGAGTAGAAACAAGGCGAATTCAAGAATGAAAGCGATTTTTCCGTATAATATACTTCAGGAGGGAGAGCATGTCACGATTGTGAAAAAGATAAGTAATATTATAGGAAAAATCGAAGATTCTGATTGGATGCTGAATTTGAATATTAAATATATTTATGACAAAATTGTAATAAAATAAAAAAAGGAGTCTTTTGAACCCATATATTTAATTTTTCTGGGGTAATTGTTGATTAATCGCTGAGATTCTTCTAATCATTTACCATAAGTTAAATTTTGGAACCAATATATTCACAAACAAAATAACCAAAGTATCATGTTTTTCGAGTCATTTAAAAGAATATAATTGGTTACTTAGAGATTTGCCGAACAAATCACGTGACTGTCCGGGATTGTCCGGTATTTCATGTTAATTTTTTATATACTATTTTATTGGAGTTAAGCTTTTAGTTTACTTATTTAATTGATGTTACAAATAAAGAAGATTGTTAACAGATTAGAATAGCTAGAAAGACAAACGACATGTATATAATTTTATATAGCAATATTACTATTGCTTATATCTTTGTCTCAATATAAGCAGCAAGAGTAATATAAAAGTTCCATACATACATATTTTATGTTTAATATCGTGCTTATTTATTGAATATTTTTGCTTAATTATCAATTAAAAATTGAAATTGCAATGAGGAAGATAATGAAAAAAAAAAGGGTAGAATAAAACACATTCAGGATATAAAAAGAGATAATTGAATTATTAACAGTAGCAGCGAATATTCTTATTATTTATATCTTCTTCTTTAACTCAATACAAGTACTTTAATAAAAGGAGAATAATATAAAGTCTCAACATTATTTATCAAGAGCAACACCAAGGTCATATTAGTTTTGTCGATTATGTTGTCATAGGTTAAATACGAAATATAAAATATCTTTTATAAGGATTAATAATTGACCAAACACTCAAAAGAACACACAAGCTTTACTATACTTTATACAAATTAACGCTTTTGGATACGAGCTTAAATTAATATGATCCTATATACATGTACGCTTTGAGATATCAACCTTGTATCTGCAGTTACAGATCAAGCCTTCGGGTATATATGTAATCTGAAAAAAAAAGAAATATTTTACTAAATTTCTTTCTTAGAGGTATTTGTTAATGTCGTTCTTTTTATATATATATATATAATCTATAATTGTCTTGTAAATGGTTTATCTGCTTAAATACCATGTATGAAGTAATTTCTTTTATTAGTATATAATTAAACTATTCATATCTAGGTGCTGGTTTATCTATTTATGACTATAGATACAAATATGCTCCTTTAATTATTAATAATCTCTTCTTAATTCGTTCACAGTGTATATTAAGCTAGTTTATATCTATTGACAATCACACTTATATATGATTTGATAACTGGATTATAGTATCTATAAACTGGGTACTTACTTCAGTGTCAACTATGATTGATTTGTATTCATATTAGCCTTATATATGAATATTAGCTTAATCACTCACTTTGAATTTTATATGACAAGCTTACAAAAAAAGCTATGAATTATTTTAACTTAGGTTGGACAGTTCAAAACATTGATCACTCTGACTTCAATACTAATGAAAAATATCATTCCTACCAGACCAGCAACAGTCATTTGAATAGCCTTTGACTCATTTGTTATACACAACAACAATCTTAGTGATGATGAAGGTGTACATATTTTTAATATAATTGATTGCTTATAAAAATTATATTAAAAATATGTTCTATTACAGTATTTTCTGAACTTTATTTGAACAGTCTTCAGATCTTGACACTGAAGACTGTTCAAATAAAGATTTGTCAATGCATCAATTTTTATTCGGTTAGTGCTCGATTTTTTTTTTTTTTTTCTGGACAAGTGCTTGGAATTTATTTTGGCAAGTACGCGATATTATTTTTATAAAGTGCGCGAATAACTTCGAAAAATACTGTATATACATGATTATTGAAATTATAATTACCATTCATATTGTTCCTGAATTATTTATCCTACTAGTTTAAATTATTATCGTTAATACTTTACTGAATGCAATAGTAAAAGCAATAATAATTGCTTTATGATCAATTTTCAAATGCAAGAGTTAGAATATATTTTATTTCTAAAACAAAATGAAGAAAAATGCTGTAAAAAATCAGGGAATTCCTTAACATATCTTTGTCAATAGTGTGCCCTTCTCTCTATTCCTCTCCTTTCTCACCTCTCTCTTTTTTTCTTTTTTTTTTTATTATTTTTATTATTTTATTTTAATCATCATCAGCAAAATAGGCCTTTGCTTTTTCTTTATCAGGTATGATCGCCTTACTTCCTTTTTGCCAATTGACTGGACATACTTCACCATACTTATCAGTGAATTGGAAGGCCTCAACTAAACGAATTGTTTCTGTCACAGATCGTCCTACAGGTAAATCATTGATAGTAATTTGACGAATAATACCATTTCTATCAATAATAAACAATCCACGTAATGAAATACCCATTTCTTCAATATAAACACCGTAATCTTTGGCTATTCGTCTTGTTTTATCAGAAATTATTGGTAGTTGTGTTTCTGGTCCAAGTCCACCTTGTTTACGATCTGTATTGATCCAAGCAAAATGAACCCATTCTAAATAATGATGTAAAAAAAGTCAACATTCACTTCTAGTTTACACCATTATTGTATTTACCAGAATCACAAGAGGCTGCAATCACCTCACAATCCAAAGAACGAAACTCATCAAGAGCATCATTAAATGCAATAATTTCTGTTGGGCAAACGAAAGAAAAATCCATTGGATACCAAAGTAATACAACGTATTTTCCTTTATAGTCAGAGAGTGAAATTTTATCTACAAGTTCACCATCGATGACGCCGGGTGCACAAAAGTTTGGTGCTGGTTTTTGTACTTGTGCAACTTTTTTTTTTATAAAAAATACATAATAATTAGTTTCATCATCTTATTCTGTGATATATAATTTTTACCCATTTTTATTTATTTCTTAATGTAAAAGAGCAAAACAAAATAGTAGCAAAAAGGATATAGATATGTGCAATTTTATTCCCGAGAAAGAAAGAAAAAAAAAAAACAGTGACGTTATTTATTATCATTTGTTATTATTAAGCATTGTTTCTGTTGATATAAGCAAATAGAAAAAGAGATTTATTATTCTAAATTAGAATTAAGATAATTTACAAAGACATCACCTAAACGATCAATATCTAGTGTGGTATTCATCTTATTGTATGTAACAAATTGTTTTCGCAATCTTCGAAGTTCTGACAGAGTCACTGTACGGGATGGGTTTATGACTTTTGTCTCTGAGCGAGGCACTGTCATAGGCATACCACCAGGACCAAATTCCTTTTGTCTTTCAACAAAGGCGTTGATAATCTCTAATGTTGCCTTATCTAGTTCATATACATAATTTGTGGACGATACTGGTTTTGATACAGTGGATTTATTAGGAGGTAACGCTTTTCTTAATATCACTGAATCCCACATTTTATCCAATGGGATCTCAGTATCGTCATAAATTATTGTAAATAAAGGTGAATCCCATCTATTACGTTCATCGGGTTCTTCATATCTTGAAACAAGCTCATCCAACCTATAACAATATATTAATGCATAAACTACATTTTTCTTTCTCGTATGCACACACACACACACTATATATATATATATGTGTGTGTATACATACATATATATGTAAGTTATTACTTACAATATCTCATCATATCCTTCTGATCCTCTATTCTTGTTCCATTCTTTAGCAATATCTATAGGTGTACCTGTATACACAACACAGTGTGGTGTACCAATAGCTCTTGCTATACAATATAATTGGTATCGAAAGCCTTTAATATAATTTAATCCATCTGCAATAACAATGTCATCTTTTGACAATAATCTTTCCACTGCTGATAATAAGGCAGATCTAGCTTTCTTCTCTTCTCTAACATCTTTATACGCATCTTTGGTGACATGAAGACTTTCATCATTTATAACATGAATACGAAGCGATTTCTTTTCTTCTTCAATTCGTTTTACGAAATATTCTTTAATCTCATTGACCCTTTTAGTTTTTCCACTCGATGGGTATCCTGTAAGTATAATGAGTGGCATGTTCTATATAAAATGACTAATAAGACAGTATATTTTTTTTAATACAAAAAAAACAAAAAAAAAAAAACAAAAAAACACAAGCAAGAAACTAAAATTATAAGTCTAAGCCACTACTGCTTATATATTAAGATATAGCATTATAAAGGAAGTTGTTTACAAGAGGACAATCTTTGTTTCAGTGGTAGGTAATCACCACATTAATTGAAATTTATCATCTTATTTGTTGACGTTATTATCAATATTTATATTTTTATATATTTTTTTTTCTCGCATATTTGATAGTCATTAAAGCCCTTTCAACGCTCTTTGATTTTACAACAATTTGTGGTCTTGAACAAACAGTTTGCAGAGTTAGTTAACATATGCTTTTCAGAAGCTTTCAAGTAAATTTTGCACTCTTGACATTATGAGAGTGCTTACTAAAACGCCTCATAATATCGCTAACATCATTACCACCACTACCATCATCTTTGCTTTATTGTTGCCTTTAGAAGTGTACTTGGAGAATGTCATCAAGAGATATACTAAAAGATCTGCTTAGCATGCTTTGTACTTGATAACGGATTTCTCCCTCGAGATGCAGAATTGAGATTCTTTTTGGTGTTTTTTTTTTCCTTTTCTTTCTTCTAAGATCTGTGCTAAAAGAAAAGTACTTTTGAATATATGAGAGAATCATAATTCGAAGCAAGTGATTTTGTAGTTATCTGATCTTGTATTAAATTGCTGTGAATACAGAATCAAGATATGTCAAGTTAGGTTAGGATGCTAGAGTTTTAGAGCAAACAAACAAGATAAATAAATAAAATAAAAGTAAAGGTACAACCTATTACTGTGCAGTTTACATTTTAAGCTATACCTCTTGCATCTTCTAAGTAATTCAAAATATCAAGTACGATTACCATGCCTTCTATTATCTTTAAAGTAGTATAACTAATATTAAATAAATAAGGTTATAATAGTATTTGATTGCTTCTTTTCCAATTCCAATGACTTCCTTAAATTCAACCTTGGAAATGGAAATAACACTAACGAAGATAAGTCTCAAAACATGGTATACCCTACTCCTTGGATGCTTGTGTTGGTTCTATACAAACAAATAATGCTTCTCTTTCCTTGATTATTACCAGTATCTTCCTCACAAAAAAAAAAATAAATAAAATAAAATAATTGAATTGGTTGATACATGATTTGTTCTTGAAAATATAGAGAAAAGGGATACTTCTCTATTACATTACCATATACCCTTTATTTTTATAAATTCGCAAAAGGAAAATAGAGAGTGGCTCATGGAGCGGGTGGCATATAGGAGGGTGAAATGTAATCAATAAAAATTGTTTGTAGGTAGGGACTAAAAAATTCCCATTCATTCAATGAGGATTGATTACTATTGAGTACCAAATCAATTTAGAACGAAATGGCTTATGCATTCTCTATAACATCTTTAATCCCTCTCATTTTCATAACTATCTTAAGTTTCAATAGCTTTATATCTTTTACATGTTGTTTTAAATAAGTTTTTTTTTGTTAATATATTCATAAACATGAATTGTTACTAACATACTATTTCCTAAGTGAATTCAAAATTAGGTATGAGTTTTGCCATTGGCTGCAACTGTATTCATCTTTAGCAGTATCCATTTCAATTTTGACTCTTTCCTTTAAAGCAGATATTTTATTTTATTACATCTTGATGTACATTGAGGAAGGTTGAAGTGAACTGGTGGCTTTGATAGTATGTGACTAGTTTTCTTACAAAATCTGACATATTTAATTCTGAAAAATTGTTGAATTCGAGAAAAAATTGGTTTGTTTGTACATAAATATATTTTTTATTTATTTTCAACGCCCTTATTGTAAATATCAAAAGAAGAGATAGAAAGCATGTCTAATAAATTGCATATCAGGTAAATAAATAAATACTACCTTGTTTACACTCGTTAAAGGAAAAAAAAAGGTACTAAATAATACAAAATCTTATTAGTTACAATCAAATCCATGAATCTATCCGTGAGTCTGTAGATCGTTTTCATATCAATGAAGACTTCAAACCCGATCTTATGATTGCTATTGGCGGTGGTGGTTTCATCCCTGCTCGTATCCTTCGTACCTTTCTCAAGAAGACAAGCCGAGGTAATATCCCCATTCAAGCTATTGGCCTCTCTCTTTATGAAGAGTTAGCCAATGCTAATGGCGAAGAAAAGCCCGGTACCCAAGTCCAAAAGACTCAATGGCTTAATTTTGGTGCTTCTCATTCTGAGATTTCTCTCTTGGGCCGCCGTATCTTGATTGTTGATGAAGTCGATGATACTCGTACTACTTTAGCATTTGCTGTCGAAGAACTCCAAAAGGATATTGAAGCTGAAGAAATTCGTAAAGGTATGAAGCCCGGTGAATCAAACACTGTCTTGGGCATCTTTGTTCTTCATAACAAGCTCAAGCCCAAGAAGCGTGATTTACCTGAGGAAATTAAAAAGAATTATTTTGCTGCTGTTGAGATGCCTGATCAATGGTTGGTTTATCCTTGGGATGCCCATGATATTGAGACTCATACTGAGTTAGCTAACAACCACCAATAACTGATTATCAATTTTTTTTTCTTCTGTCTTTCTTCCCTCTCTCCTCTTTTTTTTTTTTCTGTATTTATAGACTTCTTAATGTACATACTCTTCAAAGTTTTTGAGGCAAAAAAAAAAAAAAAATTTATAGATTAGCATAAAATAAAATTAGAACTGACACAATTGTCATAAAAAAGTGACGGTTTAATTGATATATTTAGATTATTGATCTGAGCTTCTCTTTATATTTTGTAAACAAATATATTTCTAGACCTACATGATTAAACATTGAGTCAAAAGTCAAGCATTTGTTAGAGATAAAAAAAAAAAAAAAGGATAAGAATGATGCGTATCCAGTTTTTTGCAATTCTTCACCTAGAACTGTTCTAGTTTCTGCAATAATTATTTTACAAAGACCATCATCTGTAGTAAGACAGTCTTTCTCAACTTTTGACCAGGGCAATGTATTAAAATTCAAAAAAATGGTAAGAAGGTAATGTGGCAAGTATATGGCTTTATATTCTTATAAGTTAATCAAGCTTTTTCAAACTTCAGAAACGTTATGAATAGTAGCGTTGCCATCCATAATGAGATATTACCCCCCTCCCCTTATGTTACACTGATCTAGAATATCTATGATACTGCTCAAAAACTTTAAGAAATGCTCACTACGAATACCGACTTTAGCATTTACTTCAACATCATCAGTCTTGTCTTTTCCTCTCATTCTCATTTTTTTCTTTTAATCCAATTCCCTTTTTTCTATACAGTCTTTGATTTACGAAAAAGTTTTTTTTTTCTTAAAAAAAGAATGTTGATCCATTAAAAGCGGAAATTAGTAGTGCTCATTGTCATTCTTTTCTTTTCACATTACTAAACACTATAAATGCTCAAATGACATAGTAGTTAAAGGGAAACAATGGAATTGCATTTTAAAATAGTATATCCTTAACTAGTATAGCGATTATAAAACATCACTAAATTGTAAAAAGGAATATGAAGATTAAAAATAGAGAAGCTGGAAAAAAAAAACATGTTTTCTTTTTTCTTCTAAAACTTTATTCATAATATACAAATGATAAACAAATATATTCTTTCACAAATGATAATATTACTTTTATAGTGCAATTTAGATACCACGACCACCAGTGACTTCAAGGGTATGACCGGTAATATAGCTTGTTAATGGGGTACAGAGACTCATGACAGAAAGAGCAACTTCTTCAGTGTTGCCAGAACGACCTAAAGGAATATCAGCATAAGGATTAATAGTGCCAGCGCCCTTGTGGCCAGTAGGAATACCAAGAGTCACTTTTTGGCCCTCCACCTCTATAGAAGCACCAGCTTCCTTGGCACGTGTTAAACGTGTATCAACCCAGCCAAAGGCAACAGTATTACAACGAACGCCAAACATACCCCATTCCTTTGCAATTGTTTTGGTTAAACCAACGATACCAGCTTTAGCTGTAGCATAGTTGACTTGACCAACATTACCGTGAAGACCTGAGGTAGAAGAGATATTAACAATGGTTTTATTCTCACCATCCTTCTTTCGAAGGTATTTAGCAGCAGCACGAATGATCTTGAAAGGGGCTGTGTTATGGACAGCAAGCATCAAGTCCCATTGTTTGTCAGTGATTTTATGAATCATACCATCAAAGGTAAAACCAGCATTGTTAACGATATGATTGATCTTGCCATAAGTCTTAACAGTTTCTTCAATTAAACGTTCAGGAAAAGTGGGATCAAGGATATCACCAGGAATGGAGATGGCTTTGAGACCAGCAGCATTAATATCAGAAGCAACTTGATTAGACTTGGCTATTCATTTTTTTTTAAGGTTTAGTACACACCGCTTTTAATAATGCATTCAAGTTTTTTTACTATTTACCAGCATCAATATCAGTAACTACAACAAGGGCACCTTCACGAGCAAAAACCTCAGCACAGCTCTTGCCAATACCCTGACTAATAATCCAAGAAAAAAAATACACATAATTAATATATCATAAAAGGCTTCTTTTCTCTCTCTCTCTTTTTTTTTATTATTTACCCAGAGCCAGTAATAATAGCAACTTCACCAGCTAATAGACCTTTAGGGAAATTACCAGATAAATGTCCTTTAATGGTATTCAAACGATCAGTAGCAGACATTATAATTAATAATAAAGAATATGGAGAGGAAGAAATAAAAGAAGACAAACTTTAGTTTAATTCTATATAGTAAGCAAAAATCAAATCCAACCAGTCACCTTTTTTTTGTGTAATACGTGTGAAAAAATACTAAGAAAGCATAATAAATTTTTAGTCATTTAAAATTGTTAACTACACATGAGCGCTTTTTTAAAATTGAGGCTAGAAATAAAAAATTCAAATAGGGTTATTTTTCTTTGGAAAATAGGGAGGGGGGGGAGGAGGGGGTTTATCAAATCAAATCTATCAATAATAAGACACCTATTAAGCGCTGTTAATAATGTCTCCTTTATGTAATACTTTTGTATCTGAAATGATATTATAGAGTAGATTTTATTAGCTAAAATGTTAAAAAAAAAGAGAAGGCACTTATACAAACAATCGCTTTAAAAATAAAAAAGTGAGATATCCAAGGAGATCAAACTTACTGATCATAGTCAATACTTAATTTCGCATTTTTTTCTCTGAATTATTTATCTGATCTTCTATTGTCTCACAAAAAAAATGCGGATACAAAATTTATGCTACTATCTACTGCTATTTTCTACTAATCTATTCTATGCCCCGATATTTATAGATTAGTATTTCAAAAAAAAAAAAAAAAGATAATTAAAAGTTATTATGCATGCTAAAACAATACCTTGTTGTAGGCAGTCTAGTAGTTTGGTATATTGAGAATTTTTATTTTGATTTTATTTTTTCTATTAGTAAATTGATAGTTTAGAATATTTTATTAATTTCAAGTAATAAGCAGCATGAAACTAAAGTACGGTAGTTTTAACTCTACAAGCTAATTTTATAAAATGATTGTTTAGAAAATTAATCCAGAGATTACAAGGAATAAAACTTGAGTGCAGTAATCCAAAGGTTTCATCAAATTAGCCTATTAACATTTTAGGAAACTATATTAAACGCGTAAGGTAGTTTTATTAAACCATCCCATTTCTCAAAATAGATGAATATTAACTTTATACCATGTTACTATCTTGTTGCATTTAAAGGGAGTAAACCAATTAAACTAGACCTTTTTATTCTAACTATATTTACGTTTTTTTAAATTTAATTTATTACACTCTAAAAAAAAAAAAAGCAAGCGTTAAACAAGCCAATCCAATGACGCGAATATATTTTCTTAAAAGTTAAAGATGCTGTCAACTTATCAATATTAAAAAATATTTTTATATTGAAAGCAACATTTTAATATTCACATATTACAACACAGTTTATTTGTTAGTAACTAAGTGGATATATATACATGTATATTTTTTTTTGATTGGTTATATTTATATTTGTAATAGCCGTATATTTTTTAGCTGAGGTTGAAATGTAACAACCTTATTGAAGTATCAGTTCATAGTACCTCAAACAAGAGGTAAAACCTGCTGCTAGAAAGAAAATTTAATTGGCTCTGTAACGATTATAAATATTTTTGATTTTTTGAACTTATTAATTCATTTTTATTTATTTATTTATTTTCTTATATTAGCAGAAAAAAAAAGAAAACACAACTAAAAATGGATGCTCCTCGTCAAGCCACTTTAGAAAGAAAAACGAATGAAACAGATATTAAAGTTTCTATTAATCTTGATGATAAATTTGATCAAAAGATCAATGTCAACACTGGTATTGGTTTTCTTGATCATGTAAATATATGCCATAAAAAGTAAAACCAATAATCTAACTTTATTTTATTCACTTTGTATAGATGCTTCATGCTCTTGCTAAGCATGGTGGCTGGTCATTAGATATTAGTTGTAAGGGCGATCTTTGGATTGATGATCATCATTCGGCTGAAGATTGTGGCATTGCCCTTGGTATGGCTTTCAAACAAGCCCTTGGTACCCCTCGAGGCATTAAACGTTTTGGTTCTGCATTTTGCCCCTTAGATGAGGTAGTTATATAAAAGTTGTTTATCATTATCATGTCATGTTAATTTCTCCTCCTCCTTTTCCCCCCTGCTTTTTCTTACGTAGGCACTTGCTAGAGCTGTTGTAGATATCTCGGGTCGTCCTCATGCTGATATTAACTTGGAGTTAAAACGTGAAATGATTGGTCAATTATCTACTGAAATGATTCCTCACGTCATGGAATCCTTTGCTTTTGCTGCTGGTATTACACTCCATGTTGATGTTTTAAAGGGTAAAAATGATCATCATAAGTCTGAAGCAGCTTTCAAATCTTTGGCTGTTGCTCTTCGTGAAGCTATTACTAGAACAGGCACAAACGATGTTCCTTCAACAAAGGGTGTTTTGTAATTAATTATTATAATTTCTTTTTGTTTGTATTTATATTCATTTTCCAAAGATGTTCTTTTTATTGTATAATAAAGCATTAGATATTTTTTTTTATTAAAGAATTTCCCATTTTTTTCTTCTTTTTTTTTCTTTTTCTTTTTTTTTTTTTTCCAAAAAAAAAGGGATAGATTGATTAGCCAATAACATAATCATCAGTAGCCAATAATACTTCCTTTGAAAAGGAAGCATCTGAATGAGTTTCAGTATTAGTAATAGTTAATACATCAACACCACAAACTAGTTTATCGCTCACAAAGGATACTGAAACTGGGAAGAAACTATTAACATCATCACCAGGGATATTGCATTCTAATAAACCAGATTTATTTGAGTTGTTGATTACAGGAAGTTGCCATTCAAGAACTTTTCTAGATCGATCAACAAAATAACTTCCATCTACTTGTGTCACTTCTGCTGTTGGTTCAGTACTATGTACAAAAAAAAAAGTCAGAATACATATGCTGTTTAACATATTTTTACTTACGGTAAAGGAATATAAATAATAACATCACGTAATTCTAACTCATCATTTTCTAATTCATATTCCACATTAACATCGCAAGTACCATTTCCGGCTGGTGATGGCCAGCATGTAACTAAATAAAAAAAAAATAATAATAATAAATATTTATATATATAAAACGATTTCTCCCCCCTTTTTTTTTACCTGTTAAAGGCACCATAGTTTCATCACGAGTAGATAATTTCCATTTTACAACTTCCAAACTTTGATTTGTAGGGAATGGTCGAGATAAATCTCTCATTTGAACAACATGTCTTTCCTTCCAAGCATTCTTGTCTACATTAGGATGTGTCTTGAATTGAATAGAAGCATCATCGCTTGTCTTCAAACCAAGACTGATACGTGCAGCTGAAGAATCAGAAATCTTTAATGTCAAAATACCTTTTACGTCCATCTGTTCTAGACCACCATCTTTGTTAGCAATAAGTGTTATACGTTCTTCAATATCAACATGAACACTAAATGACACAATAAATATTTTGATTATTTTATCAATAAATTATTGATTGCTTACCTTTCATGATGCTGTCTAGTAGAGCTTTGGTTGTTGTAAGAAAGTGATGAATTCAAAAGAGGTTCTTCAACGTCAGGCTTAATAGCTTCAAATAAATCGGCAGCTTTAGGCTTACGACCTAATTGCATACCTTTAGCCTTAGAAGCTGAGCTAGGTACATTTGAAGAAGAACGACTATATATAATACAAATTAGTAAAATTTATACATATTTTATATTATTATTACCTGTAAGATGAAGGAGATTCTCTCATAGAGGGTACAGATTCTGTAGAAGGAGAGTATCCTCCTCCCATGTAACCGCTCATATTACTGCTAGAATTAAAGTTGCCCTGCATGAATCCTTGACCACGCTTTTGAGCTTCTTTTCTTTGCATCTCAAATTGCTTAGCTCTTCTCTTAAGTTCTTCCTTAGCTTCTTGTTCTTTATTCTGAGGAAAAAAAAAAGAAATACAATGAGTTACTTTTCTTTTTTTCACCCTACTCTATCCATGTATATGCATCCTCTTACCTTGGCAATAATTTCTTGAATTCTTTCTTCATGACTTTCCATTTCAATAGAACTTTTAACTTGAGATAAGTTAACATTTTCTCTATAGCCAACTGAAATAATTTCATCAAAAGCGCATAATAGCTCAAAAGCATTACGAAGAATATGTGTTTCATCACAAGAACGACAAATGTCAGTGACAACACGAGCAAACAAATGAAGGGATTCAATATCTTGTAAAATATTGGACTAATAGAGAATAAATGAAATTTTCAATATTTTTCTTATTGTTATTATTATTGTTTACCTGACGGTTTGTGATTAAAACCATAAACAAGTCATCTAAAGGCTGGTAAACAAAACGAACATGTTCAGTCTCCACAGTAGTATGTTGCTGACCCGTACTTGTCAACTTTGGAAAAGAAGCCAAAAGTCCTTCAATACGAGAACGTTGCATCTCATGGAATTGTCGAGAAATAACAGCTATGAAAAAGAGAGATGAGTTCACATTTGTACCTTTTTTTTTTTTTTTTTATTTTGTATTGTTTACAATTGATGTATCATCTACCTTTCCCACTTTTAGTAACGACGGCAGCAGCTAATACAACCTTTTTTTTTAATAATAACTTGGTTAATTTTTTATTTATTTCTTTCATCTATTAATGTACCATTTTATTCTATAATTATAATTATTTTTGTTTTATTTTTTTATTTTTATTTTTTACTGAAGAGAGAATAGTTGAGATAGCGACGCGAAATTGAATTGAATTGAATTAATTATAATTGCTGCTGTTGGTTAAGTTTGATAAGCTATTTTTATTCGCTCTCTCATTTAAAGTCACTTGGAGCAAATTCTTTCCTCAAATGATTTTTTTTTTTATATTTTTATAAATTTAATCATATACAGAGTAAAATTAGATAAAATAGAGACAAGGAGCTGTTAGTAGATTTTAGATTAGGATACCTTTCAGCCTCATCATGTCTCTTTTAAGAGCTTTATTAGTAAAGACTACATGAGATACTGTCTCCTTCTTTTCTGTAAATTTTGTTGATTATTATTTACTAGATGTAATAATAATCAATAAATCATCATCAGGGCTTTTATACTATTTTTTTTTTTTTGTTAAATATATTTGGTTGTACCTATTATCGACACATTTACTATTCCTTAGTAATCATGAGTAGACATTAGTAGTATAAATAAAAATGATATTTAGCTTTGCTAGAATTGTAAAAAATTAAATAGGGTAACTTGTATTAAAATAATATATCAAGACTTTATATAGCATTTACTAGTAGAGTATCCGTGTTCAATCTTAGTTATGCCGCTCTCATTCTTTGAAGTCTACAATTTTTTTCTTTCTCAAACTACTGTAAGCGTTCAGTAAGAGGATAATGCCTATTTTCTTATTTGATATTCAAAGATGTTATACAACTGTGAAGACACCTTTTTCGTCTTAGCTTCAAGAAAAGGTAGATCTTTCTATTTGCATCCTCCTCCTTTTCCTTTCAATTCAAAATCCTTTGACTAAAAATTATAATTTTACATAGAACATCTTTTTTGACTTTATCCATAAATCGAAAATCGAATGTATCTTCATTAAACTGACAATTAAAATTTATGATATATCTTCTATATTGTTTAGAGAAGGGGAGGGGAAAAAAAAAAGATATTTACGGGTCAAGCAGGCTTTATTTTAATATTTTGATTCAAGTAAAAATAACATACAATTAACATTCTTAATATGAATAAGTTTATATCACAAATTAAATTATATTAGGCTGTTCCTAGGACTTGTTTAAGTCTGTATAGATTAAACTCTTTATTAAAAAAAAAAGGATGACTATTAAAGATCAACAATTAAATATATAAGGCTTATTAGAAAAGATAACTTCTTACTGAAAATATCGAATGAATGATTACTTTTAGTCTAAAGATGTGATGATACAAGATATTTTCTTTTTTTCCTTCTTCTTTAACTGTGCGGATTAGAACAATGAAGTTCTACTGATTTTAGTTTTATTTAGTCTAGGAAAGTATTCAACTAGTTTAAAACGAGAATTTTAATATAAATAACCAATTATTTGGGATTTTGAATACGAGCACGCAGTGTTTGGTTATTATTTTGCTTAACAGAGAGCTGCTTGAAAAATTCATTACGGACAGTAGCTTCTTTAATACCGTTTGCTGTTCTTTTAATATCTTGCTCTTTACCATCTGTAATAGTTAGATGGCGTCTTTCTTTTCTACGAAGACTTTCGGGTTTATCAACAGCAGTTTGTTGTTCTTCTTCAGATGGATGACCTTGTATCTATATTCATTTATTATTATTATTACTAGAACTAAAATTTAATTCTAATCGACATACCTTTCTATTATGGCTTCTCTTATAATATTTAAGAAATTTACGGTGACCGAGCTTAAGACCGTTTTCTAAGGCAAGTTCATGATCTTTATCAATATCCATTGGATTTACTTCAGTAAAATCAAAGTGATAGTACTTTAATAATTCTTCTGGATCTTCACTTTCATCATAAGCCATTTTACAATGCCCGCGATCTAACATATGAGCTCGAACTGCAGCTGCTGATTGCCATTCTTTACCTCGACCATTACAATACAGACACAAATAATCCTTATTTATCTTGTTCGAAAGATATTGAATGAGTCCTTCCTTATCTTTCAAGTATTCTATATCAGGTAAAAAAAAGCCATGCGATTTTAACATATGACTAAGATTGGTATCGAAATCAGAATATTCCTCACAGCAAAATAGACAATCTAAGAGGGGATTTACAACTCTTGTTGTTCTTCTCCTTTGTTCGTTAGTAACGGGGTTTTCATCCATTTTATTAAAAGCCATTTCAGTGTCTTCATCATTTATTGCCTTTTGTTGTAATTCAATATGCTTCCTTGATTGAATGTGATTATTAAAAGCATTTTCAGAGAAATAAGATTTTTTGCAAAGTTGACATTCATATACAAGACCTTGTTTTTCTAATTCTTCTCTATTTTGTGCTTGTTGTGCTATTCAATATTTAATGTTAAATAGCTGCGCCATTATTCAATACGTTCAAAAAAAAAAAAAAAAAAAAAAAAAAAAAAAAAAAAGAATAAACTTACATAGAACTTTTTGATTAAATTGTTCCGCAGTAACAGGCAATAAATTGGCAACTTTACGTTTTAAATTATATTTATGCCAACTAAGTAATAAAAACAAAAATTAGCTATTTTGTAATATTTATTCGACTCTGCTGCTTTGCTTATTACTTACTCAGTGCGATAATGGTTCCTTTGTCTTTCAGAGGTAGGAAAAGCTACTTGACAAGCAAGACATGTAAACATGGTAGTTTTATTTCCATTGTTGGGATTTGACTGATGAGTCTTGAAAGAAGGATTAAATTCAGTTAAGATAGTTGACATGTTTCCTTGTTTCTTATATTTATATCAAAGGAATTATAAAGAATATGGATGAGAGTAAAGAAAAAAAAATAAAATAAATAAATAAAAAAGCTAATTTCTGACAAATCCATCTTATGCAGAATGAGAAAGCAGTCACTTATGCTGGGTCCCAAAAGTTTACCAAGCTTTTAAGCGTAATCTTTGAACTTGTCAATAAATAATAATAAAAAAAAAGCTACGCAAAATATAATTTATATTTCGAAAATGTCAAGACAACCACCTTATAATAACAGTACAGATGACCAATTTAATTCTGAAATTGAAGCTATTGAAAATGCAATGAACTCAATGATGCAAGGGGCCTTTTCCATGATGTTTAAACAATTCATGGGGCCAAATAATAACATTATGGGTGACATATTTTCTGGGGCATTTGGCAATGATGAAACAACAACAACAACAACTACTACAACAACAGTTTTAGACGGTCAAAATCTTGATACTATTTTATTCGAAAAAGTGAATAATAATAACGATATGTATGGAGGAAGTGATTTTAAACGTTTAGCAAATAAGTCAAAACAAAATAGAACAGAGGAAATATCAAAAGATGAACAGACAGTCCTATTAAAGGATGATATGCTACCAATAAAAAGAATACGTCAGTTATCCTCAAATGAGGAGGATGTCAATACAAATCGTGTAAATACTATATTTGACCTCCTTTTTCAAACACCTTCCACCTTATTTAGCCGACTGCCATCATCATTCAGCAACAGCAATGAAAATGATAAAGTAAAGTTATACAAATATAAATTACATAATCTTGAATTAAACTAAAGAATTATTTGATACAGGAGAGTAACTGGTCATACAGTTCTACCTCAACAAGGACTATTTATAAGCCAGATGGCACTGAAGAAACTATTATAACCAAAAAATCAAATGGTATAACTGAAACTACTAGACAAATAAGATATCCTAATGGTCACAAAGAAGAAGAGACAAAAACTGAGCAAAAAGGGTCTCTTTGGAATAAATTTTCTGCTTATAAATTTTGGTGAGAAGGCTAAACCATTTAATTGTTTTACCTTAGTCTTCTCAAAACTTATATTAAGTAAGCATCATTACTAAATTTAGTATTTACCTGTAAGCGGAGATTACGCTTTAGCACTATTTATGCGATTATTATCACCGAAATAAAAATTTGCTTTTTTTTTTTCATAATATTCAATCAAGTAAAATGTTAGATAAAAACGATCCTTCTACATTCAATCATCAATATGTTCAAGTAAATGGCATTCGTATGCATTATATTGATGAGAACTCTACTTCTGATAAAGCTTTATTACTTATTCATGGTTGGCCTGACCTGTAAGTTATTTAAACTACTTTATTTTTTTTTATTTTATTTATTTATTTATTTTTTTTTTTATATAATTAACTATTCCTTGTAAAGTTGGCTTGGCTGGAGAGAACAAATCCCTTTCCTTGTAGAACTTGGATACCGTGTTATTGTACCTTCTTTACGTGGCTTTGGGGAAACTGTAAACTTACTTTGTTTCTTTTTATTATTATTATTAACACAAATATTTCACAGATTGTAATTAACTATTTATTATTTTAGGATGCACCTGAAGATCCTGCTAAATATGGTTTTGCTACAGTTTCCAAGGATTTGGTTGATCTTTTGGATCATCTTGAAATTCCTACTGTTACTGTTATTGGTCATGATTGGGGAGGAATGGTTACATGGCGTTTTGGCCAGTTCTATCCTAATCGAGTAAAGGCATTAGCTAGCTTCTGTACACCTTACGTCCCACCTGCTAAACAAGAAGTGACACTTGAACAAATTGTTCAAGTTTTACCTAATTTTAAATACCAACTCTATCTCTGTACACCAGAGGCTGAAAAGGATATTAACAATAATGTCGCCAAGTTTTTCCATCGTATTTTCCGTACCATTGATGAGATGGGTAACGAACGTTTGATTGATCCTGAAACACATTCTTTGGCTGAAGGTCGAGAAGATGTTCCTCGCAGCCAACATGTCTCTGAAAAGGTCATGGATTACTATGTCGAATGGTATAAGAAACGTGGCGCACGTGGTGGATTAAACTGGTATAAGCAAACACATAATAACTTTGTTCAATGTAAGGATTTGGATCCTATCATCAGAAAGCCCTCCATGATGGTTGTTGCTGAGCTCGATAAGGCCTTACCTCCTTCCATGGCTCAAAATATGCCTAACTACATACCTGGTGTTGAAATCAATTTTGTTGCTGGATCTGGTCATTGGATCTTATGGGAGAAGCCCTCTGAATGTAATCAATATTTGAAAAACTTCCTTTCACGAATTGATTCTGCCAACAAACTGTAAACAATTATTTTTCATTATATATATCAATAAAACAAATACTTTTTTTGTTTTAAAAAATACTGATTCCTAATGGAGAATAACTTATGTTTATTATATGTTAAATATGTAATATATATACATATATATATATATATGTATGTATGTATATACGTATGTATGTATGTATGTATGTATATATTTTTTTTTCCATTTTATTTTACAAGTCTAATGAAGATGAAATCATAGCACCAGCAGCAAGACATAGGTTACGCTGTGTAAATTGTACAGTATAAATGGGTGTGTTTTTAGTTGGAAATACAGACAAATGATCATTACTAAATAGGATAAATGTGTTAAATAGATGTTTTGTATAGATAAATTTTAAACATTACCTTTCTAATCCATTTTTCTTTCGTTTATTATTATTATTATCGCTTGAATCATTGTTATTTGCTAATTTTATTTTCTCGGCTTCTTTTTTACTATCCTTTTGTTGCTGTTGCTTTCCATTTGATTTATCGTATTTAGTACGCTTTTTTGAATTCGATTCTTCAGAATAATAAGTATTTTGATAAGGTGTATCTTTATTTACATCCCAGACACGTACAGTTCCATCCCCACTTCCAGATACCAAGACTGTACTATCTGAACTAAAACTTAAAGAATAAATAAACCCAGTATGACCTGTCATTGCTTTTAGTTTTTTGCCTGTGCCTAAATCCCATAATAGAATACTTTGATCCTCTCCACCGGATGCCATTAATCGGCCATTAGGTGATATAGCTACAGAATGTATTGATCCTGTATGTCCTGTAAAAACACGCACACATGTGCCTCTTTGTACATCCCACAATCGTGCTGTCTTATCACTGGATCCTGTTACCACATATTTTGAATTTGGGTGAAATCTCACAGTCTAAAAAAAAAAAATAGGCAGCTATTAATTTACTTTTCTATATTATTCATATTTGAACTTTACATTCACATCAGAAAGATGACCAGCAAATATACGTAAAGGATCAATATGATCACAACTCCATAATCTTGCAGTTTTATCATGAGATGCTGTTGCAAAATAAAACCCATAAGGTCCAAAATCTACATCCCAAATAGGATAGTTATGGCTTTTATAACACACAAGATTTGTAAATGTATCTAAACTCCATAATCGAACTATACATACATGCATGCATACATACATACATATGAAAATGAATAAGTTTATATGTATGTATCTTTATGTAGCTTACCAGTTTGATCCTCTGAACACGAAATAAGATATTGGTTATCATGACTAAAGCTTACACCATACACAGGTCCTGAATGTCCTATTAACTTTTTATACTTTGTTCCCGGTTCATCTGCTTCTCTTTCTTTTTTACTCTGCAGCTTCTTTCCTTTCAAACTCCATATCTTAATAAATGATTCAGAGAAACCACAGGCTATTAAGGTTGTATCTTCTGATATAGTTATACAATTTAACCTATAAATAATATGTTTGCTTAGACATAATATTCCAAAATACTACTTGTAATACTTTTTTTTTTTTTGTTCTTTTCCTTACATATCATGCGTGTTATAAAATGTATAAATACAAACACTAGGCAATGCTGCGCTCCCCAATGACACTCGTTTTCTTAAATCACTTAGCGAATCTAATTCTGCTTGAATATCTGCTCCACGACTAAAAAAATAAAAATAAAAATAGGATATTTAAAAATTCGAATAAACATGATCATTATTATTAATCCCTTACAAAGAAACTGTAGCTGTTTGATCAATATCCATTTGATGATCTATTAAACTTTGTTCTTTTTCTTCTTTTTTTATTGTATGCATAGTGTCAGTGTCATCGTTCTAGATATATACCAAATAAATAAATATTGATATAATATAATATGATATATAATATACACTACTGTAATGTTTTCATTCCTATATCTCGCTACCTTATCATCTATTTGCAAATGCGCCGTTGTTATCGAACCCATTTGTTGGTTATGCTCATTGATTACAATTCCTTCTTTTTTTCCCGATGATCCGCCTGCAGATGCCGGTGACGATTTGCTAGTAGCAAGATGTATATGAAAATGTTGATTGACAATTCTTATTAGTCTCATAAATCTATTCTCTTGGATATAGTGAAAAAACAATTCAAACGGAATAGATGCCATATGAATGTGATACTTGTTGTTAAGGTATAGAATAGCTGTCGTATTATTTTCGACATCATCTGTTGTTTTGATCATTTCTAGTGATTCAATCTCTTTACCGTGTTTTTCAATGTGCTCATATTTATATTTTTGAAAGAAATCAAGCCCTAAAATAATATAAAGTTTAGAATTATATTAATGTTATAATGAAGAGTATAAAATATACCATAGTTAACTAGTCCTATTGAGATGAAATCAAGAAATGTGTGAACAAACATAGGATAAAGTACTAACATTAGATCACTCTAATGTTGAAGAACATTAAAAATCAATCAAGTATAAAAAAAATAAAATAAAGATTAATGTTAGATTTATAATTTGTTTTGTACCCTATATAAATCAAGCGCATTAAATATCCATTCTCTTAAGTTTTCATAGCCATGTAACAAAGTGTCAAGATCGTTCTCTTCTGGATCTTGATTTATTAGTCTAATGTATTCTGGTAATGAAGATATATCTGTATTTAGAGATGTTGAATCTAAGAACTTTTTATTAAGCTGTTTTAATGAAAGGATATTATGCTCAGATAGTGTATCTTGTTGTTGTATAAACGCGAGTTCTCCTGGAGTGTATCCTTTTTTATAAAAGTAATTTTGAAGAATTTGATTTACATTTGCAGTTGATGTCATGTGCCTATTTATATTTTTAACTGACGATTCCTCTTGATGAGAAGGTATCGACATATTTATACAATAATATATGTATATTTATGTTTATAATTTGGTTTGTTTATTAAATAAGAATAAGAAGAGAAAGAGGGAAGAAAAAAAAAAAAAAAAGTATTACTTCAAATTTAGACAACTGGCCAATAACTAACACATTATTTTCGGTTTAAATTCAGATGATTTGAATCCCTTTCTTAGGTAAATTGTTTTATCATTCAAATATAGGCAAACCTGCCGTATTTTATTTAGTTGATTTTTGGGAGTAATTAAACTTCAAGTACTTCAGCAATAAATTGATCTCAGTAAGTCTTTCTTATATTAAGTCTAGATCTAACTATGCTCTGTAACTATTGAATTTCAATCTTCAGTGATAGGAGAAGTTATAAGTACAAGTTTTGATAATAAAAAAAAAAACGTGCTACTTGTTACTCTTAAAGACTGATCAATGGCGTCAGTTTCTCAATACTTATTTACACTCTATGAATATAAGTTGAATGCCCCTGGTAATGAAAAAAAAATGAATAACTAACTTTTTATATCCATATATTGAATTCACAAATTACAGTTAAATTATGAAGACTGTTTAGAGATCAATAACCTATCAAACTATCTTTGGCTTATGTCAATTATAAGATATAAACAATTATAGTTCCCTTTTATAGTAGCTGTTCAACTTTAATAGATTCAAACAAAATATTATTCCATCATATAAGTAATATTTATGATAATTTCTTTTATGCACATTTTTTTTGTAAGTCATCAATTCTATCAGTGGCGGCTCTGGAAGTGCATTATTTAGTTGGTGTGAAACAAAATGGAATGTATCTGTAACAAACACATAGATCAATTATAAGCTGAACTGCTAGAATGATTTTTTTTTAAGAAACATTATAAAACTATAGTATATACTGATATAATACCAAAAAAAAGAAAAGAGCTTTTGATCATTGCCTGAAATATGAAAGGAGACTGTACTACGGTTGTAGAGAGCTGTAATAGTTGTATTTTCCTTGACAAACTAGATTTATACTGATCTGGCTAAATTAGTAAGTATACATTATTATGAAATACATTTATCTTCCAGTTCAACAGCTCTAAACGAAATAAAAGTAATATGTAAGTACTACTATTATCAATTTATCTATTGAGGAATATTCTGTCTAGTTTATACATTTATTGAATTCAAAACAGATGATACAGCATAAGTAATTGCATTGAGAATTGTATTTAAACTGCTCTCTGCCTTTACTGCTATTAACTGTTATTTCATCTTCATATATCAAATCTTTTATATCATCATACAAAATATCCAGCTAAAATAATTATTATAGTTGATTTAAATATAATTTGCCTTTCAATGCACAAAGCTGCTTTCGTTTACAATTTGGAATAAAGTATATTTAAAAAAAAAAGGATGCTTAAGTAGGATGTAATAAAATAGAATAAAGGAAAAAAAGATCCAATTTCAAAGTAAATAAAGAGTAACATAACGACCTTAATATTGAACTTTTCCGTATCTTCCTTGTTTGTAACAAGAATTAGATTTTCTAGATAAGATATAGAAATGTAGTGACTATAATTTTTTTCTTAGAATTAACAGCCTCTTTTCTTCGTTTAACTTTTAATTTCTTTAATACTGCTGTATATCATCATTATTTAAACCTACTTTTGATTTATCAGAAAATAACAGGAAATTATCTAATTTTAAACTAGAAATACTTCAAAGCATAATTTGCCATCATTACTGCGATAACCCAAGTAAAAAAAAATCCTTAATTAACAGCTTCTCTTTCATCTCTCTATAAGAGTATTATTATTATTATTATTACATTTCTTTCTTCTTTTTATCTTTGTCCCTATCAATCCAAGAAGTTTTGATTTAAGTACTAACTTGAGCTTAAAGAAAAAAACATTCTATTTAGTATCGTCTATTTAAAACTACGACTTTGACGTCACTTTCTATTAATTTTTTCGTGTGTGTAGCTCTTTTTTTTTTTTTTTTAATTAATATTCCTCTTTTATTTTACTCTATTACATATACATATATTTTTCCTGATCAGTAATGGCAGATACACAATTAGAGGAGCACACACATTTATCATACGCCCTTTCTCAATTAATAGAACATGGAGATCAAATTGAGCATCAAAATAATTTGATGAAAATTGAACCACAGGAGGATGTAATAAAGATTAACCAACAATTTGACAGCATTGATGCCATTCGCCAAGCAGCCATTCGTTATGCAAGACAAAACAGGTTTGCAGTATCTACTTTACGTAGTGGGGCAAGACAGCTTGTTTTAGTTTGTAAGCATTCTGGAAAGTATCGTGAAACAAAAAGTAAAACAGTTGAAAAGCCTCTATCGTCACCACCACCACCAGCACCAGCACCAGCACCAGCAACAACAACAACAACAGAGAGGATGTCTGCAAATAGTGTGCAAAATGGAGAAATTGCTACAATTATAGAAAATGGAATAGAAGTTCAACCACAACAGCAGCAGCAGCAATCGGGACAAGTGCAAAAGAAACAAACTCGTAAAAAATTAAGTCAAAAAATTCAATGTCCTTTCCAGATAAGGGCTAAACCACTAGGTGGTCGTTGGATCATATATAAGATTGTTGACGATCATAATCACGAAATGGCTACTGACATAAGAGCCTATGCACAACATCGAAAACTGACTGAAGAAACAAAAAAGATGATTATTGATCTCATGCATCTTGGCACATCTAATGCAAAAATTATGGAGCATCTTCTACTACAAGGCATAGAAAACGTTCTTAAAAAGGATATTGCTAATTTAAGACAAGCTCATTTTAGTAATAAATCAACGGCTGTTAAGCGAGAAACAAAGCTTGAATAATAACAAATAGTATTACTGCTAGCAGCAACAAAAAAAAAAAAAAAAAAAAAAAAAAAAAAAAAAAACTTTATACCAGTAAATCAAATAACCCAATCCATTTGAACATAGTGATTATTAGAAGAGAAACAATTTTGATATTGTCTTTGCAATATTGTAGTATATTTTATTATGAATTCAACATAAAATAAAATTATTATTTTTTTTTTTTTTTTTAATTTCTATCCGTTTTGGATTTTACGTTGTCGTCTATATCATTTTCGGGGAAATCTGGCGGCGCCTCTATAGACTATAATATATTCATGTATATATATGCATTAGTAAATTTTTTATTAATATGGATAGATGCACTATTAATTATTATTACCTCAGGAGAAGGTTTTCTAACGTATTTATCATATACACTATGCTCTTTAAAAGGTCTTTTACCTAATAACCTTTCCATATCTTCACGAGTCAAGACTTCCTTTTCTAGTAATAATTTAGCAATCTTTTCAATGTCATTCTTCTTTTCTGTTAATAACTTTAATGTACGAGTAAAAGCTTCATTAACCAATTTACGAGCTTCAGTATCGATTATTGTACCTGTTTCTTCAGAAAAGGGCTTTTGGAATTTTTGTTCGCCAGAAGGATCTGTAAAAGAAATAGGCCCAACCTTTTCATTCATACCATAGGCTGTTACTTGAGCATATGCAATCTTGGTCACTTTTTGAAGATCATCTTGTGCGCCTGTTGTGATGGTATCGAAAAAGATATGTTCAGATACACGACCACCTAGAGTCATACACATACGATCAAGTAATTGCTTCTTGGAATACAGATATTGATCTTTAGGTAAATATTGTGCGTAACCTAGTGCAGCTGAGCCACGAGGAATGATAGATACTTTTAAAAGAGGATCTGCATGTTCAAGAAACCAACCAGCAACAGCATGACCAGCTTCATGATAGGCCACCGTTTTTTTCTCTTCAGGGGATAAAACACGAGATTTCTTTTCGAGACCAGCAATAACACGCTCAATAGCGTCTTCGAAATCAACTTCCTCTACTTCTGCTTTAACACGACGAGCGGCAATTAAAGCTGCTTCATTACAAACGTTATGAATATCTGCACCTGCAAATCCTGGTGTTAAAGCGGCTAGTTTATGAGCTAAGGTTTTTTTGTCTATGGTTGTCTTGATTGGCTTTAAATGTACTTCAAAAATTTGAGCCCGACCACTAATATCAGGTCGATCAATTGTGATATGACGATCGAAACGACCTGGTCTTAACAAAGCAGGATCTAAGACGTCTGGCCGATTCGTACCTGCTAAAACAACAACATGTTGATTTGAATCAAACCCATCCATTTCGACTAATAATTGGTTCAAGGTACTTTCTCTTTCATCATTTCCGCCCATCTGTCCACCTTTACCTCTTGCTTTACCAATTGCATCAATTTCATCTACAAATATAATACAAGGTGAGTTCTTTTTGGCAGTCGCAAAAAGATCTCGAACACGAGAGGGACCAACGCCGACAAACATTTCAATAAATTCTGAACCAGAGACACTAAAGAAAGGAACACCTGCTTCACCTGCAGTGGCTTTAGCTAAAAGAGTTTTACCAGTACCGGGAGGACCTGATAGAATGGCACCCTTTGGGATTGTAGCGCCTAGCTTTTCATAAATGGTAGGGTTTTTCAAAAAATTAACAAATTCCATAATTTCAACTTTAGCCTCATCTGCACCTGCTACATCTTTAAACGTGATTTTGACTTTATTCTCTTGATTAAACATCTTTGCTCTACTTTTACCAATCCCAAAGATACCATTTTGTGAGCCCCCAATTCCAGCAGGACCCTTTTTTGTTATATAATAAATCATACCAATTAAAAGTAAAGTGGGTGTAAAATGTAACAAGGTTTGTGTTATGCTAACTTCATCATGATAAGCTATTGGGATACGTTCGTTTAATGGAATACCCAGTTCATTCTGTGCTTTATCCAGATTACGTTCAAATGCATCCACAGATCCTATTGAAAAATAATAACTCATACGAGGAGATACACCTAGTGAATTTGCTTCGTGTCTTAAATAAACTCGTACTCGATTACGATTCACAACTTCAAGTTTGTCCACTAAGCCTTTATCCAATAAGTTTGTACGAAATGCTTGCCATGTAAGCTCTTGCGAATCATCAGTAGGTGATGTCATTTGGTAAAGAAGATAAGTACCCAAAATGGTACCTAAAATGAAATTAGCATTTGGCTTTTCCGGTAACTGTTGTTTAGGATCAGTATTTTTATTATGAGGTATCTTTTCCGTATTTGTTTGTCGTGTTGTTGTATTTGGTCTACCCTTTGACTTGTTGAAGAAACTCTCAAATCCTTTTGGTACATTAAAAGGCTCTTTTTCATTTGTTGAATGATGTGATTTTTTATTAGTTGAATATAAACGAATAGTTGAATTACATTTTAGTAATGAAGCATTGTTGTCATGAACTTGAAGTATATTAGTTTTTTTATTACGAAAACTATATTGAATGACATACTTCTTAGTTGAATTGGTAATATTCAATCGTGATAACATAATATTTATTTATTTATTTATTTTTTTTTTTTTTTTTTTTTTTTTTTAGAAAAATAAATAGAATAAACCATTTCCCCCAGAAATTATTTTATGCATTTTTTATAAATTTGTAAGACGTCGGGCTTTCTTTCCTATAAGGCTGTTATTTGCCATTACTGCTGCTTATGCAAATTGAATTTAACTGGTTAGATGTATATACTCACATAATACTTTGTTTTTTATTTCAAGTCCGTATATCATATATGAATTGCTTTATGAGCCTTTTGTAAAACGTAGTGAAAATGATGTGTTTATATATTTATGACCAATGTCTAGTTCAGCTTTAAATACAGAATTAAATATATTAATCTCTAATGTCTATTATTTGTTAATGAATCTTTTTTTTTTTTTTTGATCCATAATAAACAAAAAGAAAAGGAAATTTTGGAATGGAAACTGTATATTGAAACTAATAACTTGAACACTCTACCTCAAAATCTTCAAGGCTGCGCAATTTTCTTTTATGGTATTTGCCCTTCAGAAAGATTAAAATATTGCTTTTTTTCTTTTTTACAGTTTCACTTGATATAAATAGCTTTTATATTTTTATGTCAAATCAAATACATAGCTAGAGAAAGTGAGTCATAAGGAATGCTATTCGTGGTTAATAATGGGCAGCATAATTTTTATAGGCGTAAAAATAGTTATACAAGCACCTTATAAAGGCTTTTTTTTTTTTTTTGATATCCTGTTATTAACAAAATATGAGTATGGCTTATTTTAAGTCTACCACCATCAAAATACCTATCAAATTCAAACAATATATTTTAAATATAGCCTTGTCTGTGCTTTGAACTTATCAAAGAAAACTGTAAATAACCATAACTTTATTTGAAGTGGGCTTTCAATGCTGAACTAACTTCATCCAAAGACTGCAAAGTATTATAAAATAATTAGTTGTATTATATAATGTATTATCTGTGTTTACAAATTGTTTATCTATTAGATAAGCTTAATATCAAAGATTGAAAGATTAAGTATGGCAAGAAGAATCTAGGCTCCATATTAGAAGTTATTTAATGTTTCTATAAATGAATAATGACTTCCATTTCATATATTAAAACCCCTTTTTTTTGTTAGAATATTCGATGTTATCCATAAAGTTTTAATTCATAAAGATAATGCTCATATTACATTTGCTTTTCAACTTTAAGGCTTTTGAGAATGTGGACACTTATAGTAAAGCTAGCAAAACAGTGAGAGGCTCTGACTGAGGATTATCTAATTACTGAAGGAAGAGAAAGAAGAAGAGTATATGTAAATGTATTATTTAAGACATATTAACAGTCGAAAAGATTTTCCAACAGCATTAAAACATTTGACATAATGCTTTGTAAAATTCCTAAAACCTTTATCTCCATGATCATTAGATTCAAAAAAAAAAAAAAAAAAAAAAAAAAAAAAAAAAAAATTGATTTATAACTTGTTAAAACAGCTTTCCTCAAAATTACATAGTACAAATCTTTTTGATGATATACTTTTCAATTAAAGTAATATATACTTAAAGATACTGTATACTCATTTATTAAATTAAGATAGTTCCTTTTATCTGAGGAGGAAATATATATATGTATATATATATGTATGTATGCACTTTATTTACATATAGTACAAAAATACGTACGTTTCATATCTAAGGTTTAATGCATAAAGAGCATGCCAGAGCCTTCATAAACGGCTGCAATTTTTTGAATAGCATTAATATAAGCTGCAGCTCTAAAATCAACGTTCTTAAGTTGAGCAGTCTGTCTAGTTTCTTGACAAGCTTGAATCATAGTATCCTCAAGACCAGAATAAACAAGATCAGCTTCCTCAGCACCATGAACAATTGCTTTACGCTCAGCTTCTGTCAATACACGTCCTGCGTTTTCTTCTACTAGGGCAACTACTTTGGAACGAGCGCGTTCATCCCATTTCTTATTCATACGACCAAATCGAACATGAGACAAGTTCTTTAGCCATTCAAAATAGGAAACAGTTACACCTCCTGCATTAAGAAGTAAATCAGGAATCACTACTTTTCCTGATTCCTCAAGAATTTTATGAGCACCTGGGGTAACAGGACCATTAGCTCCCTCGCCGATAATCTTTGCTTTAATATTGCGCACATTACGTAGACCGATTTGACGTTCAAGAGCGGCAGGAATAAGAATATCACAGTCAGCTTCAAGGATCTTACTAGGTTCTTCAGAAACTTGTGCGGTATTAGAAAAACCATGGAAAGTTTGATTAGAGCGATAATATTTGAAAAGCTCCTCAACGTTTAAACCTTTAGGATCATAAATAGAACAATTCCTTTCACCAATACCTACAATAGTTGCTCTATATAGATTATATTAGTTAATATATATGTATATGTATATGTATTGCTTATTTTGGTTGTTATATGTCACATTTACCCATTTTCTTCAAAGAATTTAGCTGCATGATAGCCAACATTACCAAAGCCTTGAACGATAACTCTACTATCAGAGACTTTTCCACTTAAACCCGTCTTATTTTGTACTTCAGGGTAACTAAGGAATTCACGAATACCATAATATACACCTAAACCAGTAGCTTCATTACGTCCACGAACACCGCCTAGCGATAGAGGCTTACCAGTAACACAACCAGCAGCATTAACGTCGCCCACGTTAAATTGTGAGTAAGTATCCATAATCCATGCCATTTCTCTAGGTCCAGTACCAACATCAGGAGCAGGTACGTCAAGGCCTAATAAAAGAAATGATTTTTTTTTTTAACTAAAATTCTTTTCTTTTCTTTTTTTTCCTGAATTTACCAGGACCAATAAATTTTTTCTGGCATAATTCCATAGTATAACGACGAGTTATTCTTTCCAGCTGTTCGGCTGTATACTTTTTAGGGTCAATTTTGATACCTCCTTTAGCACCACCAACTATATAAAGATATACCAAAAAAAAAAAAGTAGAATGATTTATCAGTTACCTTCATCTTTAATATTTTCTAAAATTCAGGTGTACATTTTTCAAAAGATTTTAAACTTACATGGGACATCAACGACAGCACATTTATATGTCATAAGTGAGGCCAATGCTAAAAATAATAACAAATATATAGAAAAATAGATATAAAAATTCCGACTCAATTGCATATTTTTGTAATTGTATCTCTTATGTATCATTTTCTTTTTCTCCACCTCTCTCTCTATTTGCACTATTATTTACCTTCAACTTCTTGTAAGTCAACCTCTTCAGAAAAACGAATACCACCCTTAACTGGCAAACGATGACGAGAATGCTGAGCACGATATCCTGGGGATTGAAGAAAGAATCAGTTTGCATTAAAATGCACTTTCCGTTTTTTATTTTTTTGGTTATATTCTCCCTCATTTATTTTTTTTATGTTTCTTTACCTTCTATTACTTCATATTTCCCATCTTCTATTTCAATAGGAAAGGTGACTCGAAGAACACTATCGACAGCACGAAGATGAGCAAGTGTATGGGGTTTAATATTGCTAAGTCCAGCAGCATGATCATAATACATCTCAACAGATTGTAAGAAAGAAGGCTCATCGCTATTACAAGCAATTTGTGTAGCAGCTATTGTAACAAAGAAGGTTAAATAAACTAGTTTTTTCTTTTTTAATGCAGAATAAAATTACCTGTGGTTAAGGATCTTGCAATTGATGGAAGAACAACAGCACGATTAATTGAACGAGAAGTAGCAGTTGATAAAGGTCTGACAATAGACCTAAAGCATATAAGGTAATTAACTTCCACTATTTGAAACGCATGTGCAAGGCTAAGTTATGTTTGACTTACGGTAAGCGATTTAAAAGAAAAGGCATCTTTATAACAATGTTTGACTATACAAGAAGAAAAGAAAGAAGAAAAAAGACAAGACGAGGGAAGAAGTTGAAGTATTTAAGGGGTTTCAAATTATATAATAAATATACATAAATAAGGTGATATTAAATACATTTCATTTTTATTTCGGGTAAAACTGAACATTAACTCAAATCATTTAATGCGGAAAAAAAAAAAAAAAAAAAAAAAAAAAAAAAAAAAAAACTATCGATCATTATTTATTTTTATTTTTATTTTTTTAATGCAGACAATCTTTTTATTTTTTTCTATTTAATGTAATTTAAAGAATTGAAAGAAACGTTAAAGTACAACACAAATAATGTCATTAAAATATAGCGCGTGTAATATTCTCTGCGTGAGGAGAACATGTTCCTTCAAGTGTAATGGGGCTTTTTATGCGTTTTTGTTTGAAAGTAGACTTTCTAAAAATATAATACTCTTTAGTCGTGGGAACCGCATCTTTCCTGTTTCTCCCACGAGAAGATCATTTATAAAGGAGAAAGAGGGGATCCAAGTAACTCAACAAATAAACTAAAGAAGTTCAATATATATTTCATTAGCTGTATGAATGTTAAATCTTCTAACTGAGTCTATATTATATACAGTAATACATAAATACATATTTGTATATATATATATATATATTTTTTGTATTCATCATTGTTATCATAAAATTATGTAGTAAAGTTTACTGATATTTTTGCTTTTAATATTCTGATGATTAACTTTTTTACGAATATAATTGAATGCAACTATCATAAATATTGTTATAAATAAGAATGAGTAGTAGCCTTAATATCTCATACCATAAAAATAAAAAGGAAAGCCAACTCTAATAAAAGCTTTCTTTAACAAATACAAAAAATCAATGATCGAATAAACAACAATTTATCTACTCTTCTACAAAAAAAAAATAGTTGACATAGTGTGTATTTTATCCTTTGTATATAAACTTGCATAAGATTCATTTTTATAGCATTCATTCCAAAGGGTCATTCCAATCTGTTCATGTTTAACTATTCTGAACCACATCTCTTTTAATTATTAATTTTAGTTAATAACATTATACTGACATAAAGGAATACAACTTTATATTATAATCAAACTTTGGATTAATTAAATTATTTTTTTGACTACCAAAAAAATATATATAATTTACAAAAAAATCGTGAAATTATTTTAAAAAACTAGTAAAAATAAAAGCGTATAACAATTATGATTGGCTGTTCTAGTCGGAGTTTTAATAATTTTAATAATGTCAAGATGTATCAGAAAATTTTTTTCCGTCAATGGGGAAATGGTGTAGTGGTATCACATTTCTTTCGCATAGAAAAGGTCGCGAGTTCAAACCCCGCTTTCTCCATTTTTTTGATATGATAATTTGGGGAGAGTAGTGCGCGAAGTAATCTGATCTTGGCGTGAAGCAATGAATTTTTTTATGATTGTCAAAAAGGGTCTTCATATAAAAATTATCCGACGATTCTTTTTATTATTTGTATATTTACAGCAGTAGTTATATTGCTACTATAACTATTTATTATAAATAATCATTATCTGTAACCTAAAAGTCAATATATAGCATGATTTGTTTTTCTTCTTTAGACTGCAAGTACATGGTTAAAATAAAAGATTTGCCATAAACTGTAGTATTTAATCTGAGATCAGTATTAACACTAATAATTGCTATCCTTATTATCATCTTCAATCAATAATGAATATAGTAATAATTGTACTTATGATATTTTAGTATTCTTCCTTTAATATTATGATAATCAACAATATTGTCTTTATTATTTAGAAAGGTATTAAAATTGTTTACGAGTCTCAATATCCAATCGATTGGAGGATTACAACATATAAAATTGAGTATGATCCTGATAGCTATTCTCATATGATTACTATTGTTGTAGATAATTAGCTTTCTTTTTATTATTATTATTAAAAATGCTAAATTGTATAAGCATTACAATTTTCTCAGCGCCAAGTAGTAAACAAAACGTTACTATAAATTTTTTAAAAGTACTAAAGATGCTCTTAATAAAATATAGTTTAAAAGGCCATTATTCAGATATAGATAAAGTTCTTCCTCATAAAGCTAATTAAGTTATTTGAAAACAGAGAATATAATTATATCTCTTTTTTCATCATGTTTTCCATTTCTAGACTCTATATAAAATTCAATCAAATTAAATTTTGTATACAACATAGAGAGAACTTGTTAAATAAAGCTTGTTTATAAAATTCTACCAAGTGAGCTGCTATGTTTAGCTTTTATGTCTATCTAATTTCAAATATTTTATTCATGATAAAATATATTCTGATTTTTTTCTTTCAATTTAATAGTAATTTTTATTGTCTTTTATATAAATATAAATATGTATATATATACTAGCTATTTACATTTTGGATCAAACTATATCGAAGGTTGCTAATTTTAAGCTAACAATTCATTTAATAGCAGAAGTATGTAAAACTGCATTTAAACAAAGGCAATATATATATATATATAAAGCAACAGTTACTAATTTAACAACATACAATATTAAATATATTTGGAGATATCATATATTAGACAGGAAAAAAATCTAATAGTTTAATAAATAGCCTTGAGACTAAAGTTTTTAAAATAGCTGTATTGTGTTTTAGGTGTCTCCCAAGTATTATCAGAGCCACCAAAGAAAGTATGGAACACTAATAAGAATAAGTATATACAAAAAAAAATGTTAATTTAATAATTTGTTAAGATATTTCCTAATGATCACTTACTAATACCAGCAACACGACTAGAGCTATTTGTACGTATTACTAATTTCTTTTCTGTAAAAACACGTTTACCATTGACATGAATAATAATTTGCCCATTCATTTTTCCTGGAGTATTCATTACAACTGTTTGGCGAATGGAAAGCCATTTACCTCTAGTAAATTTGAAAGTTCCACGACCCAAACTAAAGCCATAATCAGGATTACAAATATTGATTTTATTATCACACAAATCAGATCTTTGAGCAGATTCGGGTAAGTAGGCATAAATTTCACCTTCACCACCGTCTCTCCACATGAATCTATGATTTTTTTTTCAAAAAAAGAAAAGTGTTATTCAAATTCATCTGTATCGGAAGTTTTAGTGTATTACCTAGTGGTAAAGCAAGATTTTGATCCATCGCCACCGGTACAATCACCATGACCACCATAAAGGCCCGGAAGTTTACCTCCTATATACACAATAATTTTTCAAGTCGTTAATTTCTTCTTTCTTTCTTTCAAGAATAGTTATATGTGTAAGTACCTCTATTAAAGTCAAATCCTTTGGGGAAAAAAACACTGTACTGGAACTCAACAGTTCTCACTTTATTATCAATTGTCAAAGGCTCCGCTTTAAATCCAAGACCACCCACAGGGTTTTCCTCAGGATTTCTTGAATTTTTAGGATATGTAACTCTAAGCACAAGATCTTTCTTTTTACCGGAAGGAGCCTTAACAAGTACATTTTTTAATTTGTCAGCATCCTTCCAATACCAAAGCCAGCCCCCATGCTCAGGTATACCCCAAGTTTTATCCCAAACAGTATCTCTACCAACAGTAGCTTTGCCGTATTTATTCCAATTATAAAACTTCCATATTTTACTCTTTCTGTTGGCCACCTTTCTTTTTGTTGTTTTTTTCTTTATGCTTGTTTTTGCTGTTTCGATAGTTGAAATTAGGCAAATGACAATGACAATAAATAGTAAAAAAAATTGAGATTTGAACATAATTCTCCTTTATGGTAATAATGAATGGACAGAGTACCTATTTAAATGGTTCGACAAAAGAAAATATAAAAAAAGAGAAAAAGGAAACAAGAAATAACTTTTGTACCTTATCTTTTTTTTTATTGTATCCATATCATTAAACTATATTAGACATATATGGAAAAAATCACTGTATGTCTAAGCTCAGTTTCAATTAGTTGTTATAACAACTCATTATTTCGAGTAATACAAACCATGCTTTACAGGAATATACTTTTTTCTGTGTTTTTTTAATAAGTTATTTCAATATTTTATTTAGAAAAAAAATAACTCTGCCTTGTAACTTTTCTATGAATAACTTTTCTGAATAAACATTTATTGTAATTGTCATACATATTACTTATATTTATTCATGTGCCTAATAAAAAGCTGATATTTTATATAATGTAACATACTATTCTAATATGCACGCATATTTATTCAAATCCATGAATAAATGAGAATACACAACAATTTTTACGAATTATTTTTGCATATTAAAAAAAATGTATGTTAAAAATAAAAAAAGTAAGTCTTTTCAAAGTAATGAAAAAAAAAATAAGTGTCCAAATATATGTAGTAATTTCAGATAGTCGTTGTAGATTTCAGTGATTAAAGCAAATCAAGCTGACTTTTAAAGAAAATTAGGAACGTTACTTGTAGAAAAAAAGCTTATTCACTATAATTTTAAAAACAGGTTGTATGCAAATTCGTACTGTAGGCATATAAAATTAGTATAAAGTACCAAAATAGTTAGAAATCTAAAGTATACTGCCTCTTCAGATAGAACGATTGTCAGAGTTTTTATAATTAATTTTGTCATGTATATTTACTCGATGGGATTTTAATTTACTAAAAGAGAGCCTGATTACTGCTACGATTAGCTGGGCCAAAAAAAAAAAAAAAAAATAGGGATTGATAGATAATGACGATAAAATAAACGTTTTTTTAGATGGATTCTCTTATGAGTATATTTACATTTAATCGCTATGTAATTTACTAAATCATACCGCTTTTTTTTTTTTTTTTTTTTTTTTTTTATAAATAACATAAAGCTGAAGACTCTCAAATGATATCCTTGATTAATTACTCTTTAAAATAAAGCTAAAATCGACCTTGACATACATATATTATAAGGCTGAATAACTCATAATACTATTTTTGACAAAAAAGTATTTTCTTGCCACTGTATACGCCCTGTGTTTAAAAAATATAAACATAGACACTAGTAAGTTTCTGAGTGAGAATTCCTTAGTGATATAATTATATAATAAAGAAACAGTATTATAAAAATTATTTTTTTTGCTATTCCTATCAATTCCTGGAATAACTATTTAGAAGGCGTCAGTTACTATATTTTTCATATTATTGTATTACTTTTTTCCTATATTAGGCAGTGAAATCAAACTATATTCTCTACACGGCCAAAAAAAGAAAATAGTTACTATAATAAACCCGAAAAAACTTAAAAAGAGTACCTATCAAATCATTTTATTTTAATTGAATAAATTGTTTAGTGAATGACTATTGTTATATCGCTATAACAGCAATATATTTGAAGCGAAATAAAATTAATACACCTTATATATGTCTGAAAAAATGTTGTATATGATGCTATATATTTTTTATAAATTTAAGACTGACTTGCAGATAATAATAATTATAAAAAAACATACTTAAAACATAATCCTCATTATGTAGAAGAAACATATTTACCATCATAATATTAGACAGTATTGTAAATATAAGAAATTTCGAATCCTTTTCAATAAGCAGTTCAAATAAAACAATAATAAAATTGCCCCTTATCGCTTTTAGTAGACAAAAAAAAAGTTGTTTGATATGATGATATACAATAAGATACTAAAGCATAATAGGCACAGCTTTAATACCTCCAAGGATAGATAATAAAATGATATGATGATATTAGTTATTTGAGTATTTATGTGTAGCTTGTTTCACTAAATATCTTTTACAACAAAAAAATGTATTTATATAATTTTATTAGAATATTTAAGCTTAAGAAAATATTCTAAATTTGTTGTCCAACAATGAAGTTGTGACTGCTGCTTTCGATTATGAAAAATACATAAAACATAGTTCTTTTCTGAAATAAAAATGGTTTGATGCTATAAACTTCAAGTTTAAACACTAATTTGCTGCTGCTGTCATAATCTTAACACAGACTCTCATCATTGATTGGCATACTTCTTTGATAGTGCACCATTTTTTAAAAACTTTTTATTATTTTATTTTTTAAATAAATCTACCCAGTCAATTTTGATGTAATCAATAGCATTTTGTGTCCGTTGATAATTGTATTTTTAACAAGTTTAATTTCTTTTTGGTTCCTGTTCTTTGCATGATCTAGTGTCCAATAAGAGCCATTTGAGTTTAAAAATTAAAAGACAGATCAAGTCTAAATGACACATAGTGAGTGAGCAATAGTGGCTTTATGTCACATCTGACAAAAGTAGTAAAAGTAGCAAAAATAACAATAATATACAATAATTTTTTTACTGAAAATGACATCACTAAAATTAATGAAAGTGAAAAACTTCAATTGCGAATTTAAAGAGGCCACATATTGCGTAATCAACACATTTTAACATAATGAAGTATTTTTCACTATCTATCGGAATCTGAATAATACCCTTGCTATTGGTAAAATGAATAAATGAATTGGATAACAGTCACATACGAATGTATTATATAAACTAGATTAGATCTTATATTCTTTTCTTTTTTTTTATTATTATTATTTATATCATAATAAGTCTTTAACTATAAACTAACTTTCATAGTAAAGGCAAAATTAATTGAATCGTTCTTTATTAAGACGTAAATTTATGTATATTCACGCTTACGAAAAGTGCTCAGCCGATTATATTTGCGATCAAAGTAAGTTGATATAAAAATGGTTTATTTGTTTATCAATTTATTTATTTATTAAAATGTACTATTTTATTAGTTTGGAAATCTTCTGGAAATTTTTAAATAAACTATTACTATCATATAACTTCTTTTTTCTTTTTAAAAAAAAATAACTATTCTTCAACGGAAAACAAAAAAATCAATCAATCAAAACATGCCTATCCCTGCTTCTCTTAAATTAAAAACTGGCCAAATCTTTTATGGTACTTCATTTGGTGCTCCTGTTAATACTTTTGGTGAAGCCGTTTTTACGACTTCTTTAGTAGGTTATCCTGAATCAATGACTGATCCTTCTTACACTGGTCAAATTTTGGTATTTACTCAACCTTTAATTGGAAATTATGGTGTACCTGGTCAAGAAAAGGATGAATATGGCCTCTACAAGTACTTTGAATCCGATGCTATTCAAGTTCAGGGCATTATTGTAAATGATTATGCTACTGAATATTCTCATAGAACTGCTGTCGAATCTCTAAGTGAATGGTGTATTCGTCATCATGTTCCTGCTATTAGTGGTGTTGATACACGTGCTTTAACTCAACTTTTACGTGATCAGGGTTCTACATTAGCTCAAATTAGTATTGGTGAAGAAGCCTTTATTAATAATATTAGTTCTCTTGAATTCCCTAATCCTAATAACGAAAATTTGGTTGCTAAAGTTTCTACAAAGATTCCTATTACATACAATCCTAAAGGTGATCTCAAGATCGCTGTAATTGATTGTGGTGTTAAACAGAATATCCTTCGTTGTCTTGTGAGTCGTGGTGCATGTGTTACAGTACTACCTTACAATTATAATTTTAATATGATTGCTGATCAATTTGATGGCATCTTTATCTCTAATGGTCCTGGTTCACCTACTACTTGTACTGAAATAGTCAAGCACCTCAAGACAGCTATTGAGCACATAAAGAAACCAATCTTTGGTATTTGTATGGGTAATCTTTTACTTGGTATGGCTGCTGGTCTTCAAGTATATAAATTACCATTTGGTAATCGTGGTCATAATCAGCCTGCTCTTAACGTTGACACCGGGCTTTGTTACATTACTTCTCAAAACCACGGTTATGCCTTGAATGATGTTTGTATGCCTAAAGGATGGAGACGTTTATTTGTTAATGCAAATGATGGCTCTAATGAAGGAATTCGACATGAAACTAAACCTTTCTTTTCTGTTCAATTCCACCCTGAAGCTAAAGGTGGTCCTGAAGATACTACTTATTTGTTTGAAGAATTCTTGAAGCAAGTTCGTGCTCATAAATCTGGAAATGATACTTACTATGCATCTATTAGTGATATTCAACAATCTACAGTTGCTGCATTTGCTTAATTTTTTTTTCTCTTATATTTTATTTATCATTATCCTCTTCTATATAATATCAACCACTGCATAATATATCGTTCAATCTTTCTTTACTAAAGACAATAAATTAAGATATTCATTTAAAAATTTATTCATTCATTCATTGTTAATTTATCCAAAAAGTAACGTTGTATTTTTTCATCAATTATGTGTGTAAAGCAAGTTTTTTTTATCTTTATTTAAATAAAGATGTTGTGTATTTTTTCAAATTCGACTAAACTTTTGAGTTGAACACGACATCTATTATTTATATTTGCAGTAATAGAATTTGGTAGTTGGATTTTAGCAACTGTTTGTGATGACAGTTTCTTATTTTCATGTATAGCAGTCTAAAATAATAAAGAAAATTAAAGTAGAGTTCCCTCTCACTCTCTCTCTTTTTTTTTTTCTTTTCTTCTTTACCTTGGCTTTACGAGTTGATAGTAGTATCTGTTGAGATGGCGTATCCTTTTGATCTTGTGCTATTTTATGTCTTAATTGATTATATCTTTGTTTTAGGGTATACAGCACAGATTGTTGCGTTTGGTATTGATAGTCTGGTAGTCTTTTCTCACTTTGCCATTTACCAGCACGATAGTGAGATGAGAGCTGTACTACCTTCAAGGATGCGCTTACAGTACGTATATCCTTTACAAGCATACGTCTTTCAAGAGCAAAAGATCCAAGTAAAGGCTTGTCCAAGTTGAAGTCTTTAGCATCATTAAGCTTCTTAAAAGGTTGTTGATGGAGTTGGAGTGATCGAGCAATGTCCAATCCTTTAAGGTGTGCATTCTCAGAACGTAAATAACGAATAACCGACTTTAAGAGGTCAATTTGTCCGTTTAATTCATACAGACTGGTATTTTCAACTTCAATTAAGTCATCATTCACCATTAAATCAAATTCTGCTATCTTTTAGCTACAGAAAATCTCTTTTCTTCATTTTTGAGGGCATTCTTTTTAAGTTCTGTATTCTCTTGTTCTAATGCATCATATTCAATCTGAAGATTCTCCATTGCTTCAGCATACATTTGTTCTTGACCTTGTACTTTTGATAATGTTTCTTCCAGTGAGTTGATCTGCTCAGCTTGTTTCTTTACTATTTCCATACGTTTTTTAAGTAACTCAATCTTGACATTCGATTCTTGAAGTGCTTGATCCTATATATATATACATATATAAATAGATTAAATTATTCATAACTAGTTTTACAAAATATACATATACATATTAATACAGACTTTAATTTTCACATCTTTGATTAATTTTACAATCTCATCGCTATGTTGTTGTAATTTACGTTCCATATCATGATTAATAATAACTTCTGCCTTAATATCGGAAGCTCGTTGAACCCAAGGAGCTACTGTAGTTATAACTAAATAAATAACAAAGTCTGTAAGCGATATATATAAATATATATAGATATATAGATCTATCGTTTTTCATCATTCTAAATAATAATACTTTTTTCTGTTTTGTTTTCATTTGATATTTGCTCAATTGTGCTTCCAAGTTCATTGGTTAGAGATTTTAGTGTTTTTAAACAAGCTTCCCACATGGAACTTTCAGCAATTTCAAGAACCTCATCTGCCTTATTATAAACGATTTGCTGAATCATACTTAGGCTGATATCTTCTTTGCTATCCATTTTAGCACTTATATAAGCTGAAATTTGTTTATATGTTTCATAACAAAATTTTCCAAGTTTGGAACTGATGGCAAATAACATTCTGAATTGATGAAGGTATTCTGGTCTTAAGGTTAATGCTTGCTCTGACAAATCTTCTAACTGGCGCACTATTTTCCTAACCAAATTCATACATTTAGTTGCACTACTCTGTTATAGAAATCTTATCCTCAACTTACTTTGCCAACACCTTACTATTTTTAGCTTGAGAAACAAGTCGACCTAGTGGTTCTAAATAATCGTAGTCTAATGTTTGGCGTCCTTCAATTATATTTATATCTAAAAACCAAATATAATGAATAACAAATATCAATCTTTCTTTGTCATTTTTTTTTTCGTCATTACTTTCATTTTGGGTTGGACAATCTAACGCTTGCTTAACAAAAGTTAGCTCTACAATTATTCGATCTGCATTTAAATCTAAAGCTCTTGTTAATCCAAAGAATTGATCAAAATGATTAGCCTCATTTTGTACTAAGTGAATTTCACTTAAATGCTCTAATTGAGCGATAATACGTTGTAACTCAACTACACATTCTAATTCATTGATCTCATTCATGCGCATCAATTCAACAAGACTCGTCAATCGTCTTTCTGCACCCATTAAATCATGATAGACCTGTCCCATCTTGATAAACATGGCAGGCTGACAATTTTTAATAAATGTCACAAATCGTTTACTTATGTCGCTCAACCATCCTGCACGCTGACGCATCTCACAGACAGCAATAAGACTTTCAGGCACAATGTCCATGATTTTTTCACTAATTGGATAATTTTGATCTAAATGCTTGATAATCAATTCTGTCTTAAATACGAGCCGTTTAAATAACAACAGACATGATATGGCATCATTTTCGGTCCTGAAGAATGAATCGGGTAAATAAGGCTGAATACAATTAAGTCGATCATTGGCTTGAGCAGCATCCAATTTACGTAGTTCTAGGTCAATTGCTTTTGCTTGTGCTTTCATTACAGTAGATTGTAATTGCATATGAAGGGACATCATAGCTTGTGACTGACTGCTTAATGTTTGCTTCTCTGATTGTTGACTTACTTCCTTAAAGCGTAACTGTTCTAAATCGTTTTGTAAAGTTGTAACCAGCTCACGGAATTGCTGAATTGTGGTCTCGTAATCTGCGTTAGTTTCTTCTGAGGATCGAAGACGTTCTAGCTGTTCACGTAGTAGCATATCTCTATGATCTGAAATATAGAACATATCTATCAGAAGTCTGTTTCTCTCTCTCTCTCTTTTTTTTTTTTTTTTCATCTATTTTACCAATTTCAGCTTGTAACTGCTTTTCATTTTCAATATGATTCTCTTCTAGTTCATCTGCAAGTTCTTTAAGGGCTTCCAAATCCTCAATAATTAGATGCATCTCTTCTATTTTTTCTGTTAAACTCAAATTTTTCTCTGTTAATTGCTCAACTAAATCTTCAGCTCCCAGAGCATCATCCAAACGTTGCTTAAGTTCTTCAATCGTCAATTCTGATAATTCGAGCTTATTATGTATTTTATCGTATTGTTTTTTCACATCGTCTAATACATAGCTTTCCTTTTCCAATTCCTTGATTCTATCACAAAGTTCATTTTCACGAGCTGTAGTTGCATCACGTAATCTATAATAAAGCAACACGTAAGATAAAAAAAAAAAAAAAAAAAAAAACGTCTACAATTAAATATTACCTCACCAAAGCTTCTTTTAATCTTTCATTATGTCTTTCTAATTGAATAAACTCTAAAGATGTCTTTTGATCTCCACCACCTTCAGAAGAAACACGATTTATTATATCCGCTTCTTTTCTTAATACATCTAAATCAACCCCAATCTCCTCAATTTTATCTTTCAGCACATTCACTTCTTGTTGCAAGTGTTCTGCTCGTTCTTCAGCTACTTCCTTATCTAACGTGATCATCTCCAACGACTCAATAACATCATTGTATTTTACTTCATAATTTTCCTTTTCATCATTCGACTCCTTCAGTTCTCGTCTTGTCTCTCTCAACTCTCGTTGTAATTCACTAATCTTATCTTGTAACTTGTTTCTTAACGTCAAGAATTGTTCTGCTTCTTCTTTGATCTTTTCATATTCACGATATCGTTCACGGTCTTCTTGCCGTTTTGCTTCAAGTATTTTAAGTTTCAGACGAAGTTCTTCGTATTCTTTAAAGGAAATGATAGGATCTGATTTATGAATAGATAAAAGTGAACCATAACTTTGTTGTGGAGGAGGAGGAAGAGCAGCAGCAGCAGCAGTAGTAGTAGTAGTAATAGAAGAAGAAGAAGAAGAAGATGGAATGATTTCTTCAGAGACGGATAATGAAGAATCCTCTTCTTTGTTCACCTCCATCTCTTCTTGTTGGACATTGTTTTGACTCATTAAGGGTGTTTTATTTTTTTTAGGTGTGATGGACACTGATTTGGGCTGAGTGGAAAGGATGGTGCTGCTCTTTCGATTCATTAAATTAGGTAATCGACTTATACGTGATGATGAAGGTATTGCTTTCGTCGTCAATGATGAGGTCTCTTGTTCTAATGGCGACATTGAGGTAGTAGTAGTAGTAGTAGTTAACGAAGGATTATGAATAAGTTTGACTTGACTTGGTCTAACGAAGACACCATGATTGGTTTTACACTCAAAATAACGTTTACCCTGAACGACACCACTATTTTTCCCTTGTGGCTCGTCTAGTTCAATACCTATCCATTTGCCTGTTTGAAAACTCGTAATGCCTACAAAGCGAATCCATCCCATCTTGCCTTGTACCTGAGCCCGCATCCCTACTTTGAGCTCCGAATTCATCATTATAGTGTTAGGAGAGGAATTACGAAAACTGGATCGTCGTTGTTGAGGATCCATTCCCGACATGTATAATTAAGATATTGAGTTATATAAGTTTAAGAATGATTAATTAAAACACGATGTATATGTGTATATAAATGTATATATTTTTTTTAATAAAAAGAACAATAATTGTAATAAGACTGAGAAAAAAAAAAAAAAGGAATTGTTGTATGACTACTCTCTCACTCCTTATTAAGGATGATTATATTGATCAATGATATAATCAATGGCCTCAACTACTGACTTGAATACATTTACATTTTCACTTGCTTTACTATCTTCTTCACGATACTTTCCAGTTTGTACTAATGAATAAGAGGATTTTAATATCATGCATATGGCAAAAAAAAAAAAATCTTCTTCTTTATTTACCTAAAAAGCGATGTAAGCCTAACTCTTGAGCACCTCCTCCAAGGTCATTTATAACGTCATCGCCAATAATAGCCACCTCTTGTGGTCTATTCTCCATATCACTATAATAAAAGTCATTCAATAAATAAATAGATACATCCATATAATACCCCTTTCTTTCATATAAATTTACATTTGCTTAAGGGCCAATTTAAAGAAATCAACAGTAGGCTTACCAACAACCTTGGCAGTTATACCAGTAGCAAATTCAAGTACTATAATGGCTGTTAATTTCATCTTTATGTGTATACACATTTATATTTCTTTTTTTTTTTTTTTTTTTTTTTTTTTTTTTTTTGGGGGAGAGTAGTTTTATATTATTATTATGTCTTATTAAACCTTGTACAAATCCTCCAGGACCTAGTGACAGCTTTTCATCTTTATCAGCAAAATACTTTGCTTTATGAACAGCAATCAAAGGAATACCATGATTTGGATCAGAAGTTAATAAACGGAATGCATCATTCAACTATTATTGTTATTATAGAACACTAAATAAGTATAAAGTATATGTTTGTTTATAAAGGGGGGCTATACTACCTGATTGTAATTAAATTTAGAAGGAGCTAAACCGATAACGACAGCATTTGGATTATTTGTATCAATCTCTTTAAATTCCTCCATAGCAGCGTCTTCCATAAATAGCATAGGCCTAATAGTAGTAATCAATTTTAATTATTATTATGTAAAAATACAACTCGTTCATCAATCATTTGTAATACCGCAAATGGCTTGTTTTAATCAAATCATGACAAGCTGATAAGGATGTAAATACCTGAAAAAAAATAAAAATATATGATGAATAGTAAAGCAAGGTGGCATCTTGCTTTTTTTTTTTTTTTTTTTTTTTTTTTTTTTTTTTTTTTAAGAAATTATTTTACATCTTTCTCTTCAACATTAAATCCGAGATTTGTTAATTTTTGAACCAACTTTTTTGAAGACACTTTAGTAGTATTAGTTGCAAATCTTGAGAGCGATGAGCCAAATGAAATAAAAAAAAAAAAAAAAGTAAATCAATTCAAGGCTTTCATACTTACTTGAAAGGTATTTTACTTTCCTTTAAGCGTTGAATAGCTTCAATTGCCCCGGGAATAACCTTTGTATCAATATGAATAGTTCCACTCAAGTCAATTAAGACACCTTTAATAGCTGACATTTTAGAATATTTATATGTGAATATAAAAGAACGCGTAATACGAAAATTTTATTTTATTTTATTTTTTTAAAGAAAAAAAAAAATTATTGTTTAAGCATGGCTTTATTTATTTAAAGTTGACCACAGTTATCAATAACAATCTTCTTGGTAGTGCGACCAGAACCAGTACCGAAAGATTCAATCTTGCTAACAACATCCATACTAAAGAAAAGAAAAGAAAAAAAAAAGCCCCAATTAGAACAATAAATAAAAAAAAACAAAATAAATAGAGATATTGTTTACCCTTCAGTGACTTGACCAAAGACAACGTGCTTTCCATCCAACCAAGTGGTCTTAACGGTGGTAATGAAGAATTGAGAACCGTTAGTGTTAGGACCAGCATTGGCCATAGAAAGGTTACCGGGACCAGTGTGCTTAAGAGAGAAGTTTTCATCAGCAAACTTAGCACCATAGATAGACTTACCACCAGTACCATTGTGGTTAGTAAAGTCACCACCTTGAAGCATGAAATCAGGAATAACACGGTGGAAAGTACAACCCTTGTAACCATAACCCTTTTCACCAGTACAGAGAGCACGGAAGTTTTCAGCAGTCTTGGGAACAACATCAGCTCTCAATTCCATAACGATACGCTATGTCACAAATCAGTCTTTATCTGAACAAAGCTCATACTTTTTTTTTTTTTTTTTTCCTTCTTCCTTTATTCTTATCATTTATGATTACTTACGCCAAGAGGTTCACCGTTAGCAGAGACATCGAAGAAGACCTTAGGGTTAGACATTTTTATATATAATATTTATTAAGGAAGAAAAAAGAAAAAAAAAAAAATATAAAAAAAAACTCTTTTTATTTTAATACGTGTCATTCTTGTTTTTTTCTTTTAAATTACCGCCTTCCTTTAGTTTCCAAAACTTACTATTTTTTTTTTTTAAGTTTAGTTTAGTAAAAAAGATTTACAAGAAGACAGTCCATGTTTAACAGAATAGAGGATCTATGCAAAAAATAAATAAATAAATCTATTTTAATTGCATAAATAAATAAAGGTTGATATAAATATATACTTTTTTTTTTTGAAGTGTAAACTATGATTATAAAGACTACACAATACGTGAAAATGAATAGCTTTAAGTTCATAAAGGAAAGTCTTGATTTGATTTCATTTTTTTTTCATAAACAAGAGCCTGAGAACAATCATGGACATATTTTTTTTTCCCTTTGAATAACAAATAATAGTCTTGTGTTTAAATTTTTATTATTATCTCACTTGGAAACAATGACGTTTCCCTTTTTTTTCTTCTTCTTTTCATTTTTTTTTTCCTTGATAAATAAAATCAAGATGATATTAGATGAAGAATATGGATTACTTTCACAACAACCTGAGGAAGCTTCAGATAATGAACAAGAAGAAGCCATTGAATTTATATCATATGCAGAGAGCGATGATGACGATGAAGATCCTTATTTTATGCCAGAACATCATAAACGAACAAGTACTTGGACTTTTTTAAGGTAATGTATAATAAAAGGCAGTTATTTATTTCTTCCCTTTCCTTTCCTTTCCCTTTTCTTTTTAATACAAGTTAAATAATCATTAATATAAAGATTAACATGTGCACCTATTCAAGTGGTTCGATTCCTTATACCTGCTATTTGTATTATTACTATTATCATTTATACCATTATTATTGCAGTATTAGTTGAAAAGAAAAAAAAACTTTAGAAAGAATAAAACTAATCAAGTGTATTATTATAAATGAAGATAAGGTAAATTCATAAAAATGTAATGATGATTAACAAGTATTCATGTCTTTTCAAAGAAAGAAAGAAAAAAAAAATAGTGCTCCGTAGAGCATCCTTCTCAGAGATTTAGTGTCATCCTTGTGCAGGGGCCATGCTAATCTTCTCTGTATCGTTCCAATTTTAATAAGTGACAGAGGTCCCGTAGAACATGTCAATTAATTTTAACACAAAAATTTTCTTTATAAACCCGAGATTTAAGAGCCTGTTGCCGACTTGTGGTATAATAATTTTTCTGTTTTACCAAAAATAAAAAAATAAAATAAAAAATAAAATAAATTATAAATTATAACGGAAGCATTAATACTGTAGGCGCCGCTTATTAGTATTATTTTTTTTTTTCGATTACCCCAGAATATATATGTAAACACCCGTTGCTTTTTCTTTTTCTTTTTTTTTTTCTTATAGATTTCACTTTCTTTATTTTATTTTATATTGTTTGTGAAATTTAGAACAATGTCAAGTAAAGAGTATTCAAGAGAGGATATTAATAGAATGAGAAGAGCAATGGAAGGAGAGACAGCATTAGAAAAAATAAAGAGAAAGGCTAAAGAAGAGCCACTTGTACCAGCAGGTTTATTTTTTATTTTGCTTATTATATTATGATGAATTACATTAACTTATTTATTTATTTTTTTAGGCGTAGCTCTAACAACATTTGCCTTAATTGCGGCTGCAGTAGGTGTTAAAACAGGAAATAGAACTTATACGAATCAAATGTTTCGTCTTCGAGGTTGGATATATATAAATATTTATATAACATGTAGTAATAATTATTTTATATTACGTAATAGTGGCTGCACAAGGTTTTACTGTATTAGCTATGGTTGGAGGATCACTCTATTATCAATATAAAGAACAAAAAGAAGCCAAAGAACAGCAAGAAGATAATAAATAGTATACCAATACATCATACATCACAATAAAGACGATTTAGCTTATAGATGATATAATAATAGAATTCTATTTATTACGTAATATGAGGATGAATTGTACCCTACCCTACTGTCCATAGATAAAGTAAAGAAGTAAGATTGACTTCTTGATAATAATACACGTATTACATCAAAGTAGGATAAGAAGAAGATGCAATAATCATAATTTACTTCCTGTCTCTTTATTAAATGAATTCATATTTCACCAAGCTTTTATTATTTTTTTTAAGTTTTTAGTGGAAGTTTTTACTGGTCAAAAAAGATGATTATTTATCGATCGAAGTTAAAAGAAGGATATAAAAGAAGAATGAAATGATATAATAAGAAAAGAGAATAGCAGCCCTTTTTTTATATATGTATATATATATGGCAGGAAGAGCTACAAAGATTAAATTAATTACATTTGATGCTTATAATACATTATTCAAACCAAAAGGCAATTTAACTGCTTTATATGCCTTAGAAGCCTCTTTAAATGGTATTTATGTCTCTAAGGATGAAATCAATCAACATTTTGGTAAACTTTATAGGCGACAGATAGAAGAAAAACCATTTTATGGGCTTGCACAAGGTTTAACTGTACATACTTGGTGGGAAGAATTAGTTTATTCAACTTATATTCATGCTGGCGTATCTAAAAAAGGTATATAATGTATACATGTGAGTGTGTACGTGTATAAGTGTGTGTAGGTGTGTGTATAGGTATGTGTGTATGCATGTATATATAGTTAATATATAATTTCCTTAGAATTGGACCCTAAATTTGACAAAATATTTAATGGTTTATATAATCGATTTACTCAAAGAAAATATTATGAGTTATTTCCTGATGTCACACCAACACTTGAGTTTTTGAAAAAGAATGGATTTCAAATAGGAGTCATTAGTAATACAGATGAAAGAATTAGTAAATACACTTGGACTACTACTTTGACTTTTATTATTAATTCTGTTTTTTTATTTTTATTTATTTATTTATTTTTTTTTTTTAAATAGTTCCAGTATTACGGAATTTACAATTAGACACATATTTTAATTTTATTTTATCAAGTGTTTATGCTGGTTATGAAAAGCCTTCAAAACAAATATTTGATAAAGCTCGTACATTTTGTACTCAACAGCCTATTTCACCTAGTGAAGTATTACATGTTGGCGATGATGAAGAAAAGTAAGTAGTATAAAAGAAACATATGTGTATAGAGTGGCTTACACAGACATATATAAAGAGATTATCAGGGTGCAATTAATGCCGGTGAAAATGCAGTATTTTTAAATAGAGGTAAATTTTATTATTATCGATAGTCATGTATTTACTTGATGATTTGTAATAGAGAAAATACCCTATGAAGATAGCCTTGAACATATAAATGCTTGTAAATTGAAAAGAGAAAGTCATGATTATACAACTATTTCATCATTAACTGAGTTATATCCATTAATGTGCAATCGCTTTAATAATAAACTAGGAGAATAATAAAAGGTTTATTTATTTAAAGTTTGATTATCATTCATTAAATCAATTAAACTCTTTCCAAGTGTAGGCTCAACTAACGTGATGTTCTTTGAATATTTAAGTCGCTTATTCATATTCCAAATATTAATACAATCACCTACGTAATCCATACTTAATTCTCCATTTGATTGCCATTCTATTCTACAAATATACTTCCAATTATTTCTCTTTATTTCTTGATTTAATCCTAACTTTTCGATAAAGAATGTACCTTGAATATCAAATGCACTTAGTTTGTTTATGTTTAATATTTCACTTGACATGTATGCATAACCCTGAAATCTTTTACTTCCTTTTACACTGAATACAAGTATAACTTGATAAGAATGCTTTTGTATGTGTATATATAGAAAGAAATAGAGATAGAGGTAGAGATAGGTAGATAGATAGATAGAGAGAAATAGAGAAAGAGAGTGAGTGAGTGAGAGAATGAGAGTTAAAGTTATTTGTTATATAGCTAAATACTCTATTAAAATAATACCTCGTAAATTGTATTTAAAAAAGTCACTTTGCTTTTAGGAATGTGGACATAATTTATCTCTTTACATAGCATGAGATCTGCTTTATCATCAAGTTTAACAATAACACATTGATATGGTAAAATGGGCATCGTTGACAACAATAAATAAGGTGATACTATTGCATTACTATGATTGACATCATTATCATCATCATCCAGAGTTTGATTCTTGTCTGCTAACATTGTCACTAATAAGTTCTGTGGTGAAGAGGATGACTTGAAAGGACTACACATCATTTTCATCAAGTTTCCTTGATAATTATAATAAGGTAAAGTAGTAGTATTTAAATCAAAGAAAACAGTTGTTGAAGCCTTAGTCGTTATTGCATTTTTAGCTATGGATTCTTCTTGATTACATTTGAATGTATCGTTTTTATGATACTGTTCCTTTTGTCTTTTTTGTTGCCTTGATTTTTTTGATAAAGATGTAGAAGAATGCTTACTACGATGATTAGAGTCAACAGTATATGTGTAGTTAAGGTGTGAATGACTACTACTACTACCATCCTCATCATGATATTTAACTGTTGACTTTTTTTCCAACATATTAGCATAGTTTTGTTCTAATTCATAAAACTTGAACGAAATATTAAAAAAAAAGTAAAATAAAGTAAAATAAAAAAAAAAAAAATAGAGTCCTTACAGTACTGGGATAGCATTCAACTTGACTACCGTTAATCACTAATATGATTTATTATGATTTTTTTTTCTATTTTAAATTCTATATAATATATATATACATACAAATATATATGTATATATATGTATGTAATTTATACCTGACAGATGTATCTTGTTGTAACCTTTTAACATTTCTTCATAATTTCTATAAATTACATATGCACATTGTGGGTTACGAAAATATCTCATATACTATTTCAAAAGGACAATATGTAAAAAAAAAAAAAAAAAAAAAAAAAAAAAAAAAAAAAAAAAAAAAAAAAAAAAAAAAAAATTAAATAAAATAAAATAATAATATCTATTATATATTTATTTACTTATTTACCAATACATTAGGATCAAAGATATAATGTTGAAGTTCCTTAAATCGAGTTGTCTTTGCAATTTTCATTATCTTTAGAGGACAAGCATAGTGTCTAAAGAGTTCACGAATAAAGGGATTCAATCTTATTTTATCCAAGACATTGGGTTGTCTATGGATAGCATCCCATATACTCTCTTCTGTAGTAGATTGTGTTTGTTCCTGATGTTTAGTATGCTCAAGAATAGGTAAAGGCCCATAATGTTCATCAGCAAGTTGATTCCATTCATCCTCTATTGAAAGTTCCTTGACGATGGTTGCTTCATGTCCTGATTGTACCTCTGTACAAGGACTTTGAGATGTATCAGGAAGAACAATTTCAATTGAAGAAGAACGCGTAGAGATACTGTCTGTTGTAAGATGATCTTTGTCATCAGAATCATTTTTATGAAGAATAGTAATGGGAGAAGAAGATAAAAATGAATCTGTAGGAGGTGCTGATTGAGAATAGAGTTTCATATTTGTTGGTATTATTTCTAACTCTTCAGAGAGTAGTAGTTGTTTACGTTGTACAACATAATAATCGTCATCTATATCCTCATGAAGAGTAACTGTATCCATTTCATTACCAGAGCTAGCATGATGTCTTGTAGAATTATATTGCATGATCATATGTCGATGAAGATAATCATGTTCAGATAGAACAACACTTTGAGATAATCCTTGTGGTTCTTCTTGAGTAGGTACATAATAACGTATCACAGTAGTCGCATTATCATTACCGTCATCATGAATAGACATCTCTTGACGCATTGTATTAGAAGAAGATGAGGAAGATAACGAAGTAGCAGATATATTTCTAGGAATATCATCCATTTCAAATATTGCTTCTTCTTCTTCCTCTTTATTACACGTATCATCTTCTTTAGTTACTTGTTGATCTATCATTGATAAAGAACAGTGCTCCTTATTAGATGATGTTATGTTATTGTTGTTGAAATAAATTAACTTTTTTGATTTATTATACATATTGAAAACAAATAAATAAATAATAAAAAAGAAAGAAAAGATACGAGGGTTTTTTTAGCCTCTAATTAATTTATTTACGCAAAAGTCATACAAAAAAAAAAAAAGATAAACACCTATAGTTGTTTATACTTGAAAAGTTATATCGTATCAATGTACCTTTATTTTCTTGTGACTGGTAATCTTAACTACCACTACTACTATTGATCTTGTACAATAATGCAAAGTTTATGAGTTTAAATTTAACCTTAAAAAAAAAAAAAAATCCAAAGTTGATCATTATAAAACAAAATCAAGAATCAGAGAAACTGTTGCAAGCTTTTTATTTTTTTTTTTTTAAAAAAAAACCCAAAAAAAACCAAAAAGGTGGGGGGGGAGGATAACTTAACACACAGACAGTATTGAAATGATAAAAGAAGATTGAAGCGTTTCCTATGTCAATAAAAGACGATATCAGATGTATCATGAGGTGATGCTATATTCGTGTAAAGAGGAGGGGGCGTTGTTATTAATTCTCAAAGATACAACAGATCATGCTTCCCTTGTTATCTCAACTATTAGTAACCATTCGTTCTTTAAAGTGGCTAGTATTGTATATCAATGATACAAAATTAAATGGACTCACAAACTTTAAATGACCCTAATAAGCAGAAACTAATTGTCGATCAAATACTTTTACTAAATTGGATCTTTAAGAGGAACAAAAATGCAGATACACTCAAATAAAATAATACTAGCAGAAGGATAAATTGTCAAGTTTCATTCATCTTTATTTTCATTAAAAAAAAAGAAGGATTTCTTCTCAAGATGATAGTAAATAAAGTCCATGATGTATTCAATGATTTGAGGGGGAGAGGGGAGTTATCCAAAATTTATATATTTATTTATTCTTTATTTGGCACAGAATATTAAGATTCACTTGAATGCCGTATTGTCAATAAGAGGATAGGTTACTCAAAAAAAAAAAAAAAGCCTCTTATTGTTGTGTTAAAAAAAGAAATAGGTATGACTATAATACAATGAGTAAGAGGGGAAGGGAGAAACGATTCTAGGAATCCTTGCTGCGGTTATGGTAATAATAGTGGCAGATTCTTTTTGATACAATAGGTAATCAAGTTTGTGGAAGATGGTACAAAATAGATATATTAAGGAAAGAAAAAAAAATAGCAGGGCTAGTAAGTTTTGTGACTCATGTTTGAGAGTGTATTTATAGGAAAGAGCAAGAGGCTTTTAATCGCTGAAAAATACTTGGAGGCACAAATACATACAAAGATAATGAATAGAGTATTGTTTTGTTATCAATTAAGTGTATGTTAGTAATTTCAATGTCTATAAGGTGATAGCCATTCAAGACATCACCAAATACATTTATTGCGTTTCATAAATGATAAAAATAACTAGAAGATCTAATGGTATGAATGGATTAGTCATTTAGACTTGTTAAGAGTATTTTTATGTTGACCTAACTTTGGCTGGGCGAATTGAATCTATACATTTAAAAATGTTTTTACTTGTAATAAAACATAACTTTTAAAACCCTCTACTTGGACATAATATATATCTCAGAATTGTGCAGACTGAATTATCAAACAATTTATTTAAGGAAGAGAGAGAGAGAGAAAAGAGTAGCTATGGATAGGGGAAGAGAGAAGCCAATCGAGAAATCTATGTCCTGGTTATGATAACTGTGGATTCATATTTTTATGATGAAAGAGGCGATTAAATCCATACAATATTTGTTTTTTCTTTTTTAAAAAAAGAACTCAATCTTTCTCATGATTAGCAGTAGAGCATAGATGATCTTATGTCAATTAGAATATTCACTAGTTGAAAAAATATATGTTTTACCATCAACTAAAAAAGCAACCAGCCATTTTTGAAAAAGAGATGGGTCTATACCACTGAATATAATCAACAAGTATGACCAGTAGTATTACAATGCAACATAAAAAGATATCTTGTAATGTGATTGAATATATCGTCATACTAATTATTTCTTGTCAAATCAGGTATTGATAATAAAAAGATGATTGAACACAAGCTTCAAATAATGATACTTGGAAACATAAATAAGTTTATACTATCATTTTCAATCATGTCACTAAAATTAGGACATTTAAAGCACTTAACCGTATTCAGGAGTGACCCTTTTCGATTGTCATGCTTTAATTCATTGACAAAAAAGAAAAAGGTATTCCTTTTATCTCATGACTATTTTTTTCTATGAAATATACTTATGTTAACTAAATACAATTCTATTTAATATGTAAAATCATCAATCATTCCTAGTAGCAATTAATCGCCTTTTTTTTTTCTTGGTTTAAAAAGTAGATTGATTTCAAGACAATTTATGTTTAGACCACAGCTATTAGTAAAGCTTTTATGTTTAACTGTGATAACTTGATTCTTAAAAAATATTTCTTGTAAAACTCTTTTTTTTTTTTTTTTTTTTTTTTTTTTTTTTTTTTTTTTATAAATTTATACGCCCCCTTTTTTTATACATTGTGCACTCAGTAATTCTATTTTTCTTTTTTCAAGGAAGCGTGCCACCGTCGTCAATATTTAGCTATGATTGTAGGTGAAGGTGCGAGAGGAAGGAAAGCCCCATTTTCCACTAACTGACTCATCACTTGACTTTCATCTTTATCAAAAACTCCTTAGTAACTATATTTATAAAATATTTCATAAAATTTGGTATATATGGTTTTTCAGTCGCTTAAATGGATAAAGATAATGAATTCCTACTAGAGTATTTTATATCATTCACATGCAGTCTAGGTTATGTTAACTTACAATTTATAAAGATTAAATAGGTAAATTCTATATTACAAAGTAGTATAATTTAGACTATTACATTAAAAGATTCAAAAGGCTAATTGTAAAGGAAAAAATAATTTTACAGTTTAATGTTTATTAAAGGTGGAGACAATCTATTTGAAAGAAGATTTATTTGAACAGATATAATACTAAATTCTAATTTGTAACAAGAGAAATACAATTTAGTTTATATGGTATCTGACAGCAAATAGTATATAGAATAGCAAGCCACAAAAAAAAAAAAATTCAGTGAATTGACACATGCGTAACTATACTCATAGATGATGCTATATGTAAAATAGAGTAATTCCACTTAAAAAAAAGGCAAGCGATCTCAGATTTCTACCACTTTATAAATATTGCTCTTTTCTTTTAGGTGAATATATTAAAAATTAATGTTACAAAATACCACATATATCAATGCTTCTCGTTTCAAAAAAAAAAAAAGCTGTACATGCACCTTTGTATAACCTTATAAAATCAAGTTACTACAAATTAGATAAAAAGACACATTTGAAAGTAATCAGCTGGTCCGTGCCCTCTCTCCCCCCCTTTTTTTTTGACTTGTTTCTGGGAGAAATGAAAAGTACCTTGATGAAGCATCATCATCTTCCTTTGCTCCGGGATATTCAACCGAATACATTCTTTTACGACTATGGTTACTTATTGATGTGATCAGCAGATTATGAATAAATTAAAAAAAAAAAAGAAAAAAAAAAGAAAAAAAAAAGAAAGTGTCTAAAGTATACATCATTACTGTATATCAACATACCCAGCCCTATTTTATTATTCTTGTTATTATTATTAAATGTTTATAACACTTGACCTGCATGTAAAATAGAAACATATATAACCATAAGAAAACAAAGATTTATAGGATGACATTTTTAATTCTATACACAAAGATGGAATACAGAGTAATAAGAGATGAAACCATTTACTGTGTTCAAACGTTAAAGTCCTTTTAATCGTACAAAGTAAATGAGATTGAATTCTTTCTCCTTATTACTACCTGAAGTAAGTAAATCCGAATAACATAAAGGAATTTGTACTAAAAGAGTCCTGTTAAGATTTATTTATCCATTTCATATTTATCAATCATATGATTTAAGCTTTAAGTAACACTAGAAGAATGATACTATAATTTTGTACAATTCTTCATTTCTTTTTTTTTCTCATTTTATACACATTAGATAGCACTTTTCTCGTTGATAAATCACAGGTCGAGATGTATTGACTAGAATATATGCTGCATATGATACAATCTACATATATCATCTAAACTGATGTATGTATGTGTATATATGGATATATATATTATGTATAAAAATATATATACTTTGCAAGCCTAAATTACTGTACAACAATCCCATAATCAAAAAAAAAATCTATCAGGTGAAAATCAAATAAGATTATTCAACGACTCGACATTTCTATATAAATATGTCTATTTTATGACAAAATAGTTTATTTTTCTCCTCCTCTTTCATTTATTCTAATACCTATTTTTTTTTTTTTTTTTTTTTTTTTTTTTTTTTTAAGAAATTCTCTTCTCTATTATATCAATAAAATGACAAATATATTCCAAAAGGTATAGGAAAATAAAATAAATATTAGATCTGTTTCTTCTTTATGTATTGATATAAATATTTATTTATAACAGCGTTCAACCATAAACAAAAATAGGTCATTCTGTCCTTTAATTCTATATCATGATAACCCATCAACTCAACTTTCAATGGAATTAAATGCTAATTTACATGAACACCGTACAGCTATAGATCGTCATCGAAATAAGACCAATGAAATGTTAAATCAAAATGCACAATTTTGGATTGAATTATCTACAAACTTGATAACAGACATTTCAGGTAACTAAAGGAAAAAAAAAGTAGTACATGTGTAGTAGTACAAATAATCAGTGCACTAAATAGCATAATTATTATCTTATTGTTTTCTCTCTCTCTCTTTTTTTCCCTCGTTTTTTTTTTTTTTTTTTTTTTTTTTTTTTTTTTTTTTTTTTAGATTGTTTAAATAATAAAGATATCAAAGTGTTGCCAAGTACAAGTACAACATCAAATATTAGTTCCTCTTCAAGCTCAAGTTCTGGTGATAGTATTGTCACAATAGATCATCATGTGAGAAATTCTCGACCGCCACTCATTAAGAATTCACCTTCCATTACTTCAAATCATTTCTCTTCTGATAGGATAGAAGAAGAAAAATTTAAAATGATATCATCTTCACGACAGAAAAGACAGTCTAGATTAAAATCTTTAAAACCAACACAAACATTGTCTGATACTGTAACAACAACAACAACAACAACAAAGAAAAGACGTCGAGGAAATCTACCAAAAAATGTTACTGAGTTTCTTCGAAAATGGCTTATTCAACATAAAAAGCATCCTTATCCTGCAGAAAAAGAAAAAATAGATCTTGCTCGTCATACGGGTCTGACTGTAAATCAAATCAGTAATTGGTTTATTAATGCTAGACGTCGAATCTTACAACCAATGCTAGAATCTGAAAGTCTAACAGCACATATCATGGCACATCCTGACCTTAAACATCCACATTCTCTCTTAGTGAATCATGCAAACACAAAGCGATATGATATTTATACGAATGAACAATACTATTCTAATTCTCTTTGTAAGTAATCAAAAGGGTCATTTTTTTTTTATTATCATTCTAATTAAACTTATTCTATTTCCTAAAGATGATTCTTCTTTACCTACAATGAATAATAAGAATGAGCTTCATTATCAACAAAAGCAGCAATCTATTTATCATTCAAATCAAAAAATGACGTTTTTAAACAAGTCAAGTTTAATGGAAACGAACCATTCGAAAATATCATCTATACACTAATAAGAAAGAAAAGAAAAGAAAGAAAAAGGGAGGGTCTACCTTAATAACTTTCTCTCTCCATTTTTTTGTTTATATTATTACCATTGTATATTATTATTATTCTATTCTCCTTCTCCCTTTATTTACATTCTTTTTTTTTATTATTATTAAATAATTATCATTTGTAATTTTATCATCATTATTTACTTTACCGAGATCTATAAAAGGAGAATAATGATGTGTCACTGTTTGACAGAATAGTTAAGTGATGACCCCTATCCATTTGAAATATACATACATATATGTATATGCATGTATAAATGCTACTCATTTCTTTTTGATCTTTTTTTTTTTTTTTTTTTTTTTTTTTTTTTTTTTTTTTTTGCGTTTTACAAAATGTATCATTCTTCCTATTGAATTCTACTGTATAAAAAGATTATATGTTATTATTGTGTAGTAATAAAAAGAAGCTGATTTGTAGGTATAACATGTTTTATTGTCATCAGCCCTTTTAGTGACATAATTTGTTGAATAAAGTAATAGCTTCTTATTTAACAAAAAAAAAAAAATAATAATATACCTCAGTAGTACAGCATCAAACAAAAGATATACTTTTTCTCAATGGTGTATTACTACATACTCGAAAAAAAAAAGAAAAGAAAACGAAAATAGTGATTTTCAGTTATACATTTGACATTTTTTTTGTAGTAATAAATCATGGGACCCTAATGGATAATTTACATATTATTTTAAATGTTAATATGTGAATCATAAAGTAGCAATAAAAAGGACCTTCTTTTTTTTTCTTTTTTAAATACAATAAAAAGTGGTGAAACCACCATTTTTATGTCTTATTTTAGACATTGTTACCAGAATTGGGGTGGTTATATACAAGAAGAAGAAAGTTACATTAAATGTATAATATGAGTATTATACAATAATAATAATAATATATGTATTCACGTATGTCTGTGCGTTAGCAGTAAGGTTTATTAAAGAACAACTTTATTATAGAAAATCCTATATTGATTACATACAAAATAATGTGTAGATTTATAAGATTGAAAATGATAGATACATATATATATTATAAATCTATGTACATGAATATTAAATGTCTGAATAGCTCCATTGACTATAGACATTTTTCAAGCATTCATTCAAGAGCTAGACGTCTGTCAAAAAAAAAAAACAATAAATAAATACGAATGGGTTTATTCAATTTATGCAATGGTCATTAACTGATACTAGTTCCAACATCCTTGTATTCAAATTGTTATTATCCGCAGTGAAGTAATAATCTTCCCCCCCCTCTCCCGCTCTGGCACTTCTCTTAACTTTGGACCAGAATAATTCAATAGAGTTTAAAAACGATGAATAAGATGAAAAAGTACATGACTTTATATCCGCACAATACAGTTAGACTTCAAACCTCAGTGATTTTATAAATAACAGTGTTTTCTGTAATACCACCCTTTTATGTTAGTCTATTTGACCCAAACTTCTTATAGCATTCATAGAAATAAACTCTATGAAACACTTACCAGAGTATATCTCTTTTAGTGTTTATTTTAACCTTTTAAGCTTTGTCATTTCTTTTATTTATTTTTTTTAAATATACTTATTAAAACCTGCTTTATTAATAAAAACACAGCATTTTTCTACTCGAGAATTCTATCCCTATATAATATGTATACATATATAGATGTCATTATGAAACATTCATGAAAATACAAGTGTTTCCAACTTCATACAAACTAAACAGATATGTGAGACAAGATGGCTATAAAGGATTACTGGGTAAAGTATTCAATTCAAAAATTTCAAGCGAATGTATGTATTCTTTGTCCACCAAAGTATAATTTCTGGAAATCTTACTCTAAGGCCTTTTATAGAAATTGGTAGTATGTATGATAAGACTGAATTTTTTTTTTATTACCAACTGATTTGTTGCTTCTTACTATCTTGTAAGCGTTTCTCGTCATCTTTCTCGTATACCTTTTTTTTGCATCACATATTGTGCTATTCACTTGACAATTATTACAGTATTTTCCTCTGATTTCCTTGAAGACTAGATCTTGTTTGATAACAAGATTAAGAACTTCTTGTATTTATCAAGGTAAATAGGATCTATCTATTTTTTATGTATTTTTTTTTTTCACATTATTACTGTTTCGAACCAACTCTGATCTATAATTAGCCCTTCCCAGTAATGTAAAATAAAATTTTATATCAATCTATGATTCCCTTTTAATAGCTAAAAGTGTGTATATGCATATGCATTTGTATATATTCATGTTTATATTTATGCAATAGCTTTCACATTTTATTATTGTGAATTAATAATAAATTGGAGGTGTATTGACTGTATCCTTTTTAATGGGCATAGAATTTCCCATTTTAGTTATCATCTTCATCATTCCTTTCGCTTGCTGTTGACTTGATATTTCTTCTTCTCTTATAATATCAGGATAATACACTTTTTGACTACAAAAGTGCTCTAATTGACTTTCCTTGCTTGGAACGATTGCAATTGTTTCTTCATCACTACTAGTACTACCCTCAGACATGATCGTATGTGATGACTTGGGCTGTCTTTTAAGATAAAGTCGTTTCATATGAGACATTGAAAGAGGAATTGATTTTATCTTGTTATTCCATCTCATTGTTGTCTTTTCATTCATAAAATTTGTTTCATCATGGTACTGATTTCCCTTTTTTATTAAGGGTATGAAGTCATCAAAGGCAACACAAATTTGGTTTTCAAACTGGTGTGTCCTTGTGTTAAATGGGTCCTTGTCAAGTAGTATTAATCTGTTATGTAATCCTTCAATTCCAGTAGTGATAAGACGATATAAAAGAGGTGATAAATGAGCTTGTGAAGGATCTAGATGAGTAGAAAAGATAGATATATAACATTCATCCAACGTCTTATTACTTTCTTCGGTTGCTTTATAATCATTTTCCAACATGGCATAGAGGGCAATATGGGCAATTGAAATCCAATCAAAGTTTCTTCTTTGAATTCTTTGAATAAGTCTATTATAAGACTTGGTCTTTGCCTTTGCTGCCTCAGTCTTAGAGGTGGGTGTTATCAAATGACTAGTGGCAGAATACCTTGATAAATGATGATTCTTTTTCAGTTTGAATAAAGTTGAAGGATGATGATGCCGTTTATAATTCTTGGAGTGTTCAATGATCATACGGGTCAAGAAGTGATTCGCCTTTTCAGCAAGGATTGGATCACAATCCAAAGGACCCAAGACTATCTTCCCCATCGCTTCTCCTAATCTATAAGCATCCATTAAATTGATATCTTTGTATTGCATGACTTTAATAAGAAAATCCAATAACTCTAAAAGAAAACTCTTTCCCTTTTTCGTTATATATTGAGAAAGTTCATCCAATGTACAAGCTATTATATATAAGTTTTATAGAAAGTGTGTGTGTGTTTGTATATAGACTTACTTTCATAATTTATAGTTCGCCATATTTTTCTTGTCATTAAACGTTCGTGACAACACCAGATAATATCTTGCATTAATGTTGCAACAGAATGAATACTAACTTGAGTAAGGTCTTCTGGTGTACAATTATGTTTTCGAAAGACTTTTAAAATTAAGGTACCATTAGGAACTATTATTATAATGGGATCATTTAGTTTCTGTTATAAATAGAGGAGATACTTATAATAAAACGAGGAGATAGATAAAATAAATAAATATATGTATATATGATATAAAAGATAATATGTTTGTTTGTATACTATTGAATAATAGGAATTCATTAATAGAGGTAGAATACACTCACCAGATTTGCGTAATATTTTACGCTCACTTAATCCTATTTACTCAATAAAAAAAAATAAGCTTTGGTTTAATCAATAAAATTTCGTTATATACCTCTTTTCTGTATCTCATCCATACATATACGACTTATTTGAATAGCAAAATCAAAGGAATACATGAATAGTAGTTGACTATTATTGTTTTATAAAGAGAAGGAAAAAGAAGATCAAAGAAGAAGAAGAAGAAGAAAAAAGAAGTGAGAATTTAGTTTTTTATATATTTCGGGTAAATAGTTCTGTTGAATATGTATTTTATATCTTCATATTAAGGCTTTTACTATTTCATTTAACTTTCCCCTTCTTTTCTTCTTTTACTCCCCTTCCCCCTCCTTTTTTTTTTTCTTTACGAGTTTACTTAAAAACAACAACAACAACAACAACAACAAGGGAGAACTATAAGTAGATTTAAGCCTTATTTATCAAAAAGGAGGATTTTTTTTTTATGCTTCAATTACACTCTAGTAGTTTATTTTATACAACAGCAGAAGATTTAAGTGTGTCTATAAAAAGCACAGCTAATCTGAATTTCAAAAAAAAAAAAAAAAATTTAGTAATGGTCACCATTTTCAAAACAATAAAAATCTTCTAATAAAACGTATTACTTACATAAATAGTATATTTATCCTTCTTTTTTTTTTTTTTTTTTTTTTTTTTTTTTTTTTGTTATTATTGTTGTAATGGACACAGATTTGCCTGTAAATAATATTATAGATCCCCCGACAGAGCAAACAAGAGAGGATATAGTGATGGAAGAAAATGCTGAGCCTGTTCAACCAGTTTTGACAAACAATAATCAAGAACCAGCAGAAACGATCTTGTCTGAAAATAGCGTCATTCCATTGGAGTCTTCTGATACTATAATCAATGAAACTGTGATCAATGAAAATATAATAGGTGAAAATAGAACAAATGAAAATACTGAAAGTGAAAATACTGTAAATGAAGATACTTTAGGTGAAAATACGAAAGACGAGAATACTACAAGTGAAAACATTTTGAATGAAAATAGTACAGGTGAAATTATTGCAAGCGATAATGCTACAAATGATATTGCTGTAAATGACAACATTGCAATTGACAATACTGTAAATGACACTACTATAACTGAAAATACTTTAAATGACAATACTGCAAATGAAAACACAGTTAGTCAAGACGAGGCAAATGAGGCTGAGTCAACACAGATAGAAGAAGCAAAGGATTCCGAACATGTTGCACCCATGGAAGAAATAAACCATGATGCAACAAATACTCCCTTATTAAGTGCGCCTGCTTCCTGGCAGCTTCCTGTCACGGCCTTTGTTCAACAAAGCCCTCAACAACAAAAGCTAAATGATCCAGCTGTTAATAAAGCTAATTTAAGGAAAGAACGTTTAGAAGCTCGCATTAAAGAATCGAAATATGACATAGAGGCTTGGTCCAGTTTAATGAATGATGCTCAACAAACTGGTGATTTACAAATCATTCGTGATGTTTATGAACGTTTCTTAAAAGTTTTTCCCACTTCAGTAAGTTTTCTTTTTTTTTTCCTCCTCCCCCTTTCTAAAGTGCTTTATTTAATTCTCACATATCTATATAAACTTAAGCCAAAGCACTGGCTTGCTTATCTTGAATTAGAACTCAAATATTCCAATTTTAATGAAGTGGAGGCTTTATTTACACGTTGTCTTAAAACGGTTTTATCTGTCGACGTTTGGAAGTTTTATCTTGGTTATATTCGTCGTATTAATCTTGGAGAAAGTGGTTCTGCTGTAACTCCTGAAGCAAGAGGTATTATCGAAAAAGCCTATGAATACGTATTAGGTAACGTGGGTATTGACAAAGATGCTGGGCCTATTTGGGCAGATTACATTTATTTCTTAAAATCTGCAGAGGTATATACATATATACATATAACGAGAAGAAAATTATAATCTTATTTGTATTTATATAATATGATTAGACTTCAAATACATGGGAAGAACAACGTAAGATGGATTCAATGCGTCGTGCTTACCAAAAAGCTGTAACAATCCCTTTAAATAACGTTGAACACCTCTGGAAAGAATATGATCAATGGGAAAACAACTTGAATCGTTTAACAGTAAAGTTTATAGAAAACAAAAAAAAAAAAAAAAAGGCTATACATCCATATACTGATAATTCTTAATTAGGCAAAGAAATTTTTGGGTGAAAAATCTTCAGCTTATATGACTGCACGTACTGCTTTACGTGAAATGAAGTTACATACAGATAATATCAATGTAAACACAGTTGCTTCACCACCTCAGTGGACTCTAAACGAAATCGAGCAATTAGATTTATGGAAAAAATATATTGAATGGGAAAAGAGTGACCCTTTACAACTAGAAGATGAGACGGCTATTATGGATCGTGTTGCTTATGCTTATCAACAAGCCTTTTTGGTTCTTCGACTGTATCCTGAAATATGGTATAGTTTTGCCAGCTATTATCAAGAACATAATAAAGCTGAAAAGGCTCTCTCTGTCTTGAAGCAAGGTATCGAGATTTTACCAACCAGTTTATTATTAAATTTTTATTATGTGGAACTATGTGAATCTAGAAGACAGTTGGATGATGTACGACAAGCCTATGATCAACTTATTGTCAAATTAGATGAAGAAATTGATACTTTAAAGAAAGCAGCTCAAGAGGAGATGGATAAAATTCAACAAAGGGCTGATGCAGAACGTGCCTCAATGAATTTATCCGATGATATTGACGGCGAATTAAGAGAACAGTTACGTGTTCGTGAAAAGCAATTTAAGAAAGAACAGGAGGCCATTGAAAAAAAGATGACTGAGCGTGTAGATATGATTGCTCGTGCTTGTTCATTAGTTTGGATCAATTATATGCGTTTCGCACGTCGTACAGATGGCATCAAGAGTGCACGCGCTTTATTTTCTAGAGCACGTAAGGCAACAAACTCAACTTACCATGTCTATGTAGCGGATGCCTTGATGGAATATCATAATTCAAAAGACGCAACTATTGCCGGTAAAGTCTTTAGTTTGGGCCAAAAGACATATGGTGATAATCCTGATTTTATTTGTCAATACCTGGATTTTTTGATTCAAATGAATGACGATAATAATACACGTGCTTTATTTGAAAGAACTTTGGCTACTATGCCTGCTGAAATGGCTGCTCCTATTTGGCTTAAATTTTTGAATTATGAAAATAAATATGGTGATTTGGCATCTGTACAAAATATTCAAAAAAGACGTATAGAGGCACTTGCTAATCCTAATATCAATATGATGGAGTCCTTTTTGAAAAGGTATTGCTATTTAGATATTCATACTATTGAAGAACAAGAGTTGGGATCCTTGGCTCGTAAACAGCTATTGCAGGGTATGGTTGAAATAGATATGAATCTTTCTGTACAACAACAACAACAACAACAACAGCAACAGCATCAACAACAGCAGCCACAGCAGCAAGAACAGATGTCACAACAGGGGCAACGACAGTTACTTAAGGATAATCAAAAGAGGCCTCTTCTAGAACCTGTTCATCCTGAACGTTATCCTAGACCCGATTTTGGACAATGGCAAAGCTTTAAACCTAGTGCTCATCCTACAAGTGGGTCACCCATCATTACCACTGTAGTTCCTAGTACTCCCCCTAATTTGACTACACAAGAAAAACAGCAACAAACCAAAATGGAACCTATTGTTCAAGTTAATCCTATGATGGCCATACCTCAACAGCAACAACAACAACAACAACAACAACAGCAACAGCAGCAACAACAACAGCAGCAGCAACAACAACAACAACAACAACAACAGCAGCAGCAGCAGCAGCAGCCTTCTACACCCAGTCAACAAGCTTTGCCACCCCCACCACTGCCGTCATCATCGTCATCATCATCGACACAACTAATAGGTAATTGGAACGCTAATACAGGTATGATGCCATCAGCACCAGCACCTCCATTGCCTCTACCCGATGCTGTTGCTTATTTTGTATCTAATTTACCACCTGCTCAAACCTTTAATGGACCTATGATTCCACCTAATGAACTTGTAGACCTTTTACGTAACATTATCATACCCTTACCACCACCACCACCACCATCACAACAACAACATTCTCAACAGGGCCCTAACCTACAACAACAAAGATCATTTATTTCCCCCAACAAGTCCTCATCTAATAGAGGAGGAGGAAATTATGGTAACAATAGCCGTTCTAATAGTGGTAGTGGACGTAACAGCGGATATAATAAACGTACTGGAACTACCCCCATGCGTGGAAATAAGCCAAATATGAAACGAAGAAATAGAGATGATTATGAAGATGATTATCAATCTCACAAAGGTAAGAGAAAAAAAAATATTCTTCCTCTCATTTTTATTATTAACTTTTTGAGTTATTTTAAGGTATTGGGCCAAATAGGCCACCAGACTTTGATTTATTCAGACAAAGACAACAAAAGAGACACAGAGATGATCCACCTTATTAAAATCATGTTTGTTCGATTTTTAATAAAACTGATTGTATAAGTCCCAAATTATTGTAACCATTAAATTAAGTAAATGCAAAGAAATATCTTTTATTTTTATTTATATAACAAAATAAAATTGCTTTATATAATAAACAAGCAATATGTATATATATTTTTTTTTAAGTTTCCTTTTTTAATATATGTAAGGAGGACAATAAAATATTAATTAACTTTGCTTATTGACCACCACGAAGACGAAGAACCAAGTGAAGAGTAGACTCTTTTTGAATGTTATAATCGCTCAAAGAACGACCATCTTCAAGCTGTTTACCAGCGAAAATAAGACGTTGTTGGTCAGGAGGAATACCTTCCTTATCTTGAATCTTTTGCTTAACGTTTTCGATAGAATCAGAAGATTCCACTTCAAGGGTAATAGTCTTACCAGTAAGAGTCTTGACAAAGATTTGCATACCACCACGGAGACGAAGAACCAAGTGAAGAGTAGATTCTTTTTGAATGTTATAATCACTCAAAGAACGACCATCTTCAAGCTGTTTACCAGCGAAAATAAGACGTTGTTGGTCAGGAGGAATACCTTCCTTATCTTGAATCTTTTGCTTAACGTTTTCGATAGAATCAGAAGATTCTACTTCAAGGGTAATAGTCTTACCAGTAAGAGTCTTGACAAAGATTTGCATACCACCACGGAGACGAAGAACCAAGTGAAGAGTAGATTCTTTTTGAATGTTATAATCACTCAAAGAACGACCATCTTCAAGCTGTTTACCAGCGAAAATAAGACGTTGTTGGTCAGGAGGAATACCTTCCTTATCTTGAATCTTTTGCTTAACGTTTTCGATAGAATCAGAAGATTCTACTTCAAGGGTAATAGTCTTACCAGTAAGAGTCTTAACGAAAATTTGCATTTTATAAATAAAGAATAATAATAATAATAAACTGAAAAAAAAGAAAAAAGGAAAAAGGGAAATTGATAAGAAAATAAAAAAAAAAGAATATTTATATGCTAAAAATGACGATAAAAAAACAGAACTGCGGCATATACGGAAGAATTTAATTGGTTAGTACTTTTCTAGAAACCGTCATTGGATGGATATTATAATAGTGTATAATTTTCTCTTTCTTAATTTCTCCTTTTATTTCTTTATGCCTATCAAATTAACATATCATATTCTTTATTTAGTTTAAATATGTAATCTATTTTATCTCTTTTTTTTTATTATATTAAAGCTTGTTTTTCTTTGATTAAAAAGTTCGGGATTAATAAAAAAAAATCCCCGTAGTGTAAAGGATGAAAATTAATCATTTTCACTAAAAAAAAAATGGTTTCATAAATCGGTAACAAAAGTCATTTGTTTAGCTATATTTTAGTCATCTCTGTAATACATAACATATATTATGAAAAAGCAGGGATTTTCTTATAAACAAATATAAGCAATAATACACTGCTACACAGTAATATTTTATTGCCTTTTACAATATAAGAAAATAATAATAAACAATCTCCGCGTTGTTTCTATTATTATTACTATTTAATCTGCATAACAAATTCTTTATTAGTCTTCATAATACTCAGTACTAAATACGCGTATTAACACGCAAAATAAAATGTTTAAGGATCGTACTAAAAATGTTGTCAGTAAAGAAGTTAGATAATAACGATGAGCCCTCTCTAAAAAAAAGGAAAAGAAAAGACAATGAGCAATTTTTATATTAATAATACACTCCTTAAAATAAGATTTTCTTTTGTATAAGATTTCCCGTCATTTTCCTTTATTTTCTTATGAGTAAATAGAGCTAATCTAATGACACAAGCATAGTTGTAATATAATTATTCTTTTTATTTTACTTTATTTTATTTTTAAATGATATTACATGATTAAAACGTCACAAACTCAAAAATAATCTTCTTCACTGTTATCTTGATTGATTTTTTTCTTATTGCAACTTAATATGGTAAGAAGCGTGTCCACCAAAAAATAAAAAATAAAAAAAATAAAAATAATAAAAATAATAAAAAATTAAAAAAAATAAAAACCATTTTTTTTATACATCAATTTATCTATAGAAAATGGCTATTATTCAAAATGATAATGAACAAAATAAAGATGTTATAGTCTCAAATAATAATTTCGAAAGTGAAGTTGAAGATTCTGAAGCAGAGGATGAAGTTGAAGAAAATACAGAAGAAGGTAAATATGTTACGCTGTGTTAAAATTATTTTATTAAATTTAGTTACAACTTAGGCCTTCTTGATGAATATCCTGATGATGCAGAAGTAAATTTTATACTAATTATGAATTAAGTATTTGATTCATACTATATTACTTAGGACATCGACTGTATTCATATGCGTGTTACTAGCATTCCAAATCTTCGTTTGGAAAGATTTAATAATCTCCAGGTAAAAACAAGATATTGCAATAATCACAAATAGATAGGCTCATACTCTCTCTCTCTCTCTCTCTCTCTTTAAGAGTATTTGTCTTCGTCAAAATTTAATTATTGATATTGAAGGTCTTGACTCTTTATCTCAACTAAAAGAACTTGATTTATATGATAACAAAATCTCTCACATGCGTGGATTAAATAATTTAACCCAATTAAGGTATGAAGAGAATAAACTAAACGGAAATTACATTAATATAGGTAAATAGGAGTCTTGATCTCTCTTTCAACAAGATTAAACATATTAAAAATATCGATCGACTCACTGAGCTTACTGATCTTTATTTTGTCAGTAACAAAATATCAAAAATTGAGAATTTAAACACACAGATCAACATTACGAATCTTGAATTGGGGGCTAATCGCATTAGAGTTATTGAAAATTTGGATAATCTTTCTAATTTGACTCAATTATGGTTAGGAAAAAATAAAATTACTAAATTAGAGGTAATTATTTTTTTTTTTTTTTTTTTTTTTTTTTTTTTTTGCAATCATGTATTTATGTATATTGCATTGGTAGGGTTTAAGCGCTTTGAAAAACTTGAGATCTTTAAGCATTCAAAGTAATCGATTGACAAAGATTGAAGGACTAGAGGAATTACATAATTTAGAGGAATTATATATGAGTCATAATGCTATCGAAAAACTTGAAGGTTTGGAGCATAATGTATGTATGCAATGTGAATTGTATAAACAGTAAATACTAATGTAACTTGTAATATAGCTGAGATTGAATACGTTGGATATTGCTAATAACTTGTTAACTCGAATTGAGAATTTGTCTCATTTACCCAATTTGGAGGAATTTTGGGCTAATAACAATAAATTCGATGTTGAATGTTATGATCAAGTAGAAAAAGAATTAGGTTCAATCAAGACATTGCATACAGTCTATCTGGAAGGCAATCCAATGCATCTTAAAAACAGAGCAACATATCGTAATAAAATCAGACTTGCTTTACCTAACATTAAACAAATTGATGCAACGTAAGTAAAAATGAATTATATTTACAAAATTGCTTTTTTTTTTTTCTTATAAAAAAAAACAAATTTTTATTCCTTATAGACCTGTTAAATAAAGAAGATTATCCAATTAAATGGATGCATTATATAAAAAAATAGTGGCTTATTTATGTATCATATTATATGTGTGTATATAGTGATTTGTAGAGGAGAAAGAGGAAAGTTTGGTGTAGTGTATATGTGTGTGTATTCATATTGATATTAGTTTGCTGTATTTTTTTTTCCCTTTTTTTTTTTATTTATTATTTTTTCTTATTTTTTATTTTTTATTTTTCATTTTTTCTTATTTTCCTTTTATTACATTTTGACTTCTATAACGTTGGAAATAAATAATTGATATATGTTTAGTTCAACAACACAGCCACCACCGTCATCCCTTCCTCTACCTAGTAATAATGACCATTTACAAACAAGACCTTATGTTAATAACTACTATTCTTTACAAGAAGAAAAAGAGTATGCAAAACTAAACAATACTGGTAATAGTTTCATTCGTCATTCCGAAGAACATTGTACATATAATACCACAACTACTGATGGCTATGCAGTAAGACCACAACAATATCCATTGTATTCCCATATAAAAAGAGAAATTCCCTCTTCACTAAATAATATATTACCACCTTTAACTTCAGCAAAATCAGTAACAGACGAATTACCAGAACCGTGGTATACTAACAAGCATAAATTAATAAGTACAACAACAGACACAATCAACAATGCAGAGTTAGGAGATACTAAAAAACATAAAAGACGAAAAGAAATGACTGCTTTAATGGAAGAATTAAATCAGGATTTTTTAAAGAAAAGAGAAAGGTACAATTAAAACTTTGATGTATATAAATACATGTATTAATTATTAATATACAATTGTAGACTTTATGTAGAAAAGTTAGATTCAATTAATCAAGAATTGAAAGATATTCATCGAAGTAAAATAAATACGGAAATTAATTATATTAAATGTTTAACCGAATTGTTATGTAACAGATAAACATGCATTATATCTGGATGGTTTAAGGGATTTAGAATTGATGAGGCAAAAGATGATTCATGATAGCTTATTACTTAGAGAATATCAAAATCAAGTAACTGATAATCAATTTCGATTAGAAATATACCAAGCTGAAGAAGAATATACTGTAATTATACATAAATAAATAGATATATCTACATGTATTTGCATGTATTGAAAAGCTGATTTTTTTTTATTTGTTATATAGGCCGAAACACAAGAAATAAGAGAAAGATTATTCAATGTATTAGAGGAGAAAAGGAAGAAATTAAAAGAAGATAAAGATAATTGCGAATTGAATTATGGTAAATAAAAAATAGGGGAAGGGGCAAAAAAAAGAAGAAGAAGAAGAAAAAAACAATCTAATATAAAATGATAGATGTTATATTAGATCCACAATTAAGAGTACATAAACGTAATTTACGTAAAAGAGGATCTGATCATGCAGAAAATAAAACAAATAAAAAGAAACAAATGACTGGGCCATCACTTGTATTTAAATTAAAAGAAGACGATATATTATCTGATTTACAATTGATGAGAGTGGTATGTGAAAAAAAAGTCAAAATGACGTAGTATAACATTTTATTTTAACTTTCTTTTTAGGGTTTGAGTTCATCTTCAGCACAAACAGCCAGTAGTAGCAGCAGCAGTAATAGCAGTACTGTAATTGGAAGTCCGACAGCCAAGAGAGCTTCGTCGACAAATAAAAAAAAGTAAATTATTTTTTCTAATTTATTCATTATGGAACAAACTAAAATAAAAAATAAAATAAAAATGTTAATATTTTACACTATTGTTTTCTAAAAAAAAAAAAAAAAAAAGAATGATATTCATTTACATGAAGGAGGGAGGAGGGGAGAATACTCAATGAATTCAATAATAATATGGATTTTTTAAAGTGTTGTTGGGACAGATTCAAAACCTTCTGCAAACGTAACAAGCATCACTGTTTCCTTATCAACACTCACTGTCTAAAGCTGTTATGACTGCATCCTATTTGTATTTTTAAGTATCATAAGTTTCGACTTTAATAATACTACTAGCATGTTAATAATGTAATATAAACTTGCCATCTCAACTCAACACGGTAAGAATAGGCTTTGAAGCATCAATATTGTACTATCTATAGCCTTAGTTAGCTTACCATACTTTCTTGTGGCCACAGGTTTATTAAAGAGTATATGAGTTCAATCTTATGTGTTAGAATTATTACATCTTAAATATCACTCACTTTAAATGGTTACCATCTTCCTACTATTCTCTCCACCACTCGTAAATTATAGTGCTTTCTTGGACGGTAGTCTTTTGGATTTATAATGGGTGTTCTGATTATCTCACATAAAGTCTCTTTGATCGATTTCTTCAGTACATAATATGTTGAATAACTTTTTTTTTTTTTTTTTTTTTTTTTTTTTTTTTTTTTTTTTTTTTTTTTTTTTTTTTTACAACAATTAACAATAGATGGTCAAGCTTCTTTAGGACTTCATCACTAAATGGACCCCTTAAAAGATTCATATGTCATTGTGTGTGATCTCAATAATACCAAGTTTCCTAAGGCTAAACAAATCAGTCATAAAGGTTAATTCAAATATGTACTGTTTTTATTAGTATGTCTTTATAAGTACCCTATTTTTTTAATTGACTCAACAACAAGGACATGGTCTCTTTAAGTTTTATCTCTTCCTTATCTTCTGCTTGTTATTCTTATAAAATTTTCTTTTCTTCTTCTTCTACTTTCTGTAATATTCTCTTTTGTCTCTTATTTGAAAAACCTGTACTTCCAATTATATACACCCCAGATATGTGTTTATTTTGCGTATTGTTTTAATTAGTTAAAGGTTATTCCATGATGTGTGTGTGTGTGTGGGGTGAGGCTTAGAAAGATATAGGGAATGAAAAGGGGAAAAGTTTTTTTTTTGTTATTATATTTAAAGGAAGATAAAGCATGATTCAGAGAGCAAGTATCACATTTTCAGTCTTTGTTTCGGTAATTTCAACCACTTTCTTAAAATGTATTGTTTGCTAAACTTTTTTATATATTTTTTATGAGGAGCACAACAACAGATGTATAAATGATCTAGACCGAGAATCATTATTTGGCTTCATAGTAAATGAGTATGGCTCATACAGTCTAGCTATATCAATAATAGTGTATTATCTACTACTACATAAACTTTATTATAAAACTCGACAAATCCTTTCTTATTTTAAAGCATTATTAATAAACTACATATCAAGTGCACATTTTCATGTATATATACATAATTATTCGATATTTATATAAATATATATATATATATCTGTTCCTATTTATATTCACTGCAAAAAAAAAAAAAAGCATAATGACAATATGATTCATTATACTCTCTATAAATAAACTAAAAGGATATATATTATACATTTCTTGTTTTCCTAATGTATTCAAATATAAGCCGCTATTTCTGTTCTATATTATGAGAAATACCAAATTTTATCTATATGCAAGCTAATTATTAAAAAAATAAGTAATTGACATAAGGTACAGGAGAATAGAAATCATATATGTATAATTTAGGTTATGATTACCTATTAGTTATTGTTAGTTTCTTTGTTTCCCTTACATAAGGCATGAAATGCATTAATTATATCCAATAGTAATCTTATCATAGATCAAAACTATATTTCTTTTCTTTTTCGTTAATTAGATTAAAGAATATCTATTAATATATAAAAAATAATATAAAAAACCAAGTAATTGCAAATACATGCATTCAGTTATGATATTCTGTACATTATCCTCGGATTTATATCATTCATGAATATTACAGGTAAAACTAATAAGCAGATGCTACTCTATATAAATTAACATCTGTTATTAAGCATTTTTTTTTTATATACGTATTTATAAATATGCATTTTTCTTGTCTTCTTTTGTATAAGATACTATAGAAATATATATTTTTGATTTAATCTTAGTTATATACATATATATTTATATCTTATTCATAATGCATTCCATATATTATAACCAGGAGAGTATTCTCATTAACATTGTGTATTCTACTTTTTCTGTTTCTTTCTCTCGGGCCTTTTGGCAGTGGTTTTTGATATCATGAATATTTATTTTGGTCATTTATGCAGCCTTTCTTTCTCCTGGCTACTTTTCAAAGGTTACCAATATGTAATAAAGTTATAATATACTAAATCATAAAAAAAAAGGGTCCAAATTGCAAAAAAAAAAAAGAGGTATATAGAATTATAATCTAATGATAAATTCATATTTAGCTATTGCTTCTGTATAGTGTATTTACACATATATATATTAAGAGGAAAAAAAAGGTTTAGTCTATTCTCTTCTTTTTATTTCCTTTTAGTATACATAAGAAAAAGTTGAATTTAGTCATCTTTGTAAAGCCGTTTAATATTCCGGATTAGCAAAAGAAATAAAATAGAATAAATTATCCATAAATCTTTCCCTTTTCTTTTTCTGTATTTCTTCTCTAGACAAAGCATTACTATCATCTTTTAGTTCTTAATTTTTTGTTACTTATTCAAAACAATGTCTGGTAGAGGAACTGCATCACACAATTATCAGTATTTATCTAATTATTCAAATGCTATGGATCAAATTTGTTCAGAGTAATATTAAAATACAAATAGATGTATATAGTTATCAGTTAATGCCCTTTTTTTTTAACTTTTAGACAGCTTATACTTAAAATTCGTCAACAGCCTATTCAAACTCGTTTAAGCACTAATAACGAAAGAGGTAAATACAATGATATACATACATATATATAGGGGGCAGATGAGAAGGAGAAGGAGGAGGAGGAGGGGGGGGAAGAGTTTTTTTTTAACAGTGATATGTAGACCGTAGACCAGTAGACCCACCTCCAATTGTACAAATTGAGCTTGATAATTCAACCATGCAAGAAACTCAGTAAATAGAATGTTAATAAAGATGTTTATAAATGATAATATATCATAACCTTTTTTTTTCTTCCCATAATGTAGAGAATTTTTACAAAATCCATACATTTTTATGTGTGTTACATTAATTGATTCAAATACTCACGAAGAAATTATCAATACAGTAAATCAGAATAATATATTATCAGGACAAACTTCTTCTTCTATGTACAAATTAAAGGATGTAAACAATCACGGTATGTTAAATCATGAATAAATAAGCCTCCTCCAAAAAAAAAAGAGTCATATTCACTGTTTATTTTTCGTTTTAAATAAAAAAAAAGATGGCGGATTTTTTGTATTTGGAGATCTTTCTGTCAAATTGGAAGGCCAGTTCAAATTGAAGTTCTCCATGTTTGAAATTTCCAAAACAGGAGTAACTAATTTAAAATCGATTTATTCTAATATTTTTCAAGTCTATTCATCAAAGACTTTTCCTGGTGTCCTTGAGTCTACTTTCTTATCCCGTTCATTTTCAGACCAAGGTGTAAGAATTAGAATTCGAAAGGAGCACCGTGTACAAATGTATTTATTTAGAATGCTTACACACACACACACACCATTATATAAATAATTAATATTTTAAATGATATATAGGATGGGTACACGTAAAAGAAAATTATCAATACAAGAAGATACTCTTGAGTTAGTTGATACAACAAAGAATTCAAACAAACCATGTATTCAATCACTATTAACTACTCCTAATCATTTATCAGCAAATACAATTTCTCCTTGGTCAGTTTCTGCAGTAAATGATCATACATCAAGGAAAGGCCATCTAAAGAGTCGTATGAGTCATGTACCTCGTCATGACCGTCCTCGGTCTTTATTATCTTGTCAGCAGCCAATAATGACTAATGAAAGGCAAAGCAAGCGTAATAACACAGTACTTTATTCACCTCCTCATCAATTTTATGATCATCATAGCCGACTTGGCGGTTATTATGTTAATAAACACTATAACACCTTCTCCCATCCGAAGCATTATCAAGATAACAATCATAGTATGCCATCACCACCTCCCCAACTCTCTTTATTTAAATTAATAGACGATAGCAAAAGTTTTCATTCTAATACAGAAAAGGAGACTCTCTTGCTGCCCTTAAGAAGACAGTCAGCCGATTCTCATTATCCATCGACTCCTTCACTCGCTATTGATACACTATCATTACCTCGTCGCATGTCCTTACAGAAATATCAACATTCATCTCTTAGAAGAATTCTTTGTCCTCCTTCTAACCATTATCAACAGCCTTTATTATTAGATAATGAAGTTATCCAATTACCTCCTTTACGTTCTATTATATCTGACGTTAGTAGTCCATCACCCTCTTTATTCTTTATAACGAGTCATAATCAGAAACAACAACAAAATGAAGTTGTTGAAGTGAACGCTGCAGTCGCTATGATGCAATTAGCTTCTACTACTAATAAAAGACAAGATTAACATGAATTCTAGTCGTCGTTATTTATTATACAAGAAATAGTAATAATAATAATAATAAAAACTATCTATTCTATAGATCTTCTCTTTCTCTAATTTAATATTTTATTTAGACTTCATTTGTTTTTTAATTAATTTCTTTTTGTTGCTTTTCCTTTTTTCTTCTTTTTTCTTCGTTTCAATGTCTTCATAATACTCCTTTGTCTCCAAATGTCCCATTAAAAATAAAATTTCTTTTCTAAATTGATTAATACCAGAGTATCTTTTTGAACTGACAATGATGACATCCTGAATTGCATTATGATAACGCTTTATATCATTTTGTACTGTGATAACTCGTCTTGCTAAATTGGGCAGTATCATTAAATCTGACTTTGTTAATACGACTTGAAATTTGATATTTTGTCTAATATTATTAGTTAGTTAGTTTGTATATAAAATAAAAGATCTGCAGTTTCTACCTGTTTAACATTTCAAAAAACTCGGTATCTATTACTTTTACCCCATGTCTTGCATCAAGTACAACAAAAATCCTCTTTAAAGTCTTTCTTTTTGAAAAATAAGTTTCCATCTGGTAATAATAATAATAGAATTAAGTTGCACCCTTTCTATGAATAAATACATATAAAATTTACCAATTCTCTCCATTGTCGTCTTTCTTCTTCATCTACAAATGCAAACCCATATCCAGGCATATCAACCATAAAAAACAGTCTTCCAACATTAAAAAAATTAATTTGTTGAGTTAATCCTGGCTTATCTGATGTTCTGACAACGGTTGTTTCTGCCAAACTATTAATTAAACTTGATTTTCCAACATTAGATCTACCTACAAAAGCTATTTCATCTAGTGTTTCTTCTGGAAATGAACTTGCTTGTTTTGCTCCTGCATAAAAAGAGAGTAAAGGAAGCTTTTTTTTTTAAACAAAATAAGAATATCGTTGAAGTAAAATAGAGTGTATATATATATGTATATAGTGTATATATGTATACATATATATATATATTTTTTTTTTTCAATTTACAGAATAGTGGGGTTCATGTATTTGCCGTCTCCTTTTTGCTATTTCTTTATTTAAACCTCCATATCTTTGTGTTTTCGGTAATTTATTAAATCCAAGCCTTTCAAGTTTTTCATAGAGACTTGCGGGTGGTTGGATTTGTTTAAATCTCTGTCGATTAGATAATTGTGAAGTATTATCATTTTGAGTGAGATTGCAATTGTTTTTTGTAGCTAATGAAGAAAATGCTCGTATTGATAACTTATTTCTTTCTAATAGCCTTTCTTGTTTTAAAAAGGAGTTTAGTAATCTATATCTTTGCATCGTTGATATAAAAGAAAATAATAATAATAATAATAATAAAGAGTTGATTATCCGGGGCTCTTTCTTCCCCTTTTTACAACTATTTTAATACCAGCAAAAGAAAAAAAAAAAAAAAAAAAAAAAAAAGGAAATTCTATCATCATCATCATCATCATTATCATCGTCCTCTATTAATTTAAGTCTTTAAAATGTTATTCCAACTTTTTAAATCACCATTACAACTAAAGTTAAAACAAGCTTGTCGTTTCTATACAGTTGCTAGGCCGCAGACAATATATGCACTCTCTTCTGCACCTGGTAAGGCGGGTGTAGCAGTCATTCGAATTTCAGGTCGAAATGCTTTGGAGGCATGTAATAAATAAAATAAAATAAAATAGATATAGAGTTCCTTAACTTTATTATGTTTCTTTCTCTCTCTCTCTCTCTCTTTTTTTTTTCCATAGGCAGTTGAAAAAATGACATTGATCAAGAGTGGCCTAATGGATGCCCGTAAAGCTTATTTTAGACGAATTCGACATCCTCACACAGGTCAAGTTTTAGATCGAGGTCTTGTTCTCTGGTTTCCAGGACCTCATAGTTTCACAGGTGAAGACTCTGTTGAGTTTCAAATTCATGGTGGTAACGCAGTTGTCAAAAGTGTCTTGAATGCTTTACGTGCAATACCCGATTTTCGGATGGCTGAACAAGGAGAATTTTCAAGAAGGTAATAAATAATATCTATATATATATATAATTTTACAAACGATCTCAAGGTTTTATAAGGGCATTCGATAATGACAAATTAGATCTTACAGAACTAGAGGGATTAGCCGATCTATTGAATGCAGAGACAGAGATTCAACACCGTTTAGCCTTACAACAAGCTGAAGGAGGGTTACGTAAACGATATGATGAATGGCGTCACAAAATTATTGAATGTATGGCCAGAACAGAAGCAGTAATTGACTTTGGAGAAGATGAACATATAGAAGAAGGTGTGATGGAAGAGGTTATAAAAGATGTTAAGCAACTCTATACTTCTATCTCTACACATTTAAACGATAGTCATGTAGGTGAAATGATTCGAAGTGGGATACAAGTGGCTATTGTAGGGCCACCCAATGCAGGAAAAAGCACATTATTAAACCGATTAGCAAAAAGAGAAGCAGCGATTGTGTCTTCTATACCTGGTACAACACGAGATGTTGTAGAGGTCAAGTTAGACTTGGGAGGATATCCTGTTATTGTATGTGATACGGCTGGATTAAGAGAATCAAATGATATAATTGAAATAGAAGGAATTAAACGAGCAAAAGCTAGGTAAAACCGAGAAAAGAGAGAGAGAGAGAGAGAGAGGGAGGGAGTTGATTATTGAGTATATGATGGACTAATATATGTATGTATATAAAGAATATTATTATCAGATTTAAAGATTTGTTTATTACCACTAAATGATATAGCTACAATTGATCCTATCGTTCGTGATATTATAGATAAGGATACTTATTTAATCTTGAATAAGGAAGATACAGTGTCATCTTACAGTAAAGAGGATATCGATAAACTCATATCAATGATAAAGAAAGAAATTGGAATCAAACATATTTGGACTATGAGTTGTACAACGGGAAAAGGAGTTGATCTCTTTTTAAATCAATTAATTAATATTATAAAAGACAAGTAAAGATAGTTTTTATTTTTATTTTTTTTATTTATTTATTTATAAATTTATTTTCTAATATAGGTTTGATTCATCTATTGCAAATCCTGCTTTAATAACACAAGCCCGACATAGAGAACATTTAGAAGACTGTATTCAATACTTAGAGTCATTTTTAAGTAAAAAAAGATAAATTAATATATAAGATTACTATTTCTTATATAGTATTATTAGATATGTCAAATGAAGAAATTGTCTTGTCGGCAGAAGAGTTAAGGCAAGCAGCAAATGCATTGGGTAGAATTACCGGAAAGATTGATGTTGAAAATGTACTAGATGCTTTATTTGGACAATTTTGTATAGGAAAGTAAATTGCATACTATAAGACATTAATAGGAAAAGAAAAACAAGAAAGAATCTCTCATATTTGTACATTAATAAATATAATAATAATCTTCATTTATGTACGTATCTGTTTCTATCTTAATAAATTCAAGATAGAAAAGTAGAATAATGCTTGACTAAAAAAAAAAAAAAATCCTTCTTCTACATAGATTAATATAATATAATAACTAAAATGCTTAAACTTTTCTATTATTCGACGTATTATCAGTCAGAAAGCACTGATAAAGTGGTTAACCATGCTATTTTGTTTTTCTTTTTTCACTTATTGTACTCTTCTTATGACATGATGCTTTCTATACTTATTACAGTCGAAGAAACTAGGTTGGGCCAATGCGAAAAAATTTGGTCGTTTCAAAATTGGATAGGGACACCAATGCGAAAATGGGACACAGATACAAAAGTGGGACATCAACATGAAAGTGGGATATATTGAGACACGCTTAGTTTTTGGGCGAATGTATAAACAAGAAGCGATAATCTTGTTCCATTTAACAAGAAAGGCCACCAATAGACTATCAAACTACTAAGATAATCATCCAGATTAGGATATGATTCACCTAACTTAAATGATCCCGGAACGAACAATCCTCATGGAGAATATCCCAGATTCGAACTACTTAGGACAATAAGGAGTATTTCTGTGAGTTTGGTGGAGTGAGTGAACTATCGTTTTTGAAATAATAAATCCAAGTAAAGTGATTAGGATACGTAGAATGTAGGGTCTTCATTATTCGTAAGAAAGAAAGACCTAGAGCCACCAGGTCTTGGTTACAATCATTATTTATACTCTGTAATATTGGGCTCCGTATGTAGTGCAGGTACCAATGTGGATCAGAAAACTGACAATTTCATATGATTATATTCATACAAGTAACAAATAACGATAAATGTATGTAAAAGGAGATCATCTTGGATCAATAAAGTTCTTCAGTCAGTTTACATTGAATAAACACTCACACAAGCATCTAGATTAACCCACTGTTTTTGTTTTTTCTTATAACTTTTTTATCTACCGATCCTACAGAATGAAAACCTAAGTGACATCCCCTTTCTCCTATTTTAGTCATTTATGCTGATACCCATCAATTATTGGTCGAGAGTCGGCGACTCTGATCGTGACACCAATTTTTCTTTATTATTTCGAATAAGATATAAAAAATATTTTTTTGTTAATTCAGTTCAAGTGTACAGAAATGCCTCCAAAAAGAAAATCTGGTAAAGTATTTAGATTGATGTATAGCTGTATATCATATGTCTTACTATATACTTTTAGATCCTTCTGGGAGCAAAGATTTTGAAGATCCTAGGCCAAGTGTCATGAGCTGACTTATAATAAACATGCGGATCAGAAAATTATTCAAGGAATTATGTCTAGATTCTCCTGAAAAAAACTCTCTTGATCCACTTCATCAAATAATATTAAAAGCTTCTAACACTTCATTATCTACAACATATATTATTCGGTCGTTAACTAACACTTTTCTGATTCACATCTTATCCTCAAACCTCTTTAACAATTCTTATAAATACCCCATCAATTTAAATTCATAAATAAAATAATTGACTTTAGAACTATTGTTCGCTCTCGTTGACTCTTTTTGTCGTAATATTATTTTTTTTTCTAATGTTTTTTATTTGATATTTTAAAAGAAATATCACATTTTTATTTTGAATTAAAATGGATCAATTTATACATGAAGATGGAAAAGGCAAATCATTCAATGAGGAAGGAAATGAAGTTAAAGTACTTCAGATGGAGGTCGACGGTCCTGATTATCCTATTGCAAATGTTACAAGTTATGGGGAATATTTGGATTTAAAGCCTCCCGAGATAACTCAAAAGGCTAACAAAGTTGTATCAAAAGAGAAAGAAAAAGGTTAGTAAAGGAAGAGTCTGAAAACAACAAGAAAACGTATCGAAACTACAGAAAGGAAAAAATAGACTATTTCTTCTTTCTCGTGGGTGAGAAGGGTATGTCCGTTCGTGGGGCAGCTAAACAAATAGGTATTTCTGCTAGCACAGCTGCTTCATGGTACAAAAATAGTCTTGAGGATCCAGAGGAACTTGTCTACAAAAGGAAACTTGGAAGCGGAAGGTCTGTGGGAAAGCCTCCTATCTTGAACGATGCCCATCACGAGTACCTTATCAATTTGGTTGATGAGGATGATTCAGGCATGACCTTGGATCAAATGAGGGATAGATTAACCAGGGACTTTGAAGAACTTGAGATAAAAAAAAATCTGCCTTCTATATTTTTGTAAAGGAAAAGTACAGAATAAGCTGTAAGAAATCTTATTTCTATCCTGAAGATAGAAACAGCCCTAAAAAGATTGAGGAGAGATAGAATTGGGTTAAAAATCTGTTGGATAATACTGATATTAATGATCAATACAACTGTATTTTTATTGACGAAGCAGGATTTCATATCAATATGAAATGCTCTTTTTCTTGGTCTTGTGTCGGCTGTTATGATTGTAGTCGTATTTACAACTAAGTTAACAGAAATAAACCATCATTTATTATATAATAAAGAGGTTATTCAAATAAAACTAGTGCATTGTACTTCACAGCATAATATTCATTCTACATTCAGTTTTAATAACAGTTATTATTAGAGTATTCGAGCATTATAAATAATTATATACATTGTATTGTGTAATAATAAGAATTCAATAGGTTTATGACTGTTATATTCAATTACATAATTATTTATACAAGTCATACATATTATATATACATCCATAATGTTGAATATTGTTATAGAGGGAATATTCACTGTGAATTAATATTAACACGTTGCTAATCCCAGAAATAATAATCGGGTATATTTTTAATAACAGCAACAGCTCAGGCAGAAATATGCATACTGCATGCAGAATTATTCGGAGACAATATTTGTGCATAAAGGCTTTATTATAGCAGTATTCACTTATCTAAATCACACTCCTATTAATATCACTTATCTTGCAAAACATATAAATAGCCCTCGTCATTTCTCCATATTATTTTCTTCTTGTACAATTTTTGTATTGTTTTTTCTTCAATAAACTATACCGAGTTTTCACAGACTTGTCTTTTCTTTTTTTTCTCTTTCCTTATCTTTTGAACTCAAAACATCGGCAATCGCGCTATTGTTAAGACACCAAAAACCAAGGCCAAAATGACAACTATTTTGGGCGCTATTTCTCCTTATCGAGTTGTAAACGTAAATGTTAGAACACCAAAAGTAACAGCATCCAAGAAAAGAAAGCTTGGAAAGGAGGAAGAAGAAAAAAACAGTTCAGTTGGCACAGTTACAGGCCATTACTTCAACTTCATCGTCGATACTATTGATATCTTGGATCAGTACGAGGAATTTAAAGGGAATTATCTTGTTATGGATAATGTCCCAATCCACAAGCACCAGGATATAAAGAACTATATCGAAAGTCACGGTTACTTTTGCTTGTATCTGCCCCCATACTCTCCTGAACTGAACCCAATTGAACAGTTTTGGTCCGTCTGTAAAAGCAAGCTCAAAAGAGAGCCGCTCTTGGAAAGCGAAACCCTTACCAGTCACATAAGGGATACATGCAACAGCGTGCTTCTAAGTGATCTGAGAGAGTTCTGCAGATATTCGATCCGGAAGTTTGATGATTGCTTGGAACGTAAACCACTTTAAAAACTTAATACATTTTGTACATTTGGTACAATGAAAAAATGCACCAATAAAAAAAAAACATAATGCTTGAAATTTTATTTTTTTACTGCTTGATTTTTTATTTTTTTAGTGCACGAATTTTTTTTTTTTTAAGTGTATGAATAATTTCCGGAAAAGGTGTATTTTATTTTATTTTTTTTTATTTTTATTTTTTTTATTAATGCATTTTATCAATCACTGTGAAAGAAGACACTCAATGTAAAATATTCTAACCGAAATAAAATGGCTTGAAGAGAGGGAAAAAAAATCCATTTTATTAAACCATAATAAAAACTATTTTTTTCTCTTTCTTCTTGTAAAGCATAATAAATATTCGAAGAACAATGTAGACGATAAACTATTATATATCATATTTATCTTATACAGGCGAACAGGGGTCACGATCGTAGAAAAAAAAATTATGTTATTTTTTGTGATATTTTCTTTTCTTTTCTTTTTCCTTTTTTTTTTCTCGTTAAGACATATTTATAACATATACATTTACAATGTTACGCATCACAGAATTGATGAATGTGGCAATAAAATCTTCTGGTATTGTAATGTTACTAATAGCCATGAATGCATATATTTGTTTCGGTCCCCTTTTTCTAATAGCTAGCATATTATGTATATATACTTATAGCTGGAATTCACCATAAATATAATAATATGATATGGCGTGCTCTTAATACAACAGCTACTAAATATATAGATAAAGAAGTTAGATCTAGAAGGGCTTTATTTTATGGTAAGTTTTATTTTAAGAAGAAAAAAAAAAGAGGTTTTCTCTCCTTATGTGATGTTTAATCCTTCAAACTTGTCATAAGTCCCGGGAAGTGATGAAAGAAAAGTACACAAGTCAATTACAATTGGAGCAGATTGTATTGTATACGACCTTGAAGATAGTGTGTCCTCTAATAAAAAAGGTACTGCAAGGCATATGATTATTGATGCTCTAGAGGTAATAAATATGAATAACAACAACAACAACAAAAAAAAAGAGAATTGTTAATATAATTATTCAACTAAATAGAAAAGTATATTTAGGCGTCAGAACATGGAAAAGCAGAAAAAGCAGTAAGAATTAATGCAGTAGGTTCAGGCCATGAATTAGACGATCTTAATGTTATTGTAAGTTTATATATTCAATTGTAGTATATAGGTTATATTAATGAATTATATATTTATAAGCTTCATTCAAAAAGATTACAAGCAATCGTTATTCCTAAAGTTCAAAGTGCAAAAGATATTCAATTTGTTAGTAGAATGATTGACTCAGTAGCTATTGAATCACAGTAAAGATAGAAAAAAAAAGGACTTGCTATTATTGTAATATTTTAACATATCTTCTTTTCTTTTTACATGTAGACGTGAACGAATAAAACTAATTGCTTCAGTTGAAAGTGCACTTGGTATGATGAATATTAAAGAAATAGCCACAGCAGATCCTCGATTAGATGCCTTGATTGTAAGCTTATTTTGATATTATGTGTATTTATATAATGCGACATTATTTTTTATGCATGTTTATTTTAATTTATAGTTTGCTGCAGAAGATTATTGTGCAGATTTAGGATTAACTCGTACAAAGCTTAGAAAAGAAATGTTATTTGCACGTCAATTAATAGTAAACGCCGCTGCTGCTTATGGTTTACAAGCAATTGATTTGGTAATATATATATATATAATACGATCATATATCAAATTAATAATATTATTATATATATCAAGGTTTGTGTAGATTATCAAGATAAAGAAGCCCTTTTAGAAGAGTGTAAAGAGGGTAAAGGCTTTGGATTTGCCGGTAAACAAGCCATTCATCCTGATCAAATTGATATTATTCATAAAGCTTTCTTACCTGATCCTAAAGGTATTATTGTAATTTTATACACACACATATATATATGTATATGTATATTCATATAAAGACGGCTTATAAATTTTTTTTTTTATAGATCTCGAAAGAGCAGTCCGTATTTTAAATGAATATGAAAACTATTCACAAAAGGGAATTGGTGCATTTAATTTAGATGGAAAAATGTAAGTTATTACATAATAATATAATTTCATCGTATTTGAAACACTAAATTATAAATTATTAGGATTGATATGCCTGTTGTTAAATGGGCAAAAAAAGTACTTGCACATGCAATAGCTGGCAATATGACAATACCTGAAATTGAAAACACGAAAGATAGCACAATTACAGAAAAGAGGAAGCAACAATAAACTTGCTGCTGCTGCTGCTGCTGCTGCTGTCATTAATAACTACTACTACCATATTTAAAATACCGATATAATTTACATTTTTCTCACGGTTGTAAGAAGAGAGAGAAAATAAAAAAAAATAAAGCCTTGCTACTACCCTTTTTTTTTTTCTTGAGTATTCTTTCTCTTTTTATTTTATCTTTTTCTTAGTCGAAAAAAAAAGGAATATGTTTGTTCGTCATATTTTTTATAATAATTTAAAGCCAAGTTTTCGATATATCTCGACACAAACATCTAAAGAAGCTTATTTAGAACATTTAGAAGGTGGTATCTCTATTTTAAATTTAAACCGTCCTGCATCAAGAAATGCTTTATCTGTTAATTTGGTAAATGAATTTAGACAAGCTTTGGCTGATATTCGTTTTTCAAAGTATGTATATGCATCGATAATACATACAAAATATAATTAATTAACAACTGTTATTGGTTAAAAGTGAATCTCGAGTTTTGATTATACGAAGTGCTGTTCCCAATGCTTTTTGTTCAGGTGCTGATTTGAAAGTAAAATAAAATAAAATAAAATAATAGACGTTCTGATAGTTAAAATACATATTGTATAATAGGAACGCGCTAAAATGAATCCTGTCCAGGTAACACAGTTCTTGTATAATTTAAGGAAAACATTTAGAGACTTAGAGGTAGGGATTGATTATAGATGTATACACTGTAATAAAGTTTAATATGTATGAATGAATTTATTAGACTTTACCTATTCCAACAATTGCTGCTATAGATGGTCCTGCATTTGGTGGTGGTCTTGAAATGGCTTTATCTTGTGATATTCGTATAGCAGGTTAAACATTAAAAAAGAGAAATGCAAATATGTGTATGTGTATGTATATGTATATGAATTAACATCAGCTCATATATATAGGTCCTAATGCAAAAATGGGTTTAACTGAAACTAAATTAGCTATCATACCTGGGTAAAGAAGTATACATATATGTATATGTGTATATCTTTATGTCTAATTCTGATCTTTTATACAGCGCTGGAGGAACACAAAGATTACCTCGATTGATTGGTATTCCTAAAGCGAAAGAATTGATATTTACAGGCGAAATAATGGACTCCAATAAGGCAAAAGAATATGGTATTATTAATCATGTTGATCCAGTCAGTTCTTTTGAAAAATCTATGGAAATTGCAAAAGCAATTTTACCTCAAGGTCCTGTTGCAATTCGTATGGCTAAATTAGCTATTGATAAGGGATCACATTTAGACATGTAAATAACATATATATTTATATATTATCATATGTTATTAATAATTCTGCATATAGTGATTCTGGTTTAGATATTGAACAATCTTACTACAATCAAGTTATTCCTACCGAAGATAGATTAGAAGGCCTTAGAGCTTTCAAAGAAAAAAGAAAGCCTGTTTATAAAGGATGTTAGAAAAAAAAAAAAGAAGAGTTTACATTTGATATACAGTTAGATCATGAGTATGTTTTTTTTTCTTAATAAAAGCTTTCGATGCAATAATGACAATTAAAAATATTTTCCCGTTAATCTTCTTGTTTATTCAGCAAAGACTATAAGGAGCTCAACATAAAAATAGTACATTTATACTTAATCTTGGACAGACTACATATTTAGATGATGTTTAAAAAAAAAAGATAAAACTTCCAGCTTTAAATGGACAGATGACTGTATTTATCCGTTTGTCAATAAGAACTATTGAATTCGACTATCTGTCAATGTATTTCCTTCTAACTTTTTCAACCTTATTCGTAATAATATCCATTAAAATGATTACTGTATTTAACAAAAAAAAAATGCGTCTTATTTTCTCCCATTAAAATAGGTTATCTTAATCTAGAGCATTGTGTTGCCTTTGCCCCCTTTATTTCGTTTTTGTGCTACATATGATGGTGTATTTACTGAAAAACAGCTTGAACATTACACATGGCGTGCAACATAGGGTGAACTTATGATTACAGAAGCTACTTTTATCTCATCTCCTATAGGAGGCCACAGACATGCCTCTAGTATCTATAATAAAGAACAAATCGACTCTTAGAAAAAAGATGACAGAGGCTGTTCATCATAAAGGGGCAGTTATCTTTTGTCAACTTTGGTCTATAGGCCGTACAGATTTTCGAAAATTGAATCCTATAAATGAACTTATTATCTCTGCTTCAGCTATTCCTATAAAGGGTCAATGTGCACTTTTGGGTGGTGTGGATTATGAAGTGCCTTATGCCTTAGAGATTGACGAAATAAAAGCTGTCATTGAAGATTATCGTCAGACAGCTTTGAAATGCTATTGAGGCAGGATTTGATGATGTTGAAATACATGCTGGTTTTGACTACCTTATTGCTCAAGTTATGAATTCATCTAGTAAAATAATACGTACTGATGAGTATGGATGTAGTATTCAAGGTAAAGCTAAATTTGCATTGGATATTGTAAATAGTGCTTCATCTGCAATGGGTGAAGAACAAAGTGATATTCGAATTCTCTCCTGTTGTGTCATTTCAAGATATGCATGATGATACTCCTTTCGAAACCTGGGGCTATTTAATATCTCAACTTTAAAATAGGCATTCTCATTTATCTTATCTTCATTTTGTTGAAACTAGATCCAATATACTCTACGCATAGATGAAATAAACGTCGTAGATTCTTTGCAATTTTGTCATGACCTCTGGAAGGGCCCCTTTATATTTGCTAGTGAATTTTTCGAAAATACCAGATCATGGTATGAATCTTGCAGGAAAAAAAAAAAAAAAAAAAAAAAAACTTGGAATTTAATCGCCTTTGGTCGTGCTTTTATAGCTAGCCTAGATTTTGTTGAACGTCTTTATCCAAAACTGAGGACTTAGCAAATATGACAAAAGTATTTTTTTTTTTACTCATGAATCTACTGGTTATACAGATTATCCCTTCTATCATCAATTAGAGGAGAAAGAAGATTAATACTTATAATAGTTAGTTTATCTATATTTATTCTTTTATTATACCTATGCAATTAAATAAATCCTTTTCTTTTCTTTTCTTTTTAATCAAAATCAAAATATCACCTGGATAAAATTATAATACCTTATAAGACATAATTTTACTATATATGAATATAGATTTGTATTATTAGAACATAATTAATCAGTATTTTGTATGTACTATATTGGATAATATATGATAGAATATGTGTACTAAAAAAAAGAGAGAGATACATAATGCAAAGTTGATATCTAACCATATTCGAGTTATGAAAATGGCTTAGCACTTGTGACTGATTTTCTTTTTTGAATGCATTTCTCTTTGTTGAATTGTCAGAGGATAGATATTGAATGTCCGACAGAAAATTTTTTTCTGTGTAAGGGATTTCAGATAACTATACTTATTAGGGTGGTAATAGAGGAAGGGGGGGGGGAGACGAGATAAAGTGCGAATTGGAAAAAAAAAATGGCCAATGTGTGAGCAGTTGGAATCGTAGTAAAATTTTGTAATTAATTTTTTTTCCCTTTTTTTTTTTTCCTCTTCTTTCTCTTTCCCTTACTTACTCTTTTCTTTTTTATATTCTTCTTTTCGACGTTTAACGCCGTTTTCTTTTCTTAATTGTCTAATCTCATTTAATTTGGGTTTGACATTTTAATAATCATATAAACATATAAAAAAAATTATAAAAATAGAAAAACCAAAATATATAATAATGTCTACTTCACCTGTCGTCGCCCCTACTGAAGCTGCTCCCGTCCAACAGCTCTCAGCTGAACAACAACAGCAAATTGCTCAGGCCCAAGCCTCTGCTCCTGCTGGTACTGTTGTCCCTTCTCCCTCTGCTAGTCTTTACGTTGGCGAACTTGACCCTTCTGTTACCGAAGCCATGCTCTTTGAGATGTTCAACATGATCGGTCCTGTTGCTTCCATTCGTGTTTGCCGCGATGCTGTTACTCGTCGTAGTTTGGGTTATGCTTATGTCAATTTCCATAACATCGTTGATGGTATGTAATCTTCAATATTTTTTTTCCTATTTTTTTTTTATCAGCCTATGAATCTAGAAAAAAATTTTTTTTTCTCCCTCACTTTCAGTCCATTTTCAAAAATTTTCGGATTTTTAACATATATATACATGTGTATATATATATTTTTTTTAATAAATGAATAGGTGAACGTGCTTTGGAAAGCCTCAACTACACTTTGATCAAGGGTAAGCCTTGTCGTATTATGTGGTCTCAACGTGATCCCTCTCTTCGTAAGACTGGTTCTGGCAACGTTTTTATCAAGAACCTTGATCAAACCATTGACAATAAGGCTCTTCACGATACCTTTTCTGCTTTTGGTAATATTTTATCCTGTAAGATTGCTTTGGACGAAAATGGCAATTCTAAGGGTTATGGTTTCGTTCACTATGAAACTGAAGAAGCTGCCGAAAATGCTATCAAGCATGTTAACGGTATGCTTTTGAATGATAAGAAGGTGTAAGTATTCAAAAACATATAAAAGGGAATGAGTTCAAAAGTAAAAGAAGAAGACAAGGACAGAGAGAGGGAGAGGGAGAGAGAGAGAGAGTATGAAGGTTATGAAAAAAAAGGATGATAGATTAGAAGGAAAATAGATAGTATAAACAAGATACTAAATTATTTTAACATATTTAGTTATGTTGGTCACCATGTTCCTAAGAAGGAGCGTCAAGCTAAGATTGAACAATACAGAGCCAAGTTCACTAATGTTTACATCAAGAACTTGGATGAAACCGTCAATGACGAAAAGTTGAGAGAAATTTTCGAAAAGTATGGTCCCATCACCTCTGCTGTTGTTCAAGTCGACGATGAAGGTAAATCCAAGGGTTTCGGTTTTGTTAACTATGAAAAGCACGAAGATGCTCAAAAGGCTGTTGATGCTTTGAATGAAACTGAACAAGCTGATGGCAAGATTCTTTATGTTGCTCGTGCTCAAAAGAAGTCTGAACGTGAAGAAGAACTCCGTAAGCAATACGAACAAGCCAAGCTTGAAAAGCTTGCCAAGTATCAAGGTGTTAACTTGTATGTTAAGAACTTGGATGATGATCTTGATGATGAGAAGCTTCGTCAAGAATTCTCTGTCTATGGTGTTATCACCTCTGCCAAGGTCATGACTGATGATAAGGGTCACTCTAAGGGCTTCGGTTTCGTCTGTTTCTCCTCTCCTGACGAAGCTACTAAGGCTGTTACCGAAATGAACGGTCGTATGATTGGTTCCAAGCCCATCTATGTTGCCCTTGCTCAACGTAAGGAAGTCCGTCGTTCTCAATTAGAAGCTCAAATGGCTCAACGTAACCAAATGCGCATGCAACAAGGTATTCCTATGCCCGGTGCTCCTGGTTACATGCCTAGCACTCCCATGTTTTATGCCCCTCCTGGAAGTTTCCTTCCTCAAGGTCAACGTCCCGTTTTCCCTCCTAACGGTATGATGCCTCGTCCTCGTTGGGCTCCTCAACAAGGTCAACCTATGCCTGGTTTCCCTCCTCAAGGTTTTGCACCTAACAACAACAACATGCGTCCTCCCAGACAGCCCCGTGCTCCTCGTGGTGGTGCTGCCGGTCAGCGCAAGTATGCTAACCAAGCTCGTCAACAACCTGCTCAAGAAACTGCCGAGCCTGCTGTTGATGCTCCTTTGACTGCTGCTGCCTTGGCTGCTGCTCCTCCTGAAGCTCAAAAGCAAATGCTTGGTGAACGTCTTTATCCCTTGATCAATGCTCAACAACCTGAATTTGCTGGTAAGATTACTGGTATGCTTTTGGAAATGGACAATGGTGAATTGTTGAATCTTCTTGAAGACCACAAGGCTTTAGAAACTAAGATTGCTGAAGCTATGGATGTTCTCAGAGCTCACTTATCTGAGGCTACTAAGGAAGAACAAAAGGAGGAATCTGCTTAAGTTGTTAGCATTTTTTTCTTTCTTTGAAAAAAAAAAAAAAAAAAAAAAAAGGGAAAAAAAAATCTTTTACATAATATTTTTTTTTTTTTTTTTTTTTTTTTGTTATAAAAAACCCCACACCCCATCTACTATTTTTTTTTTAATAAAGAAGAATAAAAAAGGATATTATATATATATACATACATCTACATACGTATAGTCTTTTTTATTATGAGTTACTATAGATACACCATTTTTAGTTGTAAGAGATTTTTTACTTCCAAACCTTGGAGTTATAAAGAAGCCTTTCAATGGCAACAATCTTTTAATCGACAACAAATTCCAAAAGAAGACATTTCAATTTCATTTAATCGAAGTAGCGGACCTGGAGGACAAAATGTCAATAAAGGTATTGTAGCAATTTTTTATTTTTTGTATTTCATAATCTAAACCTCCTTCCACTCCCCCCCCCTCTCTCTCTCTCTCTCTCTCTCTCTCTCTCTCTCCTTTTCGTCTTGAATAAAAATATAGTAAACACAAAAGTTGAATTGCGATTGTCACTTTCAAAAAAAATCAATTGGATTCCAGATTATGCAATAGAGAGATTATTAAAAAGGACAAATAAAAATGGAGAGTTAATTATTACATCAGATAAGACACGATCACAAACAAAGAATATAGATGATTGTTATCACAAGTTAGTTGATATGATAAAAGATTCAGTATCCGTATCAAAAGAACCAGATCAAGCTACTTTACAGCGAATTGAACAATTGTAAAGTATACAAACATAGAATATAATATGTATATAGAAGTGGTATTTAACAATAGAGAATATATTGTAGACAGAAAAAAGAAAAGGTAAAACGTAAAGAATATAAAAAGAAGCATTCACAAAAAAAGTCTGAGAGAAGATCAAGAGGATTTGATTTTTAAAGCAATACAACACATTAAACAGAAATAAGCTTATTTTCTTTGTTGAAGTACCCATTTACCTAATTTTGCCTTCAATGATGATGATGAATATGAATTGAATTGAATATAAAAAGGCTATCATTGACTTACTTTAATACCAGAAAATAATGTGTTTGATTCTGAATTTTGTTGTTGAGGACGATCATAATCTCTTTTTTCTTTGTCGACAACTGTAGATAATATCTTTTTTGATGACGAACGATGATAGTCTTTTGTTTCGTCATCATTAGATACGCTATTGCTGTAATACCTTTTGGAAATCCATGGCTTACTTTTAATTGAAGCAGTAGAACCGACTATTTCTTCATCCTGTTCTGTATTAACAGAAGAACGAATTGAATATTGCACTATTAAAGAAGACTGTGCAACAGAGGAAGCATAGTCATCATACCTGTCGTCTTGTTGAATAGTTATGATAGGCGGTATGGTTGTATTATCATAATTCTTATTATTATAAGCTGTCATATTCCTTTGCCACCAACGCCAACTTAATGTAGTATTCTTTTTATTATTTTTAGATAAAGTAGCAGAGGTGTTCATATAATAAAAACAAAAATAAAGAAGAAAAAGGAAAAGAGTGTAAAGAAGAAGAAGAAATATATTGTTGTCATCACAAGTTCTCCCCCCCTTTTTTTTTTCTTGTAGTAGTAGTACTAAAAACATAATAAAGTTGTCGTTATTATAACAAAAGAGCAGCCCAACCAGCCATCATTGTCAAGCCACCTAAAGGAGCACATAAATTAATACTACTAAATCTTTCACGTTGAAGAGTCAAAAGATAAACAGTTCCACTAAACAAGATTGTACCAGTCAAAATGAGTGGTTTAGCAGCGGGATGAATTTGACGAACACTAGGTGGAATAGAAGACAAAGCTAAAAGTGCGACACCATGAATAATTTGAAAGTTGGAAGCTGTAGCCCAATTCTATCATTTTTATTTATTTATTTATTTATTTTTTAATCAAGTAATTTTGCATCATTATTTCTGCTATGCCTATGAAATAAACAATATATTATCATTTATATTTACTCTGAGCTTAGTGGGGTTATCTCCAACTACTTTGACAAGTCCATGAGCGCCATAAGCACCTAATGCCAAACCAGTGGCACCTTAGATTCCATATTTACATTAAGTCAACCTGTCTACATTCTCAAAGAATCTCTCTTATATTATACCTAAGATACTGCCTGCTTTCCAATAGAATTGTGAATTCATGCTTGTATAAAAATGTATTCAAAAAAAAAAAAAAAAAAAAAAAAAAAAAAACAAAGAAAAAAAAATTAACAGGGGGAAAAAAAATGAATACTACCAATGTTATAGAAAATGAAATAATGCTGAGAATTAACAATAGTCCTTTTTTTTTTTTTTTTTTTTTTTTAGAGTCACCATTTTTTTTTTCTTTAAAACAAAAAGTAATGCTTTCATTACTTGCTAGTTTTAGTATAAGCCTAAGTTGCTATTTATTTATTTACACTACAAGACAAATATATGGTTTATTTCAAGAAATAAAATCAATCGATCCTTCTAAACCTAATGCTCAATGTTGGTTAGAGGCACTCAATCTCCAATGCAATCAATGGACTTGGATGCCTGTTTTTATTCGAGTGTATTTAATCGGTATATTTGAAACAATTTATATTGTAGTTTGTAAGCGTGGTTTATTTAAGGGATCTACGACACAACAATCGAATGAAAACCAGATTGATGCTTTGATTCAATCTTATACAAGAAAGGAAAGAACAGAGTTAGCAGTTATTACAGGAGGTGACTCTGGTATCGGGCTCGAGATAAGCAAAGGATTACTTTTAGCTGGTTATCATTTAATCATTGGTATAGGATAATATATAATATGTATTGCTTTGTTTTTTTTTGTTTTTTCTCATATAGAAACTAGGTACTCGATCTATAAAAGAATATCAAAATACGATAACTATGCTACAAAATTCAACTGGATCAGATAAAGTTAGTTGTATAGAGCTCGATTTAAGCTCATTTCGGTCTGTAAATAAATTTGTTGAGAAAGTAAAATCAAAAGTTCCTGGAAAAGACATTCAGTTACTTATTAGTAAGGATTGTTTAAGCTCTTTCTCAAAGTCTTATATAAAACAGTTTTTTTTTTAACATTTTGTATTAGATAATGCTGGAATTATGAATGTACCTTATAAGATGACAAAAGATAATTATGAATCACAGTGCCAAATAGTAATCTAATCTCATAAAAGCTATATTTATTTGCTTACTTATTTTTAATTGAATTTCATTATAGAACTATTTATCTCCTATTTTATTAACACAGTCATTATTGCCCTGGATAAATAAGAATACAGGACGTGTTTTATTCGCATCTAGCTCTACATTGTATGCAATTAATAATTTGGATACTACTTTTCCATATAAAAAATACAAGCTAGATGGTTTAAGCCATTATGCATATAGCAAAGCGTATCTTAGTCAATTTATACCACAGCTTGCCAAAACAACACCTGTTAAAATATTTGGTAACATTATGCAATTCTATTTTTTTTTTTTTTTTTTTTTTTGCATTATATCCTTATTTATTTATTTATTTGCAGCTTATCATCCTGGTACAGTCCGTACCAAGTTATTCAAACATACAACTTTATTTAATCTACCTTTCCTCTCTAAAATATTTGATTTCATCATGTTAACAGCAAAAGAAGGCAGCCAAACACCGTTGTACTTGTGTTTAACAGAGAATCTTGAAGGAACAGGGACTTATTGGGCTAACACACATATCCAAAAGGTTCCTTCTGTTGCAGTTGATGGAAGCAAAGATAATATTAAAAAGTTATGGAGCGACATAATGTTGAAATGTAATTTAAAAGTTCAATAATAATAATAATAATAAAAAAGAATAGGATATATTAATACCCCCCCCCACACACACACAGTTAAAAACCCTAATGATGAAATATGGGAACCTTTTGAGTACGTCAATTTTGTTCTATGATCAGGAAAGATGACCAGAGAATGATGAGATTAGTTGGTAATATTATATGTGATGTCTGATAATATATGGCAGACATCAAGATTCAGCTTTAAATGATGCAAAGTAGGAATATTATGACACTGGTGTATAGATGACATTTTATCATGTTAATATTGTGTATACTAATAACATTTTATATATACAACATTACATTCCTGTTGAGTTACTCTATCTTTATGCTTTGCTGGTGTATGAGGAAAGATTAGGCCATAATTATATTCATCGATAAAGATTGGCTAACCAAACAAGTTTTTTTTATTCTTCTGATAGCATTATTTTGTATATATCATTCTCCTCCAAGTACTTATTTCTTAAGCACTCTATTGAATAGAGTCAATTTATAGGCAGTATACTCTAGCTTTTGTTTATCTCGGCAGAATAAAATCCATAAGGAATCATACTTATTCATGTGTCTCAATTACAATTACTTTTAGATTCCTTATTTCTCCGTTGACTAATAATCATTTCCCTTACAGTATGTACTCTCTTATTTACATTTACCCTTCAATAGGTTCCCCTAAAAAACAACAACAACAACAACAACAACAACAGTAATTATCCAGTATATTATTATAACACCTGCACATATTAAAAAAAAATTGGCTAAAGGGCTTGAAAATAAAAGTAGATGTTTGATAATAAAATATTATCTAATAAGCTTATGTCTTGGAGCGTGGGAATAACCAATCAATGATTAACATGATGGAGAAAGGAGAAACAAAAAAAAAAAATAAGAAAATCATGCGAAATTTTAGATATATCATATATTAATCCGCTGTCATTTTTTTATGACACTATTAGCATTTAATAATAGTAAATGATAATGATTAATACATCAGATATCCCTTCCCTTCCCTTTTTTTTTCTTTTAATCTTTTGTAACATTATGAATAGCTTCAGCAAGGTATTTAACATTAGCAGAAGACATACCAGCCATTGAGATTCTACCATCTTGAGTCAAGTAAACATGCCAATCAGACTTGATCTTATTGACTTGTTCAGGTGACATACCAGAGTAACAAAACATACCAATTTGATTTGTAATATGACTCCAGTCCTTCTTTGATCCAAAGTCCTTTTCAAGATGTTCTCGAAGTTTAAGTCTCATTGTAATGATACGATCTGCCATTAATTTTACTTCACTTAACCATTCATTCTTTAATTCAGGTGTATTCAAAACTGTGCTAACAATGTGAGCACCATGAATAGGAGGATTAGAATACATGGGTCGAATGATGATCTTTAACTGACTCTCAACACGTGCCCTCTCTTCTGCATCTGCACAAACAACTGAGAAGGATCCAACACGTTCACCATAAAGACCCATATTTTTGGCAAAGGATTGGGCCAAAATGACTTGATGTCCTTCCTCAACAAATTTACGAAGAGCATAGGCATCGCGAGTACAATCACCAGAAGCAAAACCTTGATAAGCCATATCAAAGAAAGGGAAATGTTCACGCTCCTAAAAAAAAGAAAAGGAAAAAAAAAAAGATAGATTTTAAGTTTCTAATAACTCTATCATGTAATTGTTGATTTCAATTTTCCTTTACCTTGATAACTTTAGAGATTTGATTCCATTGTTCTTGAGTAGGATCAACACCAGTAGGGTTATGAGCACAAGCATGAAGTAACACAACTGTATGCTTTGGTGCTTTCTATAATAGTATAGAATGGATTATCAGGTTTATCTATCTATATATAGGATACATAAAAAAAAAAAAAAAAAAACTTACATGAAGATCTTCCAACATGCCATTAATATTAAGACCATTTGTGTTTTTATCAAAGTAAGTATACTTCTCCAACTGAAGACCTGAATTCTTCATAATAGGAATATGATTACCCCAAGTAGGATTAGGGACAATAATATTCTTTGCATGGGGGTACCAAGCATTTAAGAATTCACCACCAATACGAAGTGCGCCAGTACCCGAAATAGATTGTGTAATAGCAAGCTAACATATAAAAAGTAAATAATAGGTATCATTTCTTTATATCCTTCTTACTCTATTTTCAGTAATAACTGGATTACTGTCACCATAAGCAAGAGCACCAGCAGCCTTGGTAAAACTAGGTGAACCTGTAATACCAGCATATTCCTTATCCAAATTATTTTCCATCATCACTTTTTCAGCCTAAAAGAAAACAAAAAAAGGAAACTTTTAATTTTATATTCATTTTTGTGTTTTTTGAAATCTATACATATTACCTTTTTAACAGAAGATAAAACAAAAGGTTTTCCATCATCATCACGATATGCACCAACACCCAAGTTCATTTTATTAGGAGAACTGTCTCGCTTAAAGGCCTCAGTGACACCTAAAATAGCATCGGGAGGACCTGAAATAATAAAAATAAAAGAGGAAAGCTTAAATTAAATCCAATTTCAGATCATTTTTTTTTTTTTTTACCTTGAGGAACAGAGTTCCAAGTAGAAATAAAGGCACGAGAGAGAATACGATTTGATTTAATTGTAGCTTTTGAAATATTAGAAAGCATGATGAAAAAATAAAATAAAATAAAAAATTGAAACTAGGAAAAAAAAAATGAGAGAGAAAAACAAATAAATAAAAAAGGACGGGGAAGGGGGGGGGGAAAGCAAAGGGATTTTTATATTCTGTTGAGACAGGAAAAAAAAAAAAAAAAAGATAGTTACACCAGTGTTTGTAATCCAGTGATAAATAAAAAAAAAAAAATAGACACAAAAATTGACAGTAAAAATTAGTATGACTAAGGTTCAGGAAATAAAAAAAAAACCGTTTTTTTGGACCAATCATGAATTGATTTAAAGCATAACTTTAAAAAAAAAATGTGCAAAGACAATAAAAGTGTTATTCTTTTTAAACTTGTTATCTAAAGCTATAAAAAGTAAATTGTATATACTATTCCTATTTATTGTTTCTTTCTTTCTTTCTTTCTTCTTTCTTCCTTTTTCAAAATAGATAGTCTACCTCCCATTCTTCTACATTACAGTCGTAATTGTTATAATGCTGTTGAATGTGTTAATATCCCGCTACTACCTATAAATTACTAACAAGCCATACAGGTATTTTATAAGTACAAACACCAATAGAAAAATAAAAAAATAACAGTGCTTTTAATGTTCTTGCTGAACACACATTGCACAGATGAGACATTAAATAATATTCATGTGCCAATTACTTGCTTTTTTTTTTATTTTTTATTAGTGTTGTCTCAAATCAAGTTATTGTAAAAGCCACTAGTAGAAGTTTGTCTACTACTTTTTATTATTATCTTAATTTTAAATGATACAGCAATAGTTTATTATTTTTTGACTAATATGTAAAGAAAAGCCATGTTAAAATTAAAAGCGAAAGGTATATAACAGGAATATAATTTGATATAATAAAGTGAAAGGACTTCTGACTTTGATTCTTCATTATCTTTATATGTCGATACAAAATAGTGAATACATCTTCTGATAAGCCTTCCCACCAATAACTTTTAGTTGCAGCAGGTTGTAATGTATCATAGGCTCTATCCATCCATAACCGCTTCATCTTTGGTAATAAGTTTTGTCTTTCAGTATTTCCTAATTCTACAATATACATATTATTTGGATGTAAAGTTGAGTAATAAGGTCCCTTTTGTACAAGGATAGATTCTTCTAGAGCATAAAAGGATTTATCTAATTTTCGTTTCATGTCCTCATACGTTGCTTCTACTTTTTGAATCATATAATACTTTGTCTTTAGAAAACTGTCCTTTCGAATCTCATCTAAATGTTGACATAGACTAGAATAATGGTGTTGATTGCGTCGTTGATTATTCATTCCTAATGCCCTCTCTGCTGAACATTGAAGTGAATTTAAATTCATAATTTCTTTATATTGCTTTTTATAAAGAAGTTGTATCTTTCGATTCATCATACGCACATCATGTTTCAAGAATAAAAGAGCGAGATGCTGTTCATCTTCATCTTCACGATAATGATAAGGTTGTTGATGATCAGGTAATAAAAGAGGTTTATTCCATGTGGTCACTAAATCTTCCCATTCTTGATTATGTCTCCCAAGTAGTTGTGATATAGAATTATAGATACTAACTGATTCATCAATCCAATGAACTTGTATACGTCTTGCTGTTCTCTGTTGATGAAGATTCCATCCTGATATAAGCTGATTAATGTATTTAGCTGCTGAATCTATCGTAACAGAATCTTCAGTAGCGATCGTCTTTCTCTCTGATGTTGAATGGTGGAAGCTGGATGACACTTGAACCTCAGTTGTCTTTGTCTTCATCTTTATCCATTTATCCTTCCTTTCAGCAATGGTCGTGTACCATCCTTTCATCGTATCATACATGATTAAAATAGAATAATATCCTTCCAGTTGAATTAAATAATAATCATATCTTGCCTTTATAAGTACTTTATAAAGTCTATTCTTATATGTCCATTTCAGTTTGGTCATGTAACTAATCTGTATAATGTGTTGATCAGCTCTCTTACGATTCACATCAATATTGAATCCAGTGACTGAGCTTGTATGTTGTAATATAATTACTGATACTATTAAAACCAATACAATCAAATTCTGTAAACGCATATTTGAATAAAGACAAAAGAAAAGGAAAAGGACAAAAAAAAAAAAAAAAAATAGCCATCATGCTAGTTTTCTTCTATTTTTTTTTTTAATTACCGATATTATGCACATTATTATTGTAGATGGGTCAAGTAGTAGTACTTGTAGTAATAGCAATAGTAATAGTACATTATATTGCTTGTTTACATAAGCAAAAATAGTAAAATATGGATCATATAAAAATGGCATTGACTTTTCTTTTTTTATTTTATATTATTATTATTCTTTAAAGAGGTATTATTACATGGTAGAGTCTATATTTCCCAAGTAAAAGTAGTAGGCTTCTCAAATGCCAATGCTGGCTCCTTCTTTCTCTTACGATCAATTTCCGTAGTAAAGAACTATAATAAAGAGAGAGAGAAAGAAAAAATGAGTAATTCTGACTTGACACTAATATAATAACTTACAGTTGCATACGTGTGATCCAAGAAATCTTCAAGATTATATTTAGGTTTCAAAAATTGTTCGCTAAAGATCTTTGCTAATGTGGATACGTTTGCATAATAATGTTGACTTAATGTTTGAACTTCCCATAAGGAAGAATCGATAGCTTTAGATTCATATGGATTCAACTGATCCATACTAAATGGATCTTCAGCTTCACTAACTGCCTTATTACTATGAATCATAACCATACAAGTAGGATGTCGTTTTAATAAGTTATAAATGAATGGAATAATAATGACAGTAGCTGCTGGTGGTGCAGTTAATGATAAACGTGCCATACGCTTAATAAATGCAGCGATTAAGGCAGCAGGAAGATAACTAGAAATAATAGAATTTTGTTTAAGAATTTGTAAATAGGATAAATAGGTATAACTTACGCTGAAGATAAGAAAATTTCTAATAAACGGAAAAAGCGAGATCTATACTTGACATGCATTACATTTTTATCTAATAATGAATAAAGCTTTATATAGAAATCAGGATAATCCCTAAAAAAAAAAAAGTATCTCTTGTTAGATTCCTTTTAATAAATCAACTTTCTTACTTACAAATTATGATCGATAATTAAAGTAAATAAACCATTTAATGCTAATAAGCTCACTGCTCCACCCACATTATAAGAATCAGTCAAGAAATCCATCAATAATTTAGGTTCAGTCAAATGAGGTAAGATACGCTTATGTAAGATTAATAAAATCTTCTTGTACATTTCTTCAGTCAAAGGTAGCTTAAAGAAAGTAAGCCAACAATCAGAGAAACCACGCTTGTGTATGTTAAGTTGAAGAAGAGGATGCTTTCTCTTTTTTTTCGTTTTCTCATTCTTATCTTCTGTTTGTGCTTCTTCCACTTCTGAATCTGATAACAATCCTTCATCACCTAATATGTCATCCATCTTTTTATTTTTGTTGGATTTAGTTTCATATCTATTAGGATTCACTGTCCAAAATTCATTGATCTCTGAGGCCTCTGTTGGCATAGTACGAATGCTTTCAAGAATTGTAAATACGTTGCTAGCCATTAAATGAAGATCCTCTTGCTCTTCTGAAAGTTTGAGCCTTTTATTTTCATTGGTATCCTTTGACTTTTTCGTCATTTCTTTAGTATCTTTATATGCATGTTCCATAATTTCACTATAATACAGTCACAAGTTTTAACACATACAATCATCTTTATACTTTTTTCTTCAACTTACGCTGCATCTTTAAAAAAATAATGTCTTAAATCGTCATAAACATTTAAATATTTGTCAACCAGTTCTTTACGTAAATGTTCATTAAAATTAGTATTCGTGATAATCTCTTTCACCACAAGACCATACACATTGTTTGCAAAGTGATAGGCACCACTCGAGTTCATTGTATTTTCGGATTCAGATTTGATGATGCCCATCAAAATATTCAAAGCAGGCAACTGAAGACCGGGCTCATCGCTTTCCAATAAGCTTCTTAAGTATGACACATAATCAGTGTATTGCTCTCGGAGCCAGAGTTGAACTTTGACTTTAGCTGAAGATTCATCGATAGTTTTAGGTTTACGCAAATCTCCTTTCATCAATAAAGTTGTAAACACACGATTAAGTGAGTGAATAGCTGCATGTGCAATTTGAGGATTGCTGCTTTTACAATAGTTGAAAATGTCAACAATGTTATTTAAATTCGACTTGTCACTGAGACTAGCTTCTAATTGTCTAATCTTTTGACGGACTTCTTTAAAAGTTTCAGTCTTTAGAGAAAAAAAAATAATGTATGTTAAAAAAAAGTGAATATAGTATTTTAACTAATTCTTACAGAAAAGTTATTTCCTCTTTTTCTCTTGATTGGTTGAGGCATGTATATTAAATTTAACTAGAAAGATAATGGATGATTGAAGATCTAGTGAAAAAAAAAAAAAAAAAAAAAAAAATCAACATAAAACAAAAAACAAAAAATTCAAAATAAGCCACTTCGACTGTGTTTAAAATAGTATACTGTTATTACTTATAATGGAAGGTCATTGTCGTATGTCATTAGACAACAAAATAACATAAAATTACAAGGTATAAATGTACATGTTATACGTAATAGATATATATTTGTATGAACGAGTTTTTTGTAACATGACAGCTTATTCATTCTCTCTCCCTCCTTTTTTTTTGTTAGAGTAAAAGAGAGAATATGTATATATCGAGTCTTATGAATATATAAATAAATACTACTCACAGTGAGATCGTCATGTACAATAGTTTCAGTATGTTTACTTGGTATTATTTCAATACATTTGTTTATAAACTAGATTTGGAAAGTTTAATCGAAGATATAGGAGATGGGATCTTCTATATTCATAAACATTTGTGTATTTTTATAGAAGGTTGAGCCTATTCGGAGACATTAAATGATGTGAGTCTTTGCTCGTTCATGGTGTCTTGCTTAAGCAAGTTTTTTAATAGCATGATTTGGTAGCATAATTTTTGTAAATTATATAGAGAATAGCTATAGAATAGAGTTCTGAATATAGAGTGTAAGCAAAAATATAGGATAAAAGACTTCATATATGACCATTCGAACTTTCTGTAAAGGAAACCCTAACGATAGAAGATACTATATTTAGTTAAAGCAAGCGACTTTCTAAATTCACATCTTACTCATCTCATGTATTGAAACACTTTACGTAGTAACTAAGTTTTTTTTTCTATTTTGAAAGGATATGTACCTGACCAAATCATACTTTTAAGTTTTATTCTCATGATATCATATATATATGCATTTATATAAAAAATGAGAAATTTGGCATTTAACAGTATTTTTCTCACAAGTACAACAACATTATTTTTTGCTTTAAAGTATACAGTTTAATATAAAAAGCTAGTCCAAATCAAGTGTGTGTGTGTGTGTGTGTGTAAGAAAAGAAAAGAAAAGAAAATAAAATAAAAGAAAAAAAAAAAGGTAGCAAGTTAAATATCATAAACGTCATATACATAAATAAAAGAACACATGAATAATAGAATGTACATAAGAAGCTATTCCTTTTCACCTGTATTTAGATATCACCGAAAAATTTCTTCAAGACACCATCCACGTTATCAACAGCTTCAGATAATTTTTTCTTCAAATCCTTTTCACCAGAATCATTGTTAATAAGTAAATTAGGTGTATCATCAGGAATTTTATCCAAGATACCCTTAGTTGCTAATTTAAGGATCTTTTCTTTCATTTGTTTAGGTGTAACTGCTTCTTCTTCAAGACTTAAAAAGTAAGCAGCAAGACCGGCAACATGAGGTGATGCCATTGAAGTACCAGAGATCGTATTTGTTGCATATTTACTTCCTCTCCAGACAGAAAGAATATTTAAACCAGGAGCAAAGACATCCACACATGGGCCATAGTTAGAAAAGTAAGCTCTTTCATCTGCAATCGTGGATGCACCTACTGTAATCGCATTCTCTGCTGCTGCTGGAGAATAATTACAAGCATCACGGTTATCGTTACCAGCCGCAACCGCAAAAATGATACCAGCATCTACAGCACCATTGACAGCGGCATCTAAAGAAGGTGATTTACCTCCACCTAAACTCATGTTAGCTACAGCTCCTTTGTATTTCTTGTTACTCTTTCTGGCTGCAGAGGCTTCCTTCAGATGAGCTGTTGTAGCCCAGTCAACACCACGAACGACATCACTCATAGTACCACTACCATTCGATCTCAAGACCTTAACAGCTACAGGTTGTGCTTTCTTGGCAATACCATATCTTTTGCCTGCAATAGTACCAGCACAATGAGAGCCATGACCATTACCATCCATATCATCATCACCATTAGGTACAGTATGACCCCAAATAGCACGACCTTCAAAATCAACATGATCGACATTGACACCTGTATCAATCACATAGACTTTTACACCTTCACCACCATGAGAATTGTATTCATATTGTTGATAATTCTTAAATGTTAAAGGATCCTTATGAGATACACGAGAGAGACCCCAAGGAGCATTACGTTGTAATTCATTAGCATATACCATAGAATCATGTTCAATAAAGGCAACCTATTACATTATAAATGATGAACACTATAATCCAAGTAGTCTATATATATATGTGTGTGTGGAGGGGAACAAAGGATAATTATAATAAATAGTCTTACATCATCTGATTGACGAATTGCTTCTAATATTTGTTTATCAAATTTACCCGAGTAACCTTTAAGATAAGGGGTATCATAAACATGACGAATACCAGCCTTTGTAATGTGAGGATTTAACCAATCTTCATCCTTGATTTGAATAGAACTAGTAAGGGCGCTAATCCATTCAGCATGTTCTTTTATTTCATGAGATTTTAAATCATTTTTAAGGACAACAATATAAGAATCTTGAATCACTTCTGCTTCAGGAGATACATACAAAGGTGCTAAAACATTGTCAGGAGCTTGATAAAAAAGTGGCTTTGCATTTGTTAAAGTAGCTACTAATAATGCAGTTGCAATAAGACTAAGCTTCATCATATATGTATATATGTGTATATAAATATATATATATATATATATATAAAAAAAAAGGAAAAAGAATGATAAAAATAAACAAAAAAAAAAAAAAAAAAAAAAAAAAAAAAAAAATTAAATAAATTTATAGCTTTATTTTCAATGTACGATAAGAAGAACAAATGACCTGAAACAGAATAATGCGTGTTACACGCTCCACAGTAAAATAAATGAAAGCCGTTGATTTGTTATTGTTGTCATCATACTTTGCATAAATTAATTGATCATTTATTTTTTCCATAAAAAGAATAGAAATAAATACAAAGACCAATTAAAGTTCCAACTGCTGACAACTCTTCTCCTTTTTATACAATGGCCCTTTATATATAAACTTGGTACTGTTCGAGTCAGAGATCAGAAAGAAAAAGGATAAAGTCAATAGTAGTTAAAATGATAAAGTGAACAAGGCATGTATATAAATATACATCTATATATTTATATACAAGCTCCTGCTATTTAGAGATAACGGTTATAGCTATCAATAGAATGTGAATTATCAAGATAAAAGAGGAAAACTTGATATAAAAGAAGATTTGGTTTCCCTTTTAAATATATATCTTTAAGTGTAAAACAGTTGATATTTAATAGAAATAGAACTATCCTATTACAGACGGTAATGATTTTATGAAAAAAAAAAAGGGTAGCTTACTATTCATCTGTTAAAATGTCGTCTTCGCAACTTATTTTTTTTTTTTAGTGTAGGAATTTTAATAATCATGAAATTACTACGTACACACCATAAATTACGTAAAAAATATTCATTTGATGAGATACTTTTATTTCTGATCATAAACACACACACACACACACACACACAGCAGAAAATTATATGATAGCGATATGTGATATGCTATAGAATACAAGCTTATGCTATAATAGATGATAATAGAATAATGTAACATTGTGAATAATGTAAATGCATACACACACACACATATATATATATATATATGTATATGTATATGTTAATATGATATTATTATTTTATAGTAGTGCTTTCAAGTATTACATGTGGATTTATCAAAAGATCGACTTTATATTCATAAAATTTGTATGACAATAAACTAAAGAAAAAAAAAACTCCGTTTAACTATTATACCACGTATTTGATATACTTTTGCACGTTCCCCTTCTCTCTCTCCCCCCCCTTTTTTTCAGTCTTTTTTTTTTAAAAAAAATTATTATATAATAATAATTTCTATCATGCTAAATAAGAAAAAGAAAACAAAATTAGTAATACAGAAACAAAATAGTTTGAAACAACCCTACATTGGCGTCATTGAGAACCTCATCATGTACCATTCAGAAAATAATTCAAATAATAGTTTAATATCGGTAATAAGTCAATAAAGGGGCTTTATTGCCCATGCTGAATTTTATTTTATTTTTTTTTATCCAATCACAGATGTTTACATTATTTGTAGAGGAGCCATCAAGATATTTAATTTTAATACGATTTTATGAAGATTTTCAAGAATTTGATAAAAGAGTATATTTCCTTTTTTATTATATGTATTATATTATACATGGATTTAACTATTTTTTTTTCTTTGAATGATAAGATTAAACATTACTTGAAGGAATCCAAGTTATGTTTACCAAAATTGCAACAGAATGAAATATTACAACCTAATTTATCAAGTCGACAAAGAAACCATAGTTTTAGACAAAAAGTATTACAAAGTCTTTCAATAATAAAGAACAAATCTATCATGACTAGAGTACAGACTGCTATCAGTAATGCAGATAAAATAGAAAAGTATTTACGTCATTGTATAGACGATTCTAATATTCAATCCTGTTCCCTTCTTAAAGACTTTCTTCAACCTCAAAGAGAAGAAGATAAGGTGATCTTGAAAGACGATTGTCCTCAGGTTCAAAGGATGTTACAAACAACTAGACATGATGCTATACAACAACAATTGAAAGAATCTTGCCAACCTATAATTAATGACAGTATTCATGTTTCTTTAATAGAGAATATAAAAGGTGTCCATCCTCTTGACAAGACTTCAGTACATTCATCTTCAAACTTACCGCAACTTCAAATTCCATCTTTACAGGATAATATGAGGGTACTTAAAAATGACTCTTCTTTATCTTCTTGCACCTCAGAAACACCTGTAACTATTCAAGACTTTCAACTCATTAAAGTGATTGGAAAAGGCTGTATGGGAAAGGTAAAGTCTCCTCCTCCTCACACTCTAATAGTAGTGTACATATGTATACATGTATATATTACTTGCTATTTGGTATAAATAAAAACAAAAAATAAAAAATGATGTTATATTAGGTACTTTTGGTTCGACATCGAAGGACATCCCGGTTATTAGCCTTAAAAGCGATTAGTAAAAAAGCTGTGATTGAACAAAGTCAGATAATACATATTCGAACAGAACAACAAATCTTGGCTGATATTGCATCTATTCATCATCCCTTTTTAATTAAACTTCATTATTCATTTCAAGATATGAATCAATTATTTCTTGTACTTGATTATCATGTAGGAGGTGATTTGGCAACGCAACTTAAAATTCATTATACCTTGACTCCCGAAAGGTGTAGGTTTTATGCAGCCGAAATTATTCTGGGTATACAAGAATTACACAGTTTAGGAATAATATATAGGTAAGCATATATATATATATATATATATATATATATATAATGAAGGAATAAGATTGATTTTCATTTTCATTTTAAAGAGACCTCAAGCCTGAAAATATTTTATTATCAGCAGAGGGTCATGTTGTCTTAACAGATTTTGGCCTCTCTAAACAATTCTATGGCAGTCCAAATGCTAAGGAACAGAGAGCAGATACATTTTGTGGAACTGCAGAATATCTTGCTCCAGAAATACTGAATGAACAACCTTATTCTTATGAGGTTGACTATTGGAGTTTTGGTACAATTCTTTATGAAATGTTGATTGGAGTTACGCCATTTTGGGCAGAAAATCGTGATGAAATGTATCGTCGTATCCGCGAAGATCCACTTCAGTTCCCTGAATTTATTGATATTGAAACAGCTAACTTTATTGCCCATCTTTTAAAACGTGATCCACAGCGTAGATTAGGATATAGTCATCTAATTGAAGAGGGAGCTACTCGGGTCCGTTCTGATCCTTATTTTAATTATATTGATTGGCAGCTTATCTATACGAAACGAATCAAACCACCTTATGTACCTAACCTATGCTCAGAGACAGATCTTAGTCTTTTTGATCACGAATTTTTACTCTTGACACCACGTCTTTCACCTGTTGAAAGTGACTATCATCCAAGCCAAACTTTAGATCCCGTCTTTGAAGGTTATTCATATATTAATTGTGAAAACTGTCCACCAGATTCACCTCCTTCTGAAGTTTATTCCTTATCCGAACCACCACCCATTACATTGCTGGATACAATGATACCTGATAGTAATATGAACGATACAAGATATTATGTATATAACGAAAGTGATGTAATAATACCTTATGACGATTGTATTGAGAGCGTTAATGAAGAAGAAGAAGATGATGATGATGCAATTTATATTTCTGATTTTATTCGTCATCGTGATAGTAGTGGTTTATTTCCTCTAGATGACGAAACTGATTCACACCATGATCCACCCAGACCTTCTAGACCTGTTTTTTCACTGAAAGAATAACAGATTATAATAAGGAGACACTAATTTAATAACAACCTATAGTAACAATAGCATTATCCACTTTTTTGTTCAGTTCAATAATTTATATTTACACTAATCACTTTTTATTACTTTATATCGTTCACTCATAATAACATGATTTATTTACATTTAGAGCAGGCCTCAAAAAGAAAAAAAAAGATCCTATAGTTAAATTAATTCATAACATACAAACAATAATAATAAAAGACAATTTGAGATATTAGTTCATTATTTACACAAAAAGAAGAGTGTTTCTCTCTCTCTCTCACTCACACTCTCTTTTTCTTTAGTTTATTAATGTTTTAAAAGAGTAATATGTAGGTATTAAAATTTACAAGGAATGTTCCAGTATAGACATATAAATTTGTTCATAGGCTGGTATAACTACCAATTCTTACGTTGCCAACGATTATCATATTTTTGATTCAAAGCGATTAATTTTACTTGTTCGCCATCTTTAATTTCTTGCCATGGATGAGGATTTGATTTAGAATTCCTATATTATAAGTGAGTATCAAAGTTGTATTTATTCATCTCCTTTTTTTTACCAAACTACATCAGGGGCTCTCATAGCACGAGCACCAAAGTAAGCTGCACCAGAAAGAGCAAAAGTCAAGATCCCAACAATAGGATAAATTTCAGGCTTTTTAGCAGAAATTTTAAGGAAATTTGAAAGTGCAGTCATTTTCTGTATCTATTTTGATGTGAGTTTAAGTATTGAAAAAAAAAAGGCCCATTTATAGCTTTTCTAATTGTATTTATATATGGATGTAAACTTGAAAAAATAAAAATCATACCACGAAAATAATCATTTACGTATGTTCCTGAATTTTACTGCTTAACTTGTCTATTGTATGTCGAATGATTTAACATTCGTTGGTGGCCTGATATTTATTTAAACTCAGTCGTTTTTATTATTATTATTATTATTATTATTACTATAGCAATAAACAACAACAAAAGGAAATGACTTTATTGGTAGAATTTATAAACTATAATCTTCATCACCTAAAATTTCAATTGCATTATCCTCTTCACTTGATGATAGAATAGGGCTTTTGGGTATAATAAAAGATGACTTTACTTTATGCTTCTTCTTATCTTGTAATTCTAGTCCTTCTTCTTCATTTACATCATTTAAAAATTCATCTAGTTCGTTTTCATTATTCCCTAAATCAAGTCTTTCTAGTGTTGACGAAATGGTATCTTCATCTGTATTTACATTCATGCTATGATCTACATATAAAGTCAATAACTCTTTGTATTTCTTATTTATCGTTTGTTTGCTTACAAGAATAGAGTGAAGACACCTCTGTTTCTCTTCTTCTCCTATAATCTTCAAGTTCAGCATTAAAATTGGCTTCATAAAGCTCTAATCGTTTCTTTTTTTGAAGTTCATCATATTCCTCATATCTTTGTCTTAGCATATTTTCTCGTTCTTGTAGTAATCGTCTATCACAGGCCTTTTATTTCAAGTAATTATTTTTATTTGGGCGTTCTTGTTCTTACCTCTTTTTACTTATTTCTTTCATAAATTCTTTTTCTTCAGTTTCTTTCCATATTTCAAATTGTTGTTTTTCATAGTCTATGGATGCTCTATCGATTTCGTCTTCCAATTTTGAAAGTATATCCATTAACTTGACTATATTAAACATGTTTTTTTTTAGTTTGTATTGTAAGCATATTATATATAAAATAATTACCTGCTGAATTTTGAATCATGTCAAGATTTGTATGCATTTCTTTTAAATCGTGTTGGACATTTTCCATCGATTCACAAACTTTATAATGTAATTCACCATTTTTTTGTAATTGTCTTAGTTTCACATTAGCCATCTAATATAGCCATGTCATTATTCAACTGCTTGTATCTATTTATATATATTTTTTTATTCTCTCCCAACCTGTGCTTTTTCAAAGTTTGTTTGATTTGCTTCATGTATATCAGTCCATTTGTTATGTATTGTATTAATGAGTTGGCTTGTTGCTTCTAACTGAGTTAATGATAGATCGGATGTATTAGAAGTGGATGTTTTATCACTACAGATATAATTAAATAAGTGTATAATGCTCTTTTTTTTTTTTTTTTTTTTTTTTTTTTTTCTTTTTTCAATCTGCTTTATTTACTTTGAATTTTGACGATTAAAGAACGAATTCAAATTTTGGAATTCATTTCGAAGTGTACCTAGTCTAAACAAACATAAGAATCACATAAAATAAATGACTTTACTACCTTTCAATGCCTTTATTCCAATCTGTATCATTGATTCTATCATGAATTGAATAACGTGAACACTATTATTATCAACTAAAAGTTTTATATTTTCTACTACCTAACAGACTCAGTTAAAGAACGAATGTTAAGTGAAGTATTAGGAAATATATTTTTAAATTGTTGAAACATTCAAAATAGTTTATAATCGACAATAAATAAGTAAATGATATAAGCACACTTTGAATCTATTTGAGTTCATTACTGATAAATATACGTGACTTTGCATTATTTATTTTATTTTATTTATTTATTTATTTTATTTATTTCCTTTTTTTTTTTATTTTTACTTGGAAATAAAAGTGAATAGTAGACTGCTGTGTTGAGCTGCTGTTATTCTTCCATTGCTGTTATTGTATATTTCTTTTTTTTTTTTTTCTTTTCAAGAATAGAAATTATTAACTTTAAAGAAAAACAAATTTTATCATAAAAGTAGTTGTTTATTCATATTCTCATTATTTATCATTATTTAATTGCTTAATTTTTATGCGTTTATTATTATAGGCTGCAATAATATACGCGTATAATAGCTTTTTTATTTATTTATTTTTTACTCTTTTTCTCCACAATTAAATAAAATTTATATTATTTTATTTTTTATTTTTATTTTTTTTATTTTTATTTTTATTTCTTTCTTTCTTTCTTTCTTTCTTTTATTTATTTAACTAATTGACATGGTTGATTTCTCACAAATATTTAAAGCAACATATTCAGGAGTTCCTGTTTATGAAATGAACTGCAAAGGTGTTGCTGTGATGCGTAGAAGATCTGATTCTTATTTAAATGCAACACAAATATTAAAAGTAGCTGATTTTGATAAACCACAACGTACTCGTATTTTGGAAAGAGAAGTTCAAACAGGTGAACATGAAAAAGTGCAAGGAGGCTATGGAAAATACCAAGGTAGTGTATATATGTATATATATGTTCAATGTACTATTTTTATAATCTTGTTTTTTTTTTTACCTCATTAGGCACTTGGGTCCCATTTGAGCGTGGTAAAGCACTTGCAGAATTATATGAAGTTGATGATGTATTAGCTCCTATACTTCAATTTGTAAAAGGTGATGAAAGTCCTCCATTAGCACCAAAGCATGTTACTGCTGCTACTGTACGGCCACGAAAAGCGCGTGATACGTCAACTGCCACAACGACAACTCGAATTAGAAAACGGGTTAAACATTTTGATGAAGATGTACCGGATATTGAAATGCAAAATACATCTCGATTGACTAATGCAGCAGCAGCAGCAGCAACGACGACAACAACAACAGCAACAGCAACAGCAACAACAACAGCAACAGCAACAACAGCAACAATACCATTGGTAAAAAATGAAGATCACACACCAATTGCTTCTTCTCCTCTAGCTAACACTACGACAACAAAACGAACGAAAATGAAGAAAGAATCTAAAGAAAAGACGAATACAACCCTCAGATCACATCATTTAAAAGCAGATTCAAGTACTCTCAACCCAGATAAAAAATCAGCACTTCATATGAAACAAGAGGAAGATACACAAAGGACAAAGGAGGAGGATGCTGAAGAAGATGACCCTGAAATGATTGGAAAGCCATATGCCCAACGTTTACTTCAGTATTTCATGTCAAATAAAACAACCGTTCCCACTCTCCTAAGTCGACCTCCACATGATCTCGATTTAAACGTAATTATTGACGATGAAGGTCATACTAGTCTTCATTGGGCGGCTGCTATGGCTCGTATTAAGATTGTGAAAACACTCTTAGACAATGGAGCTGATGCTTATCGTGTTAATTATAAGGGTCAGACCGCTCTCATGCGTTCTGTATTATTTACCAACAATTTTGATATGAAGACCTTTGATGCCCTGCTTGATCTCTTACGTACCACCATTTTTAATATTGATAAAAAGGATCAAACCGTCTTTCATCACACAGCAGCCATGTCAGACTGGAAGGGTAAAGTCTATGCCTCGCGTTATTATATGGAATGTTTAATCAACAAACTTAAAAGCAATCAATCTGAATTGATTTCTATTTTAAATGTACAAGATACGAATGGTGATACAGCATTGACGATTGCAGCCAAGATTGGTAATAGACGATTGATCAAACTCATGATAGATGCAGGTGCTAGTACAGAGATTGCAAATGAACAAGGTATGACACCTCGAGACTACTTTAGTGAAATTGAGAAAAATACGATAAGGGCATCACCTCCTTTAGTATCGGCTTCATCATCACCCAGTGAGATGAATACGACTATTTTGAATGAAACTGATACACGTGAGCTATTAAGATCGAAGGTAGATGCTATGTTTAGAAACGTCATGAGCAATCCTAACCATGCACAACCTATATCAGAGGTATTTGATGAGTTTGCTGAGAGTTATGAAAGAGATCTTGTGAATAAGGAGAAAATGATTGAAAAAAAGAAAATTGAATTAGATTTACACAGAAAGCGGTTAGAAGAGACAAAGCGTGCGTTAAATTCGATAGCATTCGATCATATTGAAGTGAATGCTCTTTTAAAAAGGATAGATAATGAAGGTAAAGCGTTAGAAACAAAATATCGAAAATGGCTTCAATATAGTCAAAAGCAAACGATACACATGCTTGAAGAAGATTATCATCATCAACAAAAAGAGGAAAAGCCGCCTTCCCCACCTCAGCAATACACTATTCAAGGATTACAAGATAAAGCTACTGAACTAAGCAATGAGTTGAAAGAGTTGCAAACATCGAGAAAGAAAATAATGAATAAATTGATTGAATTGCAATGTCAATTGCCACCAAAGAAATATCAAGATTATAAGCGATTAATCTCTACTAGTTGTAATGTTGCATATGAAAATGTCGATATGATGTTGGCGCCACTTTTAGCATCATTTGATAATGAAACAACGATTCATGATGAGCCATTACAGCAACAATAAGAAGAAGAACGTTATTACGTATATAGTATACATATTCCCTTTATATTTTTTTTTTATTTTTTTTTGGTTTTCTTGTTTAGTATCTTTTAGTTCCTATTATAACACATTTATATAATAAACCATGTGTATATAGATTGTGAATATATATATATATTTATATTTATAGATAGGGAGATTGCCAAATGTGTAAATAGTACAACAGTATTACATTGTAACAAAAGCAAACGAATTTATAAGATAAGAATTAACAAGACATGTATATATAAATCGAGACATATAACAAAAAAAAGGGGGAAGGGAGTAAGCCTTTTAACTGCCATTCTTATCACAAGAGATGATCCAACTATTTTATCGCCAATGATAAGGACTATGTATATTAAATTGAATTATAAGCCAACTGTCTTTTCTTTAAGCTATCTGAATAGAATTTATTATTCCAAACCAGACATGTACGTTGCAATAATGATTTAAAGCAACATGTAAAGTATTTTTAGTATTAAAAAAAAAAAAAAAAAAGATGATATACATTATTTATTTTTTTAAAAAGAAGACTTGGATGATATATCCTCTTCTGTTATTGTATTAAATGACCATGTTGAGTTATTCTTTTTTTCCACATAATAGACTTTGATTGTTCAATATTTATTCAAGTTCTTCTGGAGCATATTTGTTAACAAATTCAGTTATATCCTCTGATAATTCCTTTCGCATAGAGCGAATAATTTCTCCTGCTTCAGGATTCCTCATTGCTAAAATTAAAGGGTTTATAGAGCTATATACAATACGTAAATAGTGAGTTCATAAAAGGAAAAAAAAAAAGTGATTATTTTTCTATTTACTTGTAAATATCTAAACCAGTGTCACCTAGTCGCATTAATAGATAATGTAAAATAGGTTGAATGACCCACACTATACCAGATCTGATTAATTTTGTACGCAATGTTGTTGTTACTCTAGAGCGTCTCTTGAAGAGATAGAGAAAATAAATGAACGCATAAAAGGCATAAAGTGTAGGTGCTGCAAAAGCAACTACAATCACTTTCCATGATGCGAGAACATCTTTACCAGAAAGTTTGACAGAAGAATTAGCCAAGGCCTCTACAGATGTATATATATATATAAATGATATCATTAGCATATCCAGCTTGTTATTTATTAAACAAACAAAAAGATTATAACTTACCTCTCTGTTTCCTTTTACTTATATAGTTTGTAATCCAAATTAGAGGTAAATTAGAGATCAAACTGTATATATAATAAATGAATGAAAAGGTGAATAAGTATGTAAATAATATACTTTACGTAGGAGTGCCTAAGCCGATCATAACCGTTAACTTGATGATCCGTTTAAATAATTCTACAAAGCCTTCCATAGCTGTCATATTTAATTTTTCTACTTGATGATCTCTAATCCCGAAAAACCTCAACATGCTATTGTACTGTTTCACCTTCTGTATAATAACTTGGAAATGAACAGGATCATTCTTTGATAGTCTAGGCCATAAATGAATGAAGAGACGATTTAATTGAACAACTTGGTCGATACTAGTACTAGTATTCCTTTTCGTTTTATAAAGACGTCTTACTGTCTGTATAATCATCAGTGTATCATAATCAGGCGTATTCAAAGTAATAGCTTTAAATGCTTTATCACTTTGATCCAAGAGCTTTGTTATAGCTTCTCGTTTATGCTGACCTCCTAAATTATAGTTTTCTACTTCAGAAGGCTGAATGGAGATAGGTTTACCGAATGAAACGACAGCACGAGATCTGAAACGATCAGGATGGAAATAGTTGAGTCCTATTATTTTTGATTATAAAAAAAAAAGAGAAGAAAGGAAAAAAAAAGAAAAAAAAAAAAAAAAAAAAGAAAGAAAGTGTTGTTCTTGTTTATAATTCAATCTTACCAACAGGGACAATTTTAAGATTTAACGTAGGATTGGCTGCCAATGTGCCTAATGCCATAATAGCAAAGCCAGCTATTATATATTAAACAGCAAATCAGCAACTTTCCCCTTCTTTTTTTTTTTTTTTCTTATTAATTCAGAATTCATCATCTATTATTTATACCTTTTAAGGGTAGCATTTCTGATCTATCATGACTTCCACCTTCTGGGAAAATAGTAATACATTTTTGATTATTTAAATGATGATAAACTTCATCATAAACAACGGTTTGATCCAAATGAGGTACTATTTTAAAAGATGAAAAAGGAGCATCATCATTGTCAATGGCATGTGTAATTTCAAGTAAAGTGTCTGAAATGATACGACCCACATGGACTTTATCGTCGTTTTTACCAAATAGAATAAAGTCGCGAACATTGACTTCCGTTAAAAACTTTGTATCTTGACCTTCTATTTGATATGGAGGATGGTACTTTATTTTTCCTGTACCCAAGTTTATTCTATCTTGAGGTCTTACTACAGGAACTATTATATACTAAGTGATGAGTATATAATACTAATCTTTGTTCATCTTGTAATATTATTCATTACTAACTAGCATTTAATATTTTTCCTACATGACCGATAACAGGTTTCTGATAGGAAACATCAGCCATCAAAGCATAAGAAGGACGAGGATTGACGTTCATATAAACAATGCCATCAATGAATTGATTTGCATGAGGACCCACAATAAAGATACATGGGTCTGATGTCGGTACATTATGAATGTCTGTTATCTTTATTTCACGAAAAAATAGATGGGAAATGACTTTAAATAATCCTCGAAAGCCAACATAAGTGTATATAGAGAATTCAAACATGTATATGTATATATATCAAATTTAAAATAGATATGGACATGTATATTATTGTATAGAATTACATGTTATACAGAGAATCAAAAGACACAAAGATGAAAAAGGAACTTCACGTGAAAAGTAATACATGCTCACAGGCTTCAATAAAAAAGGAAAATGTAGTTTAATACAACATAATCTGCCTGTCTGTCTGTCTGCCTGCCTGCCTTTAACCCCACAAAAATGATAGAACAGACTTTATTTCTAATAAACGAAATCATTAACGGGAATACGTAATTCTTACTAAATATATAAAATAAATATATTTATATTAGTTACTGCCCAAATATGTATTATATGAATATGAATATATTTGTATTTATTTATATATTCTTAGATTGTATCATATAGCTGTCAATGATTTTTTTTTTTTTTTTTGGAAGCAGACATGTCTTGGCTGGTTATTGATTAGTGGTTAACCCATGTCTTGACCTATACCACTATTACATAATAATAATTATTATCATTCTCTGTAAGGAACTTTTTAACAACTACTTTTAACTCATGACTACTATTCATATAATACTACGCTTGTGGCATACATAAAGGCTTACCCTGCTTGTATAGCTTTCCTTTCCTTTCATTTAATTTCATTCACAAAAAAAAAAGCTTCCTCTGTCTTCTTCTTCCTTTCCTTATTGTAGTAGTAATAGTAGCAGCTACTAAACATGGATTAAATCTAATAATAAATAGGCGAATAAAATAAATGAAAACAGCGGTTATTAAATATGTGATTTTCTAAATTCTGAAATCGGGCTATTATCCTCTTTATTATTCCCTTTCCCTTTCTCTTTCTCTCTCTTTTCCTATTTATTTATTTATTTATATATATATATTTTTTTTATTTAAAGTGAAAAAATGCCAAATATATCAATTGCAACAGAAAAGCCTAGTTTGAATCGTACAAAATATACAATGGAAGATGGTACGATTGTTAATACAACAGACCGTATTTGCACAGGTAAGTTTTATTTTTATTTATTTTTATTTTATTTTTTTTTTTATTTCTTGTTAGTGATACAATGATTATGCTGAATAAATATCAATAAAAGAAATTGAGCCACCTGCTTTTAAGAAGCCAATAGATGAAGAGTTATGGTCAAAGGAGCGTCCTGGTTTACCTGATTTAGGATTCTTAAGAGAACATTTACGTCGAGAAGGTCGTTTGACAGAAGAACAAGCGCTTCAGATCCTGAATGCAACAAAGACACTTTTGAGAAAGGAACCTAATTTATTACGTATACCTGCACCTATTACTATCTGTGGTGACGTGCACGGACAATATTATGATCTTTTAAAGTTATTCGAAGTAGGGGGGGATCCTGCAGAGACTAGATATTTATTCTTAGGCGATTATGTAGATAGAGGCTATTTTTCAATTGAGGTTTGTTTACGTTTATATTTATATATGTATGCTTTTTTTTTCTTTCTTTCTTTCTTGCTTTTTTTCTTTTTAACCAAACTAATCTTTTTTTTTTCTCCCTCATGCAAGTGCGTACTTTACCTTTGGGCTCTTAAATTATGGTATCCAGATACTTTTTTTTTACTACGTGGAAATCATGAATGTCGTCATTTGACTGACTACTTTACATTTAAGTTGGAGTGTAAAAAATAGATGTTTATACATATTCATATTATGCAAAAAAAGAGTAAACTCTTCTATTTCTATTCTTCTTTTAATAGGTAAGACAAAATATTCTGAAAAGGTCTATGATGTTGTAATGGAATGCTTTGATAGTCTTCCATTAGCTGCCATTGTGAATGAACAATTCTTTTGTGTTCATGGTGGGTTATCACCAGAATTAAAGACTCTAAAAGACATTGAAGACGTAAGCTATGCTGTATTGTTGTTGTAATCTTATTTATTTATTTTAGTCATTTATGTGTTAGATTGACAGATTTCAAGAAACTCCGACATTTGGATTAATGTGTGATTTGCTATGGTCAGACCCATTTGAAGAATTTGATGCTGATGATTCACCTAAATTTGAACATAATCATGTTCGTGGATGTTCTTACTTTTACAGGTAATTTTATCCCTTTATTTAATAATCTGGAAGCAAAAAAAGAAAAAGAAAGAGAAAGAGAAAAAAGAAAAGAAAGAAATATGTAGAGCTTAATAGACCATGCATGCATTAACAAAAAAAATATATACAAATATATGAGACAATATTAAAATTCCCTTTTTTTTATTTATTTTTAATAGTTATCGAGCCGCTTGTAGCTTTTTGGACAAAAACAACCTTTTATCCGTCATTCGTGCACATGAAGCACAAGCAAATGGGTAATGAAAATAACCAACAAAAGTAATTAGTTACATATTAATTGATTTTATTTGATTGAAAAAAAAAAAAAAAAAAAAAAAAAAAAAGATATCGTATGTATCGTAAAAGTAAAACGACTGGATTCCCAGCATTGATGACCATTTTTTCTGCACCCAATTATATTGATGTATACAACAATAAAGCAGCTATTCTTAGATATGATGAAAATGTACTCAATATTCGTCAATTCAATTCTAGTCCTCATCCTTACTGGCTTCCCAAGTTTATGAACGTATTTGACTGGAGTTTACCTTTTGTTGGTGAAAAGAGTAAAGTATATAATTTTATAGAATAAATTTAGCATATTTTTTTTAACCTTTTTTTTTTTCACTTGATCCTAGTTACTTCTATGCTTTTGGCGTTATTAAATATTTGTTCACAAGAAGAATTAGCAGCCATTACAAACGAAGAAGAAGAAGAAAAGGACTCGAAATCACCTATCGTTATTCTACCTGATAATATATCACCAGAACAAAGACGACAAATCATTAAAAACAAAATTATGGCGATTGGTAAAATGTCCCGTACTTTCTCTGTTCTTCGAGAGAATTCAGAGTTGGTAATGGAACTTAAGAGTTTATCCAATACGGGTAAATTACCTACAGGTACATTAGGACTTGGTTCAGAGGGTATCAGAAAAGGTATAATACTATCTATCAATATGTATATATTGTTTTATTCATCTTTTTTTTTTCTCTATATATAAAATTAGCTATTACTACATTTGAAGAAGCAAGACGCTCAGATATTGAAAATGAACGTTTACCTCCTGCTTCTCGTGAAAGTATGGACGCTATTCACCGTGAAGTGACTCATTCAAAGTTAAGAGATGCCTTGGATGAAGAGGATGAAGATTTAAGTCGTATGGCAGATGTTATTGCATCTGTTCCAGACCGTAAACATCGTATATCAAAATCATAACAAATTTAAATAGAAGACATATAAATAACATTTATTAATATTATTAATATTATTATTATAAATTTGTATAAATTTATATATAATAAGTTAATTTTTTTTTTCTTTATTTGTTTTATAATATACATGAATATGGTTATATTTTTTTTAAGAAAAAAAAAAGGAAAAAAAAATACAAAATACAAAACAATACTATTATCTAATATTACTGTTGTTTTTGTTGAGCTGGTGACTGTTGCTGTTGAGTTTGTGTTTGTTGAGCTGCTTGCTGAGGTTGGACTTGTTGCGATTGAGTTTGTTGTTGTTGTTGTTGTTGCTGCTGTTGCTGTTGTAATTGAAGAGCCTGCGCCTGATGTATTTGTTGTAATCTTTGTAATTGCTGTTGAGCAAGTAAAGCAGCTTGTAAACTATTTATATTATTTTGTTGTTGTTGTGGAATGACAGGGCTACCATTATTGGAGGATGTGTTAGGAGAAGCAGCAGCAGCAGCAGCAGCAGCCATAGCTGCATTTCTCATTTGTAACTGTGCTAAATAACGTTGCAATTGAAGCTGTTGACTCGCAGGTAGTTGTGAAATAGGATAACCCATTTGTGCTAACTGAGCAGCAAACATTAAAGGATTCGCTTGTAATTGAGCAGCAATAGCAGCTTGTTGTTGAGGTGTTTGGACTTGAGGTGATGATTGTGGGGGTGTTTGGGTAGCTGGGCGAGATTGTGGACTTTGTTGAATGGGGGCTGCAGGTGAAGCCATTTGAGAGACTTGTTGAGATACGATTTCGGCAGTAGGAGTAGATATTTCTATAAAAAAATAAAAAAAATAAAGGTTAATAATAATGAATAATAAAGTAAGTATATACTAATTACGTTGTGGTGTTTGTCCCTGAGTGGGTGTCTGTTGCTGTTGATGTTGAGTTTGTTGTACTAATTGCTGCTGAGCGGCTAATAATTGTGCTTGCTGCTGTTGTTGCTGTGCTTGAATTTGAGCTTGTGCTTGCACCTGTGCCTGAGCTTGAGCTTGAGCTTGTTGTAATTGAAGTTGCTGTTGTAATTGCTGTTGTTGGGCTTTTTGAGAAGCTTGTATAGCATTAGCAAAACGTTGAAGTGCTGCAGGCGTGGGTGAGCGAATTTGTGTACTAGCAGCACCAGCCCCTTGTTGTTGTTGTTGAGCTTGTTGTTGAGCTTGTTGTTGAGCAGCAGCCATTAATACCATCTGTTGTTGTCTCAGTAATTGAAGTTGTGCAGCGGGGTATCTATTCAGTGGCAGACCAGCAGCCACACCATTGTTCTGTGCAACAGGAGGCCTTGCTGCAGTATTTTGAATAGCAGGGGATGGTGTATTATTATTTGCTGCTGCGGCAGCGGCAGCAGCGGCAGCGGCAGCGGCGGCAACACGAGCTTGAGCAGCAGCAGCAGCAGCAGCCGCAGCAGTAGTAGCAGTGTTAGTGTTAGTGTTAGTGTTAGTGGTAGTATTAGTATTAGTAGTAGTGTTGGTATTAGTTGTAGATGAAGCCATTCCTATAGCAGGACGATGTGGTTGTGATACAGATGGAACAGCTGCGGTACGTGGACCATGAGGCAATTGAGCACCTAGCCCAATGGCAGCTGAAAGCTGACGTTGTTCCAACACAGCTTGTGCCATCTGTCGTTCTCTTTGTGCCTTATGTAAACTCATCTCCATAGCTGTTGGTAAACGTTGACCTGCACTATTCATACCATGAACTTCAATTGTTTGACGAGGTGGTGCTGGTGTATTTGTCTGTTTCTCATTCTCTTCACGTTTCTTTTGAGTTTTCTTGATAGCTTCAAATATATTATATTGGCGTTGACGCTTTTGACTGGAGTCCAGACGGTTAGGAGAAGCTCGATAATTAAGCTCCTTTTTCACTTTATGTACATAAGCCAAATTGACTTGACCAGTCAAGGATGTTAAATTATTACGTTTCCAGCGATCATAACATTCCCAGGGAGTACGCTTTTCACCAGTGAGAGGAAGTCGGGCTGAATTAAATGCATCACAGACTAAATCCCAATTGAATGAATATTGAAGAATGAAAGATATTAAGCATACATCATCCTCCTCGGTCCAATTAGATGTATGATGTTGATTGTTAGCATGTGTTTGAGGTGTAGAAGGTTGCTGAATAGGTAATTCTTTATGTCTTTTAGGTGCAAATAAAGGTGAAATAAGAGGAGTGGAATCATATCGTTCACTTCGTGGTAATTGTTGTATGTCATCCTTTGTTTCATCCATAATGATAATAGGATTACCATTCATATCTCGTTTACGACTGTATCGTTGAGGTGTCTTGAGAACTATATGCTCTGAAATGAGTTTCGTAATAGGAATCACTCTACCATATTCAATTTCATTAAAGTAAATATCATCGTAATGTGGATTAGGCGGCTCATAAGTTAATAATTCAGGGAATAATGCACTTGCATCCAGTATATTAAAATCTTCAATAGGCAATGATAAAATCGGCATATTTGGATCAAAATTTTTTATCCTATTTCGATACTCTTGAACTATTTCGGATGATAAAGGAGTGGTTGGGACAGATGAATCTTCCATAGGTACTAATTGTTGTGTGTTCTCAGAGGGGTTTTGAAGTGATCCCATCATTGTATCTGACTTGAGCATTTGACTAGAGTCTTCTATTATTAATTTTTCAGAGTCATTTAATTCTGAATCCAATTCGAATGGCCTTAAATCTGAATCAGCATTGGATATAGTTGTTGTATTTTCTAGTGATATTGGACTAGCTATTGCGGGTATGATGGCTTCTTCAACTAACACGGGCAAACTCTTTGGTTCTGGTATACGTGTCTTTACACACACAGTTGATTTATCTTCTGCATGATGCCATTCTAGTACAGCTCTAGAAGTTAAATAAGCCATAGCTATCTTCCATTTTCTTTCCTCTTTAAAATCAGTATGCATCCATTTCATTTCATCTAACATACAATCCCAATGTGTTTTCGGCCGAGGTAATGATTTATGTTTCTTTAATTGCCTTAAACTCCATAATTTTTTCTTTTTTAATGCCTCTATCCTTTGAATTGTTTTCACTGACTTTAGTTCATCTCTAGCAAGCATCCAATCGTGTGTCGTTAAAGTCTTTCGTGCAGTCTGAAGTTGTTTATAAAGTGGGAAATGGGTTGCATGAAGTTGCCAAGCATATAAATTGAAATGATCATTTTCGTTGTATTGTATATCATCCGTTGATAGTTTAATACCATTATAAATAAGTGCATTTGAATTTTGTGATTTGAAATCGATAAAAGGATGAATTATTTTCCCTTGACGAGCTGAAGGTTCTTTAGTCACATTTCTTAACTGATCTGGCTCCTTCAATGCTGTAGTAGGTGAGATACTTTTCTCTTTCTGAGAGGAAGATGCAGATGTGATTAAATCCTTTTGCTAAACAAAAAAAATAAAATAAAAATTATATACAAAATTAAAAAAAAAACGATGTGCATACTTACATCTAGACTAGATAAGATTTCATCTACACTTTTTGGACGTACAGCACCACTAACACCTCTAGTAACCATTCTAGCAGGTGGCGGTGGTATACGACGAGCTGGCTTATTTAACTGACTATCCACAGGAGTAGATGAAGGTGATTGCGGGGATACTTCTTGTTTAATTTTTATATTACTTGAAACTAATTAGTCTTTACATTCCTCTTTTTTTTTCTCTCTCTCTATATATATTATATCTTACGTAATTTTATATTTATCGAGATACGCGCTCCATTTATCTTGATCAATTTGAGTTACATCTCCACCTTTTAAAAAGGATATCACATGGTCTGCTTCACTAGGATTACCTTCACCTGTCATTGTAAATAGCTCTTTTAATAAAAGCTCCCGATGTGTGACAATAATTCTACATAACATAATACAACATAAATTTCATTTTTTTTTTATGCATTTAAAAAATATTTACTTTAATTTCTTTTTTCTCTCCTCTTCAGCATTGTTTCTCAATTTTTGAAGTAATTTCTATATTTGTAAAATAATAATAATTAAATTCTCTCTCTTTCTTTCTCTTTTTTTTTTCTATATTTACCTGTTGTATTTCAATATCTTCCATTTTTTTTTCTTTCTTTATACAATAATAAAGAAAAAGGGGAAAAAGAGTTGAGACTTTTTTTTTTTAGTTGTTTAATATGGATAAAGAAAATAAAGAAAAAAAAAAGTCCAACTATTTCAAAAAAAAAAAATAAAATAAAAATAAAAATAAAAAATAAAATAATGTAAAATAAAATAGAATAAAAATATGAGTCTATATGCCTGCAGTAAATTAAAACAAATACGGTATCACCTATACAAGCCAAAAAAAAAAAAAAAAAAAAAAAAAAAAAAAAAAAAAAACGAAAAAATAGAAAATAAAAAATAAAATGTAAACCTCTAAGCCACTAAGTGTCTTTTTTTGTTTTTATTTTTATTTTTTCTCTTCCTTTTCTTCTTTTTCTACTTTTTGGCGTTTTTCTTATGCTTTATTGTAATCACTTTTCTTTTTTTTTTTGAAGATCTTCTCAAGCCTTCAATATAATATTGCGTAGTAAATATTTTACAAAAAAAGAAAAAAAAAAGGGAAATTTTTTTTTCTTTTGCGCTGATTTACACGCTTATTATTTTTTTTTTTTTTGGGTGATTAAACTGTATAAGAATCAAAATGCTTTTTTAAAAAAAAAAAAAAAAAAAAAGAAAAAAAAAGAAAGAAAGAAAAAGAAAATGATCTTGAATATAAATTTATAAAAAAAAGAAAAGCAATTGTATAATTTAATGTTACTTACATTGTAATTCTTCAGTTTTTTTTTTCACTATTAGATTATGTTATTTTTTTTTTCAAACAAAAAAAAATCTGAAAACATATACTTAGTGCACTGCCATACGTCATATAATACAAAATAGTCACATCCATATTTTTTTTTTCTTTATCTTTTCATTGGCGTGTTTATATAGAATACATTCCATTATTGAAAATGTATAGCAAATGCAATTATTTTATAGTATATTAAATTATATTTCAAGCCTGTTGTATTATGTTTACTTCTTCTTAGTTTGATTTTATACATTTTTTTTGTCACTATAGTAGCTTCAATATCTGAAGTTTAACTTTTATCTCAATCTAAAACGGGCTAGAAGTAGTAGTAATATAAATGTCATATGTATTAAAGAAATACGAATGATATGTTGAATTTTTTTTTTCTATTATTATTGTATATGTTGCTTTCTATAGAAAGGAAGAAGTATGTGTAGTGTACAATATCTGTATTCGCTATTATAAAGCTGAGATTCTACTAGGAAAATAAAATACTTGGTAGAAACATAGAAAAGAAAAGCGGAGTTTTACAGAAACCTGTTACTACTACTTACATGTGTTAATATTTTCATTTACATAAAATCATGCGCCCATTTTTTGTCCTCTTTTTGTTGGAAAATAATAAAAAAAAAAAAAGAAAATAGAAAGGAGGAAAAAGGAAAAAAAAAAAAAGAAGTAATGATATTTATTATATGAACAAATAATATATGTATTTATGTATGATATGATTAAAGATAAGAGGCCTATTATATAAAAGAAAATAAATTAAATCAGCGACATCATCTTTTATCCCAAATATAGTTTCAATTTAAAACTTACACGTCTACTAGCTTCTTCAAGATCACTATCTGTGAGTTTATTCTTATCATCATTGTTAGGAATTTCATAAACACCACCCAAAATAACGAAGGGATGATAAGCAAAGAGGTTAAGATCACTCATTTCAGTAACACCAGAAAGAACAAGAACTGGATCAATTTCAGAAGAAATACCTGCAACAATACTATATCATGAAAGAAAAGAAAAGAAAATTAAGATAAAGAAAGAAAGAAAGAAAAAAAATTTTTTTGTTTTGTTTTTTTTTCAATATATTAAAATAAGGCTTACTCTACTTACTCAGTATCCATACGATCACCAATAATACAAGTTTCCATACGAGATAAACCAAGGACACGTTGAGCATAACGCATAATCAAAGCAGAAGGCTTACCACAGAAGAAAGCTTTCGTCTTTGTAACTAATTCAACACAAGCAGTGAAAGCACCAGTAGCGGGGATCTTACGACCTTTAGAATCAAGAGTTTCAACATCTAAATTAGTAGAAATCAACTTGGCACCTTGTTGAACAAGTTGAACGGCCTTTGTTAATTTTTCAAAGTTATAGACTGCTGATTCACCCAAGACAACATAGTCAGGATTATGATCATTCATGAAGAAACCCTTGTCATAAAGTGCATAAGCGAGACCAGGTTCACCAATAACATAGACGGTACCACCCTATTTTTTTTTTCATAGAGATTGCATGAAGAAAAAAAAATTTTTTTTTTGTTATTATATGGATCTTGTATTATTATTATTTTATGCTCACTATATATTACCTCGGGCATTTGTGAGTGAAGGAAGTAAGCAGTAGCTTGACCAGATGTAAAGAAGTGATCTTCAGTAACATCAATACCAAGACGTTGTAATTTTTGTTGTAATTCACGAGGTGTAGGTGCTGAGTTGTTAGTCAAGAAGAGATATTTTTTATTGTTCTTTTCCAAGAATTCAACAAACTCCTTAGCACCAGGCAATAAGTTTGAACCCTAAAAAAGAGTTGTATGTATGTATAAAAAAAAATTCGGTTAATGCATTTTGCCCTGATTTCTTTTTTTGTGTAATCTAAAATCTTTTGTAAAAAGCTGTCAAAACTTACATGATAGATAACACCATCCATATCAATAATATAACCCTTCTTTTGACGAATAGCTTCAAGACGTTCATTGTGAAGAACTGGGTCACGGAACAAAGCCCAATCTCTGGCAGAGATACCATCTTCATTTTGATGAGTATTATTAAAGCCTTGTTGTTGAAGAGAGGCAGCGAAAGAGGCAGCCAAGTCACGAGTCTCTTCGGCAGTAGCAAATTCAGCTTGAGGTGTGGTAATATTAGAATTGGACATGAGTGATACTTGAAGAAGAAGAAGAAAAAAAAAAGAAAAAAAAAGAAAAAAAAACAAAAGCTATAAAGTTTATCAGTTATATATCATTGAAGTGAACACTACGTCACGTTAAATCTATTTTTTTTTTTTTTGTCGCGTTGTTTGTCATTCCTATCATATACAATTGTTTAAATGGCTGAATTGAAAAAAAAAAAAAAAAAAAAAAAAAAAAAAAAAAAAAACGTGTTTTTAAACGTGCCGGGGTTTATTTATTTTATTTTTTATTTTTTTTCTGTAAACTGTATATTTTTGGATTAGTCTTGGAAAAAATAAAGTAAAATAAAAATCATTGTAATGAATCAAGACGATATTGATTCGATCTACAATAGACTCCAAGTTTACTATATAAAAAAAATACTGTAGCAATGACTATAAAGCGAAGAGTACCCCCCCATCATTCATAATAGCAGTAGTAATAATTATCTATGATTTTATGTTTCACTACGGTCGTTGATGAAGGAAAAGTCTTTTTATCAATTATTTAATTAATTTTTTTTTTTTAAGACACTAAAAAATGAATCGAGTCCCCCCCTTTTTTTGTCAATGATTTACTACTACCGACGAATACTAAGAAAATAATAATAATACAAGTTATTACTTTTATGAATTGCCAGAATAATAAATACACGCTTACTTGAAAAAAGAGAGTATATCATGCAACTAATGCTTTGTCAAATGGAAAGAAAAAAGACTCCCTGCTATCATTAAGAGAGATGCGTAGTAGTAGTAGAATATGACGTTAAATTTATACTATTTAATCACTACTTTGTATTTGTACTACATTTATTTTTTATTACACAATCAATGCTACATCATTTCTTTCGTCATTCCTATTATGTTTCACTCTTTTTTAAAATATGTATATAAATACAGGTATGTTCGTGCTGTGTATAGTATGTATGTATGCATAGTATAATATACTGTAAGAGTTGGTTTTTTATTAATAAAAAAAAATCAGTCATACATTCATCTAAATAATCTAATCTAATAAATCAACAGCAGCTTTTTTATGTTTAAAAAAAAAAAAAAAAAGAAAAAAAATTAATAATTTTAAACTGTGCTATTATAAGTATATACAACTTACATTGGAATAATAAACAAGCCATCATGACAGAGACCATACCTAAAGCATTTAGATGTTTATACGTAGTTGTTGATAATGCAAAAAAGACAATTGCATTAAAAATACGAGACGAACAAATAATATATGCTTTTATACTGCCTATTATTATTATTGTTATTATTATCTATTTTCCTGTGACTTCTATATTTAGATACTAACCTCTGTTGACAGGTGTATTGACCAACTTGATAAATGCATTAAAACATAAAATTAACCCTGCTGTAATCCAAAAAATCTTGATATCAAATAATGGATTACAACTTTCACTTGCTGTTGTTGAATGTGATGATTCTACGGATAATGAAAGCACTTTATAATGTTCTATAATAGTCTTATTTTCAGTCATCAAGGCTGGTGGATCACTAGCATGACATTTTTCCAAAATACTATCAAGATAGGTAGACGTATCTTGAAGAAGACTATGCTTTGCTATGATATCCGTTAAGGCAATACCAAAGGCAACTTGAAATAAATGTAAAGGGAAATGAAGATACATCCATAATGGACTAAGTCGATTTTTAGACAAAAATTCTCCACTAAAATCATCAAAGTACATAAAGAAATAGCAAAAAATAATCGTTACACCAAACACGTTACAAGCAATTAAACTGGATGTTGCATCTGCCTCAGCTACCATCTTGATAAACCCCATACAATTCTCTCCCAAGATAATGAGAGTGAATAATCCAAAACGTTCACCTAGATGACTTGCTGCTAATGAGACTCGATTATTGCCTTGTAAAAAGACATGAATAAGCATCTCCATCCCTATACTAGAGTACCAAAGACCGTATCGTTTGCCTATGTCTATTTTAGATGTATATAAAAGGGATACCCCCCACATAGCTATTGATATAGCACTAGCGGTCACATAAATGCCTAAGGGACGATGAGATGATTTAAAATGAGCTCCAAGTGATACAATAAATATAACTGTATATTGAAATAAGGAAACTGCTTTCATAGCTACATAAAATCGTGTTGAATACATAATAACTCTAGATTAAAGTATTATACATACTTATATAGCCTATGATAAAATATTTAGGTGAAGATTCAAACTTTTCTTTATCACTCGAACCAGCCATAAGAACTATATATATATATATAAAGGAATTTACTTAGTATATTATTATTATAATAGATATTTGTATACATTAAAAGGAACTTACTTAAACCACAGAGTTCAATGATCTTATATATATGATGAGCAACATCTATATACATATATGAATATAGAAATTGTCAATAAAATATGCAAATATACCAAATTTAGGGTACCTCCTCTATCATATCGAGATGAATATAAGGCACTTGAACACCATGTCCACCACATTACAACAAACCAAGCAGCATAAGTATTAAGACTATCTATACTGTTGATATGCACTGAATGTGTGAATTGACTATTGATAAAAATGAGTGAGTATATATACATTCATCATCAAGTATATATACCTAAGCCAACCAACATAAAATACATCGCCCAATAATTCAACCCAAGTAGCTGAAGTTTCTTCACCAATTTCATCAGATAAATCTGGATCGGGTACTAAAAAGATAGCTCTTCTCATTTTCGTATGTTGATGATGAATGATAGGAATGAATTGAACTTGAATATAGACGTTATTATTCAAATCTATGAGTAAATCATCTGGTGAACGGTTTATATGAGGATGTGCTTTGGTAACTGTAAGATCGCCTCCAGAGTCAGATTTTTGAGGAGGAGTATGTACTCCATCAGAAGAAATTTGATTTGAATCAACTACTATGTTTGGGTTTTCAGTTAAATTTATTGAACTATCTGTTAAAATAGATGTATACAATAGAATTAGTATAAGAAAATGTGTCTTATTTTTATTTTATTTTTTTTTTATTTTTTTTTTACTAGAAGAATCGCTGAATAATTCACTTTTAGCATTTGCTATTTGTTGACGAATTTGAACAGTTTTATGAACTTTGACAGAAAAGTTTCGCTTGGTTTTTTCTAGAAAATCAATGAAATCATCTGTATCTTTAAAAAGCTTCAGTTTATCTTTTTCTTCAAGTGTTAGTTCCAACTAGAATCCCTTTGGTCAGTATTATTATTATTACTTTTTTTTTAAAGCTTATAATAGAATAGTATCCTTACAGGCTTTTCCAATAAGTTTATTTGATCTTCTGTAAACGTAAAATCTTGATCCCCTACTAAATGTCTAAAGTGTAGTGCTATAATTTGTTGAAATTAATTCAACTTAATCAGAAGTATATGTATGCTTTTTTTTTTTTTTTTTATTACTTAGTCTGGTTCGGACTTCACTATTAGAATAATAAAATTAATATAATATTCAAAAAAAATTTCTTTATAACAATACTTTACACTACTGGCTCATTTATATGATTAATATCATCTTTATTAGAAGCAATCGATTCAGGATGCTTTTCATTCCATACATTTTTTTCAGCTTCATAAGCTTCAAGACGCTTTTGGTGAAGTTGATATTCTTTAAGAGGGTGTAACAATACATCACCAATCAACTCTGTACCATGTCTACGAAGAGGTTTTCCCGTCATAGGGTCGTGAAGAGGAGAGACTGTGTTGTTATCATCGTATGGTGCTGTTGCCTTAGATTGTTGACTGATATGGCTGTCAGGTGAAACAACATGTATTTTTTTGCTATTACTGATTTTTGAGTCCATGACAGCTGATGAGGGTCTTCGGTCTGCATTTTCCGTAGAAGTATAATGACTGATGTTCGATCTATTACTTACACGTGTACTTATATTTGATCTGTTGTTATTCAAATATCTTCCCCCTTCTTCTATTACACCAAGTTGTTGTTCTTGTTCCTCATCATCTGTTGGTATAATTGAAGGCCTTTGTCGGCCCATTCGATCTGTACCAAAAGAAGGGCCCTGAAACCCTCTATTCTGTGATGACATTTTTTTTTTATGTTAGATGTTAAATTTTTTATATTATTTGCAAATATTTGGTTGTATATAAGGTATAATATATAGGAATAAAAAGTTTAATTTAGTTTCTTCTCTCTCTCTTTTTTTTTTAGATAAAAAAAAAATGAAAAATGAAAGCTATATGTGTATATATTTTATATAAATAAAAAATAAAAAGAAGAGAAAAAGAAAAAAAAAGGGGTAGATTTTTTTTTTTTTTGGCTTACCATGGTAATTTACTCTATTTTTTTTTTTTTTTTTTGTAATACAAGGAATTTAATTGGTGGAAGGTATATGTTATTTGAGGAAATAAAATGAAATAATATTATGTAATAATGCTGTTAATAATGAAAGTTATTACTATGTAACACATTAATCATGTATTTATGACTCATATTATACTGTTTTAACAACTATCCTATTTAACTTGAAGGCCTTAAACTTAGGTTGTTAATTGCAGTTTGATTTCACGCATATTTTTTTTTTATAAATTAAGACATTGGGAAATAGAAGCTTAAATCTCCTGTCACTGTTTTTTTTTTAGTTTACGAACACCCAAGTGAGACACCCTATAAAAAGAGTTTACAATAATAACGCGTTGATAGGCGAATATGTATAAACACTGTCACCTATCAACTATAGATGCAAGTATAGATTTACATCGAATTATATTACTATGACAACAAGCGCCTTCCTTACACACACAAATATACATATATCATATATGCAGACCTATTATTTAAGTAAAAATATTTACCTTTATTCTCATTACCATAATAACGAAAAATACATGTTTTCATTCTTTAATAGATATATACATATATGCATATATAAAATTATATTTATTAGCTAATTTCTGTATATAATATAACAATAGAATGAAATTAATTTTATAATAAAGATAATAAAAGTAAGAAAAAAAAAAGTAGAATGAATATGTATAGTCAATAGAAGATCAAATCAAATAAGGTTATTATATCAGATCTTCTCTTACTATCGATGATAATGTATACATACATCCACCCACTTTTATTTGTATAGACATAAAGTATATGAATGAAAATAGTTGAAGTAACAAAAAGCTATTTATTAATAATAGTAATTAAAGGATATAATAAGATAGCAAAATCTGTAATTTATGATAGAGGAAGAAAACTAGTAATAAAACACTAACAATAATGACCTATACAAAAATATTAATAAAGATAAGCAGCTGATATATTTATTATATAGTTTAGTAACTTCTATAGATATCGTCTTTATCTAACTGTACGTAAAAATAGAATGAATATATTTTATAATTATTTTTCAACAGCTTAATTATATTTATCCAGAATGCTTTTAAATCAATCTCTATATTCCATATATAATAAAAGAAAAGATTTAACGAATTATCCATATAAACCTAAACATAGTAGTATTAAAGTCCATATCATGTTACAAGTATAAAATTAGAGTTTATTATAAAAAGCTACATACTATTTGGTAGTATTACTAATATTTTAATTATGCGTCGTAGATGGCTTCCAGTCGAGTACAATATGAAATTGTAGCGTACTTTATATTGAGTATGCATCTATAAATGAAAGTAAAATTTACAGTCAACTTACAAAATAGTACAATCTTTCTCGAATATAATGACATAGTATAACAAGTAATCACTAAACTCTGTTTAATATGAAGAATATGGCTAATGTAATTTACACTTAGCTAATCTTGATTTATTGATAAAATACATTATTATTTATTTCACATGTTATTTAAATAGCTCCCTTTCTCCCCCCCCCACACACATACACAAATTCAACTGGGAATAAAAATCTAGGAATACAAATTTTATTTTAGTCATCAAAATGAATGCTGCTTTATTTTCTTTTCTTTTTCTTTTTTTCCACATATTATCCGAGATTATATTATACCGTCTTACATACAGTTGAAACAAACAAATCTAATTCCATAGTTCTATATAAAATAAAAAGATGATGAATGGCGATGATTCTTGTGGAGGTGTTAACTCTATGGGACAAATAATGAAGCAATTCAATAAAGATAGATCACTTCAAAGAGTAATAATAATATATTTATATAAAAGTTAAAGATGTTGTAATTAACTTACTAAACTACTTTTTCTTGACATCATTAGGATCAATTCACTGGATCTTCTCAACAAAACGTTGGACCGTCATCTGTAAAGATCATCTTAAAAATAAAATAAACAAAGGTTTTCGATTTCTTCTTTTCCCTCCTTTTTTTTTAACTTTTTCCCTCCCCCTTCCTTATCATAGATGCGTACACAAAGGCAGCTAGGACCAGGTTTTTCTCAAGGAAGAGGAGATATGGTAAACGAGTTCTTTGGACAAGAGCAACAACAACCAAGAATGATACATAATAATAATTTTGAATTTTCAGCGTTACAAAGAGAATTGGATACGATTCGTCAAATGGCACCAGAAAAAAGTTGGACAACTGAATTCAATCATCATCATCAACAACAGGGACCAAAGATTTGGGAGTTAACACCAGGAGAAGAAGCTGCAATGGAAAAGGCATTTATGGAAAGCAGAGCTGCTGCAGGTCCATCTCAGAGCATATCTGGTAAATTTTAACCAAAAAAAAAATATACATATATGGATAAGGCTGTAATAGATTGATATTGACCAAAATACATTAGTTTGGAGAGATGAATTTATGAATCATCCTGAAGTAACAAATATGAATCCAGCACAACTTGCTGAATTTGAAACTGCTTTTCAGAAACATTTTGATTGGGCTAATGAATTTGATCTTCAACAAGATAATAAAAAGGGCAAACAACGTCTTGATCTAAACACATCTTGGGAAGAACAATTTGCATCATTTGATCAACTCTCAGAGGAAGAAATGGCTCGTAAAGTAGAAGAGGCAGCTACTGCGCAAGATCCTTCCTTTGAACAATTTGAACATGTATGGCAAAATATTCGTGATCAAATGGCCGAGGAAGACAATGATTGGGAAGATGAATTTGGTAACTTTAATAATGGTGGGAATGGTATCTATAAGCCTGATCTAGGCGAATATGTCTTTGAAGTAAATAATCCATATATGAATCATCCAGATCCAATGACTGAGGGGTTACGTTTATTAGACTCAGGTGGCTCACTCAGTGATGCTGCAATGGCCTTTGAGGCTGTTGTACAAAAAGATCCTCACTCTTCTGAGGCTTGGATGCATTTAGGTAATGTTCAAGCTCAGAATGAAAAGGAGGAACCTGCTATTAGAGCATTAGAGAAAGCAATTGAGGTAGATCATGGAAATTTACAAGCACTCATGTCCTTGGCTGTTAGTTATACAAATGAGTCCTATGATCATGCTGCGTATCAAACATTGGAGAAATGGATTACTCAAAAATACCCTCATCTAACAGGAGCTCCATTACCTGAACCTGTATCTCCATTTGAACTCCATGATCGAGTGACAAATTTATTTTTGACAGCCGCCAGACAGGCCCCTGAAGGTCAATTGATGGATCCCGATGTTCAAGTAGGATTAGGTGTTTTGTTTTATGGTAGTGGAGATCTTGATAAAGCTATTGATTGCTTTGTTGCTGCATTAAAAGGACGTCCTAATGTAAGTGATTGAGTTTCAAGACTAGATATGGGATTCTAATATATATATACATATAGGATTATTTATTATGGAATCGTATGGGAGCTACATTAGCAAATAATGGACGTTCAGAAGAAGCAATTGATGCCTATCATAAGGCGCTTGAGTTACGTCCATCATTTGTACGTGCACGATATAATATTGGTGTTAGTTGTATCAATATAGGATGTTATAAAGAGGCTGCAGAACATATTTTGACTGCTCTCTCCATGCATAAACGAGGAAATGGAGATTCGGAGGAAGGTGTAAATGTTTCTAATAATTCATGGGAAATGCTACGAAAAGCTTTTATTATGATGGTAACTTAAAAAAAAACAAGTGTAAATAAGTCTTTTCATATTCATAATTTTCAATATTTAATAAACAGGATCGTCGAGATTTAGCGGATAAAGCTATCGTTGGAGCAGATTTGAACCAATTCCGCCCAGAATTTGAATTTTAATTTGTAATTTATTTATATTTTTTTGTATTCCTATATATCTTCCTTTAGCAAATAACCAAAAAAAAAAAAAAAGGAGGGGGCTATACATAAACTATGGTAGACAAAACAATATAGTTTATTCTGATAATAATACTATTTATTGAAAAGGAACATGTTTTAATATACAAGAGAAAAAAATAAGCTTGTGATATTTTCTATAATGCAAGTGATTTATCGTTTCCAACATATTTTCCTGTATAATGAATGTAATTGATAAAGTCACCTAAGCATTTTCTATAAAAGCTTTATAAATATTAATTCGATTATAATTAAGAAATTAATGTATTATTTTGCTTTATTTCTCTATTAGAACAGACGTCAATTTGTTCACTACTACAATATAGGATAGTGTATGAATATTTAATGAATAAAGAAAATCAAAACTCTACACTAAATGACTGCTTTTATACATATAATAAAAGAAGATACTAGTAGGCCAATAGATGTGGCATTTTTTTGTGATTCGATTTTCTTTTATCACGTAATAAAATGGTCCTAAAGATATTATAATTCTTCAATTGATTTATTACCATTTTTATATATTTCATGTAGCTATTTAAATTATGACGATAATACATGTATTAAAAGTTGAAAATAATAAGCCGTAGAATTAATATATTTTATCATTATTTTGTCTACTACGTAAAAGCTTAAAAAAGAAAATATATGAAAAAAAAAACTTATCAGATGTATTTATATATAACTCAGTGATTAAAAATACGATTTACTTTATCCATTATAGCCTTTTTTTTTTTGTATGCATATTTTAGGTATAAAAGTATATATTAGTAATTGCTATATTCATAATAAAAAACTGAAACAAATATGAAACTATAGAAATTGGCAACAAATGTCATTATTAAATATCAAGTAGAGAAGAGTACTATTCAAATCAATGTATAATTTATACTTGTTTAATCTGACAATAGGATACAAATAATAATTGAAACAATACAAATTAATAGATTGTAGTTATGAATTAAACATCATTAAAACAACGTATCTATAGGCTATTAAATAAAGATACTCTTTTCAACTTTCTCTTTAAATTTATCTTTCAAGCTACTTTACAATATGTTCCTTTTTGTTTAAAAAATAAAATGAAATAATAATGGACTAGAGTGTTTAAACCAACTATTTCTTTAAACGTATTATTATACTGAAGTAAGTTTATAATACACAAAAGAAGAAATAGATTCAGTTCAATGCTGTTGTAAACACCGAAGATTTGATTAGTCAGTAAGAATTTACAAAGATGACTAATTTTCTTTTCGAAAGTTTACATATTTGTAAAAACTACTAGGTTGCTTTTACAGAAAAAAAAAAGGGGGAAGGGGTTTATTTTACTTGTTGTTATTAATGAAGGTCGTTATAAAAGAAGATATAATCCTATTTATTGTTATAGGACTTTGGCGGAGAGGTTTGTTTTCTCTAACTTCTTTATCTATCGGATGATCAAATTTAACTAAAAACCAGAGGGGAAGAAATAAGTTTTTTTTTTTTTTTTTTTTTTTTTTTTTTTTTTTTGAGGTTTACTCCGGTCTAAAAAAAAATTGTATCCATTTACTTTATCAGATCTTTAATGGTTACACGACCACTTCCTCTTTTTCTCTGTTTTCATTTTTTCTTTTGTAATACATATATTTTTTTTTCTTTTTTTTCTTTTTGTCTTTGTTTCTCTTTCCTTTTTCCTTTTTTTTTTCTATACGAGCCATATCTTTAATTGGAATACTATTTTAAATAGAATAATAATAGCAATATGTTTAAAGCCAACCATTATAGATACGTATCTACATGTTCTGATGTTGCATCTTCTTCAAGGTAAAAAATAAAATAAATATAACCAGGGTTAAATAAAACAAATTTTACATGTTACGAGTAGAACTTATCTGATCTTTTTTTTTTTTTTTTATTTTATCTTGATAGCTGCTATACTTTAATAGCTAGACAGCAACCCATTCATACTCGTATCAGTACAAGTAATGAACGAGGTAGGTATCCACCATTTTTTATTTCTGTACTTTACTTTCTTTTTTTATTTGGTTTGCCTCAAGAAAGAATTTTTTTTTTATTTTTCTCATTTATTGTATTGTAGATCGTCGACCAATAGATCCTCCCCCTATAATTCAAATAAAACATAATAATTCCACCCCGCAACAAACCAAGTATGTAACATTTAATCTCTGATAATTCAATTTTTTTTTTATTATTATCTGATTTTCTTAAATCATATAGTGCTTTCTATCAAAATTCCTATTTCTTTATGTGTGCTAACTTGGCTCATCCAATAAATGATAATGAAATATATACACCAACACATAATGCTTTATCTGGCCAAACTGTTTCCTCCATGTATAAACTTAAAGACATCGATAATAATGGTAAAAAATAAAATAAAATAAGCTCTTCTCCTTTTTTTTTTTTCTGTAATTATTTAAAAATTAAAGCATTTTTTTTTTTTTAGATGGTGCCTTTTTTATCTTTGGTGATTTATCTGTTAAAGTTGAAGGAAGTTTTAGATTAAAGCTTTCGTTATTTGAAATTACAACTACAGGTTCAATTTGTTTACAATCGATATTTACAGAGCCGTTCATCGTTTATCCAACTAAAAAATTTCCTGGTATGTTGGATTCCACCTTTCTTTCAAGATCTTTCTCTCACCAGGGTGCACGTATAAGAATTCGAAAAGAAAATAGAGCTCAATTGTAAATAGTATTCCTTATATATATATATATATATAAATACAAAAAATACAAACTTAGTTTATTTTATTTTAGGTTAAATAATCCCTTAGCGAGTCAAACTTCTCGTAAAAGAAAACCTGATGTTAAAATTCTACCTAATAGTGTGGTGTGTGCCCCTGTACCTCTTTCTATGGATAATAAGTTTAATTCATGTCCCGTCACAAATCAAAATTTACCTATTGCCTTATCCACACTATCTCACAACACCTTGACTAATACTGCTACACCTATCCATAGTTCTATCGTTCATAGCCCATCAACGCAAGCTACTTGTTCCAGCCTTGAAAGAAGGACTAGTATCACAAGCAATGGTACAGAAAGTTGCAGCAGTAACGAGGGCAGCCCCATCATGACGTATTTCTCATCTCCTCGTATCTCCTTACCTCCACTTTCCCCACCTCATCATCATAACTATGATAAGTTTTCTTCCCCAATAAGCTATTTATCTTCATTACCTACTACATCATCCTTTATATATCCTACTACAACCACACCTGTCTTTATGGACCAGCAAATCAAGTTGCCTCCTATTCGTAATATTTTTAAGAGACAAAAAAACGATACAACAGAAATTAAAGATGCAGCAGACTCTCTGATACAATTATCATATAATAATAGATCTCTTCTTCATTCCCCTTTCTAAAGGAGCCCAATACATTCAATTATTTCCCGCCTTTTTAGATTATATACACATGTATAACTTGTAATATTGTACAACAGATCCCTTCCCCCCCCCTCCTATTTTTGCTTTTTCTTTTTTTTTAATAGACATACTTGACTATATTAATCCATATTTTTTTTTCTTTTATTCGATAAATATTTACATTACATATTGCACTATCATTTTTTAATATATACATATTAACTGTTTCTTTACTTTCTTGTACAGATATACATTTAAACACAAATAAATTAATTTATCTTTTCTAGATTATTTATTTAATATTAAAGATCATTGTACATGCTTGTATGACCAATATTTATACATTCTAACGAATTATACCATTGAAGAATTGCATCCATAGTCTACAAGCATGTGAAACATTTGTTTTACTACATTAAAAATTTTATTTAAAAAAAAGCTAAAAAAAAAGTAAGTTAAAAAAAAAAGTTAAAAAAAAAAAAAAAAAAAAACACAAAGCTACATACATATAAAAGTCCCACCTTTCCCCTCTTTCTCCCTTTTAGTTTTAACGACACATATTTCATTTGCTATATTTATGAGTACACCTTTATTTCATTTTATCTGGCTTATAGCTGGATTCATTATGGGCATGTTCTTCATGTACAATCTTGTTCCATTGCGAATGAATCAAGTTCATCATTTAAAAGCAAGACAAACAACTGAAAATCCTATTCTACAATTTGGCAATCCAGGTAAGTGATATTAAGTTGTAAACGTATAACTATATATATTAAACAAGTTTATTTTCTTTCATATCCCCTCCTTTACTCCTCTTTTTTTTTTTTTTTTTTTTTTTTTTTTTTTTTTAAAAAAAAAAGGACCTGTTGTTGATTTGCTTGAAAGAACAGCTTATACGACTAGCTTTAATCGTAAGGATCGTATCCCGTATTGGGTAGGTGAACATCTTACTGCAGATAATCTTAAAGCGGGGTCTGGAGTCTCTCGCGATAAATCTAGTTTTACAGCTGACACCAGTATACCTTTACTCTTCCGAGTGACGACAAAGGATTACACCAACAGTGGTTATGATCGTGGTCATCATGCTCCCGCTGCAGATGCCGTGAGATCACAAGCTACAATGGATGAGAGCTTTTTAATGACTAACATTGCACCTCAAGTAGGTGCTGGATTTAACCAACAGTATTGGGCTTACTTGGAAAAATTTTGTCGTGATTTGACAAGTACATTCTCAGATGTTTTTGTCTATACAGGCCCTCTTTTCTTACCGCACAGTGTGGATGGAACAAAATATAAGTTGGAGTATAACGTCATTGGTGCTCATAGTCCCTTTATCTCTGTTCCTACTCATTACTATAAAATCATTTTGGTTCCTCTAAGTTCTACACAATATGCTATCGGGGCCTTTGTGTTGCCGAATCAGGCTATTGCAAATAGTACTCCCTTGACTAGTTTTCAAGTCGACCTTCAAGCTATTGAGTTGGCTTCTGGATTACAATTCTTTAAATTATTAGACAGAACAAAGTTCTTAAATTTATGTGATAAAATAACCTGTTCTGTCTAAAAAAAAAAAAGAAAAGAAATACGTATTTATATGAATATATATATTTGTATATATTTATATATATTGATTCCCTTTCACTATTATATTTATTTAAATAAATATTATTTACATGTATCAAGTGTAAGAATTAAAATTATTACTAATATTACATAATCCTCCTATTCAAAGAGGGATAAATAATAGTATCTATATAGTCATTCTATTAAAAAATCATATACATATGTGTATATATGTATCTAATATTTAGGAGTCTTATTTTTCTTCTCAAATTCTAGTCGCTTATTAGGGCTATTATAGATGGTCGTCAAGATAGACAAAGGGAATACAATACAAGTAGCAAAGATAAGACTACGAGTCATTTTACCATCTGAATTTCGAAGTGCATCCATGACAATCAAAATAATTAATCCTAAAATTTGTGAACATATCCATAACAAGGAACTAGAAATAGCTTCACTAATTGGATAAGAAGCTAATTAAAAAAAAAATAAAGAGTCAGAAAGAGAGAAAGATAAGTTAGTCATATAACTTTATATACATATATATTATTGGTCATTTACATTCAACAGATAATTCAAGAGAAACAGGTAAGAGAGAAAAGGTAAAAAAGCCAAGAAGGACACAAACAGCCATTATAGCATTATAGCTTCCACTTTTTACTTTTTTTTTTTTTTTTAAAAAAAGAAAGAAAGTTATATACATAGTATAAAAAGAGAGAAAGAGAAAAAAGGAGGATATAATTTGTACTTTACCAGCAAAGTAAAACGCCAAATACAAAACACCAAGAATAGGAACATAAATTTTGACAATTATTTTATGATGACCTGTTCTATCAATATATAGACCTGTGATAGTAGCGCCTATAAGACCAGAAACTATAAATGCAGCACCTAGATAACCAGCTTTTTCATTATTAATACCATAAGGATTTACGATTTGTGTCAAAAGAGATGTAAAAGCAGAGGCAAGACCACAAAGGATACCAAATGAAAACATGATGAATAAAAAATTCCAATTAATAAATAATTTATAAAGAGATTGAGTAAAAGAGAGATGGAATTTATCCCTGGAGGATGCACTATAAGAGGGTGGCGTCTTGGGTTTTTTTGGAATGAAAAATACGGGTATAGTAAAGCCAGTTGTGATACAAGCGATAATAAGGAACTACATGTATATTTATACGAATATTAGATTTAGTATAGTATACATACATTGTTGTAATTTTTACTCCCAATTTCATAGTATTAGCATCTGTTACGATAGCAGGAATAATAAGTGAAGCAATTGCCATACCAATAGAACTAGCTTTCCAATAAGAAAAAAAAAAAGGTTAATCCTATTTATACTCATTTATTTTATTTTATGTATACTTACTGACTCCACCCATCATAGAAACCGTACCTCTGCCTTCAGCACTAAACCATAATGCAGCATACTAATATAATTAGTATATTAATTTATTTTTGGCATCGAGATTTTATAACTTACAGGTGTACATATATTAAGGATAAAAGGTTGGCCAACAGCACATATAATCTAACGTAAAAATACGCTGAGTATATTTTAATAATAATTATTAATTTCTTTTATTTTTTTCTTAAAAATGAATCATAATAAATAAATAAAAAGATCTATACCTGACCTATTAAACTCAAAGCCAATCTGCCTTGTGGATTATGAATAAATGCAGAAAAATATCTTAACCAAGTACCTATAGTTTGTAAAATACTGCCTATAACTAACTATAAACCAAAGAAATCAGAACGAATTATGCTTAAAAAAGGGAGAAAAAAAATTCTTTTTTTTTATATATTACACCTAATTTGATTGACCAGTGTTCATATATCCAGCTTGATAATGGCCCAGCAAATAAATAAATCAGCATGAAAACGTTTGAAAACCAATTAATAGTATTTAATCCAATATTATTAAAGAATGCGTCTGCTTGGTCTGGTACAGGAGCAACTGATAACCAATTTAATGAAGAAGCAATATTTGACAGACCAATAATAGTTAAACCGAAAAAACGAATTTTATAAGTTCTAAAACCGATATTTGATCCCTCTAAATCTTCATTTTCTTGCCATGATTTAGAATCACCTAATTCTAGCTTTACACATTCCATATCTAAAGTCTATATTATAAATCAAGGAAAGGAAGTAGCAAAAATAACTGAATGATAATACTAAAAAAATAAAGGCGGTGTAATTTACGTAATATGTTCTATTTAAGTAGATAAGAAATGTCATGAGCTGACTTATAATGCCATGTTTCTTAATCAAACATACGAATCATAAAATTATAGACTTTATTAAAATCCACATGATCCCACTTGATCAAATAATATCAAAACATTTCAAACTTCATTAACTACAGCAAGTTTTATTCAGTCGTAACTAACACTATTCTGATTCACATCTTATCTTTGACTTCTTTAACAATTCTTGTAAACACTTATCAATTTAAATTCACTAATAAAACATTTAAATTTAGAACTATTGCTCGGTTTCGTTAGCCTCATTTGTCTTTTATCATCTGAAATTGAATTTTATATGAGTTTTGTTTGGATTAACTAGTGGCTAAATTTCCATGTCTTTTATATAAAAAATATATAATTATTATAAAGGGATATAAATAATAGGTAACTAAGCGTTTAAATATAGTCTATAGTAATTTTCAGTAGTAATAACTAAATGCTTAATCCTAATTTACCATTGACTCCAATGGTAGAAGGACGTTTATAAAGAAGCAATTATAAATTACACGGTGTACTTTGCAGCATAAAGTGTCACAAGTATGTAAATAGTGTTGACAAAACAATGTATTCATTTTATAGCTTCCACTACTTTGTTTTTTATCATTCTGATGTTAAACAAAGCTACAAAGAAAAAAAAAAGTATACTTTGCTATATACGGCTATGATTTAGTGAATAAAGGATAAAAGAGGTTGTCTCTGGTGATATAGAATATCTATTTAAATTAATTAAACGCAAAGTAAGACTGAATAGAAAGGATATAAAACTAGAATATATTGTAATTCACATAATAATAAATAAATGATACACACGTACACGTATCTTAATCTAATGTAATGAACCATTTTTTTGATCCTGTTGTAAAATACGTGTGTCACTTGTACCCACAATAGTTATTATAAATATATTAATTCAAAAGTTATCTGTACAAGTTTACCTTCATGTATACTAATTCGAAACGTATTTCAATATGCATATGTATGTATGTATGTATCTACTTGAATAAATAGATTATAGAGAACAAGAATATATAGTTGAAGGAATATAATGTTCTATAGTACACATATAAAGTTATACAAATATTACGTAATATTATTACTAATTATACATACTTTATTAGGTGAAAATAATATTAAAGGGTTTTCTAGCTTAATTTTAAAGGTGATAAAAGAAAAAGAGACTTAATTTTATAATGTTGCTGTCCAAATTTATATTCATTAGGATGAATTCAATTAGTATTTATATACTACAGTACTTGTCGGTCATCATAATTAAAGAAACCAATTTTATTAAAACTTTTTACAGTTTCATTTTAAAACCAAAAAAAAAAAGGAAAAGAATATTTATAAACTCAGTTTATCAGATCTTTTTTTTTTTTTAAAAAAAAATCTGTCAATAATAAGCAAAACAGATTAATAATTATACATGCTTATAGATAGTTTTCTTTACTTACAGTCATAATAAAAAATGCACATAATTAAACCATATGTTTAACTGAAATTATTAAAAAATACACAATATAATTATAAAATAAATTCTTAATAATAATCATTTTTGGTGATCTGTTCTTTATCAGATCTTTTTTTTTTAGAACATGTCAAAATTTTTATTTACAGCTTCAGTATTTACGACTACACATACTAATACTGCGTTTAATTACAAATAAATAAAATAAACTATGTATTAAAACAATGAATAATGGTTATACATGTGTATACATATGTATATGTATCAATATTGCGTCATAAAATTCTAGACATAAAAACTAATCTATGTTTAATTGTTAATGTAAATTATATTGTCATTATTTGAAACTTGATATATTTTATAGAATGTAAATAAGCGTATTCCAAGTTATTTTCTAATTAATAAATACGAGTACTTAAATATATAGTAGCACGGAATGCAATATTCATTTAAATCTTGACTATTTTGTTTAACTAATTCAAGCCTCTTATCATATATAAATGCCATTTCTTTATTTAATAATAAAGATAGAAACTATACATAGGAAAAAAAAAACAAAGACAACAATAATATAGTATTGAACAGCTAATAACAAGAGAGCAATTTGTGCAACACCTCATCTCCCCGATAAAATTTAAATAACCGCAAGTTTCGCTGGCAATTAATGCATTTAATATAAAAAGGCACAAGAGAAAAAATATCTATCTTTTGATTTTGATAAAGAGGATATTATATCAAACCTGTCATGGTAATAAAAACAAATGAAAAAAAAAAAAAACTTAAAAGATAATATACTGAATCTATTCTTTTTTTGGTGTCTTTTTTTTTTAAGTCTTCTACAATGGCTGTTAGACCCGTAGTCAATGTATATTCAATTGAAAAGGGTGATTTGATTACAAATACAGTCCCTATGCCCTCTGTTTATCGTGCTCCTATCCGTCCAGATATCGTTCGATTTGTTCACACTAATATGGCCAAGAACAAGCGTCAACCCTATGCTGTATCTTCCAAGGCTGGTGAACAAACATCTGCTGAATCTTGGGGTACTGGTCGTGCTGTTGCTCGTATTCCACGTGTGAATGGTTCTGGTACACATCGTGCTGGTCAGGCTGCATTTGGTAACATGTGTCGTGGTGGTCGTATGTTTGCCCCAACCAAGATAATGCGTAAGTGGCATGTTAAGATTAACTTGAATCATCGTCGATTTGCTACCGTTTCTGCCTTGGCTGCTTCTGGTATCCCTTCCTTAGTAATGGCTCGTGGTCATCGTATTAGTAAGCTTGAGGAGGTTCCTTTAGTTGTTGATAGCTCCTTTGAAGGTCTTTTACGTACGAAGCAAGCCGTAGAAGCCCTTAAGGCAATTCATGCCTATGATGATGTCGAAAAAGTCATTCGTTCTCGTAAGGTACGTGCTGGTAAGGGTAAGCTACGTAACCGTCGTTTCACTCAACGTCGTGGTCCTCTTATTGTTTATAACGAAGACAACGGTTTAGTAAGAGCTTTCCGTAATATTCCTGGTATTGAATTGGTCAATGTTCGTCATTTGAATGTTTTGCAATTGGCCCCTGGTGGTCACTTAGGTCGTTTTATTATCTGGACCGAAAATGCTTTTAGACTTCTTGATGAGCTTTATGGTACTTATGAAACCCCCTCTAGTTTGAAGAAGGGTTATCAATTGCCTGATAATATCATGACAAATTCTGATGTTACTCGATTAATCAATTCTGATGAAATTCAATCCGTTGTTCGTCCTGCTATGGACAAATATACAAAGAGACCTTTTAGTCAGAAGAAGAATCCTCTTAAAAACCAAGGTATAATGAACCGTTTAAATCCTTATGCTCAAGTTTTGCTTCGTGCTGAATTATTGAATAAGGTGAAGAAGGCTGAAATGAAGAAGAAGAAGAAGAATATTAGCAAAAATACAAAGTGTAAATATACCAATTTACGTACTGTATATAAATGATATATTAATTTTTTTTTTTTTTTTCAGTCGTTCAGCAGTTGCTTACTGTGGCTTAAAAGTAAAGTGTACATAGTACTGTACAACTGATGTTGAAAAAAGAAAGTTAAATCCCAGCATATGTGGAATTTATCCCTTTCTTAAATAAGATTTGTGTGTGTGTGTGTTTTTTGACCCCTTTTTTTTTCATTTTATTTAAAAAGCATCTCCGTCAAAATACTTTAATAAAAAAGTAACCTCTTTTTTATTTTTTTAATAATATTATTCCATTCCGCTCATTTCACAAACAAAACTAATTTTAATGACCAAAGAAACAAATCAACATAATTCTAATAATGTTCAAGTGGGCAAGTTTATCAACATATAAGTCTCTTCTTTATTTTCTTCATTGTAAAATAACCACTCTTATTCTTCATTATTATTAGCCGTTCGAATTCGACCTTTGACTGATCGAGATAGAGCACGATCACGATTTGCAAATCTTGCTAATGACGATGCTCTCAAGATTCATTCTAAAACAATTCAAGTCGTACCACAAAATAAGTTATTTACATTTGATTATGTTTTTGGGACTGATAGTACACAAAACGAGATTTTCTCAGTATTGGGTAATCAATTAATTCGCAAATTTATTGATGGTATATTTTATATTTAAAAGTTCAAAAGGGAAGAAAGACAGAGCTGACTTTTTTTTTTTCCTAATTGATAGGCTACAATATTACAATTCTTGCTTACGTAAAGTATATTCCCCCTTTGTTTATGTGTGTTTTTGTTTTTTGTTTTTTAAAAAACAAAAATATGTATGTAGAATCTTAACCTTGATATAATAGGGCCAAACTTCATCTGGAAAAACCTATACAATGGGTACAGCCTTTCATGGCCATCAAATTTGTTCTGAAGATGAAGGAATTATACCTAGATCTATGGCTCTCTTATTTGAACTCCTTCATAATAATGAAACCATTAGACCTATTTCGCCCACATCGTCTATTTCTTCATCCACGTCTAGTAGTCATAGTAAACTTTTACGACACAAAGCAACAAATAATAATCGTTCCACTACCACATCAAAATCTACAAGATTTACTGTCAAAGTTTCATTTATCGAGATTTATAACGAAGAACTTCATGATTTACTTAATTCTGCTCCTCCAGACGAACTACCTCCAATAACTATTAGGGAAGATGCTAAAAATAGAATTTATTGGACAGGTGTAAAGGAAGTTGAAGTGCATAATACTGCTGATGTGATGTAGTAAGTTAAATTTCCTCCTCACATACCCATCATAGAAAAATATATTACAAAAAAAAAAAAAATAAAATAAAAAAAAAGTGAGAATGATACTTAGTTTGCTATAATTAGCTACCTTGAGCAAGGCACCCAAAATAGAGCAACTGGTGCAACCGATATGAATGAAAAATCATCTAGGTCGCATGCTATTTTTTCAGTTTCATTAAAACAAGAAAAATGGGTAGCAAACGATATCACCTCAAATACTAGAAAAATGGTGAGACCAACAAGTTCTCTTAGTTCAAGTTCATCCACTCGCTTAAAATCATCTCAAGAAGATGGTGAATGGATCATTACAACTTCTAAATTTCATTTTGTTGATTTAGCCGGAAGTGAAAGAGTAGGTGTTTGTCAAGATACTAATATATATAAACTGTTATATAAATAACCTCGTTATCTTCTATTTTATACTTACTTACACACACACACATACATACATACATACATATATATATATATATAGTTGAAACGAACTGCAGCAGAAGGTGATCGTCGTCGAGAAGGTATTAATATTAATGCTGGCCTTTTAGCCTTGGGTAATGTTATTTCAGCACTTGGCGATCTATCCAAAAAATCTGTTCACATTCCTTTTCGTGACTCTAAACTCACACGTCTTCTTCAAGATTCGTTGGGTGGCAATGCTACAACTCTAATGATTGCCTGCGTTAGTCCTCTTGAATCCAATTTGCCCGAGACTCTCAATACTTTACAATATGCAAATCGTGCTCGTAATATCAAAAATCGCTCTGAACGAAATCAACAAGAAGAATGGATGGTTACAGACAATATTGAACTTTTACGATCCTTGATTAGTAAGCTAAAGACTGAGTTGACAAATTTAAAAAGGGACTCATTGTCTAATAAAGTCACTACTGGGTTTTTGGAAGAGGAGGAAGAAGAAGATGATGATGAGCAACGGCTTATATTAATATCTGACCTTCAACGACAGATTGAAGAATTAGAAGATCAAGTTACTGTGACACGCGAACGTAATCGTATCGTTGAAAAGGAGCTCCAGCGTCTTCGCCTTGTAGAGGCATCAGCAAATAATGTCGATTTTCAACATTTAGTAGAGCCTGTAATCGAAGAATATGAAAAGAGTATTGCTAAATTAGAATCTCAACTGGCTTTAACGAAGGCTGCATTAACACATTCAAACATGGGTTATGAGGAACAACAAGGACGCATTCTTCAATTTGAATCTACACTTCGTCAACAAGAACAAACAATGAATACACTTCAATCAAGACTATCAAAGGTACTTGAACGTGAACAGAGTAATGAAGCCTATATTCGTGAACTAGAGACTAAACTTTTGAAATCTGCTCAAGAAACCTCAAAGGATCAAGAAATGTTGAATGATCTAAAGTTAAGGATCATGAAGTTAAAGGAGACAGATGAAAATACAGAACAATATATTTTAGGGTTAGAACAACGATTAGCTACTGGTGATAAGGAACGAGTTCAACTGGTAGCTTCTATAGAGGATTTGGAAGCCAAAATTGAAAGTAAGGAGCAGTCTAATCTCGAACTGATGAAGCGCCTTTCGAAATCAACATCGGAGGAAGTAACAGAAAAACTGATTTTAAAAGAATTAGATAAGATGAATGCACGATACAACGAACTTCAACAAGAACGTAACGAACTTCAGAAAAAGGTGGACCAACTTCAACAACAACAAGAATTGAAGGCACAAGTGGTAGAAGTAGATAGTTCACTACCTGAAAAAGTTGTTCATCAACAAGACTTACCATCTGAAAAATTCATAGACTATGTGGATGAAACTCAAAAGTTTAAGAATCGTAAAAGTTTTGCTGATGAAAAGGAAACGATAGCTTCAATAACAGCTCTCAAGTTAAGACAAACTGAGGCAAATTTAAAAGAAGAATCCGAACGAGCCAACCGTTTACAACTTACATTAGATCGCCTTCAACATGATCATACTGAAACTATAAAAGAACTTGATGAGGCCTTACAGCGCTATCATGAGTCGTTGGAACAACTGGAGTTCTTAGAGCAACGTACTAATAGTTCAACAATGACTCATGAAGATGTTCCTGCTGTATCAATCGATTTAAATAAGGAAATGATGCAAGCTAAACATGAAGCATATGAACAAGAAAAACTTAAATTCTCTGAACAAATGATTGAACTCGAGAGCCGTATCCATGCTTTAACAGAAGAAATCAAAGATAAAGACAATCAATTAAGTGTATCACAAGATACCATAAGAAGACTAGAGCATGACTTGGTAGATTCACAAATAGAAAAGATGCATGGAATAGATTTTTCACAACAGACAGAGGAATTTTTATTGAATCAGGATATAACTCATTCAAAGCTGATTGAACTTCAAGAAAGCATGAAGGAATTGATGTTTGATTTAAATACTAAAGAAAACTATATTGCAGAACTTGAAAGAAATTTAGAGGAAACCAATAGTCATGAAGCATCACTGCAAGTTCAACTAAGCGAGAGCCAACAACAAACCATGTCACTCCAAAAAAAATTAGACGAGGCTCTAGCATCACTTTCTGATTTAAAAGTAGCTTATGATAAATTTGAGAAGAAAGTTATTGAAGAAAAAAAGAATACAGAAAATGAAAGACACGATTTAATTGTAAAACATAAAGCTGAATTAGCTAATATTCAACAGAGTACAACATCCATGTTAACAGAAGAGATAACCCTTGATCAACGTGCAAATATAGATGCATTACAATCAATATGGGAAAAGAGGCATGAGGACGATGTCAAGAAGATGCAAGATGATCATCAAGCTGCAATACTTGAATTAAATAACAAATTGGAAACTGCTTATAATCAAATAGTTGAATTACAAAATGAATTAAAGGAGTCCAAGCTACTTTATGAAAATTATGTTATCGATCATGAGGTATCTACGAATAAGTTGACACATGAACTTGAAGCAGCCTTCCAACAACAGTTAAAAAATGAAACCTTAGCACTTCAAACAGAATTAGAAACTGCAAAGGCTCTTCATAAGAAGCTAATAGCTGATCATGAAATAGAAATAACAGAGATATCATCCAGTTTTGAAACTGCTGTTTGTCAGTTGGAAGACGAAGTAAAAGAAATTCGACATGAACTGGAAGTCTCTAAGACATTACAAAAAGAAATAGATTCAAGTCATAAAGAAAAAATACAGGCAGCTTTGATATCTGAAAAGAAGAAGCTTGAACAAAAGTATACTCAGGAATTACAAGAGTATGAAGCCAATTATACCAGTAAATTAAAAAAACTTCAAGCTGATTTAGATACTCTCAATTTAGAAAACAAGTCATTAAAGAGTATGATTGATACTGAAAGGGAAGCTTCCAAGGCAAAATTGGCTGCAGTGCAGTCGAAAGTCATGTCTAGCCCTCTCCCTTCTCCACCTCAAACTATCCGTCTTCAGTCAAACAATAATAATGCATATGTCGCTGAAAAGATTGCGTTATTAGAATCACAATTGACTGTTGCAAAGCTTGAGCGAGAACAATCATCTCAGAGCCAACAAGAGTCATCAGGGGCACTTAAAAAGCAGCTTAAAGATTTAGAGCAATCTTTATTAAAAGAGCAACAAAAGAATGAATTGTTAACAGCAACTATATCCAACTTGGAGGAACAAGGACAGCAAAGCCAAGTGCTAATTAATGAATTAAGAACTCAATACGAAAATGAGTTGGAAAATAGAGAAAAAATAAAAGTATTGCAGAGGGAGAAAGGATCAGATACTAACATACCTCTGCAAGAAGAAAATAAAGACATCAGTCTTGTTTTGTCAGAACCAAAAATGGCTGAAATAGCACATCAGCTTGATATCAAAAATCAATGCATTGATGAACAGCAAAATCAAATAAATAAAATAACAAATGAACTTGAAGAATCCAAACAGCTTTATAATAATGCTACAGTGCTTTACAAACAACGAGTCGTAGCACTTGAGGCCCAAATTGAACAAGTGAGTAATGAAAATTCAGAATATGCCATTCTTTCAAAAGAATTAGAAAAGGAAATTATTTATTTGACTGAAGAAAAAGAAAAGCTTGTTGATACAATCAACAATGCTGATGACAAGGCAGATATGGATAAAATAAAGACTCTACTTGGAGTAAAAGATAATGCTATTTTACTTAGGAAAATAGAAGAGTTGATAGCACAGTCTTTTACAGAAAATGACCATCAATCTTCTCCACTTAGGGATGCCGGTAATAACGAAGAAGAAGATAAAAATATCAAGATTATCAACGACTTGAAAATCGAGTTAAATAAATATCAACAAAGACTACAAGAGCTTCAGCAAAAAGATGCTATGATGGCAAAGAAATTAGAGGATATACAAGAACAACAAAAACAAGAGCATCAAAGACTTACACAAGCTGAGCAATCCAAGAAAAGATTGGAAAAACAAGTTGAACACCTCTTATCGAAGAGATCATCGTTCATTTGCTTCTAATGTTTTCGCATATTAGACTTTCTTGTAAATAATTCCATAATAAATATAAATGTATATTTTTAATATTAAGAAACTTATTATATAAAGTAATAATAATAATAAAAAAAAAGGATTTCCTATATATCTACAGATGTATATATATTTATAAGTGTTTTTTACTCAGTATAAGATTCATGCAATTATTAATAGCCTTCTGCTAACAAATAAAAAGAAAGCTATAAAATTATATTTAATCAAGACACGAAAAGAAAGGTATCATAGTATCTGAGAGTATCATTGACTCCTCTTAAATTGGCAGTATATATATGCTTGGTATTGTGTTCGATTCAAATGCATTAAACATAGGCAAACTAAAGATTATATAACTCTTACATGATTCTTTCAAATAAAATTATACTTGTTTACTCTAACATATAAACTGTGATCGATAAAGCTATTATTACAATACAAGGATTTATGCCAATGTATAATTCATGTAAGGTTAAAAAATCATTTTTCCCTCTTAAGGCTGTGTTTATTTTATTAAAAAAAAAATAGCATTGACTTTCCTTAATAGCATAGAACATGGCCTTCTTTTTAGGGATTTTATTTTATTATAGATGTTAGAGGATGTCAAATCAAAGTCAGCCGTGTCCAAAATCCATTGAAATAAAAATTGTGTATGTATCCTTTTTTTCTTTTTCTTTTTCCTTTTTTATGAATATGGATCCTCAATTACGACTTGAACTAACAAATAAATATCTTGAGTATAGAAATACAGCTACAAAAATTGGGCTTGAGGAGGCTTTGGTATTGATAACTGTTTCTTCATATATATTTTTATGAGTTCATCTAACGATGATCCTTATATTTTTATATAAGGTACAATATAAGCAAGTTGAAGAGCCAAATTGGATGTTGTAAGTTTTTGTGAAATTCAGTGTACTTTGCCTCCCTTATAATAATATATTATATAGTGAGGTTTTATGTGAATTATACTTTATACAAGTAAAAGTATTAAATGAGTCCATCGATCATGCGAATAAAACCATTCGTACAGTAGTGCAATTATTAAGTAATGAGAATCTTTTAAAGGAAAATGGTGTATTAGTATATGAAATTATTCAGTTATTTAATGATATTGAATATGAACAGGGCGTTCGATATTCATGGAAGGTAACTAATTACAAAAAAAAAAAAAAAAAATATGAAGCAATTCCATTTTGTTGAATTTATGTATATTTAGTATTTATCAGAAGGATTTATACATTTATCTACACGATGCGAGATTATGAAAGGGCTTGCTAAATACAGCAAGAATGAATGCAAAAATGTAACTAATAACGTATTACTAGAACTTTTTTTTTTATACAACTAATATTATTTAACATAGTATATAGATCATTTATTACATTTTGCGCATCGTTTAGATTCTAAATATTTAATACCATCAAGGTAGAATGAGAATAAGATGAAAACATATAGAATGATGATTTAATGTGTATTTTTTTTTTTTTTTTTTTTTTTTTAATATTCACTAGTGAGATGATTTATAAGATGGTTGAAGAATATCCTGAATATGCATTTATAGTTCGATTCAAATTAGTAGAGATGCAAATATTACCTGATCTTGTTACTCGGTTAACAGTAGTATATTGTCGAGATATAGTAGGTATTCTATTATTAATCCGTTTCACTCGGAAATATTGATTAATTTATATAAAGGTAAGCTTCCTAAATGGTATATTTCAAGGGAAATCAATATGGTTTCTTGCTCAAACTGTAAACAACAGCCAATATTTTATTAAAATGAAACATCATATTATAACTGATATAGAAGCTAATTTAATGGTAAGTGTAAAAAATAAAATAAAAAAAATCTTACAAGATTATCAATTTAGACGAATTATACATTTAAAGAAGGGACAACAAATGAATCCTGTTGCGTTATCTTCAGCCATTAGGGCATTAGCAGGAATTGTGGGTTATTTTGGGATCAAGCTAAATGAAGCTGAAGTGCTTTTAGTTATGAAAATTCTTAGTACTACTCGAATAGAAAGGTATAGAATACAGAAATGTATATAAAAATATAGGCTTATTTTGTTTAGTAACAAAGGATATATTTTATAAAGAATAGTAAAACTATTACTGTGTGTAATCCTTTTATCTGCAGATCAATTTCTTAGAAAACAGGTAAATATATACATTCTAAGTTGCATTAAATACATACATATATACTTATTCTATAACGTAGAAGGAACTATCAGATGTCCTTGGTCAATTATTACAATCAGAAATATCAGAAATGCCATTACTACTTTTAGTTTATTTTCAAACTGATGCTATTCAGCAAGTTGAAGACATGATTAGATCTGTTCTAGCGATGCAATTATCCATTCGTAAGTTTGAGCAAAAATACATGATATTCCTTTTTCTTATATTACCATGATATAGACAAATTAGGACTGTTTGAAATGCAGAAGCTATTTAGATCATTGAAAACGACGTCTATTCATAATCATTAGTAATAATAAAATAGCTGTAAATAATGGATATGCATATATATCAATATATGTATTTATATCCTATATATTATTCAAAGAGACAATATTGAAGGAGGAATATAATCTACATGCAAACAGATGGCTTTTAAATAGATACATTCATGTATATTTAAAGGAATTACATATATCCTTCTTTAGAAATAGATGATTGACCTTTTTATTAATTTATTTACATTTAGTATTTCCTTTATGACTAATCAATCTTTTGTTTTATATGTGTCTATCTCCTATTCATTACCTATTATAATTTTATTATAAACTAGTTCTTCAGAAAAAAAAAAAAACCTCCAATATATAAATGAAAGAGATATAAAGGATAATATTTAGACTATTCTCTTTTTCTTTTCTGTATAAGCTTGATAAGAATGCAAATCAAATTCCTCTCACTTACTTTATTTGCCGTTGGTATTGTTTCCGCTCTTACTTCCAAACAGAATGAAGCAGCCATTATGAAGACTAGCGCATATGGAAATGAAGCTCGCCGTTCTACTATCACTAATTCATTACTTGTATCAAAGCGTGATGAAGGACAAGAAGATAAGAAAGCTGTTGATACAGTTCGTCGTCGTCGTCGTTATCCTGCACTGCGCCATGTTCCTCATTCTTCTGAAAAACTTGAACGTCGTAATGGTAATGAATCTGGGTTAATGTCTGACGGTCTTCCTATTATTGGCAAACTTTTTGCACATTCTAATACTCCTTCGAAGAATAACATTAAAGATACTCAGAAAAAGTTATCAAATCCTTAATTCACTACAAATAGTTAATATTTATTTTTTTTTAAAAAAAAAATACATGTTCAATAATAAATATACATTTTATTGGACTTGATCAAGTGTATTCTTTTTCGTATTTTTTTTTTTTTTTTTTTTTTTTTTTGAATAAATACATATTATAAAGGGATAGGACCAAATAAAGACAAGTATGTATCTAATACAGTCTTAGACAAATACACTCATAAAAAGGCAAACATAGCATATCTATTCAATATACTTTTTGTAATACACAATGGTAGGTCACTTTATTGATCTAGTTTATGGTAAAAACTTTAAGCGATTTATCATAAACAGGGCTATTTTTTTTTTTTTTTTTGGCACACTTTTTTTTTTTTTTTTTTTTTTTTTTTTTTTTTTTTTTTCGAATCAAATATATTATTAAAGTATGAATTTATTTATTTAATAACTAATAAGGACGATTATAATTTGAAACGAATAAGATGAAATCTGATCAACAGAAGTCTACTAACACGCCGCGAAAAAAGAAAGCTGCTAGAGCCTGTATCCATTGCCAAAAGGTATAAAGATATGATATATGATATATATGAATATATATGAATATATATACATATATATATAATACATACATACATACATACATACACATACACACACACATACACACACATATATATATAAATATTGATCTTGATTCATGTTATAGGCACATCTGACTTGTGATGACTGTAAATTATATTAATTTCTTTCTTTAAATATAGTCATTAATCTTATTTTATATATATATATATTTGTATAGCAAGACCATGTCAGCGTTGTATAAAACGAAACTTGGCTACTACTTGTACTGATGGTGCAAGGAAGAAGGCAAAGTATTTACAAGATGCACCTACAACCAATAATAATAATATACAATTCAATCAAACATCATCTACACAGCATACGCCGAACATAAATTCACCTTTTACACAAGACTTATCTCAATTTCAATCTCAAAACTTTTTGAACACAAGTAAGTAAATGATATATAAATGTACTTGGATTCATGTTATAAAAGAAATCCTCAAGCAATAACAATACTAATCTCTTAAAAAAAACAAAAAATAGAAAATTATAATTATGGATTTGGATCAAATGCAACTAATCTTGAATACTCAATATTATCAAACATGTTAGGATCACCTTTAATAGATCCTTCTTCATCAAATAATTCTACAAATACAACACATCCTCATAGCACGAACAATTCTGATATTGTCTTAAATTCGATTTGGACAACACAGCAACAACAGTCACCAATATTAGATCAACTAGCAGCTACTCAACAGCAACAACAAACAACATCTATGAGTAATATTATACAAGCTCCATTATTGCCAACTACGACCACCACAACAAATCCAACTAATGCATTTATATCGTCATCATCATCACCTAATATTACAAATTATAATAATAATAATAATAATAATAGACCTATTGCTTCCATCTCTTCATCTTCTATGGGAACTTCACAAGTATCTGCATCAGGCATATCATCTTTATCAGCCTATGGTGAAGGAGCAGTCGTTGCCAATGTAGCTAGTCCTGGGAATGCTAGTACATGTTCTGTAGTTAGACGTCGAAATCAAATCATCACACCTGAAATGGCTTATGCTAGTGCAACAAAGCCATTTAGCTATGCCGATGGATATCATTATTTAATTAATTATGTAAAAACAAGGTATATTATAGATAGATAGATAGATTGTACATGTAAAGGAGCTAAGTTATACGGTATTCTTTTTTTTTTTTTTTTCAGAATGAGTAGAGAAGACTTGATGAGAATTAGTAGAGCGCTGGCGCTATTCAGACCTTCTGTATTAGCGTCTATGATGAATTTAACTGAAGATGATTTAATTTTTACAGAAAAATGTTTACAGCGTACACTATTAGAATATGAAAAATTAATTAGTTATTCAGGCACACCCACAGTTGTATGGAGAAGAACAGGCGAAATTGCATTAGTAGGAAAAGAATTTTCATTATTGACACAATGGTCTCGAGATATGTTATTAAACAAGAAAACATATATTTATGAGGTTGGAGAGGGAAAAGTTAAATATAAAATAGTTTTAAATTAACGTTTTTGTTTTCTTTAGCTTATGAGTAATCCTTCAGCTGTAGAATATTGGGAGAAATATGCTTTACATGCATTTGATAATACAGACTCTGCAGTTTATAGTACATGTATCTTGATGAGTCCTACAAAACGAATAGTTCCATGTACATTTTGCTTTACTATTAAACGTGATATATTTGATCTACCTAGTGTAATCATTGGAAATGTAAGTTTAATATAAATAATTTCAAAAAAAAAGAAGAAGAGTATCTAACATTTTATGAATAGTTTTTACCAATATTAAGTTAGTGGTATTCTTTTTTTTTTTTTTTTTTTTTTTTCAATGTAATATTCCCTACCCTTATTTTCTACATAATACATAAAAGATTTTTTTTTTAATAATAGTTTTTTTTTTTTTTTTTAAAAAAAAAGGATATATTTATATGAATAAATAGATAATGTATGCAAATGTAAAGTGAATAGTAAAATTAAGGATGTTCCTTCGAACGCTTATCCTTGTTATTATGACCTTGGTAATAATAAATAGGCATAGAAGAATACTCAGGATGATTGGACCCAGAAGCAGATATTGCTCCTTTATCATCATTAGCAGGTTGCTGCTCTAAATTCCAATGAATACTTGTTAAACTAGGAGGATTATTATTATTCTGAATTGGTATCTTATTCAATCTATCGGATAAATATTTCATTGATACAATAGTGTTGTTACTACTATTAATGAGGGGTAAGCTAAGTTGATGGTCATAACCATTGTAAGAATTTGAATTATTTTCCTCATATAGCTGTGATGACATCTTATTTCCTTGTTCGTGAGATTTCATAGTTGAAAGACTATTAAATAATTTTGAAAGTCTTCCTATATTATGGGTAGGGGTGATAGGAGACATGGAAGATGAAGATGAAGATGCTTCCAAGGTTAATGCTGACTTTTGAAATAGGAGAGAACGATTTGAACTCGAAGGTGTTGGCAAAGGGGATGTCTTGGGTGTCTGTGATGGGCTGTTATCAGCACTCAATGCCTTCTTATGCTGTCTCTTTTGATCAGATTGAATTTGCTTTTGAGAACGTCGAACTTCCTTCTCAAACATAGTTTGTAATTTCATTTCATTTGAAAGTTCCTTTTTGTATTTCTTTTGTTGTTCCTTTTTTGGAATTGGATCCTCGTAGTAGATGCATTTCTTTTCTTTATCGAGAGTATCATCATGCGCTATTACTACTCCTCCTCCTTTACTGATTGGATCTCTCTTCCAACTTCCATCATTTGATTTGTCAAGGATAGTTAATAATGACATGAATAACACAAGTTCCAACTCTCTTGTCTTTGTCAATTTGCATCGAAGCATATTATATCTCAATAAAGAAACAATACCGAAATATTCATCTTTTAATATACATGGTAGATACTGTGCAACACAAATATCACCTATTTTTACATGATGGAAAAGTATGAATATATTATTCAAATGCATTTATGCGTACAAATATATATTTATATATATATTTTTATACGTCCTTACCTGTCTTTCGTATAGCTTTACACTCTAAAGAGTTACTCATTCTACTTTCACGTACCCTAAAAAGTTTATTTTTTTTTTTTAAATAAATTTACATATCAAACTTATATAAAATACCATTTATATCTTTCACCTTCCCATGAAAAAATCCATTCGAACCCAAAACGAGAAACAGAAGCATCGCGAAACTCTACAGATATATCTTGATTATTATCCAGATGAAGAACGATGGGCTTTATCTTGGATCCTGCATTCTTTGCTTGAGTTTCGGCCCAGACTTCAAAGCTGATAGGATCAACTAAACTAATGGCATAAAAATTGGATAGACGATGTCTGATTTTTATATACTGGAGTTGTCCACTTTCTTTCTCTTTAATATCTACAATGGCTCGATTTCGTGGATGACTTGCAAATATGTAATGATTTACAATGTCATTTAATTTAATTGTCATTTTATATACATAAACACAATGAAAAAAAAAAGAAAGGAAGAAAAGAAAAGAAAAGAAAAAGGAACATAGGATATATATTATAGCAATAGTGTAACTATGTGATACATAACAAGGCCGCACAAGACATAAAATTAGAAAAAAAAAAAAAAAAAAAAAAGCAAAATTTTGGGATTTGATTCTCTGTAATAAAGTTAGACGGTGCCTTAAACGTATTACACTTTTGTTTGTTTTTATACGTAATAATAATAATAATACTATCGACTATATTACAATAGGGCTTCCAAGTGTATGTTATATAGACCTGTTGTAGATATATACAAATATATACATTTATATATTTATTCGTATATTTATTCGTATATTATTTTATTAGATTATGCATATTATCGATGCATTTATTATTAACCAAGAAAAGAAATGCACTTTACTCTAACTTGAAACAAAGCCTCCCCCCCTTTTTTTTCATCATATAAGGATCATATGCAACATACAAGGCTCGTGCGTAATACTACATATCTTCTAGTTATATAAATATAAAAATACTATTGTATATAAACAATTTCATATGATAAATGTATTTAAAAAAAAAAAAAGAAAAAAAAAAGAAAGACAACTTTATGATGATTCCAAATTTAATTTGCAAAATAACGAGGCTCATCAAAGACATGATAACGGTGTCCACGAACACCTGCTCCATAGAACATCGCAGGGTACCTTAAAGTAGGTGGCACTTGAGATTCAGGAATACGTTCATAAGATGCCTTCCAATAATCTCGGGGATTCTCAACCAACTGGAATTTACCCGTCTGAATCTCGGTATCTGTGATACGACCATGGCTGACACGAGCATAAGCAACACGACGTAAACCACGATATCCAATATATTGACACCAACGATCCCAATCACTAGGATCGATATCATTCATATCTCCATCATCAAACAGTAAATGATAGATTTCTTGCTGCGGTTTTGTAACTACATAACCCAAGAAGACAAATGGGTTAGGGCTTGTGCGCATGATACGAGCTAATTCAGTTGTTTGTTGAATACGATCATTATAGTTTTCGTCTTGACCATTATGGCTTACGATAAAATCAACAGGTTGACCAAAGACATCCAAGGTAGCATGAATGGCACAAGCTAATTCACCAACAGGGGAAGGCAAGAGGTGATGTTCGGATTTAATGATAGGGAACTTGGAAAGCATTAAACAACCCCATGTATGTTTCATACTGGCTGGTCCAAAATCAACATAGTAACCTAATTCTTCTGCAATTGACTGGGCCCAGTCACGGTTACCCATAATAATTCTCATTGTATCAGATTCAAGTAAACCTAATCAATCAAATAAATTTATATTTTAAAAAAAAAATTAAAGGGGGGGAGTATAGCCTTCACTTACCGACGACATCTAATTCTAGATCACGAATAGCATCACGCATACGACGTTCACTAGCCCACATATCATTATCTAAAGCAAAATGGATTGTCCAAATACCTGCTGTAAATGACTTTTCTGTAGTTGTGTAAGGTACAGGTGTAACTGCATTTGCAACACGGTTAGAGGCAATTAAAGCCGAAAGTGCCACAAGACCACCAACGATAAGACGTGTCATCATGCGTGCATGCTTCAAAACATGGAACTGAGCCATCTTCTTTTGTTGAATGTCCATACGAGCTTGTTTATTAGCATTCCATACACCCAAACCAATCAATAACATCATAGTTATTAAAATCAAATCAGTATGTTCACGTGCATAGACGCCACCAGGTACAAACTCATAAGCAACAACCCAAACATGAGCAAGACAAAGAATATTATAGATCATAAAGGACATAAAGAGAGTCTTAAAAGGAGGCTGAGTAGAAAGAGCACGAATGATAGCAGGGACAATAGAAATCAAGTAGGTGCCAAGAATAAGACCGGCATAAAAGGCCGTCCATGCAGAATAGCAGTAGAAAACGGCGCAAGAGATAGCACCAACAAGATACCAACCAAGGCTAGTGGTAAGTCGACGATGAGAAGATAAGATGAGGCCAATACCCAAAGCAGCAATAGTAGCAATACCCCAAGGGACAGGCTCAGGTCCATAATTAGGATAACCGTCCACTGTCCAACGCATAATTGTTGAAGAATCAGAATACATTGAATGGAGGGCAAATAAAAGGGAACCAAAACCAGCAGCAGCACATAAAGAACTACCTCCCTTTTGCTGGGGTAAAGAAGTTAAATCCTTACCGTTCTCTGTAGATTTACGAATTGTACTATCACGTAAAAGAACTTCAATGGAGCATACAATACCGAGGACAATACCAATATCATTAAGACCACCATTATTTCGATTCATGATGGGCCAAATGGGGTTTTCAGTAAACCATGCCATTTTAATAACACAATGAAGGATTAAACCAAGAGACCAAACAAGAATAGAGCGTTCCAAATCACCTGTATGATTATTAGATTCAAGCCAAGTAGCTATCCAAGTTGTAATACTAAGACCAACGCCAACAGCTGTCAAAGAAAGACGCCAAACAGGGTCTACTTTAAGATAAGAGGCAATACCAACTAAAGAGAGTAAATGGAAAATACCACGATATTTAGCAATTAAACGTCTTAGTGGTGCAATAGCCAATACAATAGGCGACATTGTAATGAATAAGAAAGCTTCAAAACCTGAAATACCCATATACCAAAGAGGGAAATACCTAAAAAAAAAAGACATTTATAAGAAAATACAGACATTCTATCATTGCAAATATATAACTCTTACCAAATCAGCAAAGCTAATGATGTAAGCATTGACCAGAAGACATAGGCTATAAATGGATGTAATATGGGTTAAAAAAAAAGACACTAAATAACAAAGTTATTCCTATAACTCTTACCCAAGTAAACTTCTGTTCCAAATCCAGCAAAGGTTGTCAATGTACGTAAAGTGGAAGGTGCAATACTTCCTTCAGGACTGTTCAAAATTGAATCAATATATTATTATCTCTAATCTTATAATTAAAATAAAAGATAACTTACTTTGAAGCAAATGGAATAGCACTAAATAATAAAAATAAAAATTTAATTTTTTCAATTTTCATTGTTCAAAAAGAAATGAAAAAAAAAAAACTTACGTTTCTGTAGCAATTGGAGAAATTCTAGTTTTGTCAATAATGGATAATTGAAAGTTTTGAAATTCAATTGCAGTGGCAGCATCATAAGCAACGTCATACAGAATCAAAGACCATTCGAAGAAAGCATAAGTTGTATAAGCTAACAAACAAAGTTAATACGCATACAAATACACTTGCACTGAATTATAACTTTACCTCCTGGAACTCTATTTACTTTATGTTGAATAAAGAAATAAATCATTGGTGGTAAAGTAGTGAAAAAGGCAGTTGTCAAAAACTTTCTCCAACGAATAGCAATTTGATTCTGGCTTGAGCTCGAGTAAAGTACACCCAATTGCCAAGGTAAAGTACATAGCAAGTAAAGAATCATGGAAATGTCATGAGTTAAGTGATCATCAGTAGACGTGATATAAACCCAACCACCACAAGCAACAGTACGAACAATACCAACAATTAATAATCCTAATCCAAATGCTTTCGATACCGTTTTTGCTGAATAAGTAGTGTACAAATACCATAAAAATACAAGGGCAAATCTTGGACCTGATGTTAAAGCAATAAAGATTTGAAAAATAGCACGAGCTGGGTATCTATCTCCCGTTGTTGCACTTACACTTGGAAACCATTCCTTTTTTTAAGAAGAGGGAAAAAAAAAGAAAAGAAAAAGAAAAGCCTTACATGAGACGTTTATCTTATTTATTACACCAACACTAATAAGCTATTTACCTCGGGATATCCAAAATACTCATTTTGTACAATTTTATGATAATGTGTAAAGCATCCAACTACAAGTGCAATAAAAAAAGCGCCTATTTTTTTTTTTTTTTTCATATATATAGTTTCTTAGAAACTGATAAAAAATTTTTTTTCTTCACTTTTTTAACTTACAATACGCAAATAAAGTATGCGAATAAGTAATATATTTAGCATCAATCTAAAATATATATTAATTTACTTTTCTGTTGTTTTTCTCTCTTAAATTCTTTTGTTAATTACCTTTTGAATTGTTACAGGCATTAAGTTGCCTGCTTGAGAAGAAGTAGACTTTTCAGCCATTATTATAAGTGTTGAACGAGAAGATTATATATATTTTACTGTATCTCTTCTTTTCCTTACTTATCGTCTATCTATTTCTTTTTTTTTAATGTAATGTATATATGCGCGTATGTATGTCGGCTTTTATACACACATATAAAAAAAAATATGTGGAAAAAAAGAAACTCCATTTCCATTTTAATTGAGTGATAAAAAAAAATTAGGAAAACGGCGGAGCTTTTTTTCTTATATTTCTAAAATGCAACAGCGGAATCACAACATGTTTAAGTGGTGGTTTTTGTCAAAAAAAAACACGAGTTTTTTTTTGTATAATTCAACGAAAAAAGAAAGAGAGGATGTATTAAACGTTATTATAATTATCAAGTAGCAATAATGGCATGTATAATTCAATACTCTATGTAGAACAACTTGAATTGTTTACTTTTTTCTACAGCCAGTACGATGGATATTGTCACCAATTAACGAATATTCGTCGGCAGTTGAGAAATAATTGTCGCAAAAGAAATTTCAATTTGTCGTTTTTATTTTTGTTGATTGTCGTTTTAGGAAAAACAGTATTGCCGCAAAGGTTTTTTATATAATTTTATTAAAATTTTTTAGAGAGGTTCTTTATATAATTTTGTTATAGAACAAGCTCTGGATATAAGCAGAAGTAATATTATAAAAGATGGATTACGTAATACAAGACAAACTATAAGCCTGAACATATAATAATAAAATATAACATATCTTTTGTATTATTCCTTTCAAACTTATCAAAATCTAAAGAGTCTTATTATCATGATCATCATAAAAAAGAGCTCAATTACCATAATACAGTAGTAAGAAAGCTTACAGCTTAACTATTTAAAATGCATGAACCGCCAAGAGTATCTTGTACAATTGAAAAAAAAATCATCTAGATTGTGTGTGTCTAAAAATAAAATAAAACTGTTGTATAAAATGCCATTTTTTATATTATTGATAGCTTATCTATAAACTTCATGCTCTGTCGTGTAACTGCATCTGACTAGTTTTAGCTTAATTTCTTTACAAGAATGTTCAGCATATTCACATGAATATTTATACATATAAAAAAGTAAACAAACTTCTTCTTTTCTTACTTTCTTACTTTTTTGCTTATTTTCAAAGAAAATAGTAATGCTTTACTACATTCAAATAAAAGGCAAAACTTATCTCTAAAGTATTAAAAAGAAAAGAGAAAAAAAAAAGAAAAGGAGAAAGGCAGAAGAGAAGATTTAACGCAAAGTAAATTAAAAACAAAAAAATACGCTAAAATTTAACTTTAATAACTTCTCCTTCTTTTCGTTTATTTTTTTTTTCTCCTGAATTTTACTATAAAAAAAAAAGTACATTTTTTCGTTTTTTTTCCCTTTTTTTCTTCTTTTTTCTTTAGCTTTTTTTTATTTTTCCTATTCTTCTTTATTTTTACTTGAAACTATGGGTAGACACTGTCAGGGTTATGAAGTGTGCTCAAGTCACATAGCTTGGCTTACTTGAGTTTGTAGAACTGTCCGTTTATAACATGGCTAAAGGAAAGGCCTAGACTCTCTTTTGGTTACTACATGCATATCCGCCTTCACCTTGGGTTATTGCAACCTTAGATAATTGATGGGACCTTATCGAATTTTGACTGCTCAAGTTTGATTTATTTCCAAAGGAGGAGGGAAATAAAAAGGATACTTGGGGTTGGAAATTGTAAACCTGTTCCTTTTTTAGGGAGATTAGCGTACTCTTTGTCTGCACCATTGAAAGGGCTTATCTCAAGGTTTAGTTTTTCTGTTTTTCTTTTTGGAGGTTTTTCCTTCTTTTTATTTTTATCTAGTTGCTGTTTATAAAATAAAAATAGATAAGGATGCACAGCTTACGTTTCTGACCGTGGTTTTTTCATCTATTTATTTAGTTGAAGAATCCCAACTTGTATTTACTGTTAAGTCAAAAGTAGATGCTAGGGGTCAAAGAAGGGACATTCTCAGGTAAACAATAGTCAAGTCGTGTACTTCATGTATCTGGATTCCTTCCACTTCGCCACGCTACAGGTCAGAATGTTTAGCCCGGCTTCCAGTGAAACTTACATCCAACTGTATTTTTTATTGGGGTAGGAAGTGAGGAATCCTATCTTTTTCTTCTAGCAAGGCTTGGGCCAGGTTGGACTTTGCCAAGTGTCTACTAGTTGAAATTGGACGTTTATCTTTCAAGTAGAAATTTAGAGGGAGAAGAAAAAATTACAGCCCATATCAATTTGTGTATGGGTTGTAATATTATTTTTGGGATTAGATATGCTTTCACCTTCTCGTGGTTAATCCTGTTAGTATCAACTCTCTTCTACTTAAGAGATTTGAGAACTAAGAAAAGCATCTTTTTTTATAATATCAATAAAAATGAAAAAAAAAAATCAATTTAATAAAATCGTGTTTTATAATAAAGTTGCTTCTCTAATAATATTTAATAATTAAGCGTATATAAAAAAGTGGTGAAAGTCTATAATAGCACAGTGTATAAATATTAAAAAGACTATTGTATATTTTCCCTAAGATTTCTTTACTCTTAAGGTAAATTCTACATGGTTAAATAAATTCAGCATCACTAGAATGTACATTGTCGGAATAAGACTAAAACTAGTCAACATTCATAAAGAGCATTCATAATCTAATTGCTGTACAAAAGACTGTTCATCTTTAGAGTATAACTTGAAGTTGTTTCAAGCCTTGTCATCATTATTTTATCTGAAAACAAACTAACTTTGGTTTTCCAACTAGTGGTTTTTTTTTCAGCATAATTTTTTCCAAAGAAAATTTTCTTTGGGTATTGATTATTGAGTAGTTATATATATAAAGACTGAAGAGAGGCTTGACCGATTCATCGAAAAGAGGTTGTTGAAATATCTCAGTCTTTGCAAAGGAATCTTATTCTTTTTATTACAAAATTTTCCACAAAGACAAGTCCTTTACTCCTCAGTATCGTATCTACGGATGGTATAATGACACTTAATACAAGAAACGTATTCTTGAAGCCTATCATGAAAACAAAAAAGGTTGTCATTTGACATTATTTATAAAACGTAACAACACGTTTTTGGAAAACGATACTGTTAGATACAGTCTTTTAGTGCAATATTAACGAAGGTCATTATTGTTTTGAGGTTCTTGTCGGTTATGTATTGCTCTTGGATGAGCATTGACTTCATCATAAAGAATATAAAGGGTAATTGATCCTTCAATGAATTTGTCTCATTATATGGATTAATTAAAGGAAAATCTATAAATTGACTAAAATTAATGTACATGATGTGAACGTACATATAATAAGAAACTACTGCCATCTTTTATTATGTACGATGCTTCTTGCTACTCGATGTCTTCTTTTCATAATTTATATGTTGATGCCCTCACTATTTATCGCTAACTTGAACCCTTCTACAATACTCGACTTTTTCTTTTTTTACTTATATTATAGAGTAAATTGTCTTAATGTTATCTTATTCATCTTAAACTACACTAAAATAAACTTCTTCTAAAGATTGTCTTAAAGAAAGAAATAAGGAAATAAAAATCACAAAAGTTTCTGGGGCGCTGTGGGGGGAAACCTTCGTCGACGCTAATTCGATTACACGACCTCATGGTTGTTATAGAACAAGCTCTGGATATAAGCATAAGTAATATTATAATAGATGAATTAAATAATACAGGATAAACTATAAGCCTGAATATAAAATAAAACTCTGTATATAACATCTTGTACATAATACAAAACTTATTGACATCCGATCATCTAAATGTATCAACTATAAGACATCGTATCATTTCCGAATATTTATTTTTATAACCTTGATAAAAGATTCAGGTCGTCTTTGATCCATTCAATGAAATAAAAATATAAAAAATATCAGGAACATACAATTAGATCATTATAACACGCAATAGATAATCTATAGATCAGTCTCTTGAATCAACACAATGTATATCTGAATACTAACACTGTTTCATGACTCATGTTCTTTGAGAGCTATTTTTATTTCTTTGATTCAGGATTCATTAGTATAAATACAAGAAGTTGTGTAGACACAAAATAATATTTGAAAAAAAAAATCTTTAATTCTTTCATTTTATTTTATTTTATTCTTTCTTTTCATTAAATAAACAAGTCTCAAACTATACTTCTTTTATCATTTTCTTTTTATTTTCCTTTCTTTTATTACATACCATCACAAATTTTACTCTTTGATGATATAGCAAAGCCTTCAAGGTCACTTGCATGTACCTGATTGCAAGCGTCAGCAATTCTGCCAGACAAATCTTCCTCCGTCATAAAACGACTGCGCTTCAACTTTCCTTTCACTAATGACCAAAACTGCTTAATAGGGTCGATCTCAGGCGAGCATGGAGGCAAGAACATGATTTTGTATCCTTTACTTTTGATTTCTCGTCTCATTGGATGACTCTTATGAATAGTACAATTATCCAAAACTAGGTAGTTGCCCTTTAAATTTGGATCAAGATTCGTAATATCCAGAAGCGCATTGATGAATTTGATGAAATGAAGGGTGGTTGTGCCTTTGGATATTGGAGAGGCTTCTTCATAAGATGTCTCTATTACTTCACTCTTGTTATTGTCGGATGCGGCTCTCTTCCTACCTTTATTATCCTTTCTGCTTTTCTTTGGTTTGGCAGGCGTTTATTTTTTTGGGAGGTGGCTTCTTCAGTACTACGTGAATAACACCGGTAGGATGTATGGCATCTATAACCGTGTGAGAAGTTGCCCTTGTCTTTGAAATCATAACTACAGCATGAGATCCGGCGGGGGATCTAGCGTAATTGTTCTTCATGTTGATACTGAACCCTGACTCGCCTATAAAATCACAATTCTGTGTCCTTCTATTCCATAAACCAATCATATCTTTTCTGCAAGTTTGTCTCATTATTTCTTGCTTCTGCTTCGAAAATGGGCTTTTTGATAGTCAAAGACAGGTTGTTTTTAAGGTGATTATTGAGTTGAGATTTTGAGATGCTAAAGTTTTCGAATTGTTCAGCTAAACTCCCCCCCTCCCCACTATATTACCCACAGCATGCTGGGAGGGGAGGGGGAGTGTTATCGTCCAGTAGATTCCTCAAAAAAAGTCGTTGTGATCGTCGGTAAAAGAAGACTGAGGACTAGAACTTATAGAAGACTTTTTGTAAGGCACTTCTTCCGTTTCTCTGTACATTTTCCACCATCTTGAGTCACACGTAGTTTAATCCCAAGTTCTCATGTGAACTGGGTAGTTAGGCCTCTTTCCTGAGCACTTTCAATTATTCTGTCAATAAAGTCATCTCGTTTCCTGTCATTGTACTTTCTGTATTCTTTGCTATCTTTTCTACAACAATCTTCTCAGGCAGTTTTAATTTTCTCCAAGTGCTTTGATAGGTTAGTCTTTCAAAAGCCACATTAGGATTGCGTTATCTCAGTTAGAGACACCCTCCATTGGATCATAAACTTTCGTACCCTTCTCGTCGTACAGGTTATCGCACCCATCTCCGTACTAAAAAGATCTCTCCATGACTCAACCCAAAAAAAAAACAAAAAAAAGTATTAAACAAAAAGAAGAGCTCAGGAAGAGGAAAACACTATGACAATTTAAGCTAATCTGATGCGACAATACGCTTTTCCTAAAACGACAAATTGAAATTTCTTTTGCGACAATTATTTCTCAACTACCGACAATATCCATCGTACTGGTTGTATTACTAAAACCTCTCTTTCTCTCCCATTTTTAAGAGTATTTTACCGTCATTTAAAACATTTATTTGTTTTAAATGACTAATATATTATGTTAAGTTTGAATGTTAAGCTATTTAATGTATACATATAATTGAAAATTCAATATTATTGATTAAAGAATTCCTTTTATTATCTTATTTTTTTCTTTGCTTTATATATACATAGTACAAGAACAAAATTCATATTCTTTTATAAAATTGAAAATCATGTAAAGTTTATCCATATTTCTTTCTAAGTCTATCAAATGCAATTTTGTCCTAATAAAAAAAATTAGTTAGGAATTCTTTTTTTTTTTTTTCATTTCTTAAGCATACTTGAGGTAAAACAGAAGGTGATACTTTAGTAAATGCCATATCAAAGTCCTTCTTAGTCACAAAAATCTCTTCAGCTTTAGCTTCAATGTTAATTACGCCTGCTGAATAAAAGTTAGATCGAAGTGAGGCAACAGCACTTTCTCGGACAAGGGATGCGAGATCTGCACCTGAAAATCCTTCGCAACGTGAATCATTTGCAATTTCTTCAAGGTCTACATCAGGTCCTAATGGTGTCTTTTTACTTAATTTTTTCAAAATATCTAAACGCTCTGAAGGTGTTGGTAATTCAACATAAAGTAACTTATCAAGTCTTCCGGGACGTAGCATAGCTGGATCAATCATATCTGGTCTATTGGTAGCAGCAATCACATAGACTTGACTACGATTCTCAACACCATCAAGTTCTGTTAAAAGTGTGTTAACAACACGTGCTGAGGCATCTGTTTGTTGATCATCTCTTCGAGAGCAAAGTGCATCAAGTTCATCAAAGAAAATGACACAGGGAGAAGAGGCTCGTGCTCGTGCAAAAACTTGTCGAACGCCACGTTCACTTTCACCGACGTATTTATTTAATAATTCAGGTCCCTTTACAGAGATAAAATTTGTATTACTTTCATTAGCAACAGCTTTAGCCAACAAGGTCTTACCACAACCTGGTGGACCCCAGAGGAGAACACCAGCTGGATTGGTAATACCAACACGTTCAAAGAATTCGGGATGATTGATCGGCTCAACAACAGCCATACGTAATTCATCACGTACAAATTGAAGTGCACCAATATCATCCCATGTAACGTCAGGTACAGTAGCAAAGCCTTCTCGCTTAGAAGAAGGTTGAACCTTCTTGAGAGCATGTTTGAAATCTTCATGAGTAATAGCTAAGGATTCAAGTTGTGCTTCTGTTAAAGGCTGCTTATGTTTAATAAAATCAGATATGTTTCTAATTTGTTCTAAAGGTGTTTGCGATTCAAATTCTTCAACAGATGTTGTTTGAATAGGCTCATCTGTAATCGTTGTCTCTTTTGTAATAGCAGCAGTGATCTCATTTGTCAAAGTGGTATCATCAATATCCATTTGATTGTCATCTTTGATAGTTTCTGAATAACTACTACTACTCTCCTTCTCCTCTTTCTCTTCTTTCTCCTCATTATCCTGATTCATCAATACTCTATTCGCTTGCAAATGCTTAAAAATACGCTTCACAGCAATAACACCTGCAGTGGTCACTAAAGCTTGAAGGTCAGCTCCCACATATCCTGGTGTAGCCCTTGCAAGTTCAGCAAAATCAAAATCACCAGAAAGACGAAGCTTTGATGCTAAAACCGTTAAAATTTTTTCTCGTGCCTTTTCATCAGGTACGCCCATACTAATTTCTCTATCGAATCTACCAGCTCGACGAAGTGCAGCATCTAATGAATCAGGTCGATTTGTTGCGCCAATAATCATAACTGGTTTGTTATCACATTTATCCCAAGATAAATCTAAACGGATAATAGTGCGTTAAAATCTAATTATAACATATAAGATTTAACTCATTTACCATCCATGCAAGTTAATAGTTGAGCAACAATTCTACGCTCCATTTCTCTTTGTGCAGTTTCTCTTTTAGGTGTGATCGCATCAATTTCATCAATGAAAAGTAAACAAGGCGCATTTTCCTTTATTAAGTTGAGTTAATTTCATTTTTATATATTATATTTCTAGAAAAGAAAAATATTTACCTTGGCTTCTTCAAACACTTCACGAATCTTTTTTTCTGATTCACCTGACATACCTGATACAATAGAAGGAGCAGAGATATTAAAAAATGGAACCCCTAATTCCTAAATATTTGTTATATCAGTTTGTAATTATTATTTTTTTGTATAATTTTTTTTTTATAACTTACACCAGCAATAGCGTGTGCTAATCTAGTTTTACCACAACCAGGAGGTCCATGAAGTAATACACCTCGAGGTGGTTGAACTCCAGTATGAATATACACTTCTGGGTGTGCTAAAGGCATAGCAATTAATTCCATAATTTCTTCAATACAATGATCAATGCCTCCTAGATCTGATAATTTTGCACTAGGAATAAAAGGCGCCTCTCTTGTTTCTGAAACTTGAAAACAAAACAAAAAAAAATTAAGTAAAAAAGAGTATACACATATATACACAAATGTATACAGAATTGACTTACTTTTAGATCGCTTTGAAGATGAATCCTTCGTATGTTTAGTTCTTTTTTTGGATTTATTAGGTAATGGCTCAATGTTAGTTTCATCAGGTGTTTCTTCATTGATGGGTGTTGAAGGATTATTAATAGGCGTTGAAGGATTATTAATAGGTGTTGATGCTCCTGATGCAGTTTTATGTAAATTCCATAAATTAGTAACAGATCGATTCATAGCATTATTCTCTTGAGTAGGCTGGTTAATGGGAAAACTGTTAGTTAAGATCATACTGGGGGGTAAATAATTAATTAACCACGACTGTTGCTCATCACTCACCAAGGCATGTTCGGCTAGTGCATCTTCATCTTCACCAGATTCAATACTAATAAAATGTTAGTTTATTATATGTAAGACTAACTTAAATCTTGTCAATTTTACAGATCATTCGATGATGATTGATTTGTTTCAAGATTATCAAGTACTTTTTCAAGTACATCCTCAAGTATTTTCTTACTTGTTCTTGTTAATTTAGGATCTGCCTTAACGCAATAATCGAGGACAATAGGAAGTGACATGTCCTTATTATTTTCTTGGTATTGTTTAACATGATTATTTAACTTTCTTTCAAGATCGCCTAATAAACTATTTGTATGTCTACGATGGTTTCCCTTTCGACCACCTTTTGATCTGAACATTTTAATGAAAATAAAAAAAAAAAAAAAAACTTTGTAAATGAGTGATCTTACAGGCAATAAGGGATCCATTTTTTTAATATCCGATTATTAATTTTAAACCCAGCAGACTCTGGTGCTATGTAGGCGCAAATGACCATGTAAAGTAAAAAGGACATTGAAAGTAAAATCCTCCTTCTCTTTCTCTATATAGGCAAGATGGCTAGAGTAAGTTACTTTTTTTTTAAAGAAAAAAATAAGAAGAAGAGAATGGATAAAAGGAGGAGAGAAAGATAGCTGATATTTGTGAGACAACAAGAAATAATCATGGATTAATCATGAAATGATGGATTCATACATCCATCCATCCATCCATCCATTCATCCATCTATCACATCGAATAATATACAGTCTATTTAAATAACGAAATAGGATCAACATACTTTGACCAGCATTCATAATAACAACGACTGCATGTCAAAATGTAAATCTAAATGAAGAATTTATGGAATTGCATATGTTATACCTATATAACAATCATTTTCGAAATTTAAATTACATTGTTCAAATTACAAATCAGCTTTACGCTAACTTTATTTTTCCAATTTGAAGATTAAACTCATTCTCTTCTCCTTTTTTTTTTCTTTCTCTTCAATTTGACATGAAGCATAATTCGGAGTATAATATGTATTAATTATTCCATCTTTTTTTTTAAAAAAAAATTCATTGTTCATTAGTTCCACGAATACCAGGTAAAGAAAAAAAAACAACAATAATTAATTATTATTTATAATGTACTTAAATTGACATTATATTTATTTATTAATGAATAAAAGGTAGTTGGTCGTAAACTCCCTTCTGCTCAAGAGTCTGCTCCCAAGCTCTTCCGCATGCGTATCTTCGCTCCTAACGTTGTTGTTGCCAAGTCTCGTTTCTGGTACTTCTTGAAGAAGCTCCGTAAGGTTAAGAAGGCTGCTGGTGAGATTGTCTCTGTCAATGTTGTAAGTATTCAAAGTTTATAATGTTAAAAAAATAGGATAATTTATAATTATTTCTAAAAACGATATTGTAGATCTCTGAAAAGCGTCCTGAGCAAATCAAGAACTTCGGTATCTGGATTCGTTATGATTCTCGTTCTGGTACTCATAACATGTACAAGGAATACCGTGCTTTGCGTCGTGTTGATGCCGTTGAACAATGCTGTAAGTAGAAGAGTGAAATATTAAAAATGAAGTGTAAAAAAAAAGAAATTGAAAAATTAATAATTATTATTATTATATTAAATTAGACCAAGACATGGCTGCTCGTCATCGTGCTCGTTTCAGATCTGTTCAAATCATTCGCGTTGCTGAAATCAAGGATGCTGACGTTCGTCGTCAATACATTAAGCAACTCTTGACTCCCAAGCTTTCTTTCCCCTTGCCTCACCGTCTTGCCAACGTCAACAAGAAGCACCGTGCTCTCTTCATTGCCAAGAGACCCACTACTTTCTATTAATTTATTTTTTTATTTGCATACATTAAAAAAATAATGATATAGGCTCATAATTTTCTCTTTTTCTCTTTTCTTTTTTTTTTTTATTAAGAATTATTATTCAGTTTCTTCATTCATTAAATGATAGTTATCAATTATATGACACTTTTCTTCACTCCAGTAAATGAAAGAACGTCGTTGGACCAGTGCCCAAATATAGGGTATAAAAAATTCATATGAATCTTGCTCTTCTTTATAATGAAATTTAAGTGTTTGCAGTGACTATAAAGGATGATTCAGTAAAAGTAAGTGTATTCAATCAAGTGGATAACTTACTATTAGTTTTTGGTTAGACCAAGTACGTGATGCCTGTTCAATTAATTTCAAGACTTCATTCGAAGAAGGCGCCCTTAGATTAGCCTCTGATACTCTTGTATTAAAATGATAGATAATTTGTTCCAAATTAGTCACTAAATCAGAAAATCTGGGGTGATTTTGGAAGGGATTAAATATTTCACGCTTTTGTAAAAGGGCATATACAAGTTGTGAATTATGTTTCAGTCGATGAGATAAAGTTGAGTTGATTATTTCAAGTAAAAGTACTAAAATATCCTCATAAACAATAGCATCTGGCATTGTCTGCTTTTCTGTTAATTTGATATATCTTCTTGCTAACAATTCAAATAAACTAAGAGGTAATAAAGTTTGAGTGAGCATGAGTGTTATCTGTTATTATTGAATATACCTAATAAATCGTTGCGCTACGTTTGCATGCATATCAGACATAGTATTAGACATATTCATCAAGATGGCTAAAGAAGTTGTATGTAAATAGATATCCTTTTGATGTGATAAATTTAACTGTAAAACTCGAATTAATACTAATGTCATTAATCCACCCAAAGAAATTGACTTTAATAACGGTCTCTCTGTAAACCAAGTAGTATTATGCACGATCTATGAAGTCAAATAGGTAAATCGTAAAGTTTTTATTTTTTTTTTTTGTTTTCACTTACAATCTTTTGAATAGCTTCATTATTTACATCGTCTTGACTTAAGATCAAAATGATAACCATCAAGATATAAACCTGAGAGTACCTTGTCTTGCCAGCTTCCATCGATTCATAAATTAATTTTAACATGGGTAGAAACTAAGGTAAAAGTTAGGCTTTAAAAAAAAAAACTAAACTATTTGTGTATTTTCATAAGCTACTTACAATAGTTTCCTGATCTATCCTTGACAGTACATAGACTCGGAATGCTTCATTTTCTACTAAGATTAAATAAAATAAAAGCATCTTTTCCTCTGAGTGCAATGATTTACTAAATATCTGAAATAAATTCTTGAATGAAATCAAATGCATCTTTCTATCACAACCATCAATATCACTTGATATCACTAATACAAATAAATAAATAATCGTAAATGTTTATTCTACATTCTGTACATACCATGATGATCACTTAGATTGGCAATCGCTAATCTATATGACTTGGTCCATTCACTATTATCATTTTTGGCAGGTTGCGAACCTAACAATAGTAATATTAAAAGACTACGATCAGCAACTGGACTTGCATCGACATAGGATGTATTCGCTCGAGCCGCAAAAAAATAATTGTAAGCGGTATGCATCACACTTGATGACTGAGGTGGAGGTGGCCTTTGTTCAATTATGTTCTCTAATAAACGAGCTACCATCGTCTCTGCTCTTTTACCGAACTTTGTCAATAAAATATTCAAAAAGTAATTAAGTTGCTGTTTAAGATTAGACTGTCGAAGTTGAGTGGAGAAAAGGACAAGAAAGGTATTGAGAATTTCAGTATAAAATTCGTAAGTCGAGTAGTTGACACTATATCAGCAGAAAATTAAATTAGAGATATCGATAAGCAAACTTTTATACTATTTATAACCTTACCTGGGGTCCATGTTTATTAAAAAGTAAAGTAAATATTCTATCAGCTGCTCGCCTTTATGTTCAGTTGGACTATCTTCTAACTGCTCAATAATTTCCTTATCTGTTAAATTACCAGCAAAATGTTTTAGAAAGATTCGAACCAAAAGTAAAGCATTATATGTCTCAATTGGAATAGAACTAACAAGGAAAAAGTTTTAATAACCGCATTAATGGCAAGCTTTTGAAAATAAATTACTATTGAAAATTAGCTTGCAAGTCCTTCAATAATTGCAACAACTGATTTATTAGCTTGTTGAAATTATGTGTTCTTGTATTATTAGCAGCTAAAAAAAAATAAATAAATAAATAAATTAGACACTTAAATAAAACTAGAAGGTAAATGTCAAACTACAACAAATTACCTAGTTCAATAGATAAGCCTAAAGTGCTCATTTCCAAATCATAAGCATCTTGTCTAGTAATCATAAAAACAAGGAAAATTTTAAATGAATATAATAAATACATCTATGAATTTGTAGCTTACGAATTATGTGATGCAGAATATTTCTCCAAAGACAAAAAGTTCCAGTTATCTATGACTCTATTTGAACAAATAGGTTTGATAAAAGCAAGTTGAGAACTAGAGAAAAAAGGATGATAATGTTGCTCTATTGTAGGTGATGTCTTCAAGTTATTATTATTGGTAGGATGCTGTTTTATAGGTGTAAAACTAAGAACTGAAAAGGAGTCCGAAAGTTCAAGCGAGGGACTACGAGAAAGTATATCGCTATTCGTGTCATTGACGTTTGTATTTGAAGGCCTCCTTGAATTTGAGGATGATGCAATTAAAGTTTTATTGGGTGCAGTCAAGAGTGATGGAATACTATGTGGCTCCATTTTCTATCCTTTTTTTTTTAAAAAAAAAAAAAAAAAAAAAAAAAAAAAAAAAAAAAGTAAATAAATAAATATATAAAATAAAATAAAAAATAACAGCAATAAATAAAGAAAATATCGCGTTTGTAATAACTATAAAATAATAATTTATTGGCACTCCATTTTTAGTATTTTTTTTCCCTCTTTTCTTTCTTTCTTTCTTTTATAATCGTACATAAAAAAAATAAAATAAAATGTCAAACAACATTAAAGTTGTCTGTCGTTTTAGACCTCAAAACTCTTTAGAAATAAGAGAAGGTGGTGTACCTATTATTGACATTGATGAAGAGGGCACACAGCTCGAGTTTAACGTAAGAAAAAAAAAATTCAGGGCTAAAACAGCAACTCACCTATCTCTTTTAGGGCAAAGACTTTCAGGGATCATTTGCTTTTGATAAAGTATTCGGAATGAATACTCCTCAACAAGATGTCTTTGAATACTCAATCAAGACGATTGTTGATGGTAAGTTAAAGCTTTTTTAGTTATTATTTATTTATTTATTTTTTTCGGTATTCAAATATTTTTATTTTTATTTTTATTTTTTTAAATAATAAATTAAATTATAATTAGATGTCGTTGCCGGTTATAATGGCACTGTATTTGCTTATGGTCAAACTGGTTCTGGTAAAACATATACGATGATGGTAAAAATCTATAAAGACATATAAAATACAGTGTATGGAATGGTTGAATTTATTTGTTAGGGCGCTGATATTGATGACGGAAATACAAAAGGTATTATTCCTCGAATTGTTGGTCAAATATTTGATAGCATCATGGCTGCTCCCAGTAATTTAGAATTTACTGTGAAAGTTTCATATATGGAAATTTATATGGAGAAAGTACGAGATTTGTTAAATCGTAAGTATATATCATATGTGCTCTTATGATGATGGAAGAATTAAAATCTTGTCATTTTAGCTTCTATGGATAATTTACCTATTCATGAGGATAAAACACACGGTGTTTATGTTAAAGGGTTGTTAGAAGTTTATGTGGGATCTTCTGAAGATGTGTATGAAGTAATGAGAAATGGTAGTAGTAACCGTGTTGTTGCATCTACAAATATGAATGCAGAAAGTTCTCGTAGTCACTCAATTGTCGTCGTCACTATAACTCAAAAGAATATTGACACTGGTGCAGCAAGGAGTGGTAAACTCTATCTTGTAGATTTAGCAGGTTCTGAAAAAGTGGGTAAAACAGGGGCATCAGGGCAAACATTAGAGGAAGCTAAAAAAATCAATAAGTCATTGACCGCACTTGGTATGGTTATCAATGCCTTAACAGATGGAAAGGTGAGCTTTTTTTTTTTTTTCCTTCTTCATCATCATTTTTTTTTTTTTTTTTTTTTTGAAATCTTTTAAACAAACTTACACTTAATGTATTATAAAATCTAAAAAGTCTAGTCATATTCCTTATCGAGATTCCAAATTGACTCGTATTTTACAAGAATCATTGGGTGGTAACTCGCGAACAACACTCATTATTAACTGTTCCCCTTCGTCATATAATGAGGCTGAAACATTATCTACTTTACGATTTGGTATGAGAGCGAAAACGATTAAGAACAAGGCTAAAGTTAATGTTGACCTCAGTCCTGCAGAACTTAAAGCACTTCTCAAGAAAATTAAAACGGAAACGGTGACCTTCAAAAATTATATTGGCGCTCTTGAAGGGGAAATTTCAATATGGAGATCGGGTGCTGTTGTGCCTGAAGATAAATGGGTGACAATGGATAAAGTCACACGAGGTGAAGCTGTATCAGGTGTTCGAAGTCCCTCTTCTCTATTGTTACAAGAGGAGCTATCAAGACCTGCAACACCTGCCATTGTTCTTGAAAAGGATGAACGTGACGAATTTTTGAGACGTGAAAATGAATTGATGGATCAAATTGCTGAAAAGGAGACTGAACTTGTAAATCGAGAAAAACTACTCGAGTCCTTAAAAGAAGAAATGAGTTATTATAAGGAACAAGAGCAATCAGTAACTCAAGAAAACCAAACAATGACTTCTGAATTAAATAATCTACGATTACAGCTTCAAAAGATTTCATATGAATCCAAGGAGAATGCTATCACAGTGGATTCCCTAAAGGAAGCCAATGCGGAGCTGATTTCTGAACTTGACGAGTTAAAACGTAATTTAGTCGAAATGAAGCAACAACAGCGTGATTTTGTGCAAAGTGATAAAGAAAAGAAGAAAGCAGAGAAGATGGCACAGATAATGTCAGGCTTTGATGTATCGAATGAAATAAATGAAAAAGAACGATTGGTTCGTGATGCATTGGTTAAACTTGAGTTAGAGGGCAATGGCATGACAGTGGATGAACTGATGAGTTTAAGGCATGATTTGACAGATTCACGTACTTTAGTTGATGAACAGATGAAGCAAATTCAACTATTGACAGAGGAAAAAAATTCAATTGAAAAGAAAAAGACAGAATTAGAATCACGATTTGCTACACTTGAACAAGAGTATGAGGAATTACTTGATAGAACAATTGCCGAAGAAGAAGCTCAAGTACAAAAGAATGAGGATATTGCAGTAACTATTTCCACGTTGAAGTCTAAATTGGAACAACAATATATAGCAAAAAAAGAAAGTCAGCAAAGAGAGATTGAAGAACTTCGAGTTGATTTAGAAAAGAAGACCAATGAACATACCAGATTGGTAGCTGCTATGAATGATTTGAAAGCAGCAAATGATGAACTTCAGGTAATAATATATACATATGTGTATATATATATATCGTTTTAAATATATTTGTTAATGACTTTATTCTCTATTATATAGGTTGCACTTTCTGAAAAGGTAGCGTCAAAGGAGGTATCAAATCTTTCAGAAAAAGAAAAGGATCTTGATCGAATGCGAAAGACGATGGCACAGCAGTTGGCAGAATTTGAATTGATGAAAAAGGCTTTAATGAGAGATCTTCAAGGACGTTGTGAGAAAGTAGTTGAATTAGAAATATCACTTGATGAAACTCGTGAGCAGTATAATAATGTACTCAGAGCAAGTAATAATAAAGCGCAACAAAAGAAGATGGCCTTCCTCGAGCGTAATCTTGAGCAATTAACAAACGTTCAAAAGCAGGTAATATAATATACTTTAAAATGATCATTTTTATTTAACTTGTACTTACACGAAATATTAGCTGGTTGAACAAAATAGTTCACTCAAAAAGGAAGTAGCTTTAGCAGAAAGAAAGCTAATAGCTAGAAATGAACGTATTCAAAGCTTAGAAACATTATTAGGAGACGCACAAGAAAAATTAATTCATCAAAATCAAAAGTTTGAGGCACAAATTCAAGCAGTCAGAGACAGACTTGAGCAAGCTCGATCCCAGAAAACAAATCAGCCTGTAATGTCTGGATTAAATTTTGGTAGAATTGCAAAGCCTTTAAGAGGAGGTGGTAATGCAACAGTTAATATGGATGATGAATCTAATAAGCGTGATAAACGATCCTCTTGGATGCCAGTATTTTTGAATTCGTCGCGTCAGTGAAGTATGTATATTCCTTTTGTTTGTTTGTTCCTTTTTTTTTTTTTTTTTTTTTTGTTCCATACCTATAAATATATTATATAAACACATTATATTATAACATTTATTTATAACATTTATTTATATATAATACCCTGTATATACTTTTTACTTTAATTATATATGTTGGCTGTAGCATCGTATATGACATGTAATACATTGTAAGAATCTTTATAATAATAGACAAAAAGAATTATTGTTCATTACTCAATATGTATCCACTATAAAACAAAATAAGAGTCACATTGAATAAAACACATCCAAGGGGGGAGCAACTGTCAATGCATTACATAAGATAAGTTCGTTACTTCCCAATGACGATAACAAGATAAATCATAAACGACAGTTAAATGCGATGATTGATATGTAAACTATAGATGCATATAATGAATGTTCTTATTGCTGGGCTGAAAGAAAGATACAAAAATTTGGGAGGGGGAGGGGTAGAACAGCAATTTCCAAAATCAATTTATGATTCTGGTATCCTCTTTTTAATCTTTTACAAGTTACGATACTGTCTGTTGGTTATCAAATTTTCCGCTAAATATAAATATATAATAGTAGTAGTAGTGGTGGTGGTAGAATATACTCTATACGCACACATATATACATATACATATACATATATATATATATATATTTATCAATATCCTACTAAAACCCTTTGTGTGGCTCCTCCTTAAAAGATGATTACTATTACCGGAGATTCTTTAAAAGTTATATTACTCTTTTAGAGAAGCTGTCCTTTTAATCTCACCAAACTCTAGTATGCCTAAGATTGCAGTACATAATTTTATCTGTTACATTGAATGAATTATCTCAACTTACAGGCATTGTTACTAATTCCTTTATTATAACTGGAACGAAGGGAGTAAGAGATTAGTTAAGAGTCATGCAAAATGATTGTATATCTGACAATAGATAATGAGGTGACTTAATGAAAAAAAAAAAAGGGGGGGAGGCTACTATTTTTGATCTATCATCCCATGATCAGCAGGCAGACACAAACTAAACTTCTGGTGATATTACCAAACTTGAAGACAAAACTCAACATGTATTCTTTTTATCATTATTTCTCTTTATCACGTCGTCATATACTAAAGCATCTTTTATTTTTGTGGAGGAAGACCGGGAAAGAAAAAAAATCATTTATTTTTATTATTATTATTAAAACTAGCTTTAAAAGCAGAAAATATTCTTTGGGAAGTTTGTGTTTATGATTGGTTTTGTATTAGGGAAGTTGTAAATGATGTAATTGAAGTAATTATCTTTTTATCTGTAAATTAAATGAAGGAAGGAAGGAAGGTAAAGAGATTAAAGAAAAAAAAAAAAAAAAAAAAAAAAGACTAAGACTAAGAAAGGCCCTTTTTTCTTTATTAGATCAATAGAGGCGGAACAAAAAATAAATAATTAAGAAATATATTTGTTTGATAACAGCCAGGCACGTGATATACTTGTATTTTTTCTTTTTTTTTTTTTTTTATACGGTTAACATTTGTATGTATTTGTTTTCTCTTTTCCTTACTTTTATTATTATTTAAAATGACATCTATATTTATACCGCCTCTTATTTCAATAGAGAATACTTGTTTACTACAAACACCTTCTAATGATGATGAAGGTTGTAAATTATTAGATTCTTTCGCTATTCTTGTTCAAATTGGGCTTGCTTCAACTGCCCTCATTACTTTATTTTATAAACGCTCAAGAGAAAGACCACAACGACCTATGATTGTTTGGTACGAAATAGTTGACATCCTTAGCCATTTTTTAACTTTCACAATAGGGCACTAGATGTCAGTAAACAGTTTATGGGTGCTGCTGTAGTTCATTTTTTGAATTTAGCTGTTAGTTATATCGCAGGTCGACCTCGCAATGGAGGACCAAGAACCAATCTATGTGTATGGTATTTCCTCAATGTAGCAATAGATACAACTATTGGTGTCGCTATTCTATGGTTCTGGCTTCATCTGATACAAGCTTTGTTAGAGACATGTCATGTGAAGCAAGTTAGGACAGGTCAATATGGTTCACCTCCACTACGTCATATGCTGGTACCTTGGTTCAAACAAACCATTATATTTATTTTGGCTGAATCACTCATGAAGCTATGTGTCTATGGTATGTTTCGTCATTTCCCATTTTTATTTTTCTGGGGCGAATGGGTTTTAAGATGGACAAAAGGAAATTATAAATATCAAGTTATTTTTGTTATGTTAATGTAAGTTTTTTTTTTTTTTTTGGCTTGGTTTCTCAAGATTTAAATTAAATCATTCACATAAATATATTTTATCTACCTAGATTTCCTCTTATTATGAATATTGTGCAATTTTGGATTGTCGATACGATTGTGAAAGTTTCACCAAAGAATAAGGACGTAGCTAGAAATAATATAGAAGATGAGCATTCACCTCTTTTACCTAAATAATTCATACCTATTTTGTAATAAACTTGCATGCATGCACCTTTTATGTACATATCTGTCTTTGTCCAACTCTATTTTAAACCTCGCCTTGAAAATTTTCATTTCATTTTTTTTTTTTTTTTTTGAATTTTTTTTTTTTTTTCAGATCTTTATTAGATCATTAGAGAAATGTTTTCCATTGCAAGATATACAGGTGATGATGAAAATGATACACGATCATTCGACAAAAAACAAGAAAGATTAAACAAATTAAATGAACGAGTCAAGAATAAAAAGAGAAAAGAAATAACTGACGCTAATGAATCACAAGACATTAGTGAAAAAAAGGTTAAAAAAAATGAGATCGTTAATAAAAAAAGGTTGAAACAAGTGAAGAGTTCCATGTTGAGGAAAATGAAATGATCAAGCAACAAGAAAAAGAGCAAGTACAAGAAGACATGGATGAATTGGAAGAGGAGATGGAAGAGCAAGAATCGACACATAATGTTGAAGATGAAAAGGAAATGCAAAAGGATAAAGATGAAGATGGCCCTATTTTAGAAGCTTTTCCAGAAATGATACTTCCTAAAACACAACATAGTAAAGAAGAAAAGCAATTATTGAAAAACATGGGTATTCCGGAATGGTTGTTACAACCGACAGTTATTTCACCTAAAGAATCTTGTGAATTGGATAAAGTAGGTTTATCAAGTTCTATTGTTCAACGTTGTCAAGAATTAGGCTTATCTTCTTTTTTTGCTGGTAAAGTATATACATATATATTTTTTATTTGCAAACTGTCTGTATTCAATTTTATACATATATAGTTCAAATGGCTGTCATTCCAGTATTTCTTAGAAGACAGGCATTATATGATACTAGACGAGTACCAGGTGATCTATGCGTATCGGCCCCTACAGGCAGCGGTAAAACAATGGCTTATGTGTTACCTATTGTCGATATTTTATCAAAAAGAATTGTTACTCGATTACGTGCTGTTGTTGTATTACCTACACGCGATTTAGTATTTCAAGTGAAAGAAACGTTTGATGCATTTGTAAAAGGTACAAATTTAGTTGTTGCCGCTGCTAGTGGACAACAGTCTTTTGCACATGAACAAAGAGCCTTAGTTGGAAATGATGATGAACAAGAAAGGTAGAGTAGATAAATATATACATCCATTTATATGTATATATATAAATATATCATTTTAATATCTTGATTTAGTTATTCTGGGGGTAAGAGTCGAGTTGATATTTTGGTGACAACGCCAGGTCGTTTAATAGATCATTTAACATCAACGCCTAATTTCACACTTCAGCATCTTCGATTTTTGGTCATTGATGAGGCAGATCGACTTTTAAATCAAAGCTATAATGATTGGTTGAATAAAATATTATTAGCTACTCGACCTGAGGTGAATCATGAAGTTCCTTTAGTAGACTTTAAATATAACAAGAATGGGTAAGTTAAATTGAATAAAATAGCCGTAGAAAGCTAATTTATATATTTATATTAGCATAACAGAAGCAGATGCAATAGCCCCAAGTTTTATGAAAACAAAACACCAAATACCAACAACTGATCTTGATTTACCTAAAAAGCCATCTGTACAAAAGCTTTTATTTTCAGCTACTTTAACAAAAAATCCAGCTAAAATTGCAGATTTACATCTAAATACTCCAGAATATATTTCAGTTCAAAACGAAGATGGAAGTCAAATGAAACAAGAATATACAACACCTGAAGGATTGAAAGAATATATGATTATTTGTCCAATAGAAAAAAAGCCGCTTATGGTTATTTACTTGCTTCATCAACTAGGTATCAAATCTGGATTATGTTTTACAAAGTCAATTGAATCTACTCAGAGACTTCAAATGCTACTAGAAGCTTATGAATCAACACAACCTGAGGAAAGTCGTATTCGAGTAAAAGAATATTCAAGTGAACTTGGTCCTATTAAGCGAAAGCAAATGCTGAAACAATTCAAGGATGGACAAATAGATTTGTAAAGTGTGACCTATTTTTATTTTTTATTTTTTTTTTATTTAATAGAAGTAATATTAACTCTATTTATAATTCAGACTTATCTGTTCAGACTTAATTGGTCGTGGTATTGATCTAGATTCAGTTCAATTTGTGATTAGTTATGATGTTCCTTATTATATGGACAAATATATTCACCGAGTAGGACGTACTGCGCGTGCAGGTAGAGAAGGCGAAGCTTATACAATAGTTGAAACACAAGAAACACGCCATTTTAAAGAAATGTTACGTCATTCTGGACATTTAAATCAAGTAAAGCCCTTAATTATAGATAAAGAAAAAGTAAAAGAATTAGCACCTGCTTATAAAAAGGCCATCTCCAGTTTAACAAATGAAGAATAATAAGAATAAAATAAATAAAATAAAATAAAATAAAAATTTCTTTAGCGGAGTGCATACAGATAATAAAAAAAAGTTTGACAGTTTGATCTAGTTCACTCTCTATGAATAGTAGAAAAGTTGGTTCTTCTAGAATTAGTGTAATAAATGAGAAATAAACATGTAGTAGACTAATTAGCTGATAAAATCGATAAAATAGGATTCGTGTTTAAACTTATTTGTGAAATAGTATTATTTCTCCAGGGTGGTATAAGGAAGAAAAGGGCATTTATTTGTCTCTGTCAGTCACTACGCTTACATGTCGCTTATGAGTTATTCACTGTAAAATACAAATTTATATTTAATCTAACAAACGTATGGGCAGATAGGATAAGGTGCAATTGAATCATGATAGTCATGATGGCCAAAAGATAAAGTCATGCAATTTTAATCATGTTCTTAAAATGTTAATAAACAAATGATAGGATTGGTTGAAATAATGTGAGACAGCGATGAAAAAAAAAATTTTGATTGCGTCTTACCTGAATCTTATCAAAAAATCTAAAATTAAGTGTCAGAATTTTATTGAAAAAAAAAAAAAAAAAAAAAAAAAAAAAAAAAAAAAAAAAAGGCAGTTCCTTAAGTTATAATTTATTCATTCATTCATTTTTTTTTTTTTTTTTTCGTTATTAAATTCGTAAAATGAAGGAAGATAAAATAGCTGACGATGAGAAATCATCTAAAGGAGCTTCATTAGCACAAGTATCTAAGTCTGTTATGACTAAATTTGACCAAGCCATTATTTTTACGGGGTAAAAGAAAGATAAAAAAAAAAGAAAAAGAAAAAAAAAGAAAAGAAAATAGAATATAGAAAACTAAGATAGAATAGATTATTACTTGTATCTTGGTCAATGACTTGGGAAAAAAGTATTGTAGTGACTCTTACACCATCAGTGACGAGTCTGTTTCAAACTAATAACATTTCAGCTATACTTTCAACCGTCCTTAGTATTGTACAAACAGCACTTCAACCTATTTATTCTAAATTATCTGATATAATTGGACGTGCACAAGTTTATACCCTATCTATTGTATTATTTGCAGTATCTTATATTATTATGGCTACAGCCCAAAGTTACAATACTTTAATTGTAAGAAATGATAAATAAGCAATATAGATATATATACTCATTGTCAAAAACACATTAAGGGAGGACAAGTCGTGTATGCTTTTGGATATTCAGGCACTTGGGTGTTAGGACCTATTTTGATCGGCGGTAAATATAAATATGTGTACAAGGAAATTGGTTATTCATATATGTATAAATATTTTTTTTTTTTTAGATATGACAAACCTTGTAAATCGTTCTATATATTTAGCATTGTATAACTTTCCAACTATTATTAACATGTTTGCCGCCAGTGCAGCAGCTCAAGCTATTTTAAATCATGGTCATTGGCGTTGGGGATATGGACATATCAGCATTGTTGTATTTGCTGCAGGTTTGCCCCTTATCTTTGGTCTATGGAGAGTTCAAATAAAAGCGAATAAAATTATTTCTCAGCAACAAACTATAATTAAACCAAAAAAATCGATTGTGAGTCGTATATGTTGGTTCTTTAACAGAATTGATATTGTTGGTAGCATATTGCTAGTAGCTGGTCTCTTCCTTATACTTTTGCCTTTAATTCTCGCTCGTACCTGGGGTGGTTGGGGACAAAGTAAGACATAAATAGATATATATATATATATATATATATAAACACAAGTATAACCTTATTATGTAATGATTTTATATACATTATATGATAATATAGGAAAAACGATAGGTACTTTAGTAGCTGGAGGAGTAGCTTGGATATTATTTATTATTTGGGAATGGAAATTAGCACCTTTACCTATTATTCCATTAACAAATTGGGAATCAAAGAATCCAATTTGGGGAGTCCTCATGACGTCTCTTATCAATGTTATTAATTTTATGATGGATTATCAATATTTTTTGACCTATCTAGAAGTGACAAGACGTTTAGATTCAAAGACGGCTATTTATTTGGAGCGAGGTTTTAATGTGACCTATGTCTGCGTACCGTTATTGTTAGGTTATTTAATGAAACAAACAAAGAGATGGAGACCTTTTATTTGGGTAGGTGCTATATGCTCTGTTTTGGGTCCTGGCTTAATGATACCTGCACGTCGTGTCACCTCCCCTGATGTCTTTATTGTCATTTCACAAATTGTATTTGGCTTTGCTCCAGCGTTTTCTAATTATCCTGTCTTGATTGGTATTCAGGGCTCAGTTCCAAAGAAAGGTATGAATGAATGAATGAATGAATGATAATGTATATAATAGATAAATTGACTATCTACTTGCTATATACATAAACGAGATAGATATCGCTATTGTTATTGCTCTTTACGAAGTTGGTAATGCGGTCTCTACTAGTATTGGAACTTCAATAGCAGGCTCTGTTTGGAACTCTGTCTTACCCAACCTATTTAAGAAATACGTACCTGGAGAATATGACTACAATAAAATTGTTGGAAATATTCAGTATGCAAAATCTTTACCCGAAGACCAATATAAAGGAATTGTAAAAGCTTATGATGAAGCAATGCATACACTGGGCATTGTTGCTGTTTGTATAGGTGCAGTTGCCTTTTTAACATCCCTTTTCCTCAAGGGATTTTCTTTAGATGACGATACAGAGGATACTTCAGTAGCCAATAGAGACGAGGAAAATATAAAAGAAATTATACAAACACCCACCAAAGAAGCAGATAAATAAATAGAGTTAATAATATATATTTATACATGTATATATATATATTTTTTTAATAGAAGCAAATATTATTTACAACGAAATAATAAACAAAAGGAAAGTTGTAGTCTATTTATAAATTAAAAAGACATTGGTATATAATCATATAAAGTTTAGAACGATAATTTTCTAGAGGAGAAAAAAGTTTTCCCCATCACATAACTACTAATCATAATGGCGCAAGAAGGTCCAATTTTAGCTACTCTAGGTGTTAAACCACTAAATAAACCACGAATACCCTCTTGTCTGTAAATTTGTTTGAGAATACCGGGGACTCGTGAATCTTTTAATAAAGGTTTTTCTAATAAAATGAATTCATTTTATGAATCACACATGTATATGATGTTTTTTTTAAAAAAAAAAAAAAAAAAAATACCTCTGCCTGCATCAACTTGTCTTCTTGTCTTTGCTACATCAAATGGAGTTGTTATTGTTGCAGCAAACTAAATTAACATAGATTAGCTTACATCATCATTTATCTAATATGATATATTATTACCATGCCAGATAATGCGCCTGATATAAAGGAAACTTGAAGTTCACCTAAGCTATAATAATCTTCAAGTTGATATTTAATTTGCTCATAACCCATCCAGTAAATAGCAGAGAATGGTACATCCCGCCATAAAGTAGGCGGTAAACCTCTCCATAAAGCTTGTAATCCATCCTGTAAAACCATTTTCTTCACACCTTCCATTACATCTATATATTTACTTGGTTACATTATTATTATTATCATTATCATTATTACAACTTACGTTTAAAATCATGTACAGCAGTTGCAGCTTGTAATCTTGTGCGAAATAATTCAATAGGTGAAATAATAGTTACTGCTATTGTACGAGCAAAGGCACCTGCTACTAAAGGTGAATAATCTGTTGATGATGATATTGCCATTGCTGGTTGAATTATATCTTTTAAATAATCATATCCCACAAAATAAATTACATTAGATGGTACTGACATAACTAATGCAGGCGATAACCCTTTCCATAAAGCCATGGGTCCTTCATATTTCATAATCTTATACAATCCATCCTAACCAAAATAAATAAATATGACATGACAATAAAAAAAACAACAACAACAACAGCAACAACAATATTGAAGTACTTACAAAGGTATTTTTAAAGACAGGTGATGTCCTCGAATTAGTAGCAGTATTTGTAATTGAAATTGCACAATCATATAACATGGGTTGTCCACGAGTAATTCTATTTATTTGAAGGCCTTGTTTAATGCAGTTATTAAAAGCCATACAACAAACTGCGTTATATATATTTTGTGTTTGCATTCGCATCTTAACAACATCCATTGGAGTAACCATAAGCGATGTAATTAAAGCACCCCCACATGCTGAAATCAATTTTTCTGTTGATGAAGTTTCTGTAATGTTTGACATTAAATAAATAAAAAATTTGAGAAAAACAAATCTGATAAGAAACTGATAGGGTAAAACTAAAAATAAAATGATAAAAAAAAAAAAAGAATTAGACAATTTTTTGACAGTCAGAAAAAAAAAAAAAGGAATTTGCACTCGATTAAATAATAAAATACTGAAAATTGTTACTATCAAATTGACATAACTTGAATAATAATTATAACTGATGTTATTAGTACTTTATTTTTGAGCTTTTCCTTTCTCTATCATTAATTATTACATATTTCGCTGTCTTCTTAGTTTATATTTTCAACTATATTCATTCATATGTTTTTAGGCATTTATATTCTATTAAATAAAAGAATAGTTTCTTTATCTATACCAATTACAGTATATCACATATTACAACTTGAAATCAATTGGTATTACTATACTACTAGCTCTGACGATCATCTTGGAATAATATTATTTTCTTATGGCATTGTTTATTGACATTCATTCAATTATAAAAAGAAAAATACTTTTTATTAATACAATCTATTCATCTTTTTATAAAGTAAACTATCTACTATCATTTATACAGAGTTTCAAACAATACTAACAAAAAAAAAAAAAAAAAAAAAAAAAAAAAAAAAAGAGGGGGAGAAAGGGAGGAGAGAAATGATGAGTTAATGTTACATACTACCAAAAAAGCTTGTGCTTTTCTGTCAAGGATTAGAATAGCTGGACTGAATATGATACAATCTATTTAGAAGAACACCTTGAAAATAAAGACGGAGACTTGAAACATATATTCTTTATTTTATAAATTGGTTAGTAGCTGTCCAAAATTCTAAAAGAAAAAAAGGGCATTTATTTATTTATTTATTTATTGTGTAAAGAAACATGGTTGACATGCTTGTGCAACTATCAAATAAATTGTATTTATTAATAAGGGTATATGTCTATCAAGTGACCAGCACTTTATATTAACAAATCTTGTCGATTCTTCACTAAATAGTGTTGTACTTCAATAGGATTTATAAAGCATTCAAATTTGATTAAATTTAAAAAGGAGAGTTCTAACTGGTTGATTTCTTTTAACGTATAAAATCTACTACAAATGTCTGCCATTCTTGCGTTATTTAGCCAGACAGGTATTTCGTCTTCTGCCAATACTGAATCAGAAAGTTGTTGACTATGTGCCCAACAAGTACCATGCAAGTATTTAGATGCCACAAGTAAAGAAGCAATAAATATACGATGAATTGTATCTGTATATATTTATATATATATGTATATACATATTTATACATATATATTATAAGTTATATGTACATATAACACGAGGAGAAAGGAAGGGAGGAAAGAAAGAATGCTGCTATTATTATTACCTTGATCTCCTATTGCATTTTTTGGAAGAACAGCTTTACATCTTTCAATATAAATTAGAGCTACAATAGCAATATGACAAGAAATACGAGCTTGAGTTGTAATTTTTAATATAAAATACATTAATTCAGGCGCTGTTCTTTTAGAACCAATTGGTAACGGTCGAATCCGGATCAAATCATGTAATTTAATAGCGAAAAAGTCTAATAAAAAGGATATGGAATTATTAAGATAATACATACATGTATATAAAATGCGTATTGTGTAGAAACCTGTTAGGATAGTTGGTAATGGATGATAAATAGTATCTTTCATAATACCATTACTATAATGATGATGATGTTTTTTTGCTGCTACTTCTGTATTTGTTATTGAATTATTAGCTGTAGTGATCATAATGAAAAGAAAGAAAGAAATAAAGAAAGAAAGAAAGAAAGAAAGAAAAGGTAATAAAATAAGTTTTGTAACAAGAATTAATATTCATGTGCACCAATAGTAGATTGTAAAAGTCATATTAAGCAGCTGATTGAATCATTTATATTCTCCCCTTCCTCTTTTTCATTATATGATAAAATAGCTGACCTTATTCTACACTTTTACAAAAAAAAAAAAAAGGAGGACTATAATAAAATAGATACGACCCCACATGAAAATTAATTTAAATTTACATGTCAATCCTACGTGCAAATATAAAACAGTTTGATATTTATATCAACATGAATATGAAACAGTATACAATTGTATTAATAATTCATACTTCTTTGTGCAAAATTACGTTATATATTTGACAAAGTTCAATAGCAGTATACTTATAATAAAAAAAAAAATACGAATAATTTTATTTACAAAAAGATATTATATATAGTGTGAACACATGTTGTAATCATATACACTACATGCAGTTAATAAGGAGAGGACAATAATGCAATTTATTTTTTTTTCTCTTAAAATTATAGATTTACTGACGAGCAGCAATTTCCTTAGCGGCAGCAGCAGCACGCTTAGCCATCTTAGCATTAGACTTGGGACCCATAATACCACCACCCCAATGACGACGAGACTCATCCCACTTTTCGGTAAAGTTAGCATTGACAGCAGAGACAAGGGTAGCTAATTCAGCCTTATCAGCTTCAGCAACATCGGTTAAGGCAAGAGCAGTAGCGGTCTTCTTGTGAACAAGAGCACCGAGACGAGCCTTACCCTTAACAATACAATAGGGAACACCCATCTTACGACAGAGAGCAGGAAGCCAGAGAACCAATTCAATAGGATCAACATCATCAGCAATCACAACCAATTGTGCCTTCTTAGCTTCAACCAAAGCAGTAATGTGGTTAATACCATATTTAACAACCATAGGCTTATCTGTCTTAGGCACTTCCTTCTTCTCAGCCTTAGCAGCAGCAATAGCACGAAGACGATCACGCTTTTCAGTCTTGCTCTCGGGTCTGTACTTGTGCATCAATTTGAAGAGTTGAGTAGCAGTGTTCTTATCCAAAACATGAGTGAATTGGTTAATGGCAGGAGGGACCTTAAGACGTTGGTAGATAATCTTCTTTTGACGTTGAAGACGAACATACTTGGGCCACTTAACGAAACGTGAAACATCACGCTTAGGTTGAACGTCTTGACCAATACCGAAGTTCTTGGGAGTCTTTTCGATCAAAGGGTTGGCGGAAACTTTGGGAGCTTGCTTGCTTTTAATAGGATAAGGAGCAGGAGCAACCTTCTTACCAGTGGACTTCTTATTGGATGGAGGCTGTCATGGAGTGATAAGGGTTTTTGATCAGATTCAAATTTTTTTAAACAAAATTAAAAAAAATTTACAACTCTGATGAAAAACTACACTCTAACCAGTTGAATTATTCTTCCCTTTTACAAAAGAGAAGGATAAACGATCAACTCAGCCAGATAATATTTTATTGTTAATCCTTTAACCAAAAAGATTTCAAGCTTAAATAAGCCATCATCTATATCTTATACGTAATTATAACGCTTGGTTCTTGGGAAAAACAAGTGAAGTTTTCAATCGTTTAAAGGGGAAAAAAAAAAAAAAAAAAAAAAAAAAGACTCAACTTACCATTCTTAAACGGATGGATGGATGGATGATAGATGGATAGAGTAGAAAGATGTAAAGAAATGTATAATTTAAATTTAAAGAGATTTATATAGTTCTGAGAAATAACGCTGCCGCCGCCTTTAGTATTTTTTATTTTCCGACAAAAAATGTAATTCTATTCGAAGACCAAAAAAAAAAAAAAATATATACACACACATGTATTTTTTTTTCTCTTTCTTTATGTACGCTAAGACTTTACTATCTAATCTTAAAGTGCTTGGATATGATCAACAAGTTCACGGCGATGAATCATTTATTTTAGATGAGCAAGTGTTTACAAAAGGTGCGAATAATTCAAAAGCATTTCAATCTATTAGTTACTTTTTATTTCGCCACTTAAATAAACGTCGTGCTCAACATGAATTTCATGACTGTTGGCCAGTAACTAATTTAAAACAAGCAACCAAGTATGCTCAAGTAGCTCATAAATGGTTAACTGAACTGCGTGATGAATATCCTATGTTATCTCATGTTCCTCTGCGCAAAAGCATTTTCACTGTTTGCAATGGTGAAATTATGAATAGAATATTGATGATTTTTTCAACTGCTGTGTTATCAAATATCGTTCAAAAACAAGTAGAATCAGGTAACAAAAAAAAGTTGCATATTTTGATTTAAATGCTTATTATTATTATTATTATTATTATTATGTATATATAGACATAGTATCTAGGCACAATTTAAACATGTCTGAAATCGAGTTTAAAATTCAAACACTTTCTAAAGAATTTATACAGTTAGAAGATGAATTAGATCGTTATAAACAAGCATCTCAAGAAAAAAGCATAAAATACATGGAAGAATTAAATAAGCCTCAGAAATCAACTATAGATATAACTCATGACACTATGATACATGTTAAAAATTGTTTGGAAGATATTAATAATCGACTAGGAAATCATTCATTATCTGAAATAACAACAAACGATAAGAGTCAATCCTTGGATCAAAATGATCGATTTGATTATATGAGACAAAATTCTTTAGACAATCGAAGTTATAGTTATCAAAATGGACCTTATACGAATGGAAAAACACAATTTCCCGGGAAAAGAACACCAACACCACCATCATCGTCATTAAAAAGAAAATTAACAAGATCACCAAGCCCTGCACCTAGTCAATACAAGAGAGCATCTTCGCCCAGAGTTCCTTTTGAGGAATTTAAAGGATTAAGAAGTAGTACTCCAACTAGTATAGAAAATAAACCATCTCTACGCAGAGCATCGCAACAGTCTTTATTATCAATAAAATCATCTACTAGTAATAGTTTATCACAAATTGAGTATTGTTGTACACTTCGTAATAATATACATACCATAATGACACGCTCACAATCAATGAGTGACTATTACATATTACCAGCTTTAACCTTTTCATTTGATGAAGATTCAACAAATGAAGCATATATATCCACAGACAATAATGAAATGATTGAAAATAAGATTCAAATAAGTCCTGACCATCTTTCTCAGCAGCCATTATTCTATAAAAAAAGTTCTATAGATAGTCACACAACGATACCCATTCAGACACCTACTGATCAAAATGAAGGAAAGATGCTTGAAGATGTAGAAATAAATAAATCAATAAAAGTGAATAAAAATGATATACAAGAACAATTGATGACTACTAAAACAAGCAATAATAAAGAAGGAGAAAGAGATAAGCATATTCCCGAAATTAATGTAGACAGGCAACCTCTGCGTAGAATCTCTTCTACTGAAATAGCAATCAATGAGCCTACAAAAGAAGAAAATCAGTTACCTTTATCTTTTCAAAAACCTGTTTCAAATGAAACATCGCCAGCTCATTCACCTACTACGATTGACTGGGCATCTGTAGGTTCTATTGAGGATGAAAGACCTCCTGATTATTTTGATGCAGGTTTAATTACTCCATTTAGAAGATAAACTAAAGAAATAAATAAATAAATTTTCTTTTATAGTTGATACATAAGGCGTTTTTTTTTTTTATACATATACTCTTAGGGCAGAGATATTGATGTATATTAGGAGCAGTATGATTCTTATTCAATAAGCAGAGTCTCTCAAGTGTAAATTTTTCTTTGCAGCATGTACGAATATAATGATTTTTACAAACATGTTAGCAAAGTATTCTTCAATAAGGGAAACAATTTGCTATTTCAAGATAGGTTTCTTTACTCTATTGATATGAGTATTCTATGTTTGTATAAGAGGCCGTTTCTCTCTTTCTTTCTTTCTCTCTCTCTCCCTCTCTCTTTAAATAACTTGATTTTGGATAGTCATTACATATATATACCTGATTATGAGCCTTTATTAATAAAGGATATCTAGGAAGAAAACTGTCTATTTATTTATATATATATATAAAGAGAAGCTTATATCAATACTTATCGTTTACATGCAAGAAGAAAAAAAAAGTCCTTCCATTTCTTCATTCTATATATATATATGTGTGTGTGTGTGTTTATTATTACTGTCCTTTAAAGGTAGATTATAATAAGGTATTAGTTTCTTTATTGACTTGATGAAACATATTACAGAAAAATAATAATATCGTTTTATTTGAGTAGCCAATCAAACCAATATAAACTTCATTTACACTTAAAAAAAAAATATACACATATAATTTTAGATATTTTGAACAAGAATAATATATTTATATGTGTATTAATCTTTAAATTTGCCTTTTAACAATAATCATGTCAACACATTCGCAGTCAAATTCACCTTCACATGTTGAATACGCATTTAAAAAAACTTTACTTGATGATGTAAAGAATTGGTCCGAAACAAAAGTAACAGAATGGCTATCTAATCAAGCGCTTGGTCGTTTTAGTCAGAAATTTATAGGTAAAAAAGAAGGGGAAAAAAAAACTTGACAATCTACTTCTAATTAGTATACATGCAGGAATCATTCTCATTTTGTTATTGTAGAACATAATATTTCTGGTTCAGTGTTACTTGATTTAGATTATGAAGCCATTAAAGCAATGGATATTAAAACAGTTGGCGAAAGAGTTCGTTTGGTTGCTGCAATTAAAGCGCTTCGACAAGAATGTTATTTAGCCGCTTCTTTAGCTGCGAGGACAACGAAAGTAACAACTCCAAGAGTAATAAAAGAAAAGAAAAAGAAATAAAAAAGATAGTGGATTGTTTTGCTAATTAGTTTGTTATAGTCATATAATAATTTAGAAAACATGAGACAAGGCTTGTTATTAACACCACCTGGAAATAATGAAGGGTTTAATACGATAGAAATAACGCCAAATACAGCCAACTTTAAAACATCAAAGTCATCTGATTCAAGCAGTGCAAAAAATTTGTTAATTCGATCTAATTCATTTTCTCGATTTTTGGGAAGATCAGAATCAAAACGATCACAAAAAGCTCAACAAGGTAATCTTTCCATGCAGCAGCAGCAGCAACAACAACAACAACAACAACAACAACAAAATTCAGACATTTATTCACAGATGCCAACAAGTCCAAGAACAACACAAAAAGTAAGAATACTGTTCCTAGATTTTTTTTTATAAATAGCTATATAGATATCCTTAATTTATTTACTGTAGAGAAATTCTTTTGAAGGAGGGATCATGTCAATGGAAAAAGTAAAGCAGACATGTGTAAAAGTATTTGGTGAGGACGGTCAAACACGAATTGTGAATGTTCATAATACAGCAAATGATCCCAAGCAGATTATGGCAAAAGTACTACATAAATTTGGCATAGATGAAAATAGTGCAGATAGTTATTGCATCTTTGTGGGATCAAGTACAAATGGTGAAGCGCGTGCCTTGTCAGATACTGAGTTAGTTGAAATTTGTAAATCGATAGATAGACCCGAAAAGGAGCGACTTATATTGCGTAAACGACATATGTACCTTACTTATGAAGAATTTAAAAGAAAGGGAACGATTAACAGTCAACAGCGTCATTATCATAGTAAACATAATAATAAAGAGGAAGAATGTAATAAACAGCGACAACAACGTAATAATGTGAATGATAACGATATTCAACCTACTAATTATTATAATCTTTCTCGTCAACATGGTTCAATAAGATCAGTTACATCAACTAATCATATACGAAATTCAGCTATTATGAACAATAATGGAGGACGTCGTCGCTTCTTTGGTGAACGACCACCATCAGAAATCATTTCATCTAATCTACCTTCCTTTTTCCCTAACCATAATCGAGAAGTATTAGAAACGGCAGGTATTAAAGCACAACGATTATCTATGACAAGACGTAACTCTGCTTTAAGTCGTTTGCAGCCTCGAAATTATCGAAATAGTGTGTTACCTGAATTAGTGTCAGTTTTAGGAGTTGACTTGGATCGATTTTTAGAAGAAGAAGAAGAAGAAGCTTCGATGAATATGATTGCTGCTATTACTACAGAAGATACAAAAGAAGAACATGATATCAAAGCGAATGATTTCTCTTCTACTAATAATAATGATAATAAATCTGATGATAAAAAAACGATGAATGATACCCAAAAGGAGGAGAATTCGCAAAGACAAATAAATAAGTTAGAACGAAAATCAAGCTTAAATCATAAATCTCTTAGATTAAAGGAGAGGCAACATCAAAAGGATACAGCATCAATGACATTAAAGACACCTACGTCTACGTCTACGTTTATATCTACACCTACTACTAAAACTCAATCATTACCAGATACCTGGATGAAAGGTTCATTAATTGGTCGTGGTTCATTTGGTGATGTCTATCTTGGGTTAAATCCTATTAGTGGTGAGCTTATGGCAGTAAAACAAGTGGAGTTACCCGTTGAAAACTCAGCTTCAGCACAACAGAAGAAATCTATGGTAGAAGCTCTTCAAAGAGAGATAGAGCTTCTAAAAGAACTTGAGCACGAAAATATTGTACAGTATTTGGGATCTAAAATTGATGATTCTTACTTTAGTATCTTTCTTGAATATGTGCCTGGTGGATCTGTTGCAGGTCTTCTTTCCAGCTATGGCGCCTTTCAGGAGCCTCTTGTAAAAAGCTTTGTGAGACAGATTCTAAAGGGACTTTATTATTTGCATCATAAGGATATTGTTCATCGAGATATAAAGGGGGCTAACGTCCTTGTGGATAATAAGGGAGGTGTAAAGATTACTGATTTTGGGATTTCAAAAAAGTTAGAAGAAGATATTATAATGCAAGAACCACCAACCAACAATGCAGCAGTGTCATCTACTAGCACGAATCATCGACCGAGTCTTCAAGGGTCGATTTATTGGATGGCACCTGAAGTAGTAAAACAGACACATTATACACGTAAGGCAGACATTTGGTCCTTGGGCTGCATGGTAGTTGAAATGTTTACAGGTGATCATCCTTTCCCTGAATATTCACAAATGCAAGCTATATTTCAAATTGGATGTAATACTATCCCTAATATCCCCCCACATATAAGTGAAGATGCCAAAGACTTTTTAATGAGTACATTTGAATTGTAAAGTAGATTGATAAATAGATGCTATAACCTATATAGTTATTAACATTGTTTCTTTTTCTTTAAAAAAAAAAAAAAAAAAAAAAAAAAAATAGGAATTTCGAAGATAGACCGTCCGCAGATGAACTATTAAAGCATCCATTTTTAGCAGATCCAGAAGAATCCTCTTCTATTATATCTAGCAACTAAGTTACTACATTATTTACATATACCAATAAACATGCTTTCCCTCTTTCCTTTTAACCCAACAATATAAATATCAATGTTTTATATAACAAGATTTTTTTTTATATGTGTATAATATAGTAAATGAAAAAAAAAAAAAAAGTATAACATATAATTTTTCTACAATTAAGATATGAGCGTATTATATATGTGCATTGCATTATTTAGCTGCCTTACAACAAAAGAAGTTTTTTTTTTTTTCTTTTTTTATACATAATTCTTCTTTTGAAGAATAGTTCTAGTTTCTACAGGAATAGCATTCCATAACTGGTTACGAGTTGCTTCATCAAGTCCTCCTAAGATTAACTTCATGTTGTTTACCATACGAGCTGATAATTCAGTTGACAAAATATCAGCAGCCAAGACTTCAGTAAAGATTTTAACTATAAGAGGGATGTTGCTATTGTTGGGACCCAAAATGCTAGGATGTTGAGCTTCAAGAAGATCAAGTAAGTATGTATAGACAATAGGTGCCTCTTGATCATCATTAACAATGGGTAAAGTTGTAAGCCAGGCAGCCAAGACAGGCTCCAATTGGAATTTGCTGTTATTGAATTTACAGATTTTAGCAATGGCTGAGATAGCATTTTCAGTTACAAACACGATGCCATCATCATGAGCATTGGGAGAATTGATCAAATTGAAAAGGGGCTCGAGGGCAGCAGCACAAGCATCTGCATATTGTGGTCCACCAAATTGACCCATGACACCAACACCATAAGCGGATGCTTGACGCATCTCACTTGCTTTATCAGAGATACCAGCGACCATGGCCTGTAAGAAGTAATTGGAATAATTGAAAGAGGCAGGACCTGTGAATTCAATAAGATCATCAAAGATGCAGATTGCCCATTGACGAGCAGCATTATTAGGATGGGGAAGGAATTGAACAATTAAGGGTAAAAGCTTATCAAAGTAAGGTAAGAAAGCAGGGCCCAAAATTTTGAACAAAGATTGAATGGCACGAGCCATTTCACTAAGGGCATCTTCTTCAGTGGCTTCTTCGTCGGCTAATTGTTCTTCATCATCAGCATCATATTCACCAGCTTGTTTTTCTTGTTCTCGTTCATTCAAGCGCTTAAGGAACTTGGCTAATTGTTCATTTGTACCCTTCATAAAGTTTTCAATTTGTGCAGGTTGAAGGCAGTTTTCACCCAAGACATCAATGCATTCTGAGAAAGTAGCGTAGGTTTGTGCTAAGAAGGTAATATCATCTTCAATAGTCAAAATCTTGCAAAGTTTTTCAAAAATGGTATTCCACATGTTAGCAATCTCACCGGGAGCAACGTTAGCCTCTTTAGCATCCTTTAAAAGGAGAGGGATAAGAGAGGCAGCAGCATGACGAACACCATCATGGAAGTAGAATTTAAGTAAAGGCAAAGCAATTTCAAGAACTGGACCAACATAAGGTAAGAAACCAGCTCCTAAATCACGAGCGTAACTGGTGAGCATTTCGATAGCTGTATATTTCTCTTCTAATACGGAAGTTTTGATACCAATTTGTTGGCCATTGATACCAACGAATTCCCAGCCATCATCTGAAGGATACTTGGAATCAATATCTTCTTCTTCAGGATCAACAAAGGTAAATTCAGGTGTAAGCTTAGCAGATTGCAAGAGAGGAGGCATAATATTAGGAAGATAAGGTAAAAAGTCTTGACCCATCATCTTACACATACGAGCCCAAGCAGCCAAAAGGTAGGTGGTTTGAATATCATCGGGTTCTGTAATAGATTGTTGAATGCCAGCAAGGATGTTGATAAATTCAGCGGTATAAGGAGCAAAAACTTCTTTACCAATAGCAAGACCAATAAGAGAAGCACACTCAATGGCTCTAGAACGTAAAAGACGATATTGTTTATCTCCAGCTTGATGAAGAATGTTGAGCAAGAGAGGCATGATAGCGTCATGATATTTATTGAAACGATCCTCAGCACAATCAGCAACAGTGGCAATAGTGGTAATAGCTTGCTCTTGAACATAAGTCTTAGAAGTCTTAAGAAGGATCAAGAGACGGTCAAAGATGGCATTAAGGTAAGGATCAAGAATTTTTTTATCAGCTTCTTCACAGAAGTTCACCATTGCAGCAGCTGCATGGGCTTGAACACGAGGTTGAGGATCCTCCATAACAGGTAAAAGAGAAGAAACAACAACTTCATGGAAGTGCTTTTGGAGATAAGGAGCAAAATCAGTGGACATTTGTCCAATAGTGTTACAGGCAGCATAACGAACACGAGGGTGAGCATCCTTGAAAGAAGGTAAAATCATATTGATAATATTAGAAAGTTCAGGCTTCATAATCTTGATAGAACCCTCGCCGATAGAGGAAATAGCCATAAGAGCGGCACGTCTTTGCTGCCATTCATTTGATTGAAGCATTTGAGGAATATATTGGAAACAAATAGGAACAACAGCCTTACCACCAAGAGTACGGGCAATTCTATCTAATGTACTTTCACCCATAACATAGTTTTCCTCATTATCATCCTCATCCAACTAAAAAAAAAAAAAAAAAAAAAAAAAAAAAAAAAAAAAAAAAAAAAAAAAATTAGCACCCAAATTTGATATATACAAGCAAATTCTCTTCAACAACATACATCATCAGTAGTATACCATGATTCATCATCATCAATATCAGTTGACATTTCCATAGCAACAGGAATGATTTCAGAAGCAAAGTTAGGAACCTTACGAGCCATAGCAGGAGCTGCTTCAGCCAAAGTTAACAACAATTCCAAAGCGGTTTGGCGTGAACGATCATCAAAAGACTTGTCTTTAGCAACAGAAACCATAACACTCAAGACATTAGGAAGTACAGGTCGGAAAAGCTTAGGACAACTATCAGCCAATTCAATAAGGACAACAAGACAATCGACAAGGGTTGAATCATCACGAGCAGCAATAACAGGTGATAAAGGCTAATAATTTTGTTTATAATTGGTTTAAAATATACATCATTATTTATATATACTTACATCAAGCATATGAGGCATCAAAGTACCTAAACTCTTTTGTGCTTGTTCGTCAGCTTGAACAATATATGCAGCGGCTGCTTTCATAGCTTCCAAACGAACCTAGTTTAATAAGGTTAAATATAAATTGATTAAAGGTATGGAAGAAGGAAAAAAAAACTTACTGATTGACTTTCAGAATCATTTAAACCAGCTAAAAAGACATTTTTAAGAGCATCGGTGTGTTGACCAGCAATCAAGTCTGGAACAGTAGCAAATATACGGAAAGCAGATTCTCTATGGGCAGCATTAGGTGACTGAGAACATTCAAATAAAGCCTTTAACAAAGAATCCCATTTATCTATTAAAAAGAAAATTTCGACATTTAGATTCTAATGTCTTATATCAGCAGTTACTTCATTCTCTCTAAACTTACTTCCTTCTACTAAATCAAATCTAGCAATTTCAGCAACAGTATCAGAAACTTTATGTCTAGTGCTTTGATCAGATTCATTGGCAAGAGCGACTAATAAAAGCTCTTTAACACCTTGACGAGTTGATTCCTGCACTACATCCCAAAGACGACTATCAGGATCGTTAGAACTAAATTGTTTATAAGCTAAACGACGTAAAAGCACACTACAATGAGAACGAAGCTGTTGTGGGATGAAGATGAATGTTAATTTCGAAGTAATTTGTACCACTTTTTTTTTTTTTTGTACCTGAACTTCATTATTATTTGCTACAAATTGAGCAAGTCCAAGAAGTAAAAGATCAGGTTGTTGAGCAACCCAATGATCGTTCAATTGAGATTCAGCAGCAGCTCTATTTTATTATATAGAGTAGAGTTAATATGTGTGTGTTTACATGCATATAGAGATAGGATAATTGTTACGTAATTAATTTATATGCAAATAGGAATATATATTTATTTGATAGGTAATTACCTTTGGTTATTATCAGAAGACAAAAGACTAGAAAGTACAGGAGCAAGTTGCTGAAGAACTTCAGCAGAAACAGGTACTTGTGCCATAGTGCCTGTTTTGATATAAATTTCTTAAAAAAAAAAGAAAGAAATACAAAAATCTAATAAAAAAAAATGATAATGATAGTAAATAAAAAAGTTAATTGGGCACAAAGTGTGACTTTTTTTCCTTTAAATCATAGAAGAAACAATGGGGGAATACAGTACTCACAATATTAATTTGCGGGTTTACAATTTTTCTTGTGGTTTGCATAACCTTAGTCTGCATCTTCATTTTTTTATTTGCATTTTCAAACTTTCACATAATAAACACGTAACATGTTTTCAGTTCCAGGCAAGAATATCTTTGTAAATGACTAAGGAATTCTTTATAATGAGGATGGAAAAGAGACAATAAAATGGGAAGAATATGTAATTCCAATAATTTAGAAAATCTATGAATGAGCAAAAAGTATACTCAAAGATATCTTGTAGCTTCCTAAGGTATAAAAGTTATCATGTTGTTAAGAGGATGTTTAATTCTTTGCTCAAGCAGATTTATTGTCTGTTCTTCTGACGACAGAAATAATTGGGCTTCATAATAAAAATAATAACCCTCGTTTGGCACCAAGTGCTTCCATCATGTTGAACTTTTAGAAGGGCCTATAAAATGGTATGGATTGAAAAGCAAATAACATTAGAAGCTTCTTATAGAGTGCTGTATTTACATATTGCTTTGAAGAAAAGCTCTGTGATATTAGCTGATCGTTAGAGTATTCGAACGTTAAAAATAATTATATACATTGTATTGTAATAATGAGAATTCAATAGGATTATGACTATTATATTTATAAGTCCTACATATTATATCGTTATCTAATGGGATGATAAAAATAATAGTAGAATATGAATAATGGGTACTATTGTTATAGATGGAACATTCGCTATGAACTAATATTGACAGACACATTGCTTACTTTAGAAGAGTAATGATTAATTATATCTCTAGTAAGAAAAAGAATAAAAATAAATCTTATTGCAGGCAGAATTATTTAGAAACAATATCGACCTACGGCAAATTAAAAGCTTAAGCTTCGAGTAATAGATGAATAAGGTTTTCTGATTATAAAAAATAATATGCATACTTGCCCGCTGTTTTACTATTTGCAACAAATGATTTCTCCAATTCTTTCGTCCGCGAAAGGTTTGGGACATCCAGATCGAGATCTAGTAGTTGTTTACTCGAATATTGAGTGAAATTGCTCAAGTTTTCTACGCTATGGTGAATGTTGACCTTCTCTTCCCAGTTTATTGTTAATTTCTATTGCCTTTAACGAAGTTTTCCCTGACCATTCTCGAATACACTTCTTTTTCCAATGATTGAATACATATTGTAATAAATATTGGTTAATAAATAATAAAAAGGAAAGAAAAAGGTTTATTAAATTGAATAACTGAAGATGTAAATTTAATATGGGCAAGGACATTCGAATAGGGATTTTTAGTGGTGTGATTTGAAATTGCCAAGTGCAATAAAAACTTGGGTTTGCGTGTATTGGTGCCGTGAACACTGTAGTTAAGAGTAAAGTCTGAAGTAGTTAGTTCGGAAATACTGAGGATTTGAAAACCAGGATTAGTGAAGCTTGCAACAGTATTCCTTTTTAAGCACCTCTAGGGCTTTGTTAGACATTCTTTTGATACATTTGAAAGATATTTAAACGAAGAGCATATATATATATAATCAATATTCTATTTATTAATAAAAATGCAAGGTCAAAAAATAAAGACGCAAATTGAGAGAATGCAAACCGCAAAAAAAAAAAAAAGAAAAGAAAAAAAAAATATAAACCCGCAAATTGGTACTGTGAGCACTATACAATAGACTTTTATTGTTCAATGAATAAAAAGTCTCGTCTTTTAACAGTACAGGATATAGTATTTGTGTGTTTTTTTTTTCTTTTTCCCTAAAAAAAAGAAAAAAAAAAAGATGATTTTGTTTTACTTGCATACATGCTTACTCTTCATTAAGAACTTCCTTTATACTTTCTGTATCTTAGTCGTCTTTTTCTTGATCCTCTTCCATATCTTGAGAGACTGTTTCATCCATCTTTTGTTTCTTTAATGGCTCTCCCTTTTCTATTTGTGTATCTTCCTCTTCTTCATTGATGCAGAAAACTTTACCAGGTATAACAAAACCATGCTCATTATCAAATTCATCACTTGCAACAAAAGTAGGTGTGATGGATAACAGGACAATACCATTAGGCTTACCTTTTGCAGTTGCTTTCATTGTCTTTGGATCGAATTGTGTTACACCTTCTTCAATAGTCAATCTTTTAATCTTTATTTCTTGTCCTTTCACAGCCAAATTCAATTTAGAGCATCTCTGTATTAAGTTTTCAATCTTTCTAGAATCTTGCTGAAGGGTAGGATAAACAGGACCTAAGTTGGATAGGATTTCATTTAATAGTTCGGATTTAGCTGCCTGTATTTGATCTTCTTCATCACCAGGCTGTTGAACAATAAGTGCGCAGACCTGCTGTCTGAGTCGGTTTGCCCATTCCTTATTTCTACTTGTCATCCAGCCATCTAATTCTTGAAAGGCATCATTGATAGAGACACCTAAATGAATAGGCACGTCCATGATATGATTGAGTAATACTGTAATAAGATATTTTTCAACAAAGAGTGTAATGTAGGATGTATCTAATAATTCTTGCTCTTCTTCAGTCATCATATGCTTCCTAATCAAGTCTACTTTATCAGACCAATAATTAAACACAAACCTAGTCCCTGCCTCTCGATCCATCTTTGCCTTTAATCCCATACAAGTATTATTTAATTGGCTTAACAAATGTGATATCTCTGGTTGAATGGTTGAGAGATCATCATCAGTGACTCGAATTTGTTTTACATAAGAATAAAAATTGACTTCAAGTTTTTGATAGGCTTCCTTTTTCTTTTCTAAATCTTGTCTCAACGAGGAAATAATTGATTCTAGCTGCTCACAATGTTTGTTTTGATCGTCCAAGACTTGTTGAGAAGACTTTTTAAACTTTTCAAGCGCCTCCTTTTCTTTTTGACGTTCCTTTTCTATTTGTTGTTGAAACTCTTCCTTTTCATTTTGAATGCGTTCGAGGATTTCTTTATGAATATGAAGTGATTCATTGAGTGAATGAATAATGAGGTCCTTATCTGATTCTGAATCTTGTTGTGTGTCAATGATGCGAAAAGAATGTACAGATTGTTGTCTTTCTTCCATAGATGAGTTAATTTCTGTATTTGAAGAAGAGTCAGCTTCCATTGCTTTACTTGTCTAGAAAAGGAAAGAAAACAATAAAATATTATTCAAGCAAATTGTGATTGAAAAGCGTGTTGCGGAGTTATTTTATTGGTTATTATTTTTAAAAAAAAACACACACACTCTTCATTTTTTAAATCAAACTTAAAGTAAACTATCTCATTATACATTAAAAAAAAGGAGATGGAGGAGGAGGAAGAGAGAGAAGATAAGGAAGAAGGAAAGAAGAAGCAAAGAGGCCCTTAAATCATAAAATGAAAAGGGTTTCTTTTTATTGGCCGAAAAAGGGGAGACTACACTTATTCATTTAATACATTTATTTTCCGGGATTTACTTCCGTTAATCTTATTACGATTTGCAGTATTTGGTAACGAGGTTTGCAGAAGAGTTGGATAGGCGCTGAATGAAAAAAAAAAAAAAAAAAAAAAAAAAATAAGTTCACGCTTTTTGAATTAAAATCTTTTACAGCTTTCGAGCCGCATTCTTACCATTTTGCGTTTGATAATACAGTTATTGTTATTATAGTCACTCAGGAGAGCTAAAACCTGGGTGATTTTATTATGCAAAAGGAGGATAATATATTATATTATGAGTAAAATAAATACAAGGGGATAGTGAGTAACAAAAAGGCAAAAGAAAAAGTGTATACATTTGTATGTATTTATAATAAGGCGTATCCTATATTTTAGAGATCGTTGTAAAAAAAAAAAACGGTTGAAACAAGCAAAAAAATATAATTTTTCAAGATTATCCGAAACAATACATTGAAAAATTATAGCAACTTGACGATGAAATACTCACTAATAAATTCAGTCATGATAAAGTAAATGAATAAAAATTCTAAACACATTTCTTTCTTGTCATTGTCGTTTTTTTTTTTTTTTTTTTACTTGAACAAACAACGACACTATGAAAATCTCTAGACCCTTTTTATTTATATATCTATAATATTTTAATAATTACATAATATGTGTATCATTGCCAAAGCAACAAAATCAGATAAAAAAAAAAAAAAGCAGAATCATGCATCAATTAAACTGCAGTGTGCAATTATCTTTTTTTTTTCATGCATAAAAATAAGCCTCAAATTCTAGTTTGTGACTATTTTTATTCTCTATATCGTATAATGTAGAGGAAAGTTAGAAGGTAAAAAAAAATCACACAATCTAGGCTTTTATTACTATTATTATTTAATATGAATGCAGGAGATAATAAACCAGCACCGATACAACTCGACGATAATATATTCCATCTTGATTTGCACCCTAGTAACAACATTGCGGTTACCGGCATGATTAACGGTCGAATTCATTGGTAAACATACATGTCATTTACATGTGTATTTTACTAATTTTTTTTTTTTTATAGTTATCGTTATGGTTTAGAAGGCCATGAACAATTATGGAAAACTAGAGCATTTAAAAAATCATGCAGAGGTGTTGCATTTACACATGATGGCTCTCGTAAGAATAAGATATATAGATAGATATATGCATGTGATAAAATAAAAACAAGTTACTTATTTCTAGTGTTTAGAAATATATGGTATTTCACGTGATAAATCGATCCGACTTTTAGATGCAGAAACTGGTGAAGTCATTCATATTCGAGAAGAAACTCATGAGTAAGAATTAATAATAAGGTTATATAAAGAATTTATATTTCCTTCGATTATTAATTCTGTATAATAGATCACCCATTAATTCACTTTTAATCATCGATGAACATAAATTAGCAACAGGTGACGATAAAGGGGTTATAAAGGTAAAAAAAAAAAAAAAAAAAAAAAAAAAAAAAAAAAAAAAAAAAAAAAAAAAAAAAAAAATTGTACTATATGATTACATCAACTTATTCATCTTTATTTACAAAGTAGATTTGGGATAGTCGCAAAAAAGAATCTGTCATGACATATACGGAACATGAAGATTATATTGCAGATATGATATATAGCAATCAGCATAGAACATTATTAACAGTAGGAGGTGACGGGTACTTATCTACTTGGGATATTCGTAAACCTAATGTAGCTGCTATGTCAGATCAAATTGAAGATGAGCTTTTATCTATACAACTCGTGAAGGTAGGATATTATTATTATTTTTTTTAACATAAATTTAATGTATTTTTAGAATGAGAAAAAAGCAGTTGTGGGTACACAAGATGGTATCTTAAGCTTGTGGTCCTGGGGAGATTGGGGTGATTATAATGATCGTATTATTGGACATCCAAACTCCATTGAAGCTATTTGTAAATTAGATGAAGATACAATCTGTACAGGAAGCAGTGATGGTATTATTCGGTAAGGTAGCTTGTATGTAATATCAATTCCTCTTAACTTAATTTTTTTTTAGTTTGGTGACTATTTTACCAAATGAATTTCATGGCGCTTTGGGTGATCATGGTGAAGATATGCCCATTGAAAATTTAAAACTAAGTTATGATAAGAAATTATTGGTGTCAAGTGGACATGATGACAAATTGCAATTTTGGGATATTGCTCATCTTTTTGAAGAGGAAGAGGAAGCGACTGCAAAATTAGAAGATGAAGAACAGGACGTATCGCATGATAAAGAGGAAGAAGATAAAACTAATGACGAACCTACTGTAAAAGATTCGGATGATGATTGGGGAACTGATTCAGATGATGAAAGCAGCAATAAAAAAAAGAGAAAGAAGAAGCAAAAAAAGAACAAGACAGAAAAGAAAAAGAATAACAAAAATAATACATTTTTTGCAGATATGTAAAAATAAATATTTAATTACAAATAATATATGTGTGGATGTAGATGAAGATGTGTATGTATAAGTAGTATAAAGGAGAAAAGGGATTACGATATATATAGATAGATATTATCTATTTAAGAGATAGTATTAGTGGTAATATTAGGGAATAGTTCTGTAGTATGTAAAAGAATATATTCAATAGTGGCATTTTTATAACTGATATCAAGGAAATCTCTTGATGGATCATTATGACGCATCAATGTTGGTGCAAATACCATAGCAAGATTCTTTACACTCATTCGATTCTTTTCACTTTGTTCGAAAACTTTGTTAAGATGTGTAAATAAAAGAATGACTGTATCCAAATGAGCTTTTGGAAGTTTTGATAGTGCGTTTGAAAAGGCTTCTATCTTCTTTTCATTGTGATTCATAGCTAATGATAGCAGGATGGTTAATGATAAATTGCTTTTTTTTTTTTTTAGAAAAAAAAAAGTACTCACTTGCTATATCAATCAAGGTGTCATAAAGCTCAAACGTGAAAAGAGGGTTAGGCAAGTCTCTAAAATATTGTTTAAGAACACTTGTAATAGCACAAATATCATTAAACTCTTCTTCATTATCAAGATTGGTACTTTCACCTTGTTCAAAGGCAAGTTGAATAGCACGTATTTGAGCTGCGCCGCCTGATTTTCGATAAATCCCTTCATACTCTAAACCTCTTGCTTCAACTTCTTTAATACATTGTTCTACAATCAAAGGCACTGTTCTATTCTCAAACTGTGCACGCTCTGTGAGATCAATACCAAAAAGATTGCTTTCTATATAAAGGATGTAAATACATTAGGAGAAAAAAAAAAGATTGATAATGACTGCGTACTTTACCTGAAATAGACTTTTTAGGTATTGGTAATGGCTTATTTATACTGCTTTCATGGCTTGTTGATAATAAGCTAGATGAACTAATTGAAGGATGTATACCCTCTGTGGATGTCAAAGATGTTAATTCTAGACTACTACTGGTTGCTAGTGCTGCAGCAGTACATTGCTGTGGTACTTTAGTTAGACAACGAGAGTGAGAAGAAAAGCCACAGCCTTCACAACGATATTCACTTCGACCCCAAATTTTATCCCCACAAGCTCCACACTTGACAGGTCTCAAAAAGGACATTGGTTGAAACGAGTGATCACCTGAGGACTGCTGTTGTTGAGTATTAGAGGTATGCTGTGATAAAGAGCTATTTGATTCTACATAAGCCTTATTCTTGGTAAACGCTCGTCCTACTGTACCACTATTATGGTGAATAGTATCGAAATGAGAGTTGAGAGTTTGTACACTGCTACTATGAAGATGATTATTATAGATGCTTGGTTTTGAAGAAGAATGATGTTGATTTCCGTTTAAAGATTCAGATTTAGTGTTACTGACAGAACCACCTAATATACCAAACATGGCGCTTCCCTTCTTTTTGATACGAAATAGTGTAGGTGTTTGGTCAGGTATAAAGTTGTTTTGTGAGGATACATTACAAACAACTGAACCACCATCGGATGGTTTCCGAATCCTAGTGGGAATAGTTGTATCTGTAGATTGAGACGGAGAAAGTGGAGGTGAATGACTATTATTGTTAGGTGCTGTAATAATAATGGTTTCTTCTTTTTCTAGAGCACGTCTAGATAGATCATTATTCATTGTGGTTAATTCAGCATTTTTCGTATTGAGAAGTATCATTTCATGTATCACGTCATCTCTTGATACTTGTAAATCTTTAGTCTGTGCTCTTAATAAATCTCTTTCCTGTATTAATGATTTGATTTGAATCTTGAGATTTTTTTGATAATTTGTACAAATAGAGCTATTAAAAATATATATATATATATATATACATATACAAATACAAATACATATATCATCCATCAGCTTCTTTTTAAATATATAGTAAATACTATCTTGATATATATATTTACCTGCTAGATATATTTTGATCAATGGTATTAGCAATTTTGTCTCGATAGTTGATCATTTCTTTACATGTTCGTTCTAACTCTACTCTGAATAAAGCAAGCTTGTCTAATTCCTTCCGAGATAAAACACCCCCATTTTTTTTTGTCAGTGATAAAATTGTAAATTCGAGTTGTTGCTTAACATTAAATTCTTTTGCAAGATCATCTTTGACTTGGTCAAGATCTAGAAGGGCTTGTTGACTTGCTTCCTATAATTAAAAAATTAATAATCAGAATCCTCATTAATTAAGTAGATGATGAATTATGATTACCTGTAATACTTTATAATTGGTTTCAAGTTCTTTCATTCTAGACCGTAATTCTGAAAGCTCTTGTTTAAGTGTATTCACATCAGAGGAAGAGTTAATAGCAACAGAAGTCTCACTCTCTTCATTATGTTGGTCCATATTTTTTAATGAAGAAGTACGTAATGAGGATTGTAATATTTCAGAAGCTCTGTTGATACGAAGTGCTGTACTATCTCTCGCTTTTTCCTGATCTTTTATTGATTTCAAAGATAAATTAACACCCAAGGAATTAGATAAATTGGCAAGTTCGGTCGACTCATTATCAAAGAAAGATAATGATAAATCTGATAAAATAGAGCTGCTTATATTATTTACTTGCGCTTCTGACATATTTGGTGGTGGAGAGTTTTCACGAGAGCGAGCAGGTGTAGGTAATACAGGTGATGTAGATAAGCTACTGGCCTCCTCAGGATAAACAGTAATACAAGAAGTCTGCTGTGATTTTTCTATTGTCTCCGATGCATTTACAATATTTGTCTGAAAGTAAATAGAAAATCACAATTTTATGTTTCAGAATAAAATTCAAGCAAAAAAATAACAAAAAAAAAAAAAAAAAAAAAAAAAAAAAAAAAAAGAAAAAAATCTTCTTTTTATTGTTATTATTATTATTATTAATGTACCTTATTTTTTCGACGTTTCTTCTCAGCTTTTCGCTTTTCATGGCATGCTGTACAATAAATTCCCTAAATTATAAATTTAAAGAAGAAGAGATACTTAATATTTAATGCTAAAAGTAATTTTTTTTTGTTTGTGATTCATAAATGAAACCTAATATTGTGTACATATAAAAAAAAAAAAAAAAAAAATGCGGACCTTGGCAGTTTGTGTAAATATCAAATCTTCGATCTTCTTGCAGCAAGAAATACATTTGAAGCAATGAGAATGATAAGCCTTTTCACCTATCATATAAAAAAGATTAACGTGATGAAACTTGCTGAAAGAATCGATTTTTTTTTTTTTTTACCAGTCATGATAGCCTCATCTCTAATGACTTCATGACATACAGTACAATTATAAGAACAATTGTCACAAACAGGCCTTCCATCTTCTAGAAGTAATAAATTTGTTTTATCATCAACACATTCTTTACATTTTGCACAAATAAAACTAGAAAAAGACAAAAAATAAGTAACTGTAAGTTTGCATTACTTAATAGACAAATGTTTACCATTTGACATGAAATAATGAATCGCCAAATGCAACTACTGCCCCTTCTTCAATTAAATATGAACAGCCTTGACATTTTGGAACAATAATTTCTTCAGTAGTCATAGTAGTATATTATAATAAAAATAAATAAAAGTAGTATATCTAGATGAAAAAGGTACAAAAATACAAAATAAAACAAAATAAAATATAGTGCGGGAAAAATGCGTGTAAAACGTTAATAAATGTATAAATATATGTATTATATTTAAAAAAAAAAAAAAAAAAAAAAAAAAAAAAAAAAAAAGAGGAGAAAATTGTGAGACCTCCTTTTGCATGTCTGACCTTATGGCTGTTCTCAAATAATACATATAATAACAAAAATTACAAGGAACGAAAACAAAAAAAAGGAAAAAAGGAAAAAAGGAAAAAAAAAAAAAAAAAAAAAAAAAAAAAAAAAAACCTGCTTGACCTTTTTTGTTTCTTGAAAAAATAAAATAAAACTTGTAAAGAAAAGCTCTAGGATACTTTTTTTTTATCATATATTAATTCGCTATATTTGCTACTTTAATATATAATTTAATAAATCACAAGTTACATTTTTTCATGTGCTTTAATCTTTATTGTCTTACAATAAAAAAAAAGGTTTATAAATATAATAAACTTAAACTTTAGTATGTCCTCAATTAACAACATAGAATATATTAACTCCGCATTGCACCAAAAATGAATAATGTGATGTATTGGATTTTATTTGCAAGTATCCATTGAAACTATTTTAACTGAATCGACAATGTTGCTACCGAGATTAATATCTACAGTAGAGTAGTCTCACCTAATGCCTCTCTTAGCTTTCGACCAGAACAGTTTAATAAAATTCAAGAATGGCGCGTATGTGACTTTACATTTTTACCAGTAGATCATCAAACAATTAACCTTTAGAAACTTTATAAAGGACGCTAAGTTCTACAGGATATCTTACCAAATACATATATTTGTATACATCTATTTTTTCTTGTTGACGATAATTAATCAATAGCATATTTACGAATTTTTTTCAATTTAAATTTTCATCATTTCTACATTGTTATTTACCTCCTTTACATTTTGAATAACTACTATTAGGCTACTCCATCAGTTTAACTAGAGACCAAACGTGCTACTTTTATGGAACAAATATTCTTATAATCTAATTAATAATAGTTATTGAATTGTAGACATTACTTGATTTGTAGTAATAAACGAAATGAATAGAAATATTTATAAGTTTTTATTTCCCTTTTAGATAAGTAATAAAGATTACTTTTAACGTATTATGTCTAACTGTGTTATTGTTTTTTAATTTTAATAAAAGATTTCAGGAGACTAATTTCCTTATAATTTTCGAATCATGCACTAAAAACTATAAAATAAATAAATAATATCCATTCATATAATATAAATATTAATTTACTTAGATGACTACGGATACAAAAAATGAATGTCTTATAAATTGATTCTCTATAACTTCTATCTAGTTTAGTAGATTGACGTGACTTGGCATGCTTTTTTGGACGCTCAAATGAAATTAAGCTAAACTTATAAAGCTTACAAATATTAGTGATAGGGAATTATTATTAATTATCTGTATATGTATATGTACTGGATTCAAGTGCACATAATTATTTTACAAAGTCAACCATTGCCAAAAGAAAAAAAAATAAAAAGGTCCTGGTAAAAAAAGAGACCATAATATCTCTTTCTATCAAAATGATATTGAGAAAAAAAAAGATGTTAACTACAAGAGAATCAACGATACAATGTTCATTAATTGGATAAGAGGATAATAAATAATTTTTTGCGAATGTATTATATACTCATCTTTTACATGTGGGTAAGATATGTATGTTATCAGAGTATACATCGTGGGTCTCGCTCTATACTGTTATAATAGTAAACAATCTGAGATATTTCATATGCATTTTTTGTGTACGTGATATGTTCGTAAGGCTTTCAAATACTGTTGAAAAATGACACAAAGGCATTAGAGCAATCATAGATCATTCATTCTAGTTTTTTTTTTTTTTTTTTTTTTTTTTTTTTTTTTTTTTTTTTTTTTTTTTTTTGTATCATCATAAGTAAAGATGAGTTCTGTTAATATCGAATTAATTCTAAACGTACCAATTACATTCATTTAAAAATTTACTATGCTATTGTACTGTAGACTCTTAAAAAAAAAAAAATAATAATCGTAACATTAATGTATAGAAATATGTATGAAATACTATTCAACTAGAATGGTAAAAAAGAAAAAAAAATGTTAAATTGAAATCTAATCATCATTCCTTTCTTATTTGAAGAATAATCTTTTTGAAGATAGAAGGCTATTGTTTGATAAGCTTCTTTAAGTGGCTCTTTTTTTTTCTTTTTTTTTTTAACTCTAAAAGCTGACAGATTCTCCAACTACAAAGATTAGAAAATCAAATAAAGTTAAATAATAATAAATATACTTAAGGTGCTGTTAATGATTCTAATCGTTAACTTGTGTTAATATGAAAGGACGCATATAATAAGAAAAGGTACATTAGGTATTTATAAAGAATGTAAGAAAAGCTATTATAAGCTTATTACTATTTTTAATTTTTTTTTTTTTCATTCTGTCTTTTAAACATAAAATAGAAATCTATCTTATTGTTCTATAGAAAAAAAAATAGCATGAAGTTGGTCCAAAAAGTAATAACAATTGTTTCATAAGCTTACTTGATACAATAAAGGAAATTAAGGAAATGTAAGAAAAATCAAGATTAAGGATCTATTTGACATTATATGGCAAGGTTAAAATATATCTTTGTTCTTTTTTTTTTGTTTTTTTTCCTTTAGAAATGTCAATTGATCAAGATAAAAGGGAGGATTTTGAGCTCAAAAGTTTTGTAGCGAGTTCTATTATAGCTGGTATATAATTGATAAATTATATATGTGTGTACGCGTTTAATAACATATCTTTATACCATAAGATCGTGAGTTTGAAGCGTATAGTAATGCAAGTATTCATGATCGTGAAAAAGGAAGTAGCTTTTTTGGAGCTTACTTTAATGTAGTATGTGTAGTTGCAGGTACAGGTACTCTCGGTCTTCCATTAGCACTAAAGCAAGGTGGTTGGATAGGTCTGCTTATTCTGTTTTTATCTTGGACTATGTCTACTTATACCTCTATTCTTCTCATTCGATGTCTTTATGCAAATGGTGAAAAAAAGCGACTTAATACATACAAAGATATTGCAACCACAGCCTTTGGTGCTATTGGTGGTTGGGTGACATTCTTTTTTAATTCCTGGATTCTTTTAGGCGCACCTGTACTTTATATGGTTCTGTCTGGTGCTAATCTTAATCAACTTTGTCGTGGAACTGTAGCTGAAATTGGTGATATTCCCTGGACTATAATTCTATCAGCTGCAATTGCTATTCCATTTATATTACTCAAGACAATGAAAGAACTAGCTTGGATGAGTGCCTTTGGTGTTGTTGCGATCTTTATTGTTATCATTGTCGTTTTGGTTATGTCAATTATTGATAAACCAAATCATGTAAATGTTCAGCATGATGTTGTTGTCTGGGATATGTTTCCAATTGCTTTAAGTACGATTTCTTTCAGTTTCGGGGGTAATGTTGTCTATCCTCATGTAGAGGCATCAATGAAAAAGCCCCAAGACTGGCCTAAAGTGGCTGCAGCCGGTCTCGGTACATGTGCTGTTATGTACTTTATTGTTGCCATAAGCGGCTATCTTGTTTATGGACGTGAAGTTCTTTCGCCGGTTTATAATTCGCTACCAGAGAATGGTGCACGTATCTTAGCTATTATTGTGATCACCATTAATGTCTTACTCTCTGCACCTATCTTGACAACTTCATTTTCTTTGGACATTGAAGAAATGTTAAATATTACTGAAGAGCGATTTGGTAAAACAAAAGAATTTTTGATTCGTGCTTGTCTTCGTATCTCTATCATGGTTCTTATAGCTGTCGTTGCCTGCTCTGTACCTCATTTTGGCGCACTTATGTCCTTGATTGGTGCTTTTGCTAATTGTAATCTTATTTTTATCTTCCCTGTTTTATTTTATTTGAAATTGACAGGCATACGTAATAAGCCAATTTATGAGCTTGTATGGTGTGGTTTTATTGTCCTGTTAGGTCTTATTGGGCTTATTTTTGGTACAATGGAAGCTATAAAGGAGTTAATTGCTGCCTTTGGATCATAAACAGCCATCTTTTTTTTTTTTGTTTTTAGATACATACACATACACATGCAAATGCATATATATGTATATAGAATATTATATTATATTAAATAGAAGTATAGGCAATTTAACGTGAATATGATGTAAAATAAAGAAATTGACGTAATTTGTATTCCACTTGTATGACGGAAATGGTATTTTTTTTTTTTATGCAAGCCATGATCAGTACTATTTCCTTTTTTAAACTATAAATTATATACTTGGCCAAATATATAATGTGGGGATAAATGACATTATTGTTGTGACTATTGTTCTAAAACTTATATCATTTACAAATTATCTTTTTTTTTTTATCATTTGTTACTTCCTTTCTCTCTCTTTCTGTGTGTGTGCCTCTCTTTTTTTTTTTCAAAATGTCCACTACCAGTAACTCAAATAATGAAGATAAAAATAGTATCGAAATAACAACACATCCTTCCCTTTATAGAGACACTGTCAATGGCAGATGTGAACAAAAAGCCGACATCAATATTAACTGTACATCTGAAAAGGAGACTGAGGCTAATAATTGGGATTTATATCCACAAATAATACGTGAAATTGAAAATGAAGGAACAGAAAAACAAGTTGGACATCTTCATGAATTGGAGCATAATACTGTATCAAGAAATAAATAAAATACTTTATTATTATGTATATGTATATATATTAAATAAAACTACATTTTTTCTCTTTTTAATCTTTCATCTCTTTTCCTTTTCCATGTCTCTCTAATTACTTTACGAACTTTTTCCAAGTTATTTTTTATATTTGCTTTTGCTAATCCATGAAGCTTATTTACTTGTTCAGAAGAGTAAACAAAGTTCCATGTACTGCAAAATTCTGCTGTTTGAGGATCAAATTCAGGATCATAGTTTTTGTTTACAATTAAAGGAAAATAGACAAGTGTGATTGGATTTGTATTTTCGGGATATGTTGTTGTAGTGGTATTTTGATTAATATCATTTGTCGATTTGGCAGGAGTGGTTTCTAAAGAATTAGATTCAAAAATGGTACATGTATCTAAAGCATAATTAGTTATTTTTGAGGATAATGATGCTGTCGTCTCTGATTTGTCTTCTTCTTCATCATTAGTGATTTTAGTAGATGTGTTTGTATTTTTATTATGACAATGATTAACATGTATGGGTGTGTGAGTCATATTTTCTTGTGTTGATATTATATTTGTAGAGGAGGAGCTTGCTTCTATCGCCGCCTTTTCTTCCTTTTTTTCATTTTTTGGTTTAGGCCATCCAGCACCTGTCGGCCAGCCTTTGATACCACGATGTTTCACATATCCCATTGCTCGATCAAAATAAGGTGTTTCTTGAATATCAGCACTAGAATCGATTACAATGATGATATCTACATCACGACCTCGTCTCAAGAGGGGATAAAAAGGAATATTATTATCCATGCCAGCATCCATCAACTCAATCTGTTCCGATTCAACTAAATCTTTAGACCGTAAAATTTCTTCTTTTGATTTATCCTTTGTTTGAACTGTACTAGGCATTTTGTAAAATGGATTTGGAAAGGAGGCTGGAGAAATTGGATGAATGGTCGATAAAACAGAACTTTGGTAGTCTTTAATAATTTCATCTGCTTTTTGAACAGCTGAAGCTGGCAGAAGCAGACGAATCTCCTGATAAAAATGAGCAAGACTAGCTACAAAAGCGGATCCAAATACGCCCATTAAAATACCTAAACTTTGTTCAGGAAGCCTTTCTAAATTTTTGCCGTCTTCAAACTTTCTTCCAAAAGCCCAAATTGGAATCCAAGCTGTAGACAGTATTTGTGTAAATTAAATTAACATTTTTTTTTTTTTTTTGTAGAGTTAATTTTTTGATAATTACCATTGATTTCCTCACTACCCATTTCATAAGGGGTAAACTCAAACCATTGGTATAAACTATTTATTTCTTCTTTGTCTGAAACTTTGCTGCCTTTGTTTTCATTGTTTGTTTTGTCGTGATATTTGTCAAGTTCTCCGATCTTTAATTGTTCACATGGCTCTCTATTATTTTCCATAGAAGAAACTGTAGCTGCTTTAGTAACATTAGGGGTTTCAACCTCATGCCTCACAACACAATAAATTGGCATTGGTAATGACCCATCCTCAAAATACTCTCTTTGCTTTGATAATTTAATTTCTTTATTGTGTAATAATCGCGGCTTTACTTCTAGACCACTATCTTCTTGTATAGTGCCTTGCTTATTATTATTTGACGCTGTTGTTTGATTATTCGTTCTTATAGAAGGATATTCAATTGATTCACTGTATTTTGAATGACTACTACTACTATCATGTTCTGGCTCATTTTCCGAAATCGTTATTTTTTTCGCTAGTAAAGTACCACCCAATAACATACCAAAGATATCTACAAGACTGATACTTTTATTCTGTTGGTAATAACGTTGAATAATACCGTGCAAAATAATTTTTGCATTATGACGAGAGGCGTTAAGCAAGTTTAAGAAATTGGACAGGTTAGCGATATGTGTATGAATTCGGCTTGAAAGATGATCCTTTAGCGTATCAAACGAAGCATTTGTCAAAGGACTATATAGTTGTGACATGGCCCAGGTAGATCCAGAAACGCCAGCCATATATAATACACAGTCAAGAATACCGGTCTCATACATAGCGTGTAAATATCCAGAACAGCTTACCATAGCACGATATCCACCGCCACTATTTATTCCAAATATATATATATATATATTACTTTTAATATGTATATACATACATATATATATACATATGCTCTATCATTTACCTTGAAGCAATACCGATATTAGGAATATCTTCAATTTCAACTTCATTCTCATTTACACCTATAAAAAAGGCAAAAGCAGCTTTCATCTTCTGTTTCCTCGTTTTCGCAAACTTAATTTCTTCCTCAGAGAGTTCTTGTCCTTCCCTCACATAGGCATTGTGTTGAATTTCTGGATGCAAGTTAGGATTGTTATCTTCCTTCATAGATTCTTTAGCCATATTTCTGAAATCTTCAAATGTCAAATAGTCCCAAAATGAATGATACATATCTCGAATCGCTTCCAACTGATTTTCAAATGTGGGGTATAAGGAAGCAATCTGTGCCTTTAATTCTTCATAGGAAGTAGGTATAATTTGTTGATAATTGGCTGGATTAATTGAAGAAAACAATTTATTTAAAAAAGTATCCGCAGCGGATGATGTCTCGATCAGCAGAAAAGAAGTAGGTAATGAAGCAACAAAGTTATTATAGAGTGAATTATTATCGATCAATTTGTCTTTAGGATCAATCCTATTATCTTTTGAGTCTCTGTATCCTCTTCGTTTTCTTTTATAGTATACTGTCCCTAATACAGAAATACTAATAAGTGTGGCAAGGGCAAGTTTCGATTTATTAGGTTTATGAATCATTATTATTTAAAGCTGTCAAAATCAAAGTTTTAATTATATAATAAAGTTACAGGGGGGGAGGGGAGAGGAAAGAGGGGAAAATGGGTAACAACCTTTTTTTATATACATGTATATGAACAAAAAAAAAATTATGCAGCAGCAAATAATAATGTCCTTAATCATTATGACATTTTTTTCTTTTCTTTTTGGAAATAATTCAATAAAATGTAATGACGATATGTGTATTACCTAAAATATTAGCATAATAAATCACCCTTATATATCACTAATACTACGACCAATGTCTTTTTTTTTTTTTGTTAACAAAAAAAAAAAAAAAAAGAAAAAAGAAAAAAAGAAAAATAACTATGTAGAGAACAATATTGAACAATTACCTGATTTATTCGATAAATTGTTTGAGCACAAAATGCCTACTGTATTTATAGTTTTTAAGCTGTATCCTCAGCAGTTAAGATTTAAAAAACGGCATAATAAATAAATTAAAAAAAAAGGGTCTTTAATTAACCAATTACTATCTGTTCAATAAGGTAGCTAATAATAAAAAAATAATCACTAAATATTTTATTACATAATCAGAATTATTTATCAAAAAAATATCCCTTACTGAAGAGTTATTGCTTTAAAAGTAAGTAAGTGCTTAGTTTCTAATACGACATATTTATCCATTACAATGGATATATATATATATATCTTGCTAGTGAATTAAATATGTTTTAAAAATAATAGTATTTTTGTCATCATTATATTATTAGTAATTATATAGAGGAGTGTTATTTAAATGACGAAAATGAAGAAAGAAAGAAAGAAAAATCAAAAAAGTCTATATAAATTCTTTATTCAAAGATTCGATTATTAGGAAAATTTATACAAAATGGATTCCTATTTATATCTTCTAGGAACGGGGTAAAACTTCTTAAAAGACATATTATAGAACCATAGATATATCCCATTGATAGCTGTGGATATTGTTTGACCTTGATAATGAAGAACCTGATTATTAAACTAATCCCAGCTGTCAAATGTGTTTGAAATGCTATATATCTGATTTAAGCACTAAGTTATAAATGGTAATTGAAACCTAACTAAATAATAATTTATTGTATCTTGTAGTACATTGTCATATAAATATATACATGTATATATAACAAGGAGGAACTTTTAGTATTAAAATAAACCAAGTAGTATGTTCGAGACATACTTTAAGTGTAATAATAAATATGCACATACTTTTTTTTTTTAACTGAACTTGGGATAACAAATTCTCACAGATTTTCATTCTATTTTATTGTTGTATTTCTTTCTTCCTTCTTCACTGTATCATCTAAGCAGAGAGAGAGAGCCATTTATTTAACAATTCCTTTTTTAACGATATATGTAATAAAATATAAAATAACATAACACCAAATTTTACGAAACTAAATTCAATAATAAAGACGTTTAGTTTCAATAATTGTGAAACTTCAAAGACGTCACAGATTTTGCACACTTTCATTGGCTGCTGTATTTAAACACTGGAGATAAAAGTCTACTTTTACAATTGTGAAAGTAGACTGAAAGGTGACCTTTCATTAAAGTTTCAGTATACTTTCACAATTGTAAAAGGTGACCTTTTACAATGATACAACCTGACCAAGTCAGTATACTTTTACAATTGTAAAAGTAGACATTTTACAATTGTGAAACTATACTGAAAGTAGACCTTTTACAATCATGAAAGTTCACCTTTTACAAAATTTTGCTTCATAGCTCAAAGCTTCTATTGGATTACGCTTCTTTAATCTTCGTCATTCCTTTACGTTTTTTTACTCTTATTGGCCTTTACATTCAAATTAAACGTTTGCTTATTCGTTATATTATGATACATTTTAGACTTCTTTAAAATACAGTAGATAATGGAGCTTATATTCTTTTTCAAAATACGATTTTATTTATTTTCGTTTATTATTTCCTTTTACGATATATAAAATATTATATTATTATACACTATAAAACGCGTAAAAAAATATATAAAAAAATACATAAAAAAATACATAAAAAAATACATAAAAAAATATATAAAAAATATTTAAAAAAATGTATATAAAAATGTATATAAAAATGTATCCAAAAAATAGAATAAATATGCCATGGAAAGGACCGAGATAACGCGTAATAGAGTCATAAAGAGGACCATAGATAGCTTCTTTCATAATAGAATTCTTCCTATAATAAAATAAAATGCGATTTAGTCAATGAAAAAATAAATAAATAGATTATATTTTAGTTTCTTACCATTAGAAAAGAAGTTATCACTTATCTACACGTTAACGGCCACCAAAGCAGAATAGTTTTTTTTTTCACTTACCTAAATAAAAGATAAGAAAGATTAATAAATATTTTACGCGTATAAATAATAGTTAATGTGCTTATTATAATATTTACCTTTTATTTGTAATCGGTCACCACAAGAGAAAAGGCTATAAAGATAGACCTTTAAAGCCTAAACAAAAAAAAAGTTTAGTTGATATTATCATTAAAACAACTTTAGAAAGATATAAAGATATATTTATATTATGTTTACCTTATCTTCATTACTTACGCGTTTTATATAATTTGCTACAAGACATTATAAGAGGCAAATAACCAACGACCCAAAGTATACAGCAAATATTATTCTAGAGATATTAAAAAAATAGCAGTTAGGACACAATTTTTTAAATTCAAATGGATTACTATTACCTTTGCTTATATTAAGGATAATCAAGAAGTATTAACTTTCTTACCGATCAGTTTATATATTACTTAAAACTTTTATCATATGTGCAATTTTTTTTTAAAAAAAAAATACTACCTTGTAAAAAAAAAATGAAATAAAGAAAAAGGGAAAAAAAAAGAAAAAAATCTTTTCAGAAACAAAGTTTCTGCTATATTTATAATAGGTTTAAGATCTTCATTGATTAACTCATGTTTTATCGCCGAAGCAATTATACAATAATTCCCGAAAGCACATGCAAGGTTTGGTATACTGTAACAAGTAGCATTAAAACTAAACTATATACCTATTGTCAATTTTAAATAGTTTTTATAGAACTTATTTCATCTAAATTCACATATATATTATTAATGCCTAAGATAAAAGAGTATTGTGTAGTAAAAAACTAAAATTATCAAGATAAAGTGAGATTTAATATTTATTACAAAAGCCGATTATAGAAGAATAAAAACATTATCAAACATTTTATATTATTTATTAAAAAATATAGAATTATACCTTCCCTTTACTTATTTCCTTTTTGCTAATACTTACTTTTTTAATTTAATTGAATAAAAACAAAATGTACTCCAACGCTATCAACAATGACTCCACTGGCAACTCTCAAAAGAGATCATACAGTGCCATGTCTTTCGAGGGAAGAATGGCCCAGCAGCAATCAAATAAGATGCAAAGGACACGACCTGCTGCTGGTGTCCCAATCGATACCCCCTTGCGCAATAGGGATATGGACGGTGCATCCAGCAGCAAGGATGCCTTAATTGAAGAACTCTTGCAGGAGAGAGCCTTGAATGCTGCTCGACTTGATGCTTGTGAGCATCGAATTGAGCAGCTCACCACTGAGTTGCAGTTGGTGCGTCAGGCCTTGATCCAATTGCATGAGTCAAGAGCAACTGCTGCTGGAGAAGCCATGTTCGAAGAAGATCCTAGACATGTTGCAGCAATTGGAGTAAATATATAATATTATTTATAATAAAACATAATCATTCTTACTATTATAATTTTTTTGTAACCTACATTAGGGAATACTTCGAAAGTATATGGCAACATTGGGCCCACACAGACAATACGATTATACCAAAAGGTATTTAGATGAGGCCAACAAAGATACCCGTTTGGCTTTACTTGCCTATGGTAAGCAACTTTTGGAGAGGTATCGTGTACGAGAAGAAACCTTGGAGAAGAAGCTCTCCAATATGTTTTATAACAAAAAAAGAGAGCTGAAAATGACTGAGGAAGAAAAGGCCAAGAGGAAGGTGAAAAATGCTAAAAGTAGCAGTAAGGACTCGGTGAGTATATTCATATTAATAATTGCTCGAGTTACAATATTGAAAATTTATATTATTATTTATTTTACCACTAGAAACTTGCACGCCGCCTTACTGTTATTAATGAAGACAAGGTCAGGTATATTAGTTTATATCCTGACCTTGAAAAGTTAATGGTCGCCGGCTGGATGTCGGATGAAGAGAGTGCTGAGGAGGTGGATGGCCAAAGCACTAAAATGATAAAGGTCATACGTCCTTCATTTAGAAGTGATGAGGTAAAATATTTAGTAATAAATAAAAGAATTGGCTAAAGCAAAAGATAGGGTCCTCCAGCATTACTCATGACTGAGATATATTCGGAGCTTGAAACTTGGCATGTTAATAGAGCTATTTTTTAGCATCTCAGAGCAATTTTTTTGAACTGTTTATGATTATTTTTCATGGAGTAATCGGCCTTCAAAAATTGGCCAAAATAGGGCCAAATCGATGTCAAGTGAAAAATCGAAATTTTAAGAGACCATAACTCGGTCAATTTCAGGGGTATCGATGTCAAATTTGGAACATGAGTCCTTCTCATGCATATAAACGAGTATACTAAATTTGAAGACGATCGGAGAAGTCAACAAAAATGATCGTCAAATGGGTGCGTCATGGACACCTACACCAGTGGGGTCTTTCGGTGAGATGATCAAGTATTTTTATATAGCATTACTTAAGTAAGTGTCTAGTTATCCTAAGTGTAATAAACTTTAATTTAGGGCTATTTAACTTATGTTGGGCAGAAATAAACTATGTAAACACTAACAAAAATGCATAGATAGAATAACACTAATCTTAAAGTAAAAGGCTTTTTATTTTTCTTATGAACTACTTGATGGGAATAAGAAATTTAGGCTTCCCTGTTATGACTGTTAACAATACGTCTTCTTGTAGAGCGCTTAACACTTTCCTGAGGGCGGCCACGGCGTGTTGTCGTGTAGCTAAGTTAAATAATTAGAATATAAAATATAAATAAAAGAAATAAAAGAGAAATAAAATAAAACAGACAGAAGAAGAAGTACGTTGAGATTTTCAATAAG